ACTCCGTACTGTTGCCCCATAGGGAGACACTGGTTTGAACCCGATCGTATGATAGGGCATTGGTATGTACTTAAGGGTATTGAATACATCATCACTATTATATAACTGACTTAAGCCAATTTGCCGCTGGCTGTTGTTGACTGTTGACTATTCTGTTCTTTACTGTTTTCTCGTGGTATGCTAGCTGACTAATCCCTACACTCAGCAGGTGTTGCCGAAAAATACACGTATGGTATGGTAAACACGCCCAGATGCAACGCAATTAGGGCATGGCCAAAAGATATCTCACATGCAATCGAACTCCTGCTCGTATTCGTGAGGATTCCATGTACGGAATACCCAGAAAGAATCTGGATAGATACCTGTGATAGGCACCAAGCATATCCAAGCATATCAAGCATACAAACCCCAAGAATCCAAGAAAAACCAAGCCAATCCAAGCCGCTCAAAAGTACCGCCATGCACGGACGCTTGCGTGCTCATCCACTGTGATGGCCTCATATTCATCCCACTCCCTTTACCCAACTTACTTTACACTCCAGAGCTACTATGGAGTACATCCACTCATACATTGCCGCCATCCGATCCTGCACGATGCGGACTTGTCCGGTCATCACGCAATAAAGATCCGATCCGAATGCCGATGCCCGATGCAATGGCTTGCCGAGCTGGAACTGGACCAGGTGTGGAACCCGTTTCTTTTCTCGCGTGGTCGCAATTTGCAGGATGGCCACTTTGCCGTTGGCCTTTTTCCTTCTCAATCTGCGCCCCTTTTTGCGCCCCGGCGAGGTAGCCTTGCGTCGGCTGGACTGTAGCATGTGGTGTTGGGTAAAAAAGCAAATACTAGTATAAACCTTGGAATCAATGGATGCATGAATCAAAAACTGGCAGCATAGCCGATATATCCCTCATGAGATACTACTACAGCAGTATCATCACCAGACTCGGAGTTTCCCAAGGTCTATGTACTATGTAAGGACTCGGATAGAGTAACCAACTGGGCATTTATCACCTAAACACCTAAGCATACCAGAGACACCGCAATGACTCTACTAGTACTACTCAACTTAAACCAATACTGACATCAGAGTAGACAAACAACTAAATACTATGATTCTAATGTAAACCGGCCACAACGCCGCGAATAAATAAGGGCTTTTACATACAAGATCATCATCCACAAAACTAAACATCTGCAAACCCATATGCCTTCCCATTTTACATACCCAGATCCTCGCCATCCAACAACGCCGCATAGTCGTCCGCGGACGCAAATGTAGGAAGATGCTTGAGCTTGCGACGCTTCTCCCTCTTGCTCTTGTTGCTCTCTTCGGGCTCGGCCTCGGCCGTCTCGAGTTCCACTCCACCAAGCTCCATATCCGACGGGATATCCTCGTCGCTGTCCAGGAACGCTTCGTCGTCCGAGACATCCATATCGAACTCGTCCTCGTCCTCGTCCTCGTCCTTCTTGGCGGACTTCTTGGCAGCGGGGGCGGCATCCTTGGCCTTGCTCTTCTTGGTAGTAGGGGGTGGTGAGTCGAAACCCTCGAAGTCGCCAGCTTCCTCGTCGTCCATCTCCTCATCCGAAGGAACGTCCGACTCGTCGTTGAAAATGACTTCGTCGTCGTCCTCGCCTTCAACACCCTCCGCCGCGGAGTCGTCGTCGTAGGCTGATTCCAGATCATCCATGTCCAGATCATCGTCGCTGTCAGCCTCATCTTCCAGATCCGGTCGAGAGTCAACCAGAGCCTTCCAAATGGCATCCTCGTCGACGACTTCTTCGTCGTCGTCGGAGGCAGCAGCGTCGTCAGTGGCGGCGGTCTTGCCCTTCTTCGCCTTGACCTTGTCCTTGTTAACCCGGTTGAAATATTCGTGGAAGAAGACGTCCTCGGCAGAAATATCTTCAGCCTTCTTCTTCCAGAAGTTTACCGAGTTAAGCGGCACTCCCTGCATGGATGTCTTGCCGGCTTCGACGAGGCGGTCCTTAGCCTCACCACCAGCCAGAGGCTGCATGATGGAGGCGCCGCGAGAGGCAGCGCCAGACTTCGGGGTGCGGTAGATGAATCGGTCCAGGAAGTGCGACAGGGTGTGAATGGTGAGGTCGGGCTTGCCGCTCATGGGCTCGTGCTCGAGGAGACGGTCGGCGTTCAGCGAGACGGAGGGGTGGAAGTGGGTGGTGAAAGGGAGCAATTCCCAGAGACAACTCTCCTCTGCATTGCTGTGTTCGGGATCACGCTTGCGGGGGTCGTATTTCTCCTTCTGCTTCTTGGTGGTAGTCTCATCCACGGGGGCGGGCTCGGGTTGCTCATCATCCTCGTCGAGGACGTCGCGGAAGACTTCTTCGTCATCGCTGTCATTGTCTTCGGGCTGGTCGAGGAGTGATGAGAGACCGATAAAGGTCTTTTCCAGTTCACGAATCAGGTAGAAGATACCGCAAATGAAAGATGGCTGGTGCATGCCGAGAACTTGCACGATACGCTTGACGAATGCCTTGACGCGACGCACATTGAGATCGTTCTTGAGAGACTTGAAGAGGAGGTTGAGGTAGAGCGATTGCTTCGAAGAGGTGGCCACGCGGGGGTCCAAAAGAGACTCGTATAGCGTCCGGTAGAAACGGTCGCTGGCGACTTGAGTAGTTTGAGTCAATTGCTGGATCAACATGAGCGCTTGAATGCTCGTGTTGAAGTTGGAAGAGTGGGTGATGCGGAAAAGAGTGTCGATGTGCTTGGACAGTCTAGATCGGATGTTAGTATTGAGCAGAAAAGTGTAGGCAAGGAAAGTATTGAACGTACCGGCCCGAGTCGGCGTCGGTGAAAGGGTAGGCACGGTTGACACCAGTCAACACACCCGACGTCAGCTTCTCTCGCATCTCATCAGTTTGAGCCTCTCCCTTAACAGCCTGGTTATTGGGGTTGCTTTTTCCGTGCTTTCCTTGAGGCTTGCCCTTAGGAGCCGGCTTCAGAAGAGTGACAAAGAGCGAGAAGTAAATATCCAGAAGCTGCAACGCAACTTGTTGCTCCTTCATACTCAAAACAGTCTGGTTCAAAGTGATGATGGCATAGTATTTGGCGTGCGAGCTCTGACCAGGGCGGAAGAGCAGCTCCTCAACAGACTTGATGATAGTTGGCTTCATCATAGGATGCTGCTGCTCGAGCTGCAAAAGAAGATACGAAGCGCGAGAGGCAATCTTCTTTCCGGGGTCACCAAGCTTGTTAACAAGCAGACGCAACAAGTTGGCCTCCTGCTCGGGCTTCTCCTTGAGCAACTCATAGACGTAACTGACAGCACGGGCACGCGAGAACTCAATCTCGTCATTGCACCAGACCTCAAGGACCTTCAGAATCTCATAGAACTGCTCCTTGACACCATCCTCGAAGGCCCAAAGCATAAGGTGGCTCTTTTGCAGGCCACCAGGCAGAGGGTCTCGCTCGGTCCATCGGCCGCCAGCTCCTTGGAAGGCGGCGACAAGGCCGGGCTGGTTGGCGAAAGATCTCAATCGTCGGTCTGAAGGCAGGAGAGTACCCTGCGCAAACATATCCTTCAAAGATCGGAGAACTTCGACAGCCTGTGCACGACTGCGCTTGCCCGCGAGTCCAACAAGAGACTCCAAGGATTTTGTGTTATGCAATGGCGACTCCTGCACAGCAAGAGTGAGAGCGGAAATTTTATCACTCAGGGTACCACTGGACATGATGCTGGTGTAGAATTTGTAAGAGGAAGAGGCGGAGGTCTTTTGGGCCTCGGCGTATGTTTCGTTCTCCTCGAGAAGTAGGACCTTGGCTTGCTCGTGGATGCGTTCAACCAGGTGGCGGGGAAGAGCGTTCATTTCTTTGGCACCGGCGACGGGAGGGAGAGGAGAATTGTACCAGTCGGAGCGAGGCATAACAGCCTGTTGAGCAATTGAAGTTAGTAACCAGTTGCCGGAAGGCAGTTGTAATTTCCGACTAGACTCACCAGCTTGGCATATTCCTTGGGGATATGAGATTCGGGTTGCTTTTCCTTGGGCGCCGGGGGCGCATTCTCGATATCTGACTCTTCAAAAGAATCCGCATCTTGCTCATTGGGGTTCTCGCTGTCATCATCAACATCTTGGGCTTCGTCGGCTTCTTCTTCGTCCTCCTCTAACTCCTCCTCTTCCTCTTCCTCCTCTACCTCTGACACCTCATCATCTGCGAGATCTTCAGGCACGACATGACCGGCAGCCGCTAGCATATTGGATAGCTCTCTCCGCAGATCAGCCTCACGGCCCTTTGCCTTCCTCTTGGAAGTTTCACCCTCGACCTCAGACTCCGAGTCAACATCCGCAAGCAAATCCAGATCCGCCTCGGTGCCGCCCATAGCCATGATCTCCGCACGTAGCGCATCGTTGTTGCTTTCCTTCTTCGATGCATCGGGCTTCTCTTCGTTCTTCTTGCCTCCCTTCTGCTTCTCCTTCTCCTCCCGGGCGATCACATCACCATTGCGATCCCGCTTCTTTCCATGCGCCGAGTCTTGCTTCTTGTCGGCCTTGGGAGGGGCGTTCTTCTCCTTCTTGACAGGTGTGTTCTCTGTAGAAGGCTGAACCTTGTTATCCTTCTTTCCCTTTCCCTTGGCGGAGCTCTGATTCTTCAAGCGTTGCTCGATCTTTTCGCGAAGACCAGCGAAAGCACCTTCTTCGATTTGGGGCTCGGCGGGGGTAGTCTGGGGTTCCGAAATCGAGACGGGTGTATCTTTGACAATCTCGTTTGCGCCCGAAGAGCGCTTGTCTTTCCCTTTAGGCATGGTGTGTGTCTGGGAAGGATTGGGGAAAGAGTTGTTTTTTTCTCTCTCTCTTGAATTGTCGGAGAGAAAAATGGACGGAGAAATCTTTTGCGGCGGGCTTATCGGGTGACGCTCGGGCCACCCGATAAGCAATTGTCTTTGGAGCGACCGCGACGATTTCCATTGGCGAATGCGCTGGGCTATTTGGACGACAATTCAACTCTTTGTGATTTCTTTCGCCGGTGACTGCAGTCGTCGAGATGATTTCAGCATTGCGACCAGCTCACAGTCGCCCGTTGAATGGCCGATTGGCGTTGCTGCCTCGTGTTCAGCGATGCCAGCTTCATGTACGCGCTTCCGACAGAGTTCCCCGGATCTGCTGAACTGACATAACTAATGGCGTTTCTAGTATGACGGACGAAACAGAGTGTCGAATTTCTGGATCCCCACAGGTGGTATATCTAAGAAGCCTATGGAAGGCGCAAAAGGTGCGGGACTTGCGAGTCATCGGGAACTTATGACATGCTAACAGATCATTAGAAGACGCCAATGATCTCCTAGTTCGAGGCGGATTTCTTCGACAGGTAAGAGCTAGCAGGTTGCTTCTATGGAATCGAGGTAATTTATTGACAATCATCTCAGGCCTATTCTGGCGTCTTTCATCTTCTTCCTCTTGGGTTGCGGGTGCAGGACAAACTTGAACGTCTGATCGACAAACACATGCGATCACTCGGTAGGCGGTTGGTCCCTAGAGACTTCACTTGGCCACTGCTAACTATTTTCAAGGAGCTTCCAAAGTTTCACTCTCATCAATCTCTTCCCAGGAACTTTGGGAGCAATCTGGTCGATTGACCGAAGGCTCCGCCGAGGTCAGTTCTCCCTGCTTCTTGTCCTCTCCAGAACTTCATTGCTAAACAAATATTCAGGTCTTTCGCTTCCACGACCGGAAGGATACTCGCTTTCTCCTTGCCCCCACTCATGAAGAGGAAATTACATCTCTCGTAGGTAGTCTCACCACATCCTACAAGAGTCTCCCTCTCCGGGTTTACCAAATAAGTAAGTCGAGCCACGCCTCGTTGCGAAATTTCCCATACTAATTACAGGGAAAAGCGCGAAAATATCGAGATGAGGCCAGGCCAAGGCAGGGACTTCTCCGCGGCCGTGAATTCGTGATGAAAGATCTCTATACATTCGACTACAACGTGCCCGAGGCCCTGAAGACCTACAAGGCCGTTAAATACGCTTACACCCAGCTCTTTGATGAACTGAAAATCCCGTATCTCGTCGCTGCAGCCGACTCCGGAAACATGGGTGGAAGTCTCAGCCATGAATACCACTTCATTAGCGCAAAGGGCGAGGACCGGGTTGTTAGCTGTTCCCATTGCGATCACGTCTATAACGAAGAACTGGCCGATGGCAAAACACACAAATTTAACGAGACTGAAGAAAGTGCCGCTGTTCCGGGCTTCCAGACTGAGGAGGCGAAGGTCGAAGGCGGCGCAACAATCTCCAATGGCATGTGGATGGCCATCTCACACGATGGAAACACCCTTCTCCGGGGCTGGTACCCCAAGTATTCCATGCAAAATGGATCTACGGAGCCGGTTGAAAGACATGTTAACTCGCATGCTGTGAAGGCAATCGCCACCGCCGCAGGTGTCGATCTCGATCTGAGCGTCGAGAACCCCAAAGAGAAATGGACAGCCCATGTCCAGTCTCGATCATCTTCGCATAGGCCCCGAGTGTTGGATCTATATGACTCACAGGTGCGAGTGTACCAACGTCCGCCTCTCAGCGATCTCCTGAAAGAAATCGGCTGCACTGCTGCGGATATCGAGTACTCCAAACTGGACCGTTTCCCGGGTACGTCAAACCAGCTTAGCCTCGTTCGCGTACATGACGGAGACAACTGTGCACAGTGTGCCGATGGCCAATTGACGAGCAACCCTGCGGTGGAACTGGGCCACACCTTCCATCTGGGTACGAGGTATAGTGAGGTGCTCCAGGCCTCGGTCTCTGTGAACCAAGCTGTTCTCGACGGATCTGCTGAATCAGGCGCCAAGTCTTCCAAGGAGCAGATTGTTCCGATGCAGATGGGCTGCCACGGAATTGGCGTTTCTCGCTTGATTTCGGCGGTTGCGAACCGTCTAGCAGATCCCAAGGGGTTGAATTGGCCCCGTGCTATCGCACCCTTCGATGTTGCCGTCGTGCCTACGAAGGGGCTGGACTCTGTTGCTGAGAAGATCTACGACAGCCTCACTTCTGTGTCAGTGGATACCCTTCTAGATGATCGGGATAAGGGGATGGGCTGGAAATTGGGTGATGCGGACCTGATTGGATATCCAGTGCTCGTGGTTGTGGGCAATGGGTGGAAGAAGAATCAAACACTGGAAGTACAGTGTCGTCGCCTGGGCGTTAAAGAGGATGTGTCCATGGATAATCTGCCCACATTTGTAGAGGGACTTTTGTCGCAACTCTAACCAGGCGATCTATGGGTAGTCCTGGATATATTGTAACCATTTGTACTATTACTAGCATGTTGATATTAGCCTTGTAAAATAATGAAACCATCTCCTGCTACCTCGGCGCATAGTATCTCCCCGCCTGCTTGTAACTATACAAGCCTGAGGTAGTTAGCCATTAGTTAGTTACTAACTGACAGCTGTTGTGGCAGCTTCCCAGTCAAGGTGCGTGCACATACCAGCCTCTCCCGCAATTACCCCCACAAAACCCATGACACCCATTACGCCCACTATGCCCACGCCCCGCTCCAAGCTCCAATCCGCCAATCCACCCCACCTCACGGGGCGGCTTCTCCGCCCGCATATCAAGTCCGCAAGAAAACTCACAGAACACAACCACCTCACCCAAACAACCTCTTCCACTCCCTCACGCCAACACCCACAATATGGCAGAAGGCGGAGCTCCCCCCAGGCTCAGGTATGCGGCAATCCCATCGTGTCCAATCCAATCCAACCTGCCCGCACTGCAACACCAGCAGCACAGCACAGCACAGCACAGCAAGCACAGCACAGCAAGCACAGCGCATTCTCAAGAACGAAGCAATGCTCTCTCCATCACCCGCTTAGCCTCCATACAAGCCCAATCCAACTCAATCCAATCCCGAAAGCTAACAACCATATTCACCAGTAAACCTCGCAACGTTGAGCGTGCCCCAACTCCGCTCGCTCCAAACACGCCTAACATCCGAACTGGAACACCTAACAACATCACACACGAAGCTGCGCGCCGCACAGGCCAAATTCCGCGACTGCGTGCGCTCCATCACCGATGGTGTCACGGGCTCCAAGGAGAAGGGCACTGAGGGTCGTGAGGATATTCTCGTCCCGCTCACCAGCTCGTTGTATGTCAAGGGCCGATTGACGGATCGGGAGAAGGTTCTCGTTGATGTTGGTACTGGGTTTTATATTGAGAAGACTCCACCCAAGGCCATTGCTTTCTACGACGACAAGGTCAAGGGTTTGGATGCCAATCTGCAGGAACTGGAGAAGATTGTTTCTGGGAAGAGTCAGCAGCTGCGTGTTGTTGAGGAGGGTGAGTTTTTGTTTAGTTTTTTTGGAATTTGATTTTCTTGGACGGTTGCTAATCTGATATCAATAATACAGTCCTCCGACAGAAGCTGCTTGCTGGTGAAGCGCCCGCACAGCCGGCTGCGGCGAGCGCGTAATGATTGACACCCGGGGAAATGAAAAAGACCAGGCAGTAAAGTATTGGAATAAGAATAAAAATCAATTCGAAAGATGAGAATAGAGAAGACTCGAAGTTACTCGTTTGTTTTTGCCTCCTTCAAGCCATCATAATGTAAAATATGATTTGGAAGGAGAAGATCAACTAGTTGGCCGGCCTCGTCCTACTCATCCTCTCAGCATGAGACCCACCGCTTCAAGTCTTGATCAGAACAATGTCCCAAGCTCGGAGTCTAAAACCCCAGCCAGGTCTCCATTTCCCTCATCACTGTCTCCTGATTGCGGCATTGGGCCGAGTATCTCGGAAATCTTCTTGACAATCTTTAAAAAGTCATGAAAGTCGCTCACGCGTGGGAAAAGTGAACCAAGCCCTAACTTATCCAGCCTTTTTTTCTTGTCATTAAGTAGGTTATTCCATCGCGGAGATGTGACGCAAGCGCCCCATTGGATGCTGGGCGGCGTCCACCGCGTACGACCTGTCAAAGAGTATTGAGATTCTTCAAACCGGCCCACTTCCAGCACGTAGTCTGTGCCTGTAACTTTAAACTGGATGGCGGTCTTTTGAATTAGCTTCGAAATCAATGCAGTGTCCGAGAACATGACCCTCCGTCTCGGTTGTGAGCTGATTGGGGCTGCACCGCGGAAGGGATCAAGCTTCACGTTATTTGCAAACTCAATCTGAGCTTCACTGAGATCTTCTTTGGCTAATGGCTCCAAGAAATCTAGTCCGATCTCCCAGTCGGCCCTATAGACAGTCAATATGCTATGGGAATTAGAACGCGGCAATGGTCATACCTGTCGAAATCGATCATAGCAAGTTGAAGCGGTGGCAGGCGTGTAGCCCCTGTTGGCGTCTTGAACCAGCGGTATTGAGCCGATCCGGATTCAATCGCGCTATGGTCCTGGTTGAAATTGACGTCCAAGCGGAAAGTGGTTGTTGATTTTTCAGCGCGTGCAAATTCGAAGCTCGCTGAGTGCAGAGTTCTCATTGTGTCGGGGCTTAGTCCTGCGTTGGGGATGCCTTTTGCTGTTCCCATGGGAAGGAGGGTATCCTGGGCTTGCAAGCATCGCCTGAGGAGGTTGGCTTGGCTAAGGCTGAGGCTATATATCGCAATTAGATACTGCTATTTCGTCCTATCGAACATTGTGAACTTACCCTGGTACGAGACGCCCTTGCCATTTTTCATCTCGAAGCATTTCTGGGAATTTATGTAGCGGATAGCTGGCTGAGCCGCCTGGAGTTTTCCATCGGCTCACTATGAAAGTCCCGAATTTGACTCTGACGCCAACCTGGGCATCAACGTATTTGATCAGGCTCAGGCATCGGTCAAGATGGCTGCGAATGAGGTTATGATTGACTGCTTGAACACCTGACATGAGATTCTCGACGGATGGAGCAGCTGCCTTGTGTTTATTCCTTTCGGTTTGTAGGGGTTGAAGTTGATTGTTTGGATCTTTTTGGAGAGTCGGCTGGTGAATTCCATTGGACTTTGAGATGACAACTTTGTCTTCTGGTTCGGTGGTCACTGGGGGGTTCGACCATGTATGCCTTGATCTGAAGCTTGAGTCTAGCGTACTTCTCAGTGTAGAACTCACGGAGAATTTGAACCATTTCCTTTCGATCGAAGCTTTGATCACTGGCCACACAGAGATAATTATTGAGATCATGCTGGATGTAGATATGGACCCGCCAGGTTTTTCGCAGAGAATCCAGGTCTTCAAGATCTGCACCAAAGCAACTTTTCATAGTCAGGCCATCTTCGGGAGGCCAGTGAAACATCAGCTTGAATAAGAATGGGGAGTTAGCAGAATATTCCTCCCATGCCCGGTTTATGGTTTGCCCTACCTTGCAATTGACCTCATGAGGTGGGGGTTCCTTTCGTCTCGCTATCACCGAGTCGGGGATGCGTGGGCGCTGAATAATGGTCGCGATATTTTGCGTCACCGGGACATTGCGTTCCGTTGCGGGTAAATTGCGTCTCTCAGCGGGACCAGAAGGAGCCCTGGGGGAAATTCGAGGCGGTCCTGCTCTTGGCTTCCCACGTTGACGAGGGCTTTGTGGTTGGGGTCTGTTGGCGAATCCCGACCTGTCCGAGCTTCCGCGCTTTACGGGGGCCGAGGGCCGAGTTGTATTCTGCAGCGGTTGAATTTTGGGAGGGTTTAATCCTGGTTGAACTTGTGTCTTGCTTGAAATTTGCTGCATCGGAGGCTTTGGTGGTAAGGGTTGTGGCGCTTGAGGGTTGGGAGGCGGGCCGTAGCCTGGGAGATTCCACCCTGGTTAAATGTCAGCATATTCTCCTAAAGCGCACATGTTGTTTGAAGAAAGGTGAGATGAGACAAAGAAGATAGCGTCTTACCTTTTGCTGCTTCTCTTTCGAAGCTGAAGATGTTAGTTAGCACTGAATGCTGATAATATATGTTTGGGATGGATGTTAGTCACTTACTCCATGTTCCGAGTGGAAAGTTGAAAATCTGTAACTGGATCAGGCTCACCTAGGTGTGTACCCGAATCTTCCAGGGAATCTAAGTTGCTGTGAAATAGAAGAGATGATAGAGGAGAAGTGAAGAAACTTGAAGGTGGAAGGAGGCGGAAGGAGGGAGTGGTGGTAAACAAGGAAGGAGGTTAAGAGGAGGAAGGAGCCTCCGGGGGGTTGTGACTGCCTTTGGTATTGAATTGTTCTTTCCTTGTGAGTGTGGTTGACTTGTGATTGGAACTGAAGAATAGTTTGGCTCATTCAATAAAAAAATTGAGATAAAAAGGAGATGAATGGGGGAGGTGCCTGCTGCTGTGCTTACCCGGGATAGTGAAGATGGTGAGGTTGTGAGGTTGGATCGGTTTAGACCACTGATATGAATAACTCCAGGATCCATAATGCTACCCAGAGATCTTGCGGGATTCTTCTTATTTCTCCTTATACCCCTGGGCTACGATGGTTTGTTCATTTGTATGTTGTCTATTGTCTACTTTCTAATGTATGTTATTAGTGTAGTTATACAGTCCGCTGCCGCTATACTTGGTCTTGGCACGCTAACCGTATCGGGAGTAAAGTGGACAAGCGCGTCGCGCCGCCGATTTTCCTGCGCCCTTGAGAGCTTCCCCGGAGACATTCACCCATTGCATACACACCATCCTCTTACAATGGCAAGCGATGCACGCCACTCGAGTGAATCGGAGCACGAGCCACGTCCCGCTGCCCGCAAGCGCACCCAAAAATGGATGACCAAAGGTGCTTTGGTCCGTGAGGACTCCGACGACGAACTGGGTGACGAGGACCACCCCTGGGATTGGATTTTCGATGCGGAGCCCGAGCTCAATGGTGATTCTGAAGTAAAGAATGCCAGTCCTACAAAATCCAACCGGCGACGATCCTCTCGCCCGGCGCAGAAGAAGCGGACAATCATCGGAGCGAAGATGGGCAGCTTCGAATGTCGATTGGGCCAGATTGTGCTTCTGAAGTCGCCCGAGGCAGGAAAGGACTGGGTGGGAATCATTACGGAATTCGTTGAGGAAGACGACGAGGAGCAGGAAGGCGAGGTCATCAAAAACGCCAACATCATGTGGTTTGCTGGACCCGACGAGTTTTTGTCTACTAGGAACAAGCAACGAACCGATGCCCTGCCCAACGAACAGTACCTGACAGCCGATTTTAACCTTAATCCCCTGAATTCAATCAATGGTAGAGCTACCGTCATGTCGAAGCAGGCTTTCTTCGCGAGATACCCGAACGGAGTCGCCCCGAAGAACAAGGCTGAGTTGCTTGAATACAATAAGTGCATCGTGTGCCGCCGCGGTGTCAATCAAGTGCAAGGTCGATACACGGAGGAATTTGTTTGGGAGGAGGTTTATGATGAGAATAATATTCTCAAGCTGATCAACCTTGTTAAAGAAGGTCTGAAAGCAGCCCGGAAGCGCAAGACAACCGACAGCGAGGTGAGAAGCACTTGGAAGATATCTGCCAATGTTTTGACGCTAATTCAATTATCAGTATACCGAGACCAAAGAGGAGACTGCAGCTCCCACTACTCCTAGAAAGCGACAGAGACTGGCCCCTGGTGGGACACCACAGTCGCAACGCAAGAAGGCACTTACGACACCAACTCATAAACGGTACTGTTTTCCGGTATATTGGACTTCCATGAGGCGAATCAACTAACATCGAATCAGAATTGTTGTCAAGAAACCCTTGGAGTTCACGCCGCTGGGAACGCGTGTCCTCTCACCCACCCATTTCGCCTCCCCGTATCGCCAAGCACGTACATTGCTACATGTTTCCACCGTTCCAGATTCCCTTCCCTGCCGAAAGACCGAGTTCAACCAAGTGTACAACCATCTCAGTGCGGCAATCATGGAGGGCACGGGTGCCTGTATCTACATCTCAGGCACACCGGGTACAGGAAAGACAGCCACCGTCCGCGAAGTCGTTGCGCAACTCAATGGCGCTGTCATGGCAGAGGAAATGGACGACTTTATCTTCGTCGAAATCAACGGGATGAAAGTGACAGACCCCCACCAATCCTACTCTCTCCTCTGGGAAGCATTGAAAGGCGACCGAGTATCCCCTTCCCACGCACTAGACCTCCTGGAGAACGAATTCTCCAATCCCTCTCCACGAAGAGTATCCTGCGTTGTCCTCATGGACGAACTCGACCAACTGGTAACAAAGAACCAATCCGTCATGTACAACTTTTTCAACTGGCCCGCCCTGCGCCACTCACGACTCATCGTCCTAGCCGTCGCAAACACAATGGATCTCCCCGAGCGAACCCTGAGCAACAAGATCTCCAGCCGTCTCGGTCTAACCAGAATCACATTCCCAGGCTACCGTCACACAGACTTGATGGAAATCATCAGCACTCGCCTGGCAAGCGTACCGGGAAACATCGTCGACCCAGACGCCATCCAGTTCGCAAGCCGTAAAGTTGCCGCCGTCAGCGGTGACGCCCGCCGCGCATTGGATATCTGCCGCCGCGCCGTCGAAATAGCAGAACAAGACGCCGACGAAGCGGAAGCTGCCGCTGCCGCGACAAAAGATGAGGAGGATTCTACGCCCGCGACCCCCAGCAAAACACCCGCACGAGTCGACAAGGCAAACCAAAAACCTTCCGTGTCATTCGCCGCAGACCCCGCTGCGCCCAAACCAGCACCAGCCAAGGGCCAACCTGGTCGCGTCACTATCGCAACTATCAAACAAGCCATCCAAGAAGCAACCTCCACACCCCTCCAACAATCTCTCCGTGGCCTCCCACTCTCAGGAAAACTCTTCCTCGCCGCGCTCCTAGCCCGCGTCCAACGCACCGGTATCACCGAGTCAACATTCGGCGACGTCCTCGACGAAGCCCGCCGCATTGCAGACGCGGCTGTAGCTGTGGCCGGTGCAGCAGGTGCAGGCGTGAAGGATTTCCTTCTTAGCGGCGGGGCAGCCGGGGCTCGCGTGCGAGCTTTGGGATTTGCGGCTATGGAGCTGATGAATTCGGGCGTTTTGGCGCTGGAGCAGGGGACGGGATCGAAAAGTGTGCTTGGTGGGTCTACGATTCCGACTCGTGGTGATCGGAGTAGTAAGGTCAGGTTGAGGGTTGCGGCGGAGGATGTTCGGTCTGCTTTTCGGGAGGATGGGGAGGCTAAGGGATTTGGGTTGGGGATTGAGCAGTGAGTTTGGTGGGTGAACTCGAGAGCTGTGTATGATCATTTGTGACATTGTGGGAAGTGATACTTGTGGTGCATTATGGGAGTTTTGTTCTTGTTGGTAGTTATTCTACTTGTTTTCGTTGCTGCCACTAGCATGAGGGCTTGCGGTGGTTAATTGCATACTATGATACCCTTATTCAGAAGGATCCTAATCTGGATACCTAGCAGGTATGTAGTAGCTACTACTAGATGTCTTTGTGCAGATACTCAAGTTCCTGATCCAGTAGAATGACAACTTCTTCTGAAGATTGTATATAGTAGTACTTGTACATGAGATATAATTCTTTTGATCCATTTTCCGTAAACAATTCCGCAATGCCCTGGACTGAATCCCCCAGGGCAATGTACAAACCCCGCTAAACTCCACATAGTGCCGTATAGGAAAGGACATGACGAAAATGAGACCAAGCAGGTAGGCAGGTAGGAAAGAAGGGTATTAAATGAGACTCGACTCTGAACAAAAAGCGGTATATAAGGGACTGGCGCCAACGTAGCGCAAGCTCTCTAATACCGAGTTCGACCTAGAGTAGGAGCCCACGCGACGGGGTGAGTCTCAGGCGTGGCATTTTCATCCTGCTTCCACACCTTAATAGTCTTATCCGCCTCACCGGTAATGAGACGAAGACCAGTCTTATCAAATGTCGACGCCATAATACCCGTCTCAGCATCGAGGGAACCAGGTTGGGCCACCGTATCAATGGATTGGAACTGGTGACCAGTCTTCCAGTCCCAGAAGCCCATGGAGCCATTATCGCCGCCGGAGAACATGACGTTTTCATCATTGACCGCGAGCGAGTTGATGACAGCGTTTTGGCCTTCAAAGTTCTGCATGAACGCGCCCTCGGGACACTTCCATTGCTTGATGCTACCAGTGCTGGCACTGGCAAAGGTGAATTCAGTCGGGTGGGTCGCAAGCGCACGAACACCCTTCTTGTGGTGCGTCAACACACCCATCGATTTACCAGCGGCAAGATCCCACAACCGCACTGTCGCATCCAGCGAGCCGGAAATAACTTGCGGATCCGCTTCCTGGCACTTGATATCCGCGACTGTGCCCTTGTGTCCCGCCAAAACGTGGACGTTGCTTCGAGTACGCATGTCCCAAACACGACACACGCCATCGCGGCCACCCGTCACGAGCAGGTCGAGATTTGGGTGTAGAGCAAGCGTGTAAACACCGCTCAGATGGCCGTGGTAGTGGCGAATAACCTTGTTCGTCTCCAAATCCCAGCATTTCACCATCTTATCCTCTCCGCACGAAAACAGATACGGGTGTCGCGGCGACACCGCTAGTCCGCGCACCGTCGAGATGTGGCCCGTCAGCGTAAGTCGGAGGTTTCCAGTCGCCATATTCCAGATTTTGATCGTGCGATCGCCTGCTCCACTTGCGAACCATTGGTTATTAGGTTCGACGGCCAGTGCCCGCACCCAGCCCAGATGGCCGGAAATCACACGCATGAGTTTCCACGGCGCGTGCCACTCTGGCGGTTGTTGCTTGGTTGCTGAGGGTCTGGCGATCAGACTCTTTGGCTGATCCTCGCTGCCTCCTGCTAGACCTGCGCTGCCGCCTGCTCCGGGCGCTGGTCGCTTGACGAGCGACATTGATGCTCCGCTCTTGTCTCCGGAGGCTTGGGCTTGGGCTTGTTGCGCGGATTGAATCTTGGGACGCTTGCTGCGGATGCTTGCCGCCTGGGCTTGTTTTGCTGCCAGGACTGGGGGTAGTTCCTTCACATGCTCATATTCTGCTTTCCGTCGGTAGGAGACGCCGATCGAACCGTCTGTCGTGGTGGAGGGTGCGACCATCAGGTATTCTGAGCCGAAGAGGTCTGCGGTTCTCTTGGCGGAGGCACGGACAGCCTCTTCGGCTGATTGGGAGGGTGCAAAGTCCATAATGTGCGAGGGATTGGTGGAGAGGTGGGTGAAGGGTTTAAGATCGTGCGGTTCTGGCGCGATAGCTCCTAGGTCATGCGCGTGGTAAAAACCCTGCGCCGGTTCGCAAGTTGACTTGAGTGATCTGGTGGACTCAGCACATCTGGAAGCTCTGGTTTGAGATGGGAATTCGAAGAGTCGAGGGGATATTGGGTTGGGGGGGGGGGGGAAAGGTGTGGGCGATGCGGTGGTCAATTTCGGAAGGAATTGAACAAAGTGAAGGTTGAAGTTCTGGTCCGCTTCCGCCTGACCTTTCAGGCACAACGAATCCTACCTTATGATCACCTTCAGCTTATCGCAGCTCTTATCGACTCTCCCTCCTCTCAGCAAGTGGAAATCGTCATGGATCCCAACCAAACTGCCAAATTCCCTCTGCATGAGGCTGCCCGGGAGGGTCGGAGTAAGTAGAAGTACCTTGAGTATTGTGGGCTTTGATTTATTAAGATATTTGGAACAGATCAGGTTGTCGAGTCCCTTCTCAACGTGAGCTGATCCCCATAGAACTGCCCTGCCCCGCAGGAAACCCACCACTGATAGCTACCATCCATCTACGAGTTATACAATTGCTGACGAAGGTTCCAGGCCAATCCCAAGTCTGCATTTGTGAAAGACGAAGATGATCGCCTTCCTATTCACTGGGCTGTGGCCTATAACCATATGCCCGTCGTGGAGCTGCTTGTCTCCATGAAGAACTTTGATCCCGATGTTGAGGTACGTATCTCATTCAGCAGAAACAGCTTATCTCCCCCGTCTTTGTAAATTAGATACTGACTTACGGGTTGATAGGATGGCTCCGGTTGGACCCCCCCTGATGATTGCGGCCAGTCTCAAGGATGCCGGGGGCGATCAAATCCTCGAGCTCCTACTGCGTAAAGGTGCCGAAGTATCCGTGAAAAGCAATTCGGGACAGGTAAGCCATCCCTGTACCTTCATGGATAATTTATTTCTCGGAATCTGACGAACTTCTTAGAATGCGTTGCACTTTGCAAGTTCCAAAGCCAACATTTCCATTGTGCGAATCCTGATCGCCAACAAATGCAGTGCTCGCGTTAAGGATATCCGCGGTCAACTACCCCTACACCGAGCGGCCGCCGTAGGATCTGTCCCTATCCTGCAGATCCTTTTAGAGGAAGGAAAAAGTCCCGTCAACGCGACGGACGGGGATGGCATGACAGCTCTTCACCAAGCCATTTCCGAGGGCCACGGCCCTGCTGCAATTTTCCTACTCAAGTCCGGCGCCGATGCCGAGAAGAGAGATGGCGACGGAAAATTGGCAATTGAACTGGTTCCAGATGACAAGGTATGTGTGATCTAATTATTTATTCCGTGTGTACCCGGAGTAATAATTTGCGGCAATGGCTAATTCTTCATTTCCTTGCCCCACAGGTTAAGCAGTATATTCTGCAAACTGCCGAACGGGAGGGGATTGAGCTACCTTAAATGAATTTTTATACTATTTTTTTTCACGCTCAATCTGGCCTGGATGCATAAAAGATTCGTCAGCTTATACTCGGCACTACCTCGGCGGCCGGCTTCTTCCCCGCATTTCACGCGTTTCGCCCCCGCTGCCGAAGTTGAATGGCATCCATAGATTCCACTGCTTAGATGTAGGGTGTTTTTGGTCCATGTACGAAATCCTCGAGGCTCGCTGTCCCATAGGACCATAGCTGGTAAATGAATTGATTCATTGCAGTCGGGTGGGAATTAGAACATCTCATGTGGCGCGGTCACGGTAGTATGTTTGCCAATCGTTAGTTAGCGCTGGACTAAATATGCAGCTGCAGCCGCTACAGCGGAGTCTTCAGCCACGATGAATGGGTCGCTTGAACTTGTCATAAAATTAGAAAAAGAGGGGTCCCTCGGTAAATAAGTCCTGAGATACCATCTGGACCGACGCTGGAGTCTGTCCCACATAATCCATGGATATTGCACAACTCCGTCTGCCCCGTCCTCATTTCAGTGAGTACCAGTCACTAAAATGTCTTTGCCAGGAAGTACACGTTTGCCTGTCGGCAACAAGGATTTTACAAATGCCACGGTAGTCATTATAGGTGCCGGGATCTCAGGTAAGATAGTATCTCCCTCCGAAACTACCGCTTGCTAACGTCGCCTCGAGGGCTGTGTATGGCCATTGACCTCATCAAGCGAAACAAATGTTACAACTTTGTGATCTTGGAGAAGAGCAGCAGTGTAGGAGGAACTTGGCATGACAACAAATATCCAGGTTGTTGTTGTGACGGTTGGTCGCCCACCCATGTTTCCCACGTCCACGAACAGCATTGTTGACACCGTCCAGTATGGAGCTCCCTTTACAGCTATTCATTTGAGCAAAACTCCAGGTGGAGTAGAGAGTATCCAGGACAGGAAGAAATTCATGTATCACCCTCTATTGCTCCTTGTGAAAGTCCCATTGAGATATTCGGACTAATCATCTCTCCTATCTTTAGGCCTATCTCGTTCGCATCGCCGAGAAGTACGGTCTCTACAAGCACATTCGATTCAACTCTACGGTCGAAGAAGCGCGATGGAATGACGCAGAGTCAAAATGGAAAGTTTCTGTTCAAGTTTCTGGGCAAAAGGATAGCGAGTTCGGCAACTCCTACATCATCAACTCCGATTTCTTGATCTCCGCGGTCGGCCAGCTGAATCTTCCACGCGAGCCCGACATCCCCGGATTGAAGGAATTCCAGGGCAAGATGATGCACTCTGCCCGTTGGGACTGGAGCTACGATCTGAAGGGGAAGAGAATCGCCATTATTGGCAACGGTACGCACGTAATGTCAAGAAGAAATGGTTTTACAGAGCGCGCGCTAATTACCAGTCCCAGGTGCAACGGCTGCCCAAATCATCCCTGAAATCGCCAAAGAAGCATCTCATCTTACCGTATTCCAGCGGACTCCAAATTGGGTGATCCCTCGCGGCGACGCTCCAGTCTCGGCGCTTCAACAGGCCCTGTTAACATACCTCCCACCACTTCGCTGGCGTAAGCGAGCACTACAAATGGATTTCCGAGAAGGGTTCCACGACGCCATCTTCGACGGAGACTCGGACTTCGCTCAGTTAATCCGCGATTGGTGCACCGGTTTGATGAAAACTCAACTGGCCGACCAGCCCGAGCTGTGGGAGACTTTGACACCGACGTATTCGCCGGGATGTAAGAGAGTCATCATCACTGATGACTATTACCCCACACTGGCTCGAGAAAACGTTAACCTGGAAACTCGACCGATCACCAGAATCATGGAAAATGGAATCGAAGTCGAAAGGGCTGGTGAGCAGGAATATGATCTTATTGTGCTTGCCACCGGTTTCAAGACTGTGGACTTCATGTACCCCATCCAGGTCTATGGTTCTGGAGGTCGCGCTCTGGGTGATATCTGGAATGGTGGTGCGAAGGCCTACTACGGCATGACCGTTGAGGATTTGCCTAATTTTGGCATGTTTTATGGACCTAACACGAATCTTGGTGAGTAGATGGATGTTTCCGATATTGTATAAGATACTACATTGGTAATTCCACCTTGCTGACAAGTCCAGGGCATAACTCTATTATTCTGATGATCGAGGCTCAATCGCGTTATCTAAATGCGATGGTTGGTGAGGTTATTCGGGCACGGCAGCAGGGACTTACCCTAGCTTTTAAACCGAAGCCCGATGTTTTGGAAGAGTACAATGGTCGTATACAAAAGTTACTTAGGGCCAGTAGCTTTGCCGATCCTAATTGTAACAGCTGGTACAAGCAAGACGATGGAAATATTACCAACAATTGGTCCGGGACTGTCATTGATTATCAGCAGAACCTATCCCAGGTCCAGTGGGAGGACTACATTGCGGAGGGCTCTGGCAAATATGTCGTCGTCGACAAAAAGCCTTCCCGTCTCGGACGGGTTCGTGAAGAAACACTATTCAGCGATACCTCTCTGCTCATTGGAGCTGCTAGCATCCTGGCAGCAGCTGGGGGGTACCTTCTGGTTCGGCTTCGACTTACGAAGGCGCGATAGAACTTGGCCCATATACATTGATTCTGGAGGGGTTGGGTTTTGTTGCATGTTTTCATGAAATTAGTAGCCTTCCAGCAATGAACTTGATTTCTTCCTTTGCTTCTCATAGCTCTAGGCGTTTAGAACTCATGGCAGATTTTGAACGCCCTCGTGCTCTTCGTATTTCAAGGATGTCCTGATAAGCCTCGTCTGCTGTAAATTCAACAGGTCTGCTTTTCCGAAGCGAATTGCCATTGTGATCTAGCGCTTCCGCCACGACTAGCAGCTCTCCATGGTTCGTGAATGCGGTGGGAAAAATAGTTGCTTCAAGGCGAGTCTCGAAGCCAGATCGTTGAACTGAGCTCAGGAAATGATTTTCTCCAGACTGTTTATCGATGAGATAGAACTTCCAGGTCTTTGTCTCTGTGTCTCCATTCCACGAGACCCACACAACCGCATCTTTTTCTCCGGATCTCAATGCTAGTACTGCAGGCTCCTCACTCGGAAAGGCGGTCCAATTTGCCTTAAAACCGCGATAGCTTTGGACATTCTTGTTCGGGTACGAGTCGAGATACGCATGGAAGAGGATAGTCCCGTCATCCGCAAACTCAGTGAGAGCACCCGCGCTCCCCCAGTTAGCCAGCTTATTGCCATTTGGTAAAAATCTGAAGCTTCCCTGAGTATGCGCAATCAAGTTGTCGGGTGCATGGTAGGTTTGTATTTCTTTCAATGATTTCGCGGTATTGTTGAGTTCAATATGTCGGCCTCTTGAACACGGAGCTATTTCTCGTCCTGGAACAGAGTAAGCCGCATTGTCGAAGAAGGATATATGTTCAATTTCCCCGTTTGGTGATCTATATTGAAAGCGAGCGTCGTGTTGGAAGGCAAACTCCAGGTTTGATGGAATTTTGAAAGTGGACCCTTTCATTCCACCGAGTTGCCAGATTATACCGCCGTTGCTGCCGTTTATTTTGAATATGGCGTTGTAGTGCCTTGCTGAAACTAGATAGTCTCCTTCAGAGTCTTTGTCAATGCTGTTGATGTGGAAATAATTCCACGCGGAATTGTAAGTGCGGCCGTCGTATGTGCCCTTTCTATCCAATGGGATGGCGCTGTCTATTTTCGTTAGAGCCGAATAGAAAAAGGAATATTATAAACTGGAAGAGATCAACTCACAAATCGGGTTGATTCTTCCCCTAGATGACCACTCGAAAATCGGCTCGCCAGTCTTTAAATCCATTTCTATATTTTCTATTAGCCGAGAACAGCTCGCCGGGAAATAGCTCACCTTGAAATCCGCCCTCCAGCAGGAACTTCTGGTCTTTATTTCCACCGTATGAGCTCAAGTCAGCAACTGTCATAATCGGCGTCTCGATCAAAACGGAACTTTCGTTGACCACCTCGAATTCATGCGCCGAGCTGAGACGATGTGTCGCTGCGTGTATCACACTGATAGTTCGGTATGAATTTGCCAAGAGCGCATGATTTCCAAGCATCCGGCCAGTAGCAGGAAACACATCACCCTGAAAAGCACGAAGAGTTGGCTTCCCATTGACAATACTGGGACTGAAATCGGCCACCCATCCGGCCCAGTATCCCACCCCTGACCAAACCAGTTCTCCATTGTCGCGAAAGATATAAGCGCCTGGCTGGTCAGGGCCAGCGCTATCGGGAGTATTTCCCCGAGCTGCTGTAAAGAAGAGATAGCCTGCCTCGGTTTGAGGTGAAGCCGGTACTGTGATGTTCAACCTCGGTGGCGACAAGTCTGGTCTGGAGAGGAATTGTAGGCTCCCCGAGACGCAGTGAGTGACAGCAATTAACCAGGCGAGATTCTTCAAGGCCATTGATTCTGGATCTGGGAATTTGATTTTTGTTTGCACTTCTCTTGGGATAAATTCGTGGCGTTATTCGTGGGCGGGGAAAAGAGAGGCAAGTCAATATTGAGTGGGCGAATGTCTGAGGGGGTGGAGATCGACGGAGCGTTCCGATGCTGCACGATCCTATAGTTTCGGACTCTAGAGTCGCACAACGATCGATCAATCCCATCAGGGGGCTATTTATTTCTTTTACGGGGCAAATATGCGCTGCACCCTCTAGGATAATGAATAAGATCCGGCTTGGTCATATTGAGAAAGATATTCATTAATGATACCTGGTTGATCTGTGCTTCCTACGGTCTAAATCTTTGAATTTGCTCCGCAGAGAGATTCTCTGATAGTCTAACAGTACGTATAAACCTACGTTATCATAGCTCGTTGGGAAATTACATTTGACTTCGGAATTTCATTATGTGTTTCGACAATAATCATACAATGGACAAAGTAAAGGAAGTTCAGGTCCGAATCGATCAGGTACACAGTGACTTCTTTCTGGAGCCGCCAGAAGAGCCTGTGGTAGAGCCCTTGCTTGCGATCCCCTAGAGAGAGATCTGCTTCTTCTGCGAGATGGAAATAATCAGCGAGAAAGTTCGAGAACTCATCCCTTGCGCCTTGCTTCAGGCTCTCGTACTCCTGGCGAGCTGTCAGCTTGCGGTTGGGATCCTGGAAGGTCTCTGACAGGTATTGCATCAGTTTATGGAATCCCATAGTTAGGTGGACTATCGGATCGCTTCCTCAGTACCGTCTTAAGAAACAGGAGAGCCCCCGGGATTGAAATCCACGCGACATACGTTGCAATGACAAGCTTGTGAGCCGATTCTGTGCCTTTATCTGGGAGATTCACGAGTCGTACATTGCCCGTTTCAGCGATAAGTTGTGCAAGGTGAGGCCAGTAATCCCTGTCGGCTTTCTCAACTTCACGATAAAGAACTTTAATTTAGCTCTTCAACTTGGAAATTTCCTTGCGGCGATCTTTCTTTTCGCGGATCTCGAGGCAATTCCTGACAGGAGAAGTTTCTACCACTTGGAGCTATATTAGGTCAAGGATCTCGCATGGCACCTTAGTACCAACGGCTATAATACAATTATCGAGGGCAATAAGATCGATCGACAGCTTTGCTTTCAGAATGGTAAGATAGATGATGAGAATTGGCGCCGTGTGTCTACCGCATATTTTGACGATGTAATATCTTGGCTATCATAAGCTGAACAAGAGCTCTCTGTCTAGAGATGGGGTGGCGCATATTTCAATCAATCATCTGCCACATTATGTGCTCGGATACCTAAGGGCATCACGGCGACTTTCTTCTGGGGATATCCGAGTCTATATTATTCTAAATATGTTCCAATCTCTAGACGACCATCACCGTACTGGCTATAAAGAAGAATATGTAAAGTGGAGGTATAAGGAAGCTACTAGTACGTGCTAGTACCTGCCAAAGAAAAGAAAAGTAGATGTGCCAGAGGGCTGCACTGGTTTGAGGCATGGACATAAACTGGAGTGTCATTTCCTCAGAAATTCATGGGAATAGATAGGAGCCTGTGAATCTTGGTCGGTAGTAGGAGTAGTAGAGGTAAAATTGCATCAACTCATACAGTCGTGCTGAAGAGCCAAAGAAGGCCTCAAACTTGGACTGCTGATCTTTGACTTGTTTCCTTTCGCGCCCGACTGCTTGGAATGCTTCATCGTGGACTGATAAATTACTTTCTTCCATCATGTTGATTTCTGGGTGTAATGCAAGGCGGAGAAGAGTATAGCTATAAACAGAAACAGTCGCGGTAGGGACGACTGGCCGTGGGCAACCGTCCACACAGTGGATTTCATCGACCTACAACATTCAGTCATGCTTGTCTCGCGCCATCTGCTCAGAAGTGAGAGGCAGCGGACCGATCCGTAAGATTGCTTCGCAATCATCCCCCGACTGTATTGCGTGTAGCAGTCCAGTTGCCTCATTCCTTGGAATTCGGCTGTGCCTATATCTTCCACGTGGCCTGCGGTATATGTAAGCTTTAGATCAATGCATAGCATTTCAGAGGGTGGAATCATGGCCATTGGGCTATATCCTACCCTCATTAGAATCTCCGTCGTCCGACTTGACACGGGGTGCCACTGCTTGGAGCCATGTCACAAAACAGACTCTTCAGTTCCTCCATCGCCTCCTTATCATCTGTGAGCTTTTCTGGACCGCATTGCTTAAAATAGAGCTCACAATATCGAGGACGCTCATACAATGGTTTGCCACATGGCTCATCACTGCCCTTCGTCCGGCTTGCACTACACTTCATCTGGCCTTCATCCGGGCGTAGACAAAAGTACACCAAAAACACATCAAAGTGATGCCGTGCATGGCAAGGTGGGCGTCGTAATATGAGCCCAATGTTGAGAGGAAGAGAAACGGGCGCATACTTTTCTGACAATATACTATTTCCTGGGTTATGAGGACTCGGAACTGAACAAAAGCCTTACATCCAGGGATTTGACGACATATACTTGCTCCACGGGCCATATTATCTGTTATAATAAACTGCATGAGGGCTCTTGGAAAGGAACAGCCTAGGGTGAATATTTTGAATCTGTTCCTTGTAATCCAGTTTAGATCACCATTCACACACCGGCTATTACCTGGTATATAAAAGAATATATAGAGTGCCCAGGTGGAGATAGAGGATATTTTGGAACGATGATTAGTGTAAGATGCTTAGTGACGGGTGCGGAACAAGATGGGATGAAACTGGATGATGATAGATGGTGATAATGATGGAGGGAAAAGCCCTCGGAGCAATAGCTACTACTACTACTACTACTACTACTACTACTACTACTACAAAGGACAAACGTAACATGAAAGCCACAAAGCAGTGTGGGATAAAAAAGCCGCAGGCCTGAGGCCCTAGGGCTTCAGTAATGTTAAACAAAAGGATAGTAGATGTACACAAGGGCTCCTTTGACCTCTGGCACGGATACAAACAAGAATGTCGTTTCATTAGCAAATGCAAGGCTTTAGCGCCTTCCAATCAATGAAGGTGATGGGGCAATCTTACGAACGATGGAGGAAGTATAAAATTGCGTAATGTATTCAAAGTTATCATAATTGGGGTTATGCAAGCAGATGTATTTCAATAATTTCAGCATCACCCTCCTAGAATCACCCCATATTCGACAAAACCATCACCGTTTTTCATTCGCATTGTATGCATCGTTCAATTTTCGGTTACCGGATCTGGTATGGGGATAGGCCCACCCGGAGAATCCGCTAACCTCGCTGTCAGAACCTCAACGCCTGTTTCCGTTACAAGCATAGTATGTTCTATAATCATTGGAATTAGTATTGAAAACCTTGCACCAGGCTTGAAGGCTCTCGACTCACCGAATTGCGCCGTCCGTTTTCCGTCCGCTGTAACGTTTGTCCAGTTATCCGGCCAATCCATTTCTCGATTTGTGCCTAGTGTAAGAATAGGCTCAATGGTGAAGGTCATCCCAGGTTTGCATGTTCCAACGGCCTTGTTTTTCGCATAGTGGGGGATCCAGGGAGGAGGGTGGAATTCCGAGTTGATGCCGTGACCACCCCAAGTTTTGACAACGGCGAGACCCCTGGAATTTGCGTGCTTTTCGATGATTTTCCCGAATTCCCGAATGGGGGTTCCGGGTTTGATAATTGCAATGGCCATGTCCAAGGCTTCCCGCGTTGTTTCAATGAGTCGAATCGCATCTGGGTCTGCTTTGGCCTTGTCGCCTATGTAATAGGTTTCGTTCAAATCGGCATGGTATCCGCCGTGGTAGATAGAGATATCCAGATTGAGAATATCGCCATCAAGAAGGACTCTCTGGTCGGGAATGCCATGGCATACAATCTCATTTGGGGATGTACATAGTGACTTCGGGAAGTGATGGTAGTTGAGTGGAGAAGGGTAGGACTATTTCCCGCATTAGTGAAGAATATTTGTTTAATTGGCTAGAAGACACTCACTTGTCGCTCAACACAAGCATTGTGACAGACCTCGTCCAGGAAGTCGGTAGTCACGCCAGGTTTCATAGCTGCGGCGGTGATGTCTAGGACCTCACGTGCCAGCTTGCACACCTTGCGCATGGCTTCTTGTCCCTCGGCATCCAAGAAGTCCCATTTCGACTTGCTTAGCCGAAGTTCTCGCTTGGGAATTCCAGTCTCGGCCCAGTCGGGGTGCTTGATCGATTTCGGAACGGGGCGTCGTGGAGACAGTGGGTATACGGGTCGGACACTGCCGCTGAATGGGTATGTTGGAAATGGGTTGTAAAGCCCACTAGCTGTCAAGCGGTCAGTGAAAGAGTCAAAGTCGAAATACAAAATACATGACAATCGAATAATATGTTCAATATTTACCATTTTTTGTCTTGTGGATCGCCTTGTGAGTAGCCTGGATACAGTCAATGCCCAGTTCTCTATTCAAAGAAATGTATATGAACGTATAACTTACCCAGTTCCTTTTGAAGCAATCCTGAGCGCAAAAGTAACTGCCTTTGATATCTAGCTTTAGACATGTCGGACATTGCAACGTCCCAGCTTTGTTATCGCAATCATCCCCGGAGCACTTTTTTTCCGGGTCGGACATGGAAGGCAGTTTTGGATAGATTTTGACTCCTGCGATTCAAAAAAAAGAGACCAAAAGACTTCTTTACAATCAAGCCAAATTATCCACAAACAAGCGGAGTGAAAACGAAGCAGTCAATGGAGTTGGATAAGTTGGTGGTGCAATCAAAGTTGAAGATTTCCTCGTCAGCCTGGCCACGTGACATCTGGCCCCCGTTGATTGTATTGCCAAGACTATTCTTGTATAAGCTGGGTTGTCATGTTTTAATGATTTTTTTTTTTCCTCTGAAGCCTCAAGGGATACTATTTAGACCGTAGTCTGTCAATTCACCTCTCTTTCCTCCTACTATTCCCTCCCATGCCTGGAAGTTTCGTGACGAATTCATTACATCCGATGGGCAGTCCATCAAACTAATCTGATGTTGATGTAGTTATCACGCATAGGTACTACACCTGACATTGACACAATCTCACACTCGCTGGCAGGTGGCACTTTCGGTCAAATATCCATGGATGTCAATTCCATATAGAGTGGCTCGTGCCAAGATTGACAGCCCGGCCTATTCTCCTGTCATTTTACTTAGGAGTCCTGTCGTTGGCTTACTGATATCACATCATGCTGTGACCGTCACTGCAAGGGCCCGTCCGCCCAGACCCGCAGTTTCTAGTCCCAGCCACCTCACTACGAGTACTTGTGCTAGCCCATCGAATCGGCTCGGGTATCCAGATATCGTCAAATGGACCCGCCCTGTCATCTCCGGCAATGGAGGGATGTCTGTGGAATGGCGCGGGCCCATCACAACGCGCCCTTCGGAAGATATTGAGATTCGTGATCCAGGCTAGTAGGGTCTAATCCCCTCTCTGCCCCTGATAAAGTCATCCTATAGTATCAGTGTCTATGTAGTATTCAAATTTTAGCTTGATGCACGTTGAGGGGGGTTGATGCAACATAAAAGAACGCGGGGGTGATCGACAGGGGCGTGCATGCCGGGGGAGGTGAGCCACGAACGCGCCAGGCACCACAAGGGACTAAAGGGTGAGAGTTGACTTGACTTGAAATACCAGCCCAGCCCCAATCCCTCGTGCAAAGAATATCCGACTGGTTTCACATCATTAGGACCATGTTGTCGCCGTTGATTTTGTCGCTCGTTTTGGCCAGCAGTCGCGGGCTGGTCGATGCTGCCTCCAACGCGGTTGAAGACTACGATGTACTGCAGTACATTAACCCACTGATCGGCAGTGCCAACGGAGGTAAGCACAAAGATTTTAAGGCTAGGGTCCCGAGTATCCATAATTGCAATATCTAACCGAAAGGAATAGGAAATGTCTTCGCGGGTGCCACACTACCATACGGCATGGCCAAGGCCGTTGCTGATACCGACTCAGAATCAAACCAGGGCGGCTTCGCCTACGAGAACAGCAATATCACCGGGTTTTCGAGCATGCATGACTCCGGTACTGGTGGCAGCCCCTCTCTCGGCAACTTTCCTCTCTTTCCTTACGCAAAATGCAATGGCGATGATGCCAACGGCTGTGTCTTTCCGAAGAAGGCTAGAAAGACTCCATACAAACATGATTCGGTCAAGTCAAGCCCTGGATATTTCAGCATCGAGCTAGCCTCCGGTGTCCGGGCGGAGATGACTGCTGCTCATCATACTTCACTCTTTCGTTTTCATTTCCCTCCCAACGCCGATGACAGTCCGCTGCTTCTATTAGATCTTTCAGATCTGTCAGATACACGACAAGACAATGCGACTATATCAATCGACCAGTCTAGCGGGCGCATGACGGGTAGCGCCAAGTTTCTTCCAAGCTTTGGCAGTGGATCTTATAAGCTGCACTTTTGCGCGGATTTTCAGAGTTCCGGCTGGTTGCGCGATAGTGGCATCTTTGTCAATACTCGCGCTAGCAATGATGTTCATGATCTCACAATTTCGCGCAGTATCAACGGGTACCCTCTTCCGGTAAGGAAATCTTTTGCAAATTATCTTGTATCGGCTCAGTGCTAACTGGGCAGGGTGGTGGATTTATTCGCTTTCAAAACCCACCTGATGGAATTGTCAATGCTCGCGTCGGTGTCAGCTTCATGAGTCCCGAACAGGCTTGCTCGCATGCGGAGTCGGAGATTCCAAAATTTAACTTCCAGACCACAAAGCAGAATGCCATTGCTCAATGGGAGGAAAAAATGAAGCCCATTCGCGTTTCGCGCGATGGTATCAAATCGGATGTTCTCACCAACTTCTACAGTGGAATTTACCGTACGATGGTGAATCCCCAGAACTACACTGGCGAGAACCCTCTGTGGACAAGCTCGGAGCCGTACTTCGATTCTTTTTACTGGTTTGTCTCTTTTCAATCTCTGCAAAACACATACTGACTCTGGTTAGTCTTTGGGATTCTTTCCGATCGCAGATTCCATTTCTCACAATATTCGATCCGAACTCCGTCACTCAAATGGTGCGCTCATTGATTGATACCCAGCGCCACCTCGGGTGGCTTCCGGACTGCCGGATGTCGCTATGCAAAGGTGTGTACTGCAACAGGATTAAATACCTCAATGTATTAATCATCTCCCAGGTTTCACACAAGGTGGATCAAATGCCGATAATATCCTCGTCGATGCCTTTATCAAGGGACTGGACGACGAAATTGATTGGGAAGCCGGATATGCTGCTGTCCAAAAGGACGCCGAGGTTGAACCATTTGATTGGTCCAATGAAGGCCGCGGAGGCTTGAAAAGTTGGAAGGAGGTCAATTACATCCCCGTGGAGGACTTTGACTATGAGGGTTTCGGGACCATGACACGGAGTATCTCCCGCACCCTGGAGTACTCCTACAACGATTTCGCCATCGCGCAAATGGCCCGAGCTATGAACAAGACCCAAGATGCCACGCGTTATGAGAACAACTCTCGATTCTGGAAGAATCTGTTCAAAGATGATCAGACTTCATATCTCAATGGTACCGACACAGGGTTCACCGGGTTCTTCCAGCCCAAGTACTATAATGGCACTTGGGGACATCAGGATCCACTCCAGTGTTCGAACATCGATACAGCTGGAAGCATTTGTTCGCTTCAAAACACCGCTGGGGAAACCTTCGAGTCGAGCATTTGGGAGTATCAGTTGTAAGTTGCCATTTTTGTTTTCCTTTGAGATGGATCCCTCTAATATTTTCATCAGCTTCGTTCCCCATGATATGAAGACACTTATCAAGATGCTTGGCGGCGAAAACAACTTCGTTCGGCGCCTGGATTACTTACACGATCGAAATATAACCTACATCGGCAACGAGCCTGCCTTCCTTACAGTATTCCAATATCATTATGCCGGTCGCCCAGCCAAATCAACCGCACGTGCTCGTACCTACATTCCAGATTACTTCTCTCCGACGCCAGCGGGACTTCCAGGAAACGACGACTCCGGTGCAATGGGCTCCTTTGTCGCGATGTCCATGATGGGACTTTTCCCGAATCCCGGCCAGAGTGTTTATCTGATCACGGTTCCCTTCTTCAAATCAGTCAGCATTAAGTCGCCTCTTACAGGGAAGACGGCTACCGTGCAGGTTACGAATTGGGATAAATTCAACTCGCTCAACAATACTGGGGGCACTGGGGGCACTGGCTTCATTCAGTCGGCCTACCTGGACGGGAAGCCTTACACGCGCAGCTGGCTTGATCATGATTTCTTCACAGAGGGGAAAGAGTTGGTTCTTACTTTGAGTGGACAGGAGAGTAAGTGGGGAACAGCCCCCGAAGACCGGCCTCCCTCTTTAGAAGAGTCTTCGTCTGAGATTCAAGATCGTGAATGGAGGGCCTTAGATGAGGAAGCCACTGAGCCTGTGCCTCTACTCAGCTCGGCTAGAAAGCACTACGCTAGGCACAGTGTGCATTTTGAGCACCATGCTCGCTTTGCAAAGGAGTGGTAGTCACTAGCAAGACTTGTACATTGATACTCATTCATAGCTACCTAATCCATCCAAATCATGCCATCCGTTTCCCTTGCCCAAGCTTCTTCAACGATATGGATAAAACTATCATCCACTCCTAGGCTTCGTCTGCGATTCCTCGGGCTCCTTGGATCCCCACCAGCCTAATTCTGATTCTGATTCCAATCGCGTTGCCCGGGGGAAGCGCGACGTCAGAGGCGACGTCAGCACCCGCCGAATACTTGGAGTTCTGGCAACTCGCGCGGGTGAGGTAACTGGAAGCGATGATAAATTAATTTCTCGTCTCTTTATTTGCTTGAGATAATCAGCCTGTCATATCATAGATGAAAGATATGAACAAATTACCTGGATTTCGTTCATCGACAGTGGCACCATTGCGCAGCAGTAGCTGACCAACTCTAGGTTTCCGATTTCAGCTGCCATATATAGCGCCGTATAGCCTGAGATGTTACGTGCTGAAACATCTGCGTCATGATTGATAAGAAACTTCGCGACATCAATGTGCCCATTCCGGCACGCTTGCATCAGAGGTGTGGCACTATTCCTATCCGGCCCGTTCATATCGTGGTGACGAGCTATCAGCTCCTGGACAATACCCCCGTGTCTATTGGCTGCGGCGATGAATAGCGGACTGGGTGCTTTTTCCTGGCTGGAATTCATTCTTGATGTTGTTCGGATTTACTCTTGAGGGAAGGGATTGTACACTCTTATATCTTTTATTTGAGAAGAGGAGATTGGCGTTTGGAAGAGAGAGTGTGTAGACTTTCATATCTTCTATTTGAGAAGAGGGCTTTACTCATGTATTCCAACTTGAAGGCTTTGATGGCCTCTTTCAGTCTATTTTGGCCCGGAAGGCTGCGTCCTTGATTCTCGTATTGCATTGATGTATGCACGGTAAGAAATGTCATTCTCCGCCTGAGGCCTTAGATCTGAAAGAAAGGCTCATTTTAAATCCACTTTGCATTTATCTTTTCGATCCATTTCCCCCTTTTCTGGCGCGCAGCATGTAGTGGTTTTTTAATACTATTGCAGAGATAGTACTAGTAGTACAATGAGACCAAAACATGAGAAGTGACGGGTGTCATTTGGTATATAATTCATTTGATACTGCTTGGGGCTCGCCCCGGACCTGCCCGGAGATACCTCGCAATCGACTTAAGTGAAAGCATAGAATACTGGAGACCTGGGTGTCTGGAGTTGGTCCGATTGGGGACGCTTTATAGACCGGGGTGATTGAACAATAAGAAGCTACTACTGTAACAAACCTTCAGTATCCAGATTAAATTAGATCGTCAATGCCCTGTGGAAGACGGCCTTGAAGGCAAAATTATCGCTACCTAGCTTCTCGTTAAGGAAAATGCGTCTTTCTATGGCTCTAAAGTATGCTTTGGGGTCAATGGAGAACATTGGTGATTTGGATGCGGTCACGGCATGCAATGTTCCATCAAAAGCGTCGCAGTCAAAAATGACGTGGATTTTAGAAAGACAACATACAGCGAAAACTACACGCACAGAGCGAGTCGAGTCAAGTTGTGGAATTGGTCCAAACTCCCAGCGACCGCTACATCATGATTTTATCCATCATGATGGCCAGGTGGATGAAACATGTCAAGCGCTCTTAGAAGGAGATTGTTGATAGGTGAAGCCTCCGGTATCCAATATAGCCCTCCCTACAGCCTCGGTCTCTCCTAGATAGACCTAGTCATTCGAATGCATCCACCAATTTCATAATGGCGATATAGAGTAGTGGGTGTGCGGATTTGAGCGCCCTGCGGGTTTCGTGAGTGTGGGTCTTCAAGTGCGGATTTCAGTGAATCCCGCAGTGCTGTACCCACAAAAATAAAGGGCCTTGGGAATATAAATGAAGCACTAGATGTCTTCAACTTCTCTGATTCATGTGTTATACGACTAGTAAAAACAAGCTTCAAATTTCTAGTATCTCCAACGGTCTCACTGAAAATTTTCACATGCGTGCGCCTTTACCATCGGAAATATACCCTCGCGCTACATAAACACTCTTCACAATGTCCTCCAACGAGGCTATGTCCGAGTCCTCGGACAGGCAAAAAATACACGGCAAAATTCCAGGTCACGAACACGATGCCAAAGATATAGCACCCTCATTATCGGAGAAGGCTAAACAGGACGTTACCGCTGAAGAGAAGGTGAATGTGACTCTTAATGTGGAACAGGAGAACCAGTGGGCGACCGGGTACAAATTGTTCAACATCATTGGCGCTCTCGGCCTTGTATGCCTCCTTATGCTCCTAGACACCTCAATAATTTCAACGGTGCGTAATTTCAGAAATGCCAGAAGGGGTTTCTCGCTAATTAATTTAACGCAGGCGGTCCCTCGCATCACGAGTGAATTCAATTCCCTGCCTGATGTTGGTTGGTATGGAAGCGCCTATCAGCTAGCAAGGTATGTTTATCAAGATAATTATGTTTTTAACCTCGCTGACCTTTCCAGTGCAGCTATTCAGCCCCTTACAGGAAGAATCTATATGAACCTCAGTACAAAGGTCAACCACCCTTCGATTTCCCTATTCAACTCCTTCCCCTCCTTTACTGACTCATATTGAAATAGTGGACTTTTCTCGGTTTCTTCTTTGTTTTTGAGTTTGGATCTCTAATATGCGGTGTTGCCACATCATCAAAAATGCTGATTGTTGGGCGAGCAATTGCTGGAATCGGAGGCTCGGGCATTTTAAATGGCGCCTTCACGATTATCGCCGCATGTGTGCCCTTATCCAGGCGCCCAACAATCATCGGCCTTGTTATGGGAGGTAGTATTTACATCCATCACGTTTCTAAGGAGCATATACTGATTTTTTAAAAGTTTCACAGGTCGGTTTATCGGCTGGGCCATTGATTGGGGGCGCGTTGACTGAATATACCACTTGGCGATGGTGTAAGTTTAGCCCAAATATATATTCCTGCTCATCTAACGATAGCCCTGGAGGACTACAGGTTTTTATATCAATCTCCCGGTTGGTGGCTTTGTCGCAGTTATGTTTGCTTTTGTCGACATCCCAGAAATTGTTCCGAAACAGAAATTTGCCATCGCTATTCGCGCATTGCCTGGCCAGCTGGATCTTCTGGGATTCGCCCTCTTTGCATCTTCAGCAATCCAACTCTTACTGGCCCTTCAATACGGTGGAAATCAGTTCACCTGGAGTAGCTCGCGAATCATCGGTCTTTTTTGCGGAGCCGGGGCAACCTTTCTCGCCTTTCTATTCTGGGATTACAAACAGGGAGAGAAAGCTATGATCCCATTTTCTATGATTCGAAAACGCATCATATGGTCAAGCAGTCTATCCTACGGGTTTTTGTTGAGCCAAGTCTTTTGTGTTTCATGGTATCTCCCTCAGTACTTCCAAGGAGTCAAAAATGCAAGCCCTCTGATGAGTGGTGTTGATATTCTTCCGAGTATTCTTGCTCATTTTTGTGTCGCTACTATCTCCGGCAAAATTAGTAAGTTTTGTTATAATTATGTTGCTGGTGGGTACAGCTCACTGACAACTTCACCAGTCGAAAGACTCGGCTACTATTTGCCGATCATCCTTACCTCAGCCTCTCTGATGGCTGTGGGTAATGGTTTACTGTCGACGCTATCCCCTCATACTTCACCAGGGGAATGGATCGGATATCAAATACTTCTTGGGGCTACTCGTGCTCTTGGGTTGCAGGTGGTGAGTCCAACAGCTTCAAATATAACCAAACTCTGGACTAATTTCTATTCAAGCCGATAATTGCTATCCAGCACGTTCTTCCAGACCCTCAGATTCCTGTTGCAACGGCACTGGCTATGTTCAGTCAACTGTTCACCGGGGCGCTTTTCCTGAGCTTCTCAGATACCATATTTACCAACAGTCTCTCATCACTGCTTCCAAAATACGCGCCTTCTGTGGACCCGAAGACAATCATCAATGCGGGTGCTACTGGATTCCGGTCTTACGTCTCTGGGCAGGAACTTGCAGGGGTAATTGCAGCTTATGCCGAAAGCGTTGATCGAGTATTTTATCTAACGACAGGAATTGCTTGTGGTTGCTTTTTCTTCTCGTGCTTCATGGGCTGGAAAGATATCCGACCAAAAGATAGTTTCAAAGGCTTGATTCTAGCTGATACACTTGGAGGAAATGTTTAGGCTTGGCGTTCTCTGGTAGGGGCTTGACTGAATCCCTATTTGTAACCTCTGATTTGTTTGACGCACGTCAAGATTTTTTTTTATAGAATTCGGACAGTTGGGATTGACCGTTCTTGCTCACAGGTGAATTTACTACGCTTGAATATAGATCGCATCATTTTCTGTAATGAGATTAATTAATATTGCTGCCATTCATAGTTTTACCGATATCTTTATGTCATCGGCTATAACTATTTAAAAAGTGAGATTTTCTGTAGAGATGAGAAAATATGGGCTCAAACAATGCTCAATAATCTTTGTATTCGTAAATAGCATTCATCGTCTCATTATTGACCGCTTGTCAAAAACTAAGTACATCAAAAAGCATGGTAACACGGCCACAATCAATGGTGATGCCTGTGACCACTTCGATCACGGTGGTGATGACCACTTGAGGAATGCGAATGTTTGCTATCGTGAGAGTCACGAGCCCTTGATATTTCGTTGGCAGCTATTGCGCCCAAAGCACCAGCGCCTACTGTACGAGCAAGATGCCCGAATCCCTGGCTGACATCTTCACCTTCTTTTTTGCGATGACGGTGAACGGCTTCGGCCACTCCGGCTGCTGCTATGGCTCCTTCGACTAGGTGCCGATCATGATGCGGATCGCGATGTTTTTGATGGTCGTCCTTCCGGTGGTGGTGAGCATGCTTTGTATGGCTTCCAGAGTGATGACTATGCCCACTATGGTGACTACCGTGGTGATGGCCAGTGTGATGATGATCACCGTGTCTCCTGGCTATTTCGCCTCCTGAGTGAGGCATATAGTGGTCTGAATAGTAGTCTCGTGGATAGTCGGACTGCATTGTTGTGCAGTGGGTGGGCGCTGGAGATGTGTCTTGGCAAAGGCAATAAAATGTTCAACTGACAAATTTGGAATTTGCTGGCAGTGGCCGATCCTTTAAATACTGAGCCCAACTAATTCCAGTCTCAATTGTGGGCATTTCCTCGCCATTCCATGATATCATTCTCCACTAGACTAGTTTACTAGTGGAACTTTGAGGTTGAACTTGACTTTTCCGAATTATGATGCCTTCACTTGTAACATTTTTTGTTCAAGTAGAGTTCACTTACTGGAGAGTCAAATCGTCGATTTATTCTATGATAAATCATACTATCTCATCCCTGTGGAGGGAGATGCAGAATTTTACGCCTTGAAACAGAGTCAACAGAGTATAGATGCAATGTATAGATCGACGAGCTCCACGTGATTTGTAATGGGTCCATGGGAAGATAGAATATCCGGCCCGATGTCCGATAAGGCATGAGTCCATCCCATTGTTGGTCAGGGTGCCCCGGGCTGGGGCAGGAAGCTCCCCCTACGATACTATCTAAGCAAACCTTTTCTTTTGCTATGTATATGAATACGCCGGTCCCATTAAGGTCATCGGCTGCATATGGCTACTCTTGCTCAAACTGCGCTCACTCTAAGCGAAAATGCATTGTTCGCGCCGCAGGCGAGCCCTGTCAGAGGTACATCCCACCGGTTCACCTTGACTGTAGAAACGTGGAGACTGATCGAACCAGATGCCACAAAACAAACAAAGAATGTATACCAGCGAAAACGGTCCGAAGGAGTGGTGTGAGAAAGCCCGCTACATCTCACGCAACGCGACCCGAAAAAATGAAATCTGGGGGCCAAAACAACGCTACAATCTCTCAAGTCATCAATGCCACAGAAACCTGCTCAGTCATTGACAGCAACCAAAATAGTGGAATGTTACTCGATTCTGAAGAGAGCTCCGTGTTAAACTCGCTCCATGAAAATCAAACGAACGCAAGTACCCCGGCTACAAGTTACTCCATGAGCTCGTTTTGTATAGTCGATATATCCTCTCATGAGTCCGAAAAATGCCTTGATGATTTCCGAGTATTCAAGCTGCAATATTTTCCATTTGTTCATATACCGATAGACATGACTGCTGTGCAACTCCAAAAAGAGCGACCGTTTCTATGGCTTTGCATTGTGTCAATTAGTACCAAGTCGACCGCTCGCCAGAAAGCCCTTGGCTACAAAGTTCGACAAACAGTAGCCCAAATTATGTTACTTGAATCCGAAAAAAGCATCGATCTTCTATTGGGGCTTTTGACGTTTCTTGGCTGGTAAGAAAATGACCTCAGCGGGTTAGAAGAAAATGGTCTGATTTCAGAACAACAGGGGAAATTACCATTTCCATGGAAAGCCATTTCTATCTGTCTTCACACATCTTGCGACATCCCTGGTTTTTGAACTTGGTCTCCAAAAACCTGTCCAAGCGCCACCACCGATCTTTAATCTGAACGCTTGCCCGATAGCCTCCGGGCATCGTACTATGGAGGAGCATCGAGCGGCACTCGGCTACTTCTTGATAATATCAGTGTATGCTTCAACATTATTAAAGCCAGGAAGTGACAAAATTAACCTATGTCTAACAGACTTTCTTCAATTGTTCCAGAGATTGAGGCATTTCGTTGGACACCCCTTATGGAAGAGTCATTCCGAATCTTAGAAGAACGGGAGGAAGTTCCCAACGACAAGATTCTGGTTCAGCTAGTTCAAATGCAACTAGTCTTGGAAAAGAATAAATCTAGACAGACATCGGGTGATTCTGCACCTGGACATGTGGACCCGCCCGAAGACCAGGTGAAATTGTTTTCGGACATGAAAACCAAGATATTTGATTCTGCACCTCAAGATGGTACTTTTCTTCCTCTTCCTTCTTTCACCTACCTCCAAGACCATACCTTTTCTTCATTTTGTATGACTATCTGATGCTGATTCAAGCCCAAGTCATTCTGCTGCATCTCTATAACAACGAACTCGAGATTGCTGTTTCATTCATTTCCTTCAACTCTCACGAAATCACGCCATCTCACCATCTCAAAGCGACCGTCTCTACATAGCTTTTACATCAGCTCAGGCATGGCTCGATATTTTATTTATGATACCTCCGGCTGAATATGTTGGATTCACATTTGCCATATTCGCCCAAATCTCCCGCTGTCTGCTAATACTTTATCGAATTGCAACCCTTGGCTCTCCGGCCTGGTATGAGGATCATCTTTTGAAGACAACCAACCCCCTCTCCCTCCTCAATCGAATCATTAACAGCTTAGAGCAAGTTCCCATCATTGCCGGGCTCGACAGTCATGAAGACCTCGATGGAGATGTCTTTTCTCGATCGGCCAAACTTCTTCGGTCCTTTCAGCCCGAATGGGAGGCGAAACTTGGCTCCGATCATATTATTTCCGATATATCTTCTATGCAAAATGTGGATTGGATGGACTTTTCGGGCGATTTCGGCGATGATATTATGTACAATGGGTGGTTCATGGATCTCATGTCTTCTACCTTTTGACTATAGTTTGCTTTATTTGACCTCAGAGATTGAATAACGTGGCTTGTTGAATTTTGAATTTTAAAGGGAAAGAGACACGAATAGTGGTGATCGAATGGAAGAGATAGAGCGCGAAGCTATCGAGGACCATGGAAACCACGCACGACCTCGATGCCTGAGACGCCCACAACGCAACGCCAAATGATATTTCTGACGTTAGGATGGTTATATACATTTTTTTTTTTAGAAAAAAATAATTTTTTTATTTAATTCATTTGGCCAAGGTGTAGTTAGAAATAGATATGTGCTGCCTAGGGGCCAAAGTAACCTTGGAAGTCCACACGGCCCGGGTAAGTGGGGGGGAAGGGGGCGGTCATCATGTTATCCTTCCAAGGTTCCAAGCTTGACACATACACATGTTCTGTTCTATTACACTACACCTGCTGGTGCTTCTTTCAATTAACTCAAGAGAGCAATACTACCAGACACCAAATGCAAGAGCAGGAGCAGGAGCAGCCCCAAGTCAAGGTCCTCACCACCCCCGAACTCCTTGAGATCATTCTCCTCCACCTCGACATTCGCACACTCCTCGTCTCGGCCCAGCGAGTATGCCAAACCTGGAAAGTCCTCATTCAGACCTCGCCTGCAATCCAACAAGCACTCTTCTTCCGGTCGGCCACACCAAACCCTAACTCGAAAAAGGCAAAATTGCATGGGCATGCAAAATCAATTTGGAACTCTCTCCTTTCATCCCCCCGAAAAAGGACACAATCTCAGGGCAAGGAAGTATGAATGAAGAGGAATCCCCATGCACACAACCCATCTACAATCCGCTCTTGGTACAATCCTTCTCGCCATTCTTTCCCCCAGTCTATGAAGGGAATTTGACGGCGAACGAGGAGAGACAGACGAGCCGATTCTCTTTCAAAGACCTTGACATGCTCTCATCTCCTGAAAGGAAAACCGCGTATATGAGAAGAGAAGCCAGCTGGCGAAAGATGCTCCTCCGCCAGCCGCCTGTATATGGAGGCGTCGCCATCTTCAAAATGCACCACAACAGGGGCGGGGACAGATATAAATGTTACCAGGTTTGGCTCTCTTTACCCTTTTCCTAGATCATCACTAAAAGCGCAGCAGGTCTCCCAAAAAAAACTTGGAGTTGATAATGCCCTAAAAATGGGCCACTTTTTCAGGACCCTAATACAAAATTCCGACATCTACTTTGGCCACTTTGGTGAAACGCGCATCTACTGGTCCGCCTACGTCCCGCCCTGCAAGCCCGGCGACAGCTACCCACCGGAAGACGGGTCATTTTATCCAAAGGTTCAAAATGGATTTGCGAACGCGATTAAGAAATCAGAAATTGTCATATTTTCGAGAGAGACGGTTCAGGGTTATTATAATCATGGGGAGGAGACAAAGTTAACCGATGAGGAGAATTTGCGGGAGGAGATTTTTGAAGGAGGAAAGAAATGAGCCCAATAGTAGTCACTCTCTGTGGGCTTGAGGTCATTCGAGAGAGGGGAGAGATGGTGAGGAATTTATTTACTGCAAACGGACAATGATCAGCTAAAACTTCACTTCAAATCAATATTCGCTGTTTCCTAGTATTCGCGCAATGTATCATCCGTACGTATGCAATGATATTTCCAATCTATGTAATGTGTCATATGGACCTGCTTCATGAACGGCGACAGCCCAGCCTCGAGCTATTGGCCCTTTCAGGCCATAACGAGTGGAATTGGGATCATATCTTTGTTGAGGCGTTGGCGCCTGAAGCTCCAGCGGCCTCGGCATCCAGGTTGCCGTGCTTCCATCTCTTTCTCTTCTCCTCGATAGCATCACGAATGCCACCACCTTTTCCCCATTCATCATCTCTAGTTAATGTCTTCAAGCTCTCCATCCTTCGTGATCCTGATGTTATGTTTTACAATAAGATCGGCCCCTGCTGAATATTAGTATCCAATATAGACCGATGGGCGCCAGATGAACTAATTATTTACCTCGGGCGAAAAATGCGATTGAATCTACAACGCAGGAATATTAGCTAGGCTCTGTCTCATTGACTGTATATCAAGCGTACCGGCATTGTCACAGCCTTCGCTGGTTCCCGAAAGTTTCAGACAGTTCTTCCATTCGTATTTATGGTCACTTGCGGGTTTGTTTGGTGATAATTTCTTAGCGGGTACCGTGTGAGTAAACTAAATAGTGTGAGCGTTGTGGCTACTCTGCTAACAGGGTACGGACTTTACCTCGTGAATGATAACATGCAAGAAGTACTGCAAGCTGTCGATGGGCGTGGAATTGGGAAGCCCTGAGTGCAATTTGCCTTTGTTCAGCTTAGATAGCAGTTTTTCAGGGACATCCTTCTTGAAATCGGTGTATCCCGCCACAGCCAAGTACCACGGGCAGAGCTGGATAGAGTTCCTATGATTAGTATTTGAAAAGGTGCTAGTGCAGGCCATGTAAGTTCCCAAGCGGCAGCCTTCATAGCACGATTTGGATCCTTCTGGAAATGTGGCATCGTTTACTGAATCATAAACTTGCGTTACTATTCCATGGCGCGTCAATGTCTTTTTCCCCGGTTGGAAACGATCCAGGTTGCAGTAGATTGTCTTCGTTTGACTCGTGAGTAGCTATTCATGAAAGGTCTGTGTCCACTACTCACCGGATAAATGTTAGGCTCCTCGCCAACTGGTTTGAGGTTTCTTTCCTGTCCCATGCCCATGAAAATATCCTCGAGAGTATTGGGAATATCTTTCTCAGCGAAGAGCATCTTGGCCAGCCGATCAACCTCGTCATCCATGGGCGACTTCCGTATCGCTTCCTTCGCTGTGTCCACCATATCCATAGCCTCCGCAACCTTATCCTTAAGCACGTTCTTGATCGCTATCAAACTCGTCATTGACTGCTGGGGCAAATAATAGAGACGGATTGCGTTTACTCACAGTCGCATGAGCTATCAATTGAATACCCTTGGACAATGGCGGGTAAAACACAAAGGGCCGATGTCAGCAGCATAGCTGCTTTGCGGACTGCCATGGTGTTTTGACGATGGAGATTGGCTTTCCTTGACGAAAAGATCAGATTGTGCTGTTATCCACTGGCTTTTAACTCCCATGGAGTCTACGCTTTATCAATGTATGAGATGATACAGGTACTGCCTTGGCCGCTGTGACCCTCCCTTCCTTTCTTGGTTAATATCGTTGCTGATCTGTCTAGAAAAGTTTCAGGAGAAATTAGGGGATCTATAAAAAGTAAACTGACTAAATTCGTTCATCCTTGGTGTAAACTAGATCGTTCGGATTAGAATGTAGGGTGCTAGGCCAATCGGTCGAATAGCCCCGGGGGCCGCAACTCGGTTATTCACCTCATCCAGCGGGCCAGCGCGATACGCTAAAAGTCACTACTCCGGAGTGAATTTTATTATTCCTTGAGTTAGGGGCCGCTGGGTGTTACATTATTCCTGGTTGCAAGTTCGAGATGGGGTCAGGAGATGGTAATATTGTATGACGGAGCAGATGCTATATTGCTTCTGACAACAGGACCTAGATAAGGTGGAGCCTATTTCATCAAGTAAATCTTGGATAACAAAGCCTATCAAATGATTCATTCCTGGTGTATATACTCAATTGCCTGGTCTCGAATATAAGTCACCACGATCTATGGATGGCAAATGGAATAGGGCCCAACTTAAGTGCTAACCTAATCCAGAAGCCAAGTGCGATTGACATAACCGAGAGGCGCTATTTTACTGTTGGATGTTATGTTATTCCTGGCAGTCGGATCTAGAGAGAGTGGAGTCTAAAATAGGTCTATAAAAAGTAGACCTATTGAAGTAATTCTTTCTTGAGGTATAAATTAAATTGTTTAGTAGAGTTTAAGACGATAGATAGGATAGCCCCGAGCTCGAGTGGCAATACAACATAAAAGGGATTGCCAAGGCATTCCTCGAAAATGCATCTGGGGCTATGAAACAGACCCTAGAGTTATAGCTAAAGAATCGTAGGGTTGGGGCTGGGAGTCCCTGAGTTGGGGCTGGAAGACCCTTAAATAGGGGCCGAAACAGACCACGTTCCTGTGATTGACAAAGATTCTTGCTATAAAGAGTAATTTGAATGCCTTCGGCCCCTAAACACAGTATTGCATGGCCCCAGCGCTTTTACCTTCCAAGTTTGAGGTCCATTTTATCTCAACTTGCCAAGATTAACCTGGCACAGCCATGTTTGAATCTAACTAGAACTCCAAAAATACTTACTGCCACATAGTCTCGGTTAGCGGAAATCCTGGTATGTATTGCCAGCGAGATACCAGTAGGCCCAGGATATAATTCCACAAGGGTTCCCTCGAGGGGACTTCTTTTGGACATCCATTGCGACCATTCCTTCCCAAAATGGCTCGCTTTTCCTTTTTGCTCCTGGTCACGGCCTTGGTTGCCCAAAAGGCAATGGCCTCTCCACGCGGGGTTAGCCCTTCATGCCCCCAGGTACGATTTATCGCCAACCCGCAGCCGCCCACATCTGGATGCCCCGACGAGTATGTCGCCTTGCCTTTCTGAATTCGTCTCGCACTGACCAAGTACCAGAGATGATATGTGGAAGTGTGATAACTTGAACTGCGGCGGAGAAATCTCAGATAAACCTGGGTGGTGCAAAAATATCTTAAAGGTCGCGTGTGACGGGTATTACAATGTTGAGAAAGATAAAGAAAGCATGATGTTCAACGACCGGCGATGCCCATGCAAGTCCAAGAAGGCCCCCGAGTAGGTTGATCCCCGTTCCGCTCGAATACATCTTCCAAAACGTCCGATCTGATCGTGTTGACAGTGGCGGGACCGACGACGATGGCAGCGGCATCATCATCATCCCCTTCCCCATGGCGCCCCCTGGTTTCCTCGTTCCGCCTGCGGGCGTCGGCAACCCAAAGAAAAAGGATAGCTGTCCAAAGGATTACACCAAGACCAAGTGCAAGGACTGCAAAGCGAAGAGTGGCTGGTGTACCGAGGGTCCGCAGATGGGATGTCCTTGTCTTGACGAGTGTCCAACCGGGAAGGACTTACCCGTATGCTCAGATGACGGGTGTGTGGGAGGGGAGGATGACAAGTGCAGCGTAGTAAGTTGTTTGGTGTTTTACCGGGAAGGTGTCGGGATCTAACTTGTTATAGGGTTATCACAAGGACTGCGCGTGCAAGAATGAATGCCCGGATGAAGATACGGTGATCCCGTGCGATGACGACGACATCTGCAAAGGCAAGGATAAAAAATGCACCGTGGTATGTCTCCTTTACTCGGTTATGGCGAAGGAAAAGGGTCAAGAGACGGTGCTGACTGATCTGGTAGGAGAAATATCATGACTGCAAATGCGTATACAGTGGGGAGGCGATCGGGATGTTCGGGAATCTCGGTTGGGTTCACACCAAGCAGCAATATATGAAGGAGGCCCTGGAGGCCGTCGAGAATGCTGACAAGCCAAATTTGGGATCGCGAGCAAACTGTTCCCCTCAGGATAAGAACCATAGCACCATCGTGCGAAAAAAACTTGGTCGAAGCCGCCCGGGGCTACTGCTCCGGCATAGACGGCGATCTGAAACGCACGGAGGATGACCATAAGGGGCCTTATCTCAGCAACAAAAACAAGGGTCAAGACAAATTCTCCATCGGTATTGACTTTAGTGAGAAACAGGGCGGCTGTAAAAAGGCGAAGACCTATGAGCCTTCTTTTGATGACTGCCTCAGCAAATTGACTTCGATTGTGGATGACTGTATGTTCCATGACCCTCCCTTCGAATCTGAATGTGGCTAACAGGTGCAGGTCAAACGGACTCTGGGGACAAGACAGGTGGAAGTCGGATCTGGAGTACTGACTCAGGGTGTATAGAGTACCGTATCATTGTCTATTCGGGCGAATATACACCCTCTTGAACAAAGCGGGGGAAACTATGATCCTCTGCCCTGATCAAGGCGGGATCACATACCTATACGCAGACACAGTATGGTGATAATCGGATAGTTTGATACAGGTCAACTATCAATGATTTCTACTACTTATTGTCAATTGGAATGAGCCCCTTGATCCCAATTCTTTGCGTCCTAGTGCCTGTTCTCGCACCTAATGCTACGTTACTTAACGTACTTTTACCCTATCACATTCCTGAGAATCCTCGTAGAACTTGAAACACCCGTAGAAGTAACTATACATATGACTAGTTTACGGAGTAGTACGCTCAAGCAGACTGTATTTTCCCCACCTTACATATAAGACTGCACTATCGCTAATCTCAAAATGAGTCACAACCTTGCTTATCACTGTTGTACTATATTTCGTAGTTGTTTCTCCCAGACTTTGAGAGTATTGTACTTGAATTGGTCACCCTGATTCCAACTCAGTTCCATTTTACTCTATTTCCGATCGTATCTTTTTCTCCTTGCTACGAACCATAAATTCTAGATGAGTATTTACATTATTTGGAAAGCTAGCTCAATATTCTGAATGTAGATTGGAAGGGTAAAATAGGGCTATCTCAAGGTTCTCCGGGGCTACAATCACAACTCCTTATCGGCAGAGATATTTTCTGGGTGATTTTAGCCTTTTTAGTGAAAATCACGCATAGAAAATTGCGATAGACTAACCTAAACAGCTTAGACATGGCCAACAATCAAAATATCGGGAGATTTTTTCTCTGATGAGGCGATCGTTTGATCAGGCTAGATTAGATTGGTGGCAAAATCTAGACAAAATCTAGACAAAATCCAGGGGTTGTGCCTGTACCTAACCTTTGCTTCCCTCGGCTTTGCTGTGCCGGGCTGTTATTTTTGGTCTCGCCGTCTCGTGACCAAGGGAATCAAACAAAAATTGCAAAAGATCTAACCAGAAGTATATTAGGGGAATGAACAGAATCAAGATAAAAGAATTCTCATTCACCAGTAAATCCAAATATCATCAACATCAGTTCCATTCATTTCCTCCCTCACGTCGGCGCCGGGCCCTATGGCACCAGCAGCAAATTGCCCTACTCCAGCACAAGAGTGACCCCCAAGCTCGATGCAGCGAAAATTGAAAATATTTACCAATCTATGAACAACTCCCAAGAGCAAATCGCAGTCGCACCAAGCTCCTCTAGCCGCTTCAGATGGTTCTCGCGACAGTAAGATCAATCCATTCTTTATTTTATAGTATCTCTTGATCCCCGCTAACTAATGTGCCTAGCTCCACTAAAAAATCCAACCGTCGCGGGAAGCCCGAGTCTACCCAAGTAAGGGTTGTTTCCAAGTTGGCGGGGCCCATGACGAGGTTTTAATATTTAACGACTAATTTTGATGGGAATATGTATAATAGTAGTATATGGGAAATAATTGGAAATTAAACTTGAATAATTCAATAAGTTTTTTTACTTTGAAATCTGGGGAAATACTAGTGACCTCTAGGGCTTTTGTCATGGTAAGCCACAAACAGTACTAGTACAGCCATTGGCAGTGGCAGACTTACTCTCAACTAGTACGGAGTATAGTAGATGAGCCTCAAGATCGCTACCTAATGCATTCCTAGTTTGCATAATGAGTAATGTCTTTGCATAATTCACACCGGTGTGCATTTTCGGTGGTTGCCTACTGCTAGTACTGGTTGATGGGCGATTCAATTTACTAGACGACAAATCAACAGTACCAAGTATCAGATATGTCAGTGAACACCGTTACTATCTATACTACTAGCACTACCTCACTGACATGCCAGTGCCCACTAAAATTGATTATTTGAATAAACACTAAAACTACTACTTGTGATAAGCTGTAACCATATAACTAAGAAGAATTAATCTACAATTTCGGGCAACCATCCCTTCCGCCGCGAGATGCCGAGGTAAACCTTGCGGTGTCCACTCTTTCCCTTCTCAACCTTTGCCTCCCAACAACTTGACTGGTAGAGACTCGGAGTCTTGTCTTGTCTAGGCAGATCGTTCTGGAACAATGCGGCCTCCACCTTCTTCATTCTTCTCTTCCTCCGACCTCCTTCTCTTCCCCCGATCCAAGCCTTCATCGCGACTCCTGACTCAACGTCTCTCGCTAACATCTCCGCGACACCTCGGACAACCGTTTACTCGCCGGACATACTCTACAGGTAAGATGGAGCATATCTAATTTCTACATCGCAACACTCACAATCGATCCACTGATCTCCACTGATAACAACCTCACTAATGAATTGTCAATCGCAGAACCAACCGCCCCCGTCCATCCGTCATCATCACCACCTCCTCCTCCTCCTCCCCGATCGCGTCTCCGCCGAATCGCAGGCTTCACGACCATCGCCATCCTCGCATTTACCGCAGGCCTAACCTACCAAACCAGCAAAACAGTCTCGCTCCTCATGGCCGCACCACCCGCAACCGCCGACGGTCTCCCCGTCTACACTCCGACGGATGACATCGCCTCCGAGATCAACGAGAAACTCCGCACACACCCCGAAGCCGAGCGCCTACGCGCCAACCCCGACTTCAAAGAAGCCCGCCCCCACCCTGAACATCCCCGAAGCCATGCGCGAGCGCATGCTCACAGCAGGCGCTCTCTCAGGACCGAACAAGATCGTCGTGCCGCCCTACGTCTTCAGTGAGCGCGGCGGCAAGAGCATGGTCAGCCTGATGTATCTTGGTTCCGACGTGTGCGGACACCAGGGCATTGTTCACGGTGGACTGTTGGCTACATTGCTAGATGAGGGTTTTGCGCGGTGCTGCTTTCCCGCAATGCCGAATAAGGTTGGCGTGACAGCGAATCTGAATATTGATTACCGGGCGCCCGCGCTGGTGAATAATTACTTTGCGCTGCGGGCGGAGACGGTTCGTCAAGAGGGGAGAAAGGCTTGGGTTGAGGGTCGCATTGAGACTCTTCCTGAAGATGGGAGTGAACCCGTTGTGCTGGTTGAAGCGAAGGCTTTGTTCATTGAGCCTAAACAGGCGGCGGTAAGTGATGTTCCTTGTTCCTTAGAACCATTCAATGGTTCTGTTCCTCCAATTTCTTCCCCTGGTGGCGGTGCGAGTGGCGAATGCTAATCTGATTCTTCATGTCGATAGGCTATGGCGCATCTGTACCGCGGGGCTACTGACTAGATGGGTAGACTCATTCTTTTTTCCTCTTTATTCTTTTTCATTTTTTATTGTTATTCTGTGTATAGCATGTAGACTAGGAGTATTATGAACATTCTATGGAAACAGACAGAGTAATAAGCCCTACTCGTATTCTCTTAAGGTACTGAGGATATCCACTTTGTATTGCGCAATCCCGCGATCGGCGTCCCGCTTGACGCGGCCCAGTTTCATGCCCCTCCACTTCCACTCCAATTCCCCCTCCTTCACCTTCTTCACCTTTTTTCTCCATTCGAATTCCTATTCCTCCTCACTCACACACATCTTCCTCACAATGGCTACGTAAGTACTCCATATTATATATCGACACCCCCAGATATACTGTATACCATGCAATATACTAACAAACCCCAGCAACATCACCTTCCACGCCGCAGGCCTCACCCGCACCGAGCGCGAGAACGAGCGCAACCAGCGCGGTCTGACAATCTGGCTCACCGGCCTCTCAGCCTCCGGCAAGTCCACCATCGCCGTCGAGCTCGAGCGCCAACTCCTCCGCACCCGTAATGTTCACGCCTACCGTCTGGATGGCGACAACATCCGCTTCGGCCTGAACAAGGACCTCGGATTCAGCGAGGCCGACCGCAACGAGAACATCCGCCGCATCGGCGAAGTGGCCAAGCTCTTCGCTGACTCTGCCTCCATTGCTATCACCTCGTTCATCTCCCCCTACCAGAAGGACCGTGACTCTGCGCGCGCCCTGCACGAGACTCCCACCCCCGGCGAGACTGCTGGTCTGCCCTTCGTCGAGGTCTACGTTGATGTCCCCGTTGAGATTGCTGAGCAGCGTGATCCTAAGGGTCTTTACAAGAAGGCTCGTGAGGGTGTGATCAAGGAGTTCACTGGTATTAGTGCGCCTTATGAGGCGCCTGCCAACCCTGAGGTGCATGTTAAGAATGTCGATATTTCTTTGCAGCAGGCTGTTGATCAGATTATTAACTACCTGGATTCCAAGGGATATCTTCCTCCTAAGAAGGAGTAAGGGTGATATGACCTTGAATTGCATGGATGGGAAAAGAAAAGAATTTTGTGAGGACGCTGTACAGTGTGAATCAATGTTGAGGTGAAGTCTTTCTTCTTTCTAGATTCCCCGCAGACTGGCGCTGTATATATCGAAGATAGATCAAATTGCTTTGGGACATTGCTTTGAAAGACAGATTTGAATGATTATTAGTAGGACTCTAGTTTCAAGAGAATTAATGGTTGTTGATCATTGAACACTGCCAACCACTCTTAACATAGTACAGCCTTCTTACACCCCATCCTTTCTCAAGAACTCCCGTCGCCCTTTGCTGCTACTAGTACAAACTCGTTGGCCCTTTGTCCACAACACGCAAAGTATTCATTCTCCGCCTGATTCATCAACGCCTAATACCGTTGCGCCTTACAAAACCAAGCGCCGTGGGGATATGGAAAGAATCGTAGTTCATGCGCCATGTTCTCCAGATATAAGGTGAATGCAGCTTAAAGAACATGATTGAGAGAGCATTGAGCATTCACATCCAAGTTAAGCAAGTTACCCTATCGGAATACTCGTCAGTTCATCCAATGTCCCTGAAACTGTTCAATTGTACGTTATACGGGTAAAGGGGCCATACCTGCGAAGCGGCTTCATGAGAGCAACAGTAAACATCGCCACCGGCACAACTTTTCCCAAGCGCCCCAGGCAAGACGTTACCCAGAGTGATTAGACCAGTGCCTTCTCCTTTGCATACAACGCTTTGGCCGCTAGCGCAGACCTTGCCAGTCTCTTTGTCACAGGTATCGCAGGGCTCGCCGGGCTGTCCGGCCAAGGCGACCGTGGCGAATGCGAGGAGAACTTGAATCATAGAAGTCTTCATGATGGAGGATGATGGATGCAACGAATAGTTAGATCGAGAGTCAGAAGGAGACTTGGAAAGATGAGTAATTTCAGACGATATTTGAAACTTATGTTCCAAGGTTTTAGATAGTAATCATTGCGCATAGGCAACAACACTACTATATATACTCCAGGGCTACTGAGGAGGGCCGTAGGAAAATGTAACCTGATGGAACTTCCAAAGTTTTTGATAAAATTCCAAGGATAGTAACAATTTACGCGTTGAATAACAATGTGAGCGCCCTCGATAAGTGCAGATCGATATCACCAAGCCAATACTACGTGGCAGACGCCAGGCAAGGAGCCCGAAGAATCCAGGCATAAACCTTCGAGTTGGAAAGAATGTACACCGTAGTACTACTACTACTACTAGTACTGTCCAACAGATTGGATTTCTCCGCGTGGCTTGGCTTGGCTTGTGACTCAGTCAGTCTTTTCTTGCTATATCATGTGGATAATCACCTTGCGCTGCCAGGGACCCTTGTTTCGAGTTATTTTCCGATAAATTAGGGTTTGAAAGTTCATCTACTACTATGTAGTCTCTAATATGCCCAGGTAGAAGGCGAAACTGGGCGGGTCTGTATTATTAGTAGCGCGGACAATAGTTCAGTCGAGTAGTAACTATTCATCCATGTCGGAGTGGTACATCAGAACAACCACATAATCTCCCACAACTCTAAGGGCCAACTTGAAGTACAAGATTTGAAAACCAAAAACCTTGGAACCCCAAAAATAAAATTGAAACAAAAAATACATAAAAATAAATGCTAGTCTGTGCTCGATGTACCTGGGTGTGGTATATGTACGCAACGATCTCCACGACAATCGAAGATCCCGAAAGCAAAAGCCAAGTAAGAGAAAAAACGTGAGCGGGCCTGCCCTCATCCCAATCTCATACTCTGACCAGCCGAACTTTTCAATTGAATTCAAATTCGTAGAACACATACGGCGTGTACTCTGCACTGCCCTCGCCTGCCCCGTGCATGTCTTGCGGATCATCCCGTTGCACGCGGCCCTTCTTGTCGCGGCCGAAGGCATTGCCGGCGAGGTAGGAGTACTTATCGTCGAGGTTCTTCTTTGCTTTATCCGCTTGCTTGGAAGAGGGGGTCTAATTGGATGGGTTAGTTTTTAGCTTATCAGGGTGTGGCTTGAACACTGCAGCTGCAGCTGCACACAGAAACGGAGGGGAAGGGGGCGGGGGAAAACGGACCCTAACCAATGCAGAAACAAAGTCCAAAGGCAATCCATATCTCAGGACTGTCTCAACAAAGACCCGGAGAACAAGCACATGAATCCAAACCATAACAGCCTCACTCCAAGCCGTCCTACCAAGACGAAGCGTCTCGCCCCAAACCTTGCGCTCATCACCACCAACACGCTCAACCTCTTTCCGTTCCTCTTCCTTGCCGCCCTCCACGTACTTGAAGTCACGCGGGATCCACTTATTCTCACGGGCCTTGTGCACGAATTCGACGCTGTGCTTCTTGAACGTCGTCACGGCGTACAAGGTGAATTCGTTGTCCGAGGCGACTAGAGACGCAGAGCGCGGGACGACCATTGGTGCGACAGTCTCGTAGTTCTTTAGAAATTCTTTCTCTTGGGAGTTTGGAACCGCGATAAGGTGCGTTTCGATGTACTCTGAGTCTTGGACGACGGTGCGGGGGTCGACGATTGAGGCGAGCGATTTTGTGGAGAGGTTTCCTCTGCGGGATGGTTGGATTAGCGTGGGTTTGGGTTTAGAGTTGGTTTGGGGTTGGATTGCAATTGCGATTTTGGCATTGGTAGACATCTGCTAGCTAGCACAGCGCGACAGAGGGACAGGTCAGGGGGAAACAAACGTTTGTTTGCGCTGCAGGGTTGCCAGCGTGTTCTTGACCTGGTTATATTGCGAGTATTTGAAGCGGATGTCATTGTCGATACTGGCGCCCTCCTGTCAAGACATTCGATTTAGTCAGTATGTGTTCCCTCAATCCCCGTTTCCATTCAAAAAAAAAATTGAGCTGTCCCCTCCCAATATAGTTTGGTTGGGTTCCTCTTGCTCCCTCGCCTGAGGGCATGACATACCTTGTGCAAAAGATCAATCAACTCCGCAAGCGACTTATCCGCGCGATACTTAACCTTATTCCACTGGAATGTTCGAAGATACTGGTCAACCGGTTCTAAATGACAATCACAACCACGCGGTTAGCTTGACCTGGCCACCTGTTTTGCTCCGCTCCGCTCTGCCTAGCTGCCAGCTGCGCACCTGGAGGGGAAAGGAAAGGAATCAACATACTGTCATTAACAACCATCATCCTCTCGATCTGCGCCTCATCACCATCGAGAATATTCCTCAACGCATCCGCAACCTTAGCAACAACACCCTGGCACTGGCTCTCAAGCTTAGCCAGTTCATCCGCCTGCTGGACGAGGGCGTCGAGGGTACCGATTTTGAATTCGGGGATTGAGAACGGGGCTGCGCTGCCATTTTCCGCGGACACTGTGGTGGAAATTGCTTCAAGGGCGTCGTCGGCGTGGTGTGATGGGACGACGGAGGTCGGGAGGGAGAGGAGGAGGTATTTCGGGGTGGTCTTGGACATTTTTGCGGAGGTAGTGGAGGTAGGGAAAGGGGGGACTAGGGGAAGGAAAGACAGAAAGGAATATTGTGGCCCTCCGGGCTGAGTTGAGGTGTAGTGAGGTGAAGAGAAGCTCGGAGAGGTGGTGGGAGATGGCGTGGGGGGGAATTGGGGAGGAGCTTGGAGGTTCAACGGGTGATGTCGTAGGCGGTCATTTGATTGGTGGAGACACACGCAGAACATCATGATCCCATACTCCAGTGATACTCCAACCCACCTACAGTGAGATTATCTCCAAATACTATGTTGATAAATTAATTACATTCATCCATGGATGGAGGTTAACCATCAAAAATTAGATAACTCGAAGCTACAACATTACAACGCAACAATGAGAAACTCTGGAGGCGAACTATACAATCAACCAAGGATAGTACCCTGACAACGCTTAATGCTAGGTAACTTGAAGATAATGAATCTACACAAGACAAAACATGAACATAAAAGGACAAGAACCGCCCCAAAAAGACTTGAAAGAGAATTAGAGCTTGGAGAGATGAGAGATGAGGACATATTCCATTGGGGGAATATTCATCCGCAAAAGGCACCACCTAGGCGCTGCGCTTTTGAAATGTGGCGTAAGAGCCCGAGGGGAGAATTGACTAACTTCGATCCTGCGGAATATGGGAAGGACAAGACAGGATAGGACAAGATGGGACAAGACGATCGCAAAACAATCGCAAAATAACAAAACAAAAACAAGGGGATGAATGGCATAGCATAGCTGGGTAGGGTATCTGGATCGAGTGGGGAGTACTGATCGTGAACAGAGTGTAGTGAAAGGGGGAAGTGGAAAGGGATAGAAGGTAGATATCAGGAAGCGGCGCGAAATAAAACAGAAAATACAAATGACCAAAAACAAGATTGGTATCTGTACAAAGTGCGCCAACAGAGGAAAGACATCACGGAGAAGGGGGAGGGGAATTTGGGTTTGAGGGGGCGTCAATGATAAGAACAAGTTGCAACAACTTCCACAAGAACTTAACAAAGAAACACCTGGCACCCCAATCCAGGCAGACCAATTCAAGATGAGCCAGGATCAAGATTGCAAAGAGTCTGATTTGAGTGCGATGAAAAAGACCAATGGAGTACTGATTATTAGCCCTGCATGCCCTGGAAGATATCCTGACAATTATCCACCAAGAATTTAAGAACATCGTTCTTCTTCTGCACGTCTGTCATTTCACGAGCCAGACTCTCCGGTCGCATGATCGTAGGCGCAAAGACGACAGCAACGTTCTGACTGGTCATAAGATTCTCGTCCTGTCGCTCCACCACGCGCTTCAGGTGGAAAATGAGGAACTCGAGCACATCACGGTGCACGCGGGGTAGCTCTTTCAGATTTTCCACGAGATGCTCGACTCGGGCGGCAGCGGTGGGAATCTCCGCGTAATCAATAATCATATCGTAGACTTCGTAGGTAATCAGTGGGGTGGGTAGCTTGCGGAAGTACTGTTTCAATGCGGAGGTCACCGCGTGAATATCAAGGTCCGGGTCAGAGATATCGTAGTCAAATGGAGATCGTTCGAATCCTTCCCGAATGCCCTGAATAGCTGACGCAGCACCGGACTTTCGATAGATACCTTCCATATCCATGCCTGAATTAGGTTAGAAACGATCTCACGCATACCCGAAGAGAGAGGGCGAAGGACAAACCTCGTAGTTCGACCTCTTGAATACAACGAGTGACGATGGCTGGAATGATACTCTTCTCATGCTCCATGCGAGCCTCGAGATCAGTTCCGAAAAGCGCTAGAAATGGAAAGATTTTTTGTGAGTTATTTGCTTCCAATTCCATTTTCCTCACGACGATCCACTCACTAGTGCCTGGAATCTCAGCCAGTGTGGGCACACTGTCGGCCTGCGACATCTTGCCTCCCTGCTTATTCCTCTGGTTTCCAAAGAAGCCAAAACCCTGACGACTCGGGTCTTGAGTTTGAGAGCGAGGCAAACCACCAGCACCACCTTCCTGCTCACTACCCAAGAAGGCTCCCTTCAGACCCTTCACACCCTTGGCCACGTTTTGACCGCCCTTCTTCCAGTTAAACTTGCGCGGCTGGCCCTTGCGGATACTAACCACCTGTGGGCCGGGAACGACCGTCGCAGTTGCAGGCTCACCCTCGTCGCCGATGTGCGCAGTAGACACGGAGGTGGGGAAATCATGGAAAGAGGGTTTGATATGCTCAATTGATGGGATCGATCCGCCCTTGTTGTGAGAGATACCCAGTCCATTTGGTCCGCGGTGGCCGTCTGGATTATTCTTGTACAACTCCTGGATCTGGTGGACCAATTGGTTATTAAGCTCGGCCAGTTGGGCATTCTTCGACGAGAGCTGTTCGAACTCTTGAAAGCTCTTCTCCTTCTGGCGAGTGATGCTGGCAAGTTCCTCATGCAGGTCATTACGCTTTTGGATCAATTCCTCGATTTGCGGGGTGTAGGACTCCTTCAGCTTGTGAATGGCTTCAGCCAGCTCTCGCAGAACATGATTCGAAAGTTTGGCCAGGTCCAGGGGTTGGCCGGCGTTTCCACGCTTCTCCGCTTCGATATGGTCCGTAAGTACTGTGAGCTCTCGCAGAACGATCTCCCTTTGCGCATCAAGGACAACCATGGTGGATCGTTTCTCTGAGAGTTCGGTGTTGACCTGTTTGACATCTGCGGTGGCACGTAGAGCATTCTCCATTTCCGAGATGCGTTGACGTTCCTTTTGCAGTTCATTCCGAAGCCAGGAAATCTCCTCGCTTTGGGCAATGCTGGCGGTTGGGCTAGCCACCTCGGGTCCGACTAAGTTCGTATTAGTCGGTGATCTTGGAAATCTCCCTTCCTTGCCGAGCCTCACGCTCTTCTCGCTGAAACTACGGCCATGACGAACAGAGTTGGAGACGCGGCGAAAGAAGGAATCACTAGGTGGCAGGTCGTTATCTGAAAACTCACTTCCGGGGTAGCGCGCAATAGACGGCGAGCCTGCGCCATCCAGCTGTCGCTGGGTATCCGAGATAGGGGTGGTGATTGATGTGTTGATGCTTTGTTTCGGTTGTTCCAGGGAACCATCCAGCTTGGGGGATCCAGCGTAAGTCGAAGATGCAGGGGATGCACCGACATCCTTCCGGGGAATTGAATGGAGCTTGCTCTCCAGAGAGTCGCCCCGCTTGGGTGGGTAGGCCGACTGTTGCGAATGTGCCGATTCCATCGAGGTGTGATCGTGTAGTCTACGGAGTTCGTTTGAGGGACGCACCGCCGGCTCCAGGGGCACAGATCGGGTGATTTCTGCCATTGCTTCTTTGGACCTAGTACTGTCAGGGCTTGTTGCGCCGGAGAAGGCGCTTGTCTCTCTCAGGGCCAGCGGGAGATCCGATCGAGAGCTACGGGCTGACTCTGTCCGTCCAATCTTCGAAATGGTGGCGTCCATGCTCGCGGTGAATGACTTGGCTGTACCGTTCACTCCATCGATATCGCGTTTGTTTGTATCTTCACTCTTGTCCCATCCTTTCTCTTGGTAGGCTATGTGAGGGGAAGGGTGCTCTGATGATGCACGAGAGGGAGGCTCCAGGGAGTAGGAGGCTCGTACTGAAGAGTCGCCCGAACGAACCTGTCCAAAGTAATCGCGAGGCAGCTCCTGGGTGATCTGGGGTTGCGCGCGGGACGAGGATCGCTGGCTTGCGGAGGGGTCAAATGCGAGAGGGATCAAAAGCTCGCCACCTGCGTCTGAGTTATCGGCAGTGGTGGTGGTGGTGGTGGTGGTGGTGTCGCGTTGCGCACTGATCTGGCGACTGCTACGATATGTGCTCGAAGGGAGAAGAAGGTTGTCGTCTGCATAGAAGGGGAGTCATTGTCAGTCGTGATTGCCTTTTGCAGAGGAAACGGGGAGGGGGAAGCAAAATAGCAAAGAAGTGAGAGAAAGAATGAGGAAGAACCAGTAAACTAGCTTTGTGGCTTCCTTACCTGCAGCTGCCGGCTCAGACGCTGCTGTATCGGGCCGATTGTCCACGGCGATTTCGGCGAATGCTTCCGTGGGCATCTCATCAATGGAGCGAGTCTCCTCCATGCTTGGGGGCAACGAAGGCAGGGACTTATCATACTTTGTCCCTGGCCCCCCCTGGTTTTTTGGCGGCTGCATTGGCTTTTTTCTTTCGTCTTCGCTGCATGAGCGATTCATGACAATCCATACAGAAGATTCCCTGAGATGTGCGCGCATAGCGCAGGTTTTCGATCTTTCTCTTGCAGTTGCGGCATCGGAAGCACTGAGCACAGAAGGCCTGATCACCGGTGAGGATGGCGAGATCCTCAATTTTGTTACCGCAGGAGTTGCAGCTATAGGTACAGTTGCTGCAGATCAAGGAACCGTCACCGAGGAGGAGTAGATGGGCGTCGGAGTCGAGGAGGGTGCTACAGGTGCTGCAGCGGAAACAATCGATATGCCATCTTTGGCCAGCTGAAGGTGGATGTATGTTAGAGAAGGGTCTAAGACGAGGAGACAACTAGGCCGAAGTGCTACTTACATAGCTCAAAAGCTTTGCCTTCTTCCAAGATCTAGAGTAGAGCGCGGTCAGCGTGAGTTGTTCTCCCAACAGCACATCCCAAAGCAAGAACCCTACCTCTCCACAGCCCATGCAAGGAAAGGGGATGTCCTCCTGCTCCATCGGGGATTCCGGATGTATCACCGGTGACTCCATGTTGAAACGATCGAGGTGTGTTCGAGGTCAAATCCAACTCCCGCTGCTTTGTCGACGGTTGTAGCAGTCTGGCGCAGACGAGTCTCAAAGCGAGGAAGCTCGGCGAATCGGGGTGGCAGGAGGGAAAGAGACGAGACACGCGTGCGCGTGTGCGGACATGCGTTCGCGCTCTGGGGGAGAGCACTGGCACTCGGCGCTGGGACTTGGACTTGACGATTGTTGTAAGGTGGAGACACAATGGAGAAGGATGCGCGGGATCGGAGGCGGAGGGGGAATGCGACAAGGACAGGGGGGGTTGACCGGGTAATCCGAAAGAAAAGAATAGAACACGGGAACTAAAGCACGGAGCTGCTAATGGGTTAGCCAAAGTTGAGGAGGGCAGCACACACACAAACCCGGATCCATCATCCGTTTAAGCGTGAGACATGGCCCCTGGATGGTTCCAGTGTTGCTGAGAAGGGGGGGGGTGGTTCCGACTGAAATGAGGGCGATTTGGGAGTGGACGGGGAGAGGAGGGGGAGGGGCGAATTGGATAGGTTTAGACCGATCGGGGAGGATCTCACAAAGACGAAAGAGCTGAGGCGAGTCAAGAGCAACGCAGTAGAGTGGTACTGGTTGTTTCAAGTAAAGAGGCGCGGGTGTTGTGACAAGCGCAGGCGAGATGGGGCTGCCCCTCGCGGCGGTTCACACACTTTCCGTGGAGATGTGTAATATGGCGGCGATGGGAATATGGATGGATAAAAATGGTCATAAGAATAGGAATGAACATAAGAAGAATAAGAATAAGAAACTGGAAGCAAAGCCAACACCGCACCAAAGAAAGAGAAAGTCGGCCAGGGGGGGGGGGGGGAGAAAGGAGAGATGGAGATGGACTGGACTGGACTGGACGGAGAGATGAAGTGGCAGAACTCCCCACTCCATCCTTCATTACAACGCAGCAGTGTTATTATATTAGTAATTATTAGGTACTTTACAGATTATTATTATTCATGTGAGCATCTATCCTATTATTCCCTAGGTATACTCATACAAGTACTCCAAGTTCACAGCCAGGAGGCCTCACTTCGATACTAACTAGTAGTACTAGTGCTACGGAGTAGACCAGTATAAATAGAGACTGGAGCCAGATATCCCCCTCTCACACCAGGGGAACATTGGCCTTCCCAGTCTAGTCTGGTCAGCCCTGAAGGCCAGTCCACCTGGTCCAGTCCAAGCTCATCTTAATCAACCAACCAATTAACCAGCCAACCAACTTAATTCGCTCAGGCCGTCTTGTTTCAGAATGGCCCTGAAACGCACGGGGTCACGTGCCGATCATTGTGGCGGTGGAGAGAAATTAGATGCAGATGCAATTAGATACATTCAAGTTCCTCTTTATTGTATTAATTAGTTGTTACTAGGAGTAGCAATGAGTGATGAACCTCAATTGGCACCAGCATCCATCCGAGTTCAAGTTACTTGTGATCATCAGCTGTTAGCTGCGACATGGATGATACTACTAGTAGTAGTAGTACTTGAATATATCCAGCCCGCCTCCCAGCCCCGCTCTGACCAGTTTTCGAGGAGAAGACGACAGGCCTTGTTTCACCTCATCCGATCCGACAGGGCTGTGAGCCCCATCATAAAAGGGGATATGGACAAACGGAGAATCAACCAAAACAGAATAGAAATGGATGCTGGTAATTATGACCATGATAATCAAAGCCCACGCCACGGCCTTTTTCTCAGTTACTCCGTACTATACTGGGATTCATCTGTAAGTCCCTCCTCCCCGTTTCATCGTCCCGCGGTGGAGATGAAATGAGACGAACTGAGAACAGACCGGGTGTTTCTGAGACTCGGACTGTTTGCAAGTTGCTCAGGGTTTTGGGTCTGCGTTTACTTTTACTAGTTACTACCTACTCGTGTATGAGTAGCATGATGCGTCGGGGATTTCTTTCCCTCCCTTCCCTCCCGCCCCATCGGTCTGCCAATGGGTCTAGGTCGAGGTCGAGGTCGAGGTCTAGGTCTAGAAATGGATGGCTGCTATGGGGTAAATGGTACTTAAAAGCTCGGGGCAAGGATGATCTTTCCTATAATTATCTTCAAGGGGGGGAGATCGAGAGTTGGTCTGGTCTAGACACCGCCTAGTACGGAGGTTAATGCACAGACACGTTATGGATGAATTGGTTGGTTTAGGTATGAGTAGTATTGTGAGATTGAGATTTCTACTTTTCGATGCCTAAGCTGAAATCTGCATGACCCTTGATGTCTGATGTTGATACCTAATGACCGCGGGCTCTCCACATTGCTGTGCTGTACTCTGTGTATGTAACATCCTAACCAGGAGGAGCAGCTACTGCAGGTAGGTCTTCCATCAGGGATCAAATATGATATAATTGAACACAAGACCATATCGCGAGAATCCAACGATTCTCACTTCACTCCGCATCGCCCAGATTTATGGGGCGGAGTGAACAAGCGGGGTATGGGTATGGGTATCTCTGGAGCAATCTCCCAAAGAGCAGCTTCGCAGCGCTGATCTCTCTCTGGGCTCCACCTAGCTTGCACCGGGTGCGGAGATGGGGTTTTCATATTTCTTTATTTCTTTCTTTCGTAAAAACATGTATTCATTCAATTCGGATTCGGCCGACTCAAGGCAAAGCAGATCAGGTCGGTTGGCCGTCGAGGCGTTGTAGTCGGTCTTGGATTGCGCTCGGATCGTCGTGTCCCTCTTCGTTCTTGTATTCTTGCAAAACGATTGTCCGCATGAGTCGGCGCGGTGCTCGGCGGCCCGTGAAAAGCTCGAATTGAGCGAATCCCTGCTCGGGTAGGACGTCCAGACCGTCTAGTGCGACCCAGCCCCGATGAGACAATGCTCGGATTTGTTTCATCAAGGGGGTGTTCAGAGGTTTGTAGGCCAGCTGGAGAATGAAGTTAGTTCGTGGTCGGGGATGTTAAAGGGCTGGGTGATAAAACTTACGTCGACTACAACACCACCCGTCGGACTTTCAAGCCATTGAATAGGGACGTTGAAATTTGGCGCGGGCTGCCCACCAATGCTATGCGCCGGGATACCCGACACAATGATTGTCGGTTGTTTGTAGGCCGCAGGCCATGGGTCACTTACCGAGCCGAGTGTGCTGACTCGGGGACGCCCGCCTGCGCGGCTCTCATCGCTGGAGAAAAGCTCTTGCCTGTTATAGTGATGGGCAAGCTTCTCTGCGTTGGCAAGGGTGCGGTTATAAACGAAGATGTTCTCCACGCCAAGATGAATCAACGAGTATACTGCAGCACGCGCCATACCGCCGGATCCGATGACGAGTCCAGTGGTCGTGGGGCGCACCGCATTGGCCGGCGAAAGACCCCTGCGAATGCAGTTGCAGATTCCGATCCAATCGGTGTTATCGCCGTGAATGCCCTTGATGGGACCGGCCCGACACTTCTCGATGTAGATGGAAGATTCGTGAGAGAGATGAGGTTCCGCGTCATCATTGTTGCGGATTGGGATGAGGGTATTGACGGCTCCAATTGCCCGTGCGTGTGGGGACATGGAGTGGAGGAGAGGGATGACTTCGGTTTTATAAGGCAGACTGACACTTGAACCGCCAAAGAACTGATTCTCGACGAGGTTGTTCAGCCCGCGGAGTGTGGATGATTGGAAAATGGTATAATGGTGAGGCATGCCGCATTTCTTGAATGCCGTGTTGTGCATGGCAGGCGACATACTATATTCGACATTGGCTCCGAAGACAAAGAATTGCATCGGATCTAGAGTGAAGGAGCTGAAGAGTGCTTTCTGGGCCTCGCGAGCGGTGATACTCGGCTGTAGAAGGGTTGGGCTTTCGTGAATGAGGGAGGGGTGTGTAACAGGAGTGAGAGTAGGGTTGAAGCAGCGGGATCTGCGTCCCAAGGGTCCTGTGTTGTAAGCGATGAGAGGAAGGGAAGATACGGGAAAGTTTTCGATCCGGTGTCGGAATCGCTGCAAAGCAGCGTCATCCTGGACACTCTCAGCCGGTTGACATAATCGCACCACATTGCACCCAAGTCGCTTCGCACGCTCGTAGACCTTCATGTATTCATCTCCGTCCCAGCCTCCAGGTAAAGGCTGGTATGCCTCGAAATGGCCGATGATCTTGGTGGTTCCTCTTGAGCTGATGATTTGAGAGAGAATGTGATCATCCCGGGACAAGTCGACGGTCAAAAAACTTGGGCCAAGTCGTAGTCCATGGCGGACAAGGTTGAGATAGGTTTCATCGCTGATCCGAGAGTTGGGTGTGGGCGAGGAAGACCCCCGAGGTATGATATAGCTTTCCACGTGGTAGACTAGAGGCACAATGATATTCCTTCGAATCGTGGCCGCCATCTGGCTGATGCTATCCGCGAGGTAGGAGTCGGCACCCATTTGGTCCGGGGGGGCTAGTGATGTCAATTACCAGCTCAAAGGCATCGACGGTGAACTCCAAGTCCTCTATGTCTAGATCTCGTTCGCAGAGGGCAGAGAATGGAACCGAAATTGCGGAAGTGTAAAGCCGCGTTTCGACGGGGATTAATGAGAGCGGGAAGGAGGCATGTTGGCGTCTCATTTCGGTGGTATCGCCGGTCACAAATGCGATGAAGCTGAGGAAGTCGCGTTGAACTCGTTTTAATGTTAGGAATGGAGTGGCAGTTTGTGGTCGCTGATCCCATTTCGGCCCGGGAGATGGGTCGTGGCCGTCCTTGGCCTCCTGCTCGCAGCTGGACGTAGAGGTGGCGGCGGGGGCCTCTGAAAGATTGAAGAATTCCAGATTCGAACAGCCTCGGTAAATTGGCCCGGAAAGCTCCAGGAAATGGCGAACCTTTTGTGTATCCCACGCTTTCAGATATGACTGGACGCTTTCCGGATCTCGGGTGATGTGGACGACCGGGTGTGTTTGCGCATATTCTCGTAGCAATCGCTGCCCACTGCGCTCCATTGATCCCGCACCACACGCAATCACGCAGCTCTCTTGATTGTCAGCCAGCATGGACTCGAAGACTCGAGCCTCTTGCTGGCGATAGACAGCGTGATCATTATCCTTCTTGAACATGGCACGGGAGCAGCCAACCATCTGTTGAAAATATCGATCGGCATCGATCAAGCGGCGGCCGGACGCAGCAGCCAGTATGACGGCCAAGCTGGACTTGCCGGTTCCGCGAATGCCGATGAGCACGACGGATGCCGTGGGGGTGAATTTGCGGGGAGTCTGGAGGGGGCCATTGTCGAAGAGAACCGGAGAGCCGCGGTTGGAGTGCAGTTCGCGCGGGGTGGTGTGGCGGGTGTATGAGTCGCTGTGGGGATCGGGCTGTTCACTCGACCTTCGTGAACTGGACTGTGATCGAATATTCTGCCATGAAGCTAGTCCGGCGGCGTGCTTCCTCGGGCCATCGTCGTGGTCGGTCTCGTACAGTTTGCGCTTTGGCGGACGCACCAGGATAGACATGTCGCGTAGTATTTGGGGGGGGGGGAGTGGGAGAGACAAGTGGTTGAAGGAGGAAATATCAGATTCCCATGGTGAATGTGGAGTGTGTGGTGATAAAGGAGGATAAAACAGGGCAGAGTAGGGGAGAGCAAGCCAAGCTGGTGGATTTGGGGAAGAAGAAAGCCCAGGGAATTTAGAATTAGGTAAAGGGTGGGTTTTGCGGTTTTGCGGTTTTGCGGGGGAAAGAGCGGCTCCCTACGCTTCGCGGGTGATTCTGGTAATAACCGCGTATGGCCTGGTATTGTGACGTTGGCTCCGGAACAGCCCTCTGCCGGCAATTCGCATTTCCCGCGGGGTACGCAGGCAAGGAGAAATCTCTTTCTCGGCAGGGGAAGAACGGGAATAAAAGAATTAGAAAAAGGGAGATATTTATAGATATTTGTATATATAATCTATTTACTTATATTCATATATACATATATAGAGATCTACTTGGATTTATATACTCATCTCAACGTAGGAGTGTATGACATTTTGCCCAACGGGGACTGGCTCACCGCTGGCGGACCTGTACTATGCCCAGGTGGTATCCAGTGACTTTGACTTTCCTTTCCCCGGAACGAGCGCCATTCTTACACCTCGGTCTTTTGCGATCCCCCTCCACACTACTTTTTCTTTTTGCCCAAATACCTTCCGATTTCTGTCATTCATCCTATAAATCCCTGCTATCCTATCCTCCCAATTCGCACGGTCCCATTCCTTTTGTGGGGGCCCGAAAGTTCATGGCGTAAGGCGCGACCTGGTCTGCGCACGCCGCCGTCGGCAAAAGATTCAACTCCCCACACTACACTCGACGTTGCATGAATATGCGCTCCGAACCGCCGAGTGGATAATCGGTTTTTAAGAATTCAACCATGAGCTCCGAGTCACGCCAAGCCGTCACCGGGGCACCTGGGAAATCAAAGCGTCGATGGACCGATGCCGATGAGGATACTAGGTCGAATGTGCCGGAAGATCTGGCCCAACCGAAGCGACAGCGTGTGTCCAGAGCCTGCGACAGCTGTCGATCGAAGAAGGACAAATGTGACGGAGTGCAACCGGTCTGCTCAACCTGCGCATCACTATGTCGTCCCTGTACATACAAGGCAAACCCAAAGAAACGAGGTCTCCCAACCGGCTACATTCGATCGCTCGAGCTGTTATGGGGGTTGGTGTTTCAGAGAATCCAAGGAAGCGAAGATGTAATGCGAGCTATGATGCGCTCCATAAACCTGCCCAGCCATCTAGCGACAATGGGGAAGGAAGCCGAAGGGTCGGATACTTTGCTGTCGTCGTTCAAGAACAGTACTGTCTTGCGCGACATTGAGCGGATGCTGCTGGTTCTGGAGCAACCGGAAGAGGAACGGGAGCGCAGTATGCAGGCTTACGGCGACGGAGATACACCTCTGGACGTTGATGGAATCCTTGCCTCCTCTGAGGCTCAAGAGTGGCATCTCCCAGAGGGGATGGAGCAACGCGAAACGCCATTCCCGGGGATATCACCATCACGCACTTCCATGATCAGCTCCGCCCCGAGAAATCTACCCTACCGAACTAAGGACTCTGGTGTCCAGACGACCTCCCCTGACGACTTTCAAACACATTCTCTCGCCATCTCTTTACATCCTGACGAACCCCGATCAATCTCCACCAGCACTTCTCTCCAGCTCCCCTTTAACGCATGGCCCCTTCTTGATATCTACTTCTCATACACACAATGCTGGTTCCCTATTCTGGAAAAACACGACATCCTCCGGACAGCCTTCCAATATACCGAAGGCGATGTGTACATGTCTCGTACAGCGTCGGGGTCTGGAGATCACGCCGCCCTCTGGGCGGTCCTCACCCTGGCCTCCCTCCAAGATGCATCGATCACCGCCGGCGCCCATTCCGAGGGCCATTCCAACCAATTAAACTCACTTCAATTATACAACACCGCTCGAGACCTTATTCCCTCCGAAACTGGGCCATTCGAGGTTGGGCATGTGCAAGCGCTGCTCATCCTGTCCCTTATCAAGTTTGGTCAGCAAGAATGGACATCGGCATGGATGCTCGTCGGCCACGCTGTTCGAACCGCACAGACTGTGGGCCTAGACCAACCCTCATTTCAAGCACCATCAAAAGCCACAGAACAGGGCAAGCAACTTGGACGAGCAAAGCATGTGTTTCTAGGATGTTTTGTCTTGGAGACACTCATTGCAGAGCAAACGTCGCAATGCCCATCTCTTCGAAAGGGCGACCTGGCTCGTGTTGGATGCCTCGATGAAGATGGTTTGGAAGAGTGGCATCCCTGGGAGGATCAGACTGGTCTCCGACCGACGCAATCCTCACGAGCCTCGATGCAGCGTGGGCCGCTCCATGCGTTGAGCACGTTCAATCGACTTGTCTCTCTAACATCTATCCTGAATGACCTCTGCTTCTACAAACAAGATCCAACCGTTTCTCGATCTCAACTCGAATCGCTAGAGCTTCAGCTACAACGGTGGTCAAATGCTCTGCCCAAAAGTTATCGTATCGACCTCCACAGCCAACCCTTGAAGCTGGCATCGCCACATATTTTTGCTTTGGAGATGACATACCAAAGCATCGCGACAACTCTGAGTCTGCAAATTGCCCTGAGAGAAAGCGATCAAAATATCCCAGAAGCACCCCACAAAGGCCGTGCAATGGAGAGCTCAAAGCGTCTGTTGCAATTGCTGCAAGTATACATGGAGACTTATAGCTTCTCGGCTACTGTTCCTACATTCGGAATGATCCTCAAATACTGCGTCCCGCGATCCTTCACGCGGGATCTCATTTCTGATGTCGAGCTGGGGATACGCAATAAAATCCACTCATATTCATCCCACCTGGGACAGCTTTGGCTGATGCCGGATCGACCTAATACCGGTCATGCAATCAACCAAAGAAACCAGGCAATCAGTGTCTCTCCGGCCACTCCCCATCAGCCTGACCTTGCTATCAGCGACGACCCTACCGTACACATCATATCAGCCAGTACTCCTCACCACCTTGCGTCAGCAGACACGCATCTTCCGCCAAGCACCTCCCATCAGCCCACATCAGACCCTTTCCCCCCTCTCCCCTGGCTCCGAACGACGCAAAATATCGACGAAGGGGGCGGCCTTATACCAACCCCTACTCCGTCAATAACCACCGTTGGTGGCTCTGAAGTCTCCGGACAACACGGCCGACTCGACGCATCGCTGAACAATGCAATGCGTCAATCCACATCCGCCCCCTCCAAATCTCAAACCGGCCCTCCTATGATACCTGATCTCACCCCTCAATTTCCCCCGGGCGGCCAATACCCGACGCCATACCAAGATCACTCCCTCGGACTCAGTCCATTCGTCGGCATGGGTAATTATGGCGCACCACGACATCAGCAACGCATCGCCCCAGACCTTGATGCACTGTTCGACGAACTGGCGTCATTGGATGGTGCTGAGAAGTGAGTCGAGTCATTCCTACCTACTTGGTGATCTTGCGTCCCATTTTGTGACAATATGCTAACGAGAACCTCCAGAGCCGACAATCAACCCGAGTTCATGCAGAACCTTGGCTTCGTCGCCGACTCCAATGTCCCGGAGATTTACTCCTTCTCAAACCAGATCGAGCCTTTCTTGCTGGCGCAGACGCAGCAAATGCCGGGAAATGGACCCCCGCCTATTGATCGCAGAGAGTCGCAGTCACTCAGCATGTCAGGTACACTGAAGCGATAAAGAAGCCTCGGTGGGGACGTTGTCTCGCGTACGCAGCCGCTCGCAGCCGCTGGTCGGCATTTTGTTTTGGGTAGATCTGGAGTCGGCGTACGATATCACATTTTGTTATGGTACTATACCATGGGCTTAGTTATGGGTTATGAGGGGTGTTTGTGCTATTAGTATAATAATACTCAAAGAGTGATGATATCAATAAAAGTATTCAGCAGTACAGCGATCAAGAAACTAGAGGGCTAACTTGGAAATTATTACTAGTAGTTAATTATGACCTGGGTAGTGGTAACTTGAAGTACTACTACGACTGTAGATGGCGACTCGGTACTACTAACTAGTCGTATTAACATAGTAAGAACTGCGTACATTGATACTTACTAAATGTAATGTGTCGTCGCATCATTCAACATCTCATACATACAAAACTCATAACTTTTCATATCATTTCAGCCATCATCAGCATGGCAGCACAACACTGCCAGTGCCAGTGGGCATTCATCTAAGTCCTACCATCAAGTACTTTCCAAGACTGGTATTATATAATCCTCGCCCAACCCCTATTCATTTCAAGTTCCTTTCCATTGAATTTAAAGAGCAGCCTTACTCTCCTTCTCCAATTCCTTAAAATTAACCGCAACATGCTCAACAGCAACCTGGTACCCATAAACCCCGAGTCCAACAATAATACCCGCAGCCTTATCACTGAAATAAGAATGATGTCTCCAAGGCTCGCGCGCATGAACATTGCTAACATGCAATTCGATAAAGGGAATGCCCACGCCCAGCAATGCGTCCCGAATCGCCACTGATGTGTGCGTGTACGCGCCCGGGTTAATGACGATGCCATCGACTTTGCCGCGGGCTGCTTGGATCCGGTCCACAATTGCGCCTTCATGGTTGCTTTGGAAGGATTCTAGGCTGGCGCCGTTCTTGGTTGCGGTTGCCAGTGCGTTGCGCTCGACGTCGGCGAGGGTGGTGCTGCCGTAGATTTGGGGCTCGCGGGTGCCGAGGAGGTTTAGGTTGGGACCGTTGATCAGGAGGATTGATTTCGGCATTGTTGTGGTGGTGGTTGTGTATTGAGGTGGGATTTTGTAGAGGATGTGTGATAGTAAAGTAGAGTTGAAGAAGGGTAGAGTAGATGTGATGTGGTGTAGAGTGAGGGCATTGGAAATGCGCTGCGGGGATTCGCTCTTCTCTCCGCAATTTCCTGGTTGGCCGCGGTTGATTGCTTTGCCGGGTGGGGTGCATGGGGTGAACTGCCCGCGTCGGCTATTTGGCTTGAACTGCTCTGTCGGCGTTTTGGTATTTTTCTTTCTGTTCGGTGTCCCAATGGGCTCGGGCTTATTCTTCTTAGTCACAACTATTGCATTGAAGATATTTTTGGTGGGGGTTGCTAATTCCTTGGGGTCTTGAATGTCGTGGGGTAGTAGTTCACTAGGGCGTGCTCACAGCGCTGGGCATAGCGTGAGCTTATGAACCTTGGGCCGCGATTCTTTGTGATAACTGCCTGGACGTGCGAAAACGTTGCTTCCTTTTCTACTAACGCTGATCCACAAAATTATTTTGTGGTAACTGAGATGTTCCATGTCAACTACTAACTATCGCACCCCCATTTCAATCAAATACTCCTTGAATTTACTGATCACCGTCATCTCATTGTGACTAGGAGTGAGTAGCAAGGTAATTGTAGTACTTGGAAGCTAGAACCTTTCGTAGTCCTGGCGAAATCCCATTCTAAGAACTTGACTTGTTGAAGGTGGACAAAATATGAAGTTCATGAGTTCATCTCACTGGACCGCGGTTGTGCCGGAATCTATGTAGCAGGAGCCACTCTATTCTATATGCCCTTACTGGAAAGAGTATCCCGTCCTGAATGCTTTCTATCTGAGACTAGGTACCTGGGCTATGTGGGGGACTTTTAAATGAGAGTTGTGTTCTATGTTCTATATTGTTCGAAAAATCCGTTTTGCTGGGAAAGTGGTATTAGGTAGTACCTTAATGCTCTATTTGACATACTTAGTTTAGTATTCCTCTATACCCGCAACTACCTGGCCAGATTCAAGTCCGCTGCCAACTCATCAACTATAATGATCTTAATATATTAACCAATACTATCTACTATCTAAGCATCTCCAGACCTCCTCTCCCCTCCCCTCATCCCATCACCGCCCCACAGTGGGGTACGCCGATAAGGCAAATCGGCTAGCGGCGGTGACCTCGACCATTTTTCACCGAGAGTGACTCAATGCCTCCGCATCTCACCTTCGATTTAGTCGCCTGAAGTTGTCTTCCTATTCATTTCCGAACTGCATACCTACGCCATCAGCCCCCGAACCCCCTTCACACTCCACATCCCCGCCATGACCGTGGGACCTTTCTCTCAGGATGAGCTCGACGAGATATACGCCTTTGCCATAGACCTCAGCCGCAAGGCTGGCGATCTGCTCATGTCGCGTGTAGAGCAGCGCATGGATGGCGGCGAAGGCAATTCGCAGAACTTCGAAGAGAAGGAAAACGCCGTGGATATTGTCACCCAGACAGATGAAGGTTGGTTAATCGGAGTTAAGGTCGAGGTAGCTCCACATGCATATTCGAGCTGACACAACTGGCCCAGACGTGGAGGTATTCATTCGCAGCGCTTTGCAGGAAAGATACCCATCGCACAAGTGAGCTCGGTCCTCCATAGAGGTCAACTCCGCATCGACCCCGCTAACAAGACCCCAGATTCCTCGGCGAGGAAACATATGCCAAGGGCGATTCGCGCGACTACTTGATTGATGAACAGCCAACATGGTGTATCGACCCATTAGACGGTATGTTATGTTAAGCTATTTGATGCTATGCATTGAAAACATTTCTCCCTCTTTCTCCTACGGCACTAACACTGACCAGGAACGGTCAACTACACACACCTCTTCCCAATGTTCTGTATCTCAATCGGATTCATAGTCCAACACAAGCCCGTCATCGGAGTAATCTACGCCCCCTTCACAGACCAACTATTCTCCTCGTGCATCAACCGCGGCGCCTGGCTAAACGAGAAGCGCCGCCTCCCACTCATCCAGAAACCCTCCATCCCGCCCATGCCACCAAATGCCCCATCCCAATGCGTCTTCTCCTGCGAATGGGGCAAAGACCGCCGCGATATCCCGGACGGTAACATGCTTCGCAAGATCGAGAGTTTTGTGAATATGGCTGCGGAGCGCAGCGGGCGTGGCGGTAAGGGTGGTATGGTGCATGGAATGAGGAGTTTGGGCAGTGCCACGCTTGATCTTGCGTATGTTGCGATGGGATCTTTTGATATTTGGTGGGAAGGGGGTTGTTGGGAATGGTATGTTATAACCTAAAAAAAAAATCCTTTGGACAAACCCGCCTTGATTTGAGATGTGCTGTACTACGCTCGCTCAAGCTTTTATGGGTTGTTCCTTATGGTTCGGTTTACTGACTTTCTTGCTCGCTCGGATTAGGGATGTCGCCGCTGGTATTGCTATCCTTCTTGAAGCGGGCGGGTTGGTGACTACTGCGAATCCCCCAGAGAACCCAGATACAGACCCAATTCAAGATGTGCGGCTGGGAAGCCGGTTGTATTTAGCCATTAGGTGAGTACTAACTACCAACTCTCCCCAAACATGGGGATGCCGGCACAGACGCATACTAATGGATTTACTGCAGACCTGCTGGCCCTTCGGCTACCGAGACAGGCCGAGAGTCTCAAGAGCGTACCGTGCGAGAAGTCTGGCGACGTGTTCGCAACTTGGAATATACCCGACCTGGTGCCTAGGCCGATAGTTTATAGAACCTGGAAAGTACTTCTCATCTCATCTACGTGTTTAGAGTGTCATGCCAGCGGAGATTTTAAGTATAGTTATGTATTCACAACAGACGCCAGCCATCTATAATGCAAGATTCTTGATCTCTATACAATCGTGTCAAAGTTTTTAGAAAAAAAGGGACATTAGAAAGGAAAAGAAAATGCGACGCTAGCCCAGCTGCCTCTTACAGACTGGACTTGTTAGCCGCACGCTCGGCAACAGTCTTATCAACCAGATCCTTAACCTGCTGCACCAGACCCGGAGTTCCAACAATATCGTGACCGGTCCAGAGACGAGCCTGCTCCAGACCCTGCCAGATCAACGCCTCTGAACCAAGAATCACCTTCCAGCCACCCGCAGAAGCAAGGTTCGCAATATCCGTCCAGGGAACAGGGTGGTAGCACATTTCCAGGATGACACCCTGCTGCTTCTCCGCATTGGCAGCAGTACCCAGGAAAGCCTGGATCACGGCACGGGCATTCAGCTCCTCGGCCGTCTTGGGCGGGTAGTTCGGGATACCGGAGACGATGGCGGCCGGCGCCTCGAGACGGGCAGCCTCTTCGGGATCACTGACTGGGATAAGAGGGGCTTGGGCGGTAACGTCTGGGTTCCGCGCGCGGTCCTCGGCGAGAATGGACTCGATCTCGGCCGCGTCACGGTTCACGATGTAGATCTTGCTGGAGCCCAGCCAGCGGCGCATCACGTAGACGGCTGTACGGGCGGTACCACCGCCACCAATGATCAACGCGGGCCGGCCGCGGAAGCGAGAGGCGTCGGGAGCGTTCTTAACGAGCGCTTCGCGGATACCGTCGCAGTCGGTGTTGGTGCCGACGTATTGGCGGGCACCGGTGGTTGGGTCAATGCGGAGGAAGATGGTGTTGCAGGCACCGGCTTGGCGGGCGTGCTCAGTGAGATCGTCCAGGTGAGGCATGATGGCGACCTTGTGCGGCATTGTCACGGATGACCCGACGAATTTGGGGTTGGATTTGATCGAGGCAAGGAACTTCTCGATGGGCGGGGATTTGGTGTAGGGTGGTGGGTAGGTGGGGGATGTGCCTGTCACGCTGGACAGGGGGGATTTGTGTCCAGTTCAGACCGAGCTTGTTGTAGACGGTCTGGTGGAGAGGTGGTGAGAGGGAATTGAGTAGCGGGTGGCCGTACAGATAGGCGACGCCATCGAGGTGGTCGGGGATGGAGATGGGCTCCTCCGCCGGGGGTTGCTGGCTGGCGGTTGTAGTTGCGGGCGCGGCCATTGTGATGTGTGTGTATGAGAGAGGGGAGGGGGTATGTGATTGATTTGATTTTACAACGATCCGAGGGGAGTTTTGAAGGGAGGAGGGGTAATTAAAAGAGCGGAGCCCGGAAGGAAACCGAGTTGAGGTTGAATTGTGCTGCAATTTGCGCGTCGTAAAGAAAGAGCCGCGGGGCGGAGAAACACTTTCCTCTTGTCAGTGACCAACTACATAACACTCCTCCCATACTCACACTCTTTGATTCATGTACCAGAGGTGTCAACTCAACGGTTATCTTCGTCTTATTTGACTTTACAAGAATATCCAATTATCGTTTTCTCTCCCCGCCTCCCCCTCATCCTCTCTTTCTTTAAAGTCGCGATACCCGCTGGACCGGGGCAGAATGCTTTGCCCCCGTTGATAACTCCCCACGGGGAATCTCCTTGGCTATGTATGAACAGACCGTGCTGCAGCCAATAGCACCATGGGCTTTACGAGGCCCCATGCATTATGCATGACTGCAGGACGGGTTTAACTATGTCTCGCGTCCGCCTCGTCTCCGAACCGAGGATGTTCATCAAGTTTTAACTCTAGCGCCATCACCGCCGGGGGATCGCTTTTCCCCGCCACCTACATCTCATGCTTCATCATTGGCCCTTGGCCACTCGGCAAACTGCTTGGATCCATTCGTCTCTGCGAATCATATCGGTCATTTTTCGCTGTTCCACACCATCGCGAATAGAGCGTGCACCTGACTACCCCGGGCTACCCCATCTGGAGTTCATTCGACATGGAGATGTCCAGAAGCTCACCCCCGGCCGATATACTCCACTTTTTCAGCGGCTTCGGAGGTTTCCCCACAATTCAAACTCACTCTGTCCAACCAGCAGAGATTTCTCGCGTGTTTACACTCAAGCCACAGAGGCGGCCAAGATGCCCTCGACCAGAGTTTCTCACAAATCCTTGCTTCGCCCCCCAAATCTTCTTCTTGGGGCCAACCCTTGGCTTTTATCCTTCCTGCGCACAGTCCCCTCCTCTTCAAACTCTCTAACCTAAAGACATTGCCGTTGATATCGTTTTCCCGGGACTTGGCTGTCTACAATGTTGAGGCGTAAATTGTGATATACCTTTCTCCGCCTCCACGTCTCCACGATTCCCTCGCCCCCCCTAACTCACCACCCCGGATTTCTTCTCTTTTCCCCAACCGCACAATCGCAAATTCGTCTGGGGAACCTCGTGGCTATTTAGATCGCGGCTATCCCCCCGGATTGTCTGTGGCAAGATCTTTCTTTGTTTTCTCCTTTCCCCCATACCTCTCTACTACTTTCTACTCTCTCCCTCTCCTCTCTCCTACACTTCCCCTGTATTCACCTGCATCTTCTCGTCGCACACACGGTGCATCCCTTTCTCAAGGGAGATCTCTGCATCTGCTCTGCACGTTACAGGGTAGATCGAGTGTCTCGCGTAGTCAGTCGTGAACCACTTTGATCCCATTTTATCTTATTTTATTTTTCTATACCCTATATTGAGTCGCCGCCATGTCGATTCTAGCACTTGTCGAGGACCGGCCAACACCCAAGTCTGTTTACAACTGGAGGATCTACCTTCTAGCCGCTGTTGCGTCTTGCACATCCTGCATGATTGGTTATGATAGTGCTTTCATTGGAACCACCCTGTCTTTGCAATCTTTCAAGGATGAATTCAACTTCGACGCCATGGGTAAATCCGAGCAAAATTTGTTGAGTGCCAACATTGTCTCCACCTACCAGGCTGGTGCTTTCTTCGGTTCATTCTTTGCCTACCCCATTGGTCACTTCTGGGGTAGACGAATTGGTCTACTGTCTGCTGCTTTGGTTTTCATTCTCGGTGCTGGTCTCATGCTGGGTGCCAATGGCGAACGAGGTCTTGCTCTTCTCTACGCTGGACGTGTGTTTGCGGGCATCGGCGTTGGCGCAGGTTCCAACATCACCCCTATTTACATTTCTGAGTTGGCGCCTCCCGCTATTCGAGGTCGACTGGTCGGTGTTTACGAACTTGGCTGGCAGATTGGTGGCCTCGTAGGATTTTGGATTAACGTAAGTTTCTTCCCGGTTCGCATCTTTGCCGATTCCCATCAACTAACGCGTCTTTTCTTCGCAGTATGGTGTCGACCAAACCATGGCCCCCAGCCATGAACAATGGATCATCCCGTTTGCAGTGCAGCTGATTCCTGCCGGTCTCATGCTCATTGGCGGTATTTTCGTTCGCGAGTCTCCACGTTGGTTGTTCTCACGCGGTCGCCGCGATGAGGCTATGACCAATCTCTGCTGGGTCCGCCAACTGGACGAGAACGACATCTACATGATTGAGGAGGTTGCTGCCATTGACCAGGCCCTTGAGCAACAGCGCTCCACCATTGGTCTTGGATTCTGGAAACCCTTCAAGGCTGCCGGTTCCAACAAGAAAGTTATGTGGCGTTTGTTCCTGGGTTCGATGCTGTTCTTCTGGCAGAATGGTTCCGGTATCAATGCCATCAACTACTACTCCCCCACCGTTTTCAAGGCAAGTGTTGTCTCAATCCCGAAGAGAAGTAGCATGTCGCTAACAATTCCCCTAGGCCATTGGTGTCCAAGGAAACAACAGTCTGTTCACCACCGGTATTTTTGGCGTAGTTAAGACGGTAGTCACCTTCGTCTGGCTGCTGTATCTCATTGATCGCGTCGGTCGCCGTAACTTGCTCCTGATCGGTGCCTTCGGTGGCTCGATTTGCATGTGGATCGTCGGCGCGTACATCAAGGTCGCAGACCCAGCGAACCACCCCAAGCCGCACATGGATGGTGGTGGTATCATGGCCATGTTCTTCTTCTACCTCTGGACCGTCTTCTATACCCCGACCTGGAACGGTACCCCTTGGGTCCTGAACTCGGTGAGTCACACAATCCTTGGCAAAGAACCCGCAAGAGACTCGGCAGATTGTAAGAAGACGTCGAAGCTAATAGTGGTTCTGTAGGAAATGTTCGACCCCAACATGCGTTCTCTCGCACAGGCTTGCGCCGCTGCCTCAAATTGGCTTTGGAACTTCCTCATCTCGCGCTTCACACCGCAGATGTTTGCCAAAATGGAGTACGGCGTGTTCTTCTTTTTTGCTTCGCTGATGATGCTCTCCATCATCTTTGTGTATTTCCTCGTCCCTGAGACCAAGGGTATTCCACTGGAGAGCATGGATGCTCTCTTTAACATCAAGCCCGTCTGGCACGCCCATCCCACCATGGTCGCCCGGCTCCGTGAGGAAGAACAGCAGTTCCGTCACGAAGTTGAGGAGAATGGTGCTGCCGCGGCCAAGCTTGACGCTCAGCAGGTTGAAGACGCTTCGGCCGAGCAGGCCAAGTTTGCCTGATGTGTTTGTGTGTAAATGGTGTTCTTTTTTTCTTGTTGTGCAGGTGTCGAGCTTCAAGTGTTGAATAATCCAGTCTGGGACTTGGATAATGTTAGATAATGTCGAGGGTCCAGAACCCTATATGATAGAGACCGATATGAGAAATTGATGATATTCCTCAAACCAATCCTCTGCCATTTATCGTAGCAGATTATGTCTGGTCTTTACATAGTGCAAAGGACGACTGTAGAAGCTGTAGATTTGACTGTCAATTCTGTTATTTTCTGTTCTGTACAAAAATGGATGTAATAAGCATTCATCATCATCATATATCGAAGTGTTCACTCCTTCGACTGCGCAAGAAGATCAACCTCAATATCAACAGGCTGACCAGTCCGCATAGCCCTCTGAACAGCCTCACAAACAATCAAAGCACGCAAGCCTTCCTCACCAGAACAGCTCGGCACCGCCTGACCACGAATAACCTCCACGAAATGCGCCAGCTGCAAATCAAACGGCGCAGCATGATCCGGCAACTCAATCTTCTCAACCTTCAAAGGATTGGACCAACTCTTCTCCGCAAACCCATCATAACTCCACCGCGTCAAATCAGGCACACTAAGCGAAGCATCGGACCCGAAGATCCGGTAAAAGTCAGATCCATCCCCGGCATCCCCGGCAGTCGCAGTTGACCTGGCAATCATGGGGTTCTCCCCGGTTCCAGTCTCGAAATTGTGCGGGGAAGGAGTCGCATCGCAGACCATGAATGAGCCTACGACTCCAGACGCGAATCGGAATGTCAATGCTGCGCCTTCGTCTGCATCGTGTGGTGGGGCAGAACGCTGGGGGAGAATCTTCTCGGCTTGGACGCGGACGATCGGGCCGAAAAAGTGGTGCATTAGATCGATGTCGTGGACTAGATTGATCGGAATCACGCCGCCACCCCGTTCGCTAGATGCGCGCCACGACCCGTTCCCGGCAAAATAGGACTCGGGCTTGTATAAGGTCCACAGGCCATTAATCGCGATCGGACGGCCAAGTGATCCGCTTTCAAGAATCGACTTGGTGGCTCGCACATAGGGGTTGAAACGTCTATGATGGCCGACTAGGAGCTTCAGATGTGCGTTTTCGGGGGCATGCGCCAGTTCTAACAGTGACCGGCCGGTTTCAAGGGTGTCGCTGATTGGCTTTTCCAGGAGGACGTGCACGTTGCCATTCAGAAGCTCTTTTGCCACGGGGACGTGGGTGTGATTGGGTGTGCAGACGATTGCGGCGTCGGGGCGGTCGGGTGAATTTAATAACTCTGCGACTGTCAAGTAGTAGTTTGTTCCTAGCCCTGAGGCTGTTGTCGAGCCGGTCGGCATTGGATCGACTAGGGCTACTAGTTCCGTGGCGGGATTGGCGATGACGGACTTGGCGTGACGGGGGCCGATTAACCCAGCGCCAATGATTGCGACCTTAATTGACATTTTGGGGAAGGCGTAATGTTTCAATTGATGTGTTTCCAATTATTCCGAGGTTGTGAATTTCACGATGCAAGGCGACGGTATAACTTGAACCGGTGAGAGGATGACGGGGTTATTATGGTCGACATGACGGTCTTGTACTGTAGTTGACGGCCTTGGCAGGGCCGACAGTGTAAAAGCGGCTTTGACATATCCGATTGGAGGGACTCTGGGGCAGTTTTGGTCGGGAAAAACTGGGGAAATCCTTCTCGCGACGGGCGAAGAGTGTCCCTTTTGACCGAAGCCAAAGCCAGACGGCGGGTAAACGCTTTTCTATTTCTGTGGGGCTGGGGAACGCTTATCCGGTCACGTGACCAGTTTGCTTTGATTGCGACGTGGGAGAACGCAGCTCCAACTGTTAGGGATAATGTTTTATTTCCAAGGAGGAAAAGAGGAGGAAAGAGGAGAATGAAGAAAAATCACCCGTGTCGTTCGTCTTGTAAGCATTTACTTCCGCCTTGTTTTGTATTCTATTACACCTTCTCTTGTTCGATCTCATCCCATCGACTTGCTCTCTTTGTTGCCACTGCGATAGGTACATTCAAAGACTGAAATATACCCTTATCTCTACCTCGCCTTCTCCTTATTCTCATATATCCACCTCGGAACTTTATTCATAATGGCATACAACCGCCCAGGCATTGCCTCCATGTCCCTGGGCAAGCCATGGATTCACGACCTCCCTGGCAAGCTGATGCAAGCCGCTGCCCACGGCTTCGAGGGCATGGAACTTTTCTTTGACGACCTGAGACTGCTACGCCCAGCGCACATTTAACGGTGACCACCACGAGGCAGCCCGTACAGTGCGCCGCATGTGTGAGCGGCTTGGCATGACTATTATCTGCCTCCAGCCATTCTCCATGTACGAAGGCCTGCTGGACCGGGCCGAGTCCGACCGTATGCTCAACGATAAGCTGCCCAAGTGGTTCACACTCGCGCGAGCTCTTGGAACCGATATGATCCAGGTTCCCTCCAACTTCCTCGGCCCAGACCCCAAGACTGGTGCACCCCGGACAACGGGCGACCGCGCCGTCATCGTGCGTGACCTGCAGCGCCTTGCAGACTTGGGTGCTGGTGCTGGCTTCCGATTCGTCTACGAGGCTCTGTGCTGGGGCGATCATGTCGATACCTGGGAGGCTTCCTGGGAGGTCGTCCGCGACGTTAACCGTCCTAACTTTGGACTCTGCTTAGACTCGTTTAACATTGCCGGTCGTGTATATGCCGACCCGGCTTGCCCTACCGGTTGCACTCCTAATGCTGCCGCTGACCTCGCTGCTTCCCTTGACCGTCTGCGTAAGGCGAACATTGACCCCGCGAAGATCTTCTACGTTCAACTCGTTGATGGTGAACGTTTGACTGCTCCTCTTGACGAGAAGCACCCCTTCCACGTGCCAAACCAGCCTGTCCGCATGAACTGGTCCCGCAACGCCCGTCTCTTCCCCTTCGAGGAGTCCCGTGGTGGATACCTGCCTATTGTCGACGTTGCCCGTGTATTTTTCGAGGACCTTGGCTTCAAGGGCTGGGTCTCGCTCGAGCTTTTCAGCCGCACCCTTGCCGACCCCGACCCATTTACGCCCGCTGACCATGCCCGTCGTGGTATCGACTCCTATAACAAGGCTGCTCAATTATTTAACTTTGAAGAAAAGGAACAGAAGAGCTTCAGTTTTACTCCTGTTCCGGAGCCTTCTTCTCCTGTCCAGCACCGTCTGTAATGGAGCAGAATGTCTTGTTCCTTCTGTTGTTTCTTTCCTACATCTGATTTGTACATATTCATCTTTAACGACTGTTGATGATAGACTGCTCTCAAAAGGGCATTTACATAGTATCCAATGCATTGAACATTGAGCGATGAAACTGAGCAAAGGCCCTCTATTTTCAATAAGTAGTCCTGGTAGCTACTGGTTGTAATGAATTGAACATCGTGCCTTCGCCCACCGGCATCCGTCCAGGTACCCATCTGTATCTACCTTCCGTCTCGATCTCTTTCCTCCACTTCCATCTCTTCTGTTCCCTTCTCCTCGTGTTTATTTCTTCGTCTAATACCACTGCATGATGCTTGATGCTCGTGTCTCGATATTCATCGTACCTCCGCGCCTCACACTAGTGATCCAGAAGAAAGGTTAAAGTTGACTTTAGATATTTTCTCCTAGTCTTTTACTTGGCTTTTGGTACTTGCGTTGACTTTCAACTCGATATCAAAAACCAATACTGGAGAATCACTGGCGGAAAGTTGGAATGTTTTTGATAATCAACTTTCAGGAAATGTCCTATCTTAGTTCTAACTCGATCCCTTATCAGCAACACTTGGCACTTCTTCATAACTTCAATTCTTCAAATGCTAGCTTTCCATACCCAACAAATAATTATATTATATATTGATATACTTTGGTTAAAACGACAACTTAATGGAAATAGTCAGTCGGCAGTATTTTCAAATCTTGGAAATTTTGCCGTTTCAGACTCGGATGAGACGAGATATATATACCAATAGTAGTACTTTACTACATCTCCAACCCTGAGGTCTCCAGGACTTCAGCCTGAGGCCCGGGGCTTCCAATTTAAATTGAACATCCATGGATTTTGAGTATTACTGTTGGACTGTATGGAGCTCTGGCTTGAATAAAGGGGGACAATAATTAGGTACTCTCAGACTGTAACAGCTCAGTACAATGAAGATGATCAAGCCTCAAAGTGTAGCATTCAACAAGATACTGAGTATGGAGAGAAAGAAAGAAGGGACCAAAGACCAAGTAAAAACTTAGATATTCCCTGCACGAATGCCCAAGGCAGTAGATGTGTTACAAGACTACTAAACATAATTACTGCTGGATAAGATTGTGATTCTTGACAAATCGAGGTGTTGTTTTGAGGGCTAAGCGATACAGGTATCGCCGACTTATAACCAACAGGCAGTGAATGCGAAGATACCGCCCTGAAAGGAGCTTGAGGGAACATTCTGAGTACGCCTGTAAATATCGAGCCAATAACATGTTAACTACTAGTACTTAGTGGCGGCCTGCATTCTCCGACCTTAAAATCCCGAGCCATCAATATTCTACAAGTACTACCAAAGCTTCTCAGGTAGAGGTAGTGGGTTTTAAAAGTTTCTCGGGCGTGCCCAGGTGGAGCCCACATGCCCAGGTGCCTACCAGTGCGTACTAGTATCGAGAAAATAAACGCCTGCTTCCTGATTAGATCCACCCAGGTACTACTTATGAAATTCCGAAGTTGGTTAAATTATTCCTTGCTATTATAATCTCGGAAGGTTGGTGCAGTTTCGAAATAGTATTATTGAACGCTTGAGGTTTAATACTAGTTGTCTGTAAGGACTCCCCGGCGATAGCAACTTTGTTCTCAATCTTGAACGCCCCTTGGGTTTAATTTCCCTCGGCACCTTGGGCATGGCACATTTCCTCGCAGTAGTAGGTTATCTGCAAATGTTAGCAGGGCTCAATCTGTATTCAAATTGAACTAACCTCATCACCCCCAATATGCCAGTCGGCAGAATTGCAGTAGTTGCCGTCCTAAGTGATAATTCTATGTGTTAGCTGGGCTGCCACTCATCAAGTGTTAAATGGGATAAACCATACAAAAGTACAATCAGGGCATTGGTCCCACTGCTTGTCACCGGTGTTGCGTTGTTTGTAGAGGTCACAGGCACACTTGGTCGCATCGGGCAAGATCTCATAGTCCTTGGACCATGTGTAACTAGGACTGAAGGCAGTGCCTCCAATCTCAGAATACTTCCTGTTAGTGACACAGACTGCCACGTTATGCATCTTGGCGAAGGTGCTATGTTCAAATTAAAACAAGTTAGACCGTGCTTGATTTTATCTCAAGCTGTATCGCGGGATATGGGATGCATACCATCCAACAAGAATGGACAAGACTGAGGTTGTCGTGAGCTGCATGGTGATGAGAATGGATGTCTGAGAAGAATTTTTGGGTGGGATTAGAAGACTTTGCAGAGAGGAAAGTAGGTAGCAACCGGGTTTTAATCTTCAAACCCTAAAACCCTTCTCATTCAGCTAAATTACACAAAGCTCATGCCTACTACGTCGATAGAAGAATCAAGCCACCAGAGCATATTGTGATCCACTTACACTGAACCTTCGATGCGCCCCGGTAATCGCTTAAATGCATCCAACCGTTTCATGTCTCTCAGATTCAAACTCTAAGTACTCGACGCCGCCCGATCCGGCTCTTCGGGTTTGTAGATCCGGGATAATTTCGGGATAATCACTGCCTCACTGCAACACTAGTACAGGTTGGCAAAACCTCGGCGGTTGAAGATACATCTATGCCTCATACATCTCAAAATACAAAAATGAGACAATGTGTCACTCTCATTTCCATCAAATCAGCATACTCCCTGATGGGGTATTAGATCGACGTATCACTATCTGCAGGATTGAGGGTTACCCTAGGGTCTACCCATCTCACTTTCGCCAAGAGTGCGATCATCAGGCTGCCGGCGACTTCGTGCCATTTCCATTCGCTGGTAGCTCAGAGGTTTCTCGAACTGCAGAAGAGTACCCTTGGGTCATATGATATCAAACGAACTGTCGGGTCAGCCTTCGACTATAGCTGAGACATTAGCTAATTCTTCGAGTTGACTTTCGTCCTGAAGGATACTTTGCAGAGGATATTCATGAGGTATTTTCCAGATTCTCGGTTTGAAGGAGCAGGCACATGTCCATCGTGCCCGTAAACAGCAAGCGGACCCAAATCGTCAGGTCCACGGCCCTGAATACCAAGGGTTTGGGCACGAGTTCAATGCAGACCCTGAAATTTGATGGGACACTTCTGGGCAAATTGAATTTTTATAAATTCCCCCATTAGATCAAGGATTACGTTTGCTATTCCACGCCCTTTTCTCATTTTCCTCATTTCGTTCTCAAAATCTCTCTCTCTCTATCAACATGCTTGCTGTCAATATCATGGGCCTTGTGCTGGCCACAGCTGTCAGTGCAGTGCCAGTCGTTGAGCATCGTCTGAATAGCACCAGGTGGACTCCGGAACATATCCTCAAGCAGGGTGAAGTCATTCTTTTTGGTAATGGCCGGAGTAAGTAGTACCAGCCCTGGAGAGATACTACAAATTAGTCTTTAACACCCGACATCGATGAAGACGGCTAATGTATCCATTTTAGTGGAGGTTGTCCACGAAAGCGTCTATCACAACCTCATGGCCGCCCAGGGGCATTCACTCAGCGCGCCGGAAACTGAAGTCTTCCCTGTCGGATCTGCTCAGCACAACAGAACCATCCACGCTCGGGATGACTGTGACTTGACGACTGCGGTGATCACCGATAAGACACAGACATTCGTCGACTGGGACGTTCAGATGTCACCAGTGGTGATTGGCAGTGGTACCACCGGTATGGACGTCTCTGTCATGTCAGGCTACACAGTCAGCAACTCCGTCAGTGTTAGCACCGGCCTCGATATAAACCTGATCAAGGATAAATTGGGTGGATCGGTAGGTATCGACTACACCCGCACATGGACGACACAGACTGCAGTCACCGTCAAGGGAACCGTTGCAGACGGCTACTCTGGCGTGATGATTACCAAGCCTATCAAGACCCGGAAGACTGGCCGGGTTCTGAAGGGCTGTCTTGGTTCGCAGACCGAGGACGGAACTTTCTCTGCTGATTCCCTTGAAGATGGATCCTATGCCGGGGTGAAATGGATTAGTGGAGCCATTACCATGTGCTCGAAGAAGGAGTTTCCTCTTTCTCGCTGCGAGGGAAGCGGAAACTTCGTTTGAGACTGAGATGGCGATGTTGAGATCGACAGAGTATGCCGGAGAGAAGGTTCTATTTGTGGAGATGGAGTTATCACCTTATTAGACAAGTACAACTGTTGTGACTACTGGATTATTGCGTTGTTTTCCTGAATTTCAAAATGGTATTTTCGAATTGTGCCTCATTATGATCAACCCTATGATTCGCCATCAACCATAACTGGAAAAAAGACCGACATTGCAAATAACTAGGCGTAACTGAGTGGGGTGTTGATAGAGACACAGCATATCATGCTTCCAGTTCTTCAGTAGGGACGTCCTCCAGATCCTTGCCAACAATCGCATCCGCGACCTTCCAAACCTGCAACAGGTTATCCTCGGCAGCCGAGCACAGAACCCAGGGGTCACTGAGGTTCCAGCTGAAGTCGGAAATCCGGTTGGTGTGGCCACCGTGCATGAAGAGACTGATATATGAGTTAGTGACAGCAGTACTAAACAGAAAGATTGATGGACATACAGTTCAGGGGGGGCCATCTTGCGCATCCTCCGGAGTCTGCTCCTCGCCCGCTCGGCTGAGATCCCAGAACATAATCTTACGGTCATAGCTGGAACTGGCCAGAACGGACTCCTCAAACGGATGCCAAGAGACTGACTGAACAGAATCGGTGTGGCCCTCAAGCGAGTGGAGTTTCGTCTTGAGGTTTCGCAGATCCCACAATCCGATGGTCTTGTCTGCAGATCCAGTCGCCAGAATAGTCTCGGCAGCGGGGTTGAAAGAGATTGAGTTGATTGCATCACGGTGCTGGCCTTCAGCAGATGCCGCAGCGCGGGTCGTGTCGGCTGCACGAACGTCAAGAATCTGGAGGGTGATATCATCGGACACAGTTCCGATAAGGGATGAGTGGAGAGGATGGTGCTGAACATCGTTAACGATCGAGGAGTGGTGGGTATAGGTGCGGGTCGGGCGAAGGGCTTTATTGCCCTTTGTGTATGTCGTCAAATCCCTATAGACTAGAATGAGCTTCTCTTCGCCGGTAGTGTCGCCGTTGAAATTAAATAGTTGAAATTAAATAGCATACCAGAGGCGAACCGTCTTGTCCTCGCTACCTGTGGCAAGGTGACCAGCTTCATGGGGATTCCAGCTGAGTCCAAAACCCTCCGCTTCGTGGCCCAGAAGCTCCATCTGTGGGTTCACAGTTCCAGTCGGTTGGCTCGGGTGCTTAGAACGATCCCAGATCATCACCCGACCATCTGTGCACATGGTCGCGATGATGTTAGGGTTTTGTGGCTGATATCGTGCCTTGTTCACCTCTCCCTTGTGATCAATTTTCTGGGCAATGTTGAACTTGATCTCCATTTGGGGTTTCTTGGAGGCACCGCCATATCCACCAATTTCACCCCTCTCCTCATCGTAGTCTTCTGGGTTGGCAGCATTGGGGTTGGGGAGCTGCACATGAGCAATCTGAAGATAATTTTGAGCATCGCCGGCCGTGTGGGTACCGATTAATAGGCGATGGGTCGAATAAGGCTTGTCAGGAACTCTAGAGTGGAGCAAGGTATTAGGCTAAATGGTGTAAATATCGAGGTCATTGGGGCAACAAACTCTTGCTTGTCTGGAAGCCATTGGGTTGTGAGTGTAGGCCATTCTAGAGCTGTGCTGAGAATCATGTCGTAGAGAAACGGGGCGTTCTTCTTCCATGTCTTGTACTCTGCACATATATCCAATGTTAGCCATGAGGTTCACCTTGAATTGCGACTGGTATAACGGGGGGTATCGACCTTCATTGACAATCTTTTCAGTGCTGTGCTCATTCTCCTGGTCCTGGTCCTCCACCGCAGCTGTGTTGCGTTAGATTGAGATTTCCCTTGGTTGCGACAGGTCTCGAAACTCACGCGGATCTTCCTCGTAGGGCTCCATATTTGTAGTTGTTGGGTATTGAGTGCAATGCGACGCAGAATCAGCGCAAGAGTGCGAAGGGAACGAAGTTGGACTGGAGAAAGCTCGTGGAAGGAGAGCGAGCTCGCAACGCGACGGGGTGACCGCCCGCGCGTTAATGGGCGTCAGGCAGCACTAAACCGGAATAGGCAACCGCGGGCTTGGCGATGATGACTCGCTGCTGCCAAACCTGGACTTCACCTGAAGCTTCCCAGCTTCCTCTCTCTCTCTTTCTCTCTTCTACCTTTTCTTGCCACCCCCTATTCTCTTCTTTTGGGGCCTCTACAGAATTTACCCCTTCGCGATTCTTGCGATTCTTCCCTTTTTACTGTTCAACCCCCCTTGGATGGTTTCCTTCTCGCTTTGGTCGCAAGTTTCATTCTTATCATCCCGACGATCCTCTTTCTCCTTCAACTCAGCAAGATCCTCCCACCGGTCTTGACCTTGATCATTTCAACGAGACCACCTATTTCGATATTTTGACGAGATACGACTGTTCAAAATGGGTGTTCCTAAGTTTTTCCGCTGGCTCAGCGAGCGGTACCCCGCCATCTCGATGCTCATCGCAGAGAGTCGCATTCCCGAGTTCGACAATCTATATCTCGATATGAACGGTATTATCCACAACTGCACCCATAAAGATAGTGACTCGCCGACATTCCGCATGACTGAAGAGCAAATGTTTATCGCGATTTTCAACTACATCGAGCACTTGTTTGGAACAATCAAGCCTAAAAAGCTGTTTTTCATGGCCGTGGACGGTGTGGCGCCGCGTGCAAAGATGAACCAACAACGTGCGCGTCGTTTCCGGACGGCTCTAGATGCCGAGAACGCGAAGAACAAGGCCGTCGAGCAAGGCCTGGAGATGCCAAAAGAAGATGCATTTGACAGCAATTGCATTACCCCCGGTACCGAGTTCATGCAAAAATTGACGCAACAATTGAAATATTTCATCAACAAGAAGATTTCCGAGGACACAGACTGGCAGGGTGTGGAGATTGTGCTTTCCGGCCATGAGGTCCCCGGCGAGGGCGAGCACAAGATCATGGAATACATCCGAAATGCGAAAGCACAACCCGACTACGCCCCGAACGTGCGTCACTGTCTCTACGGCCTGGACGCGGATTTGATCATGTTGGGTCTGCTCAGCCATGATCCTCATTTCTCCTTGCTCCGCGAGGAGGTGACCTTTGGCCGTCAAACAAAATCCAAACCGAAAGAGCTCGAGCATCAGAATTTCTATCTGTTGCATTTGAGTCTGGTTCGCGAATACCTAGAGCTAGAATTCCAGGAGCTGAAAGAGCCCGGCGCTCTGAACTTTCCATTCGACATGGAACATGTGATTGATGACTTCATCCTCATGGCGTTTTTCGTTGGAAACGATTTCTTACCTAATTTACCCAACTTACACATCAACGAGGGCGCGCTCTCTCTCATGTTCACGATCTACAAAGACGTTCTGCGAAAGATGGGTGGGTATATCAACGAAGAGGGTGTGATCAATCTGAAACGGTTGGGTACTCTTGTGGAAGCAATGAGCGTCTTCGAATATAGGTTCTTCGAAAGCGAGAACTCAGATGCGCAGTGGGTCAAGTCCAAGAGGAATGGCAATGACGGCTCCTTAGAGCTGCAACAGAAGCCGAAAGAATTAACAATCACCTCTGCGCAAAAGGATATCCTCAAGCAGATCAAGCAGTACGTGTCGAATCGATCTGGAAAGAGTGCCGAACTGAAGCCCCTGGACTTCCCTCCCACCCTTCCAGCCCGCGACCGCGCCTTTGTGGAACGCATGGCGGATGAATTGCGGGTGCCCTGGTCTACCACGGAGACCGAGACTGGTGATCGTTTCATGAGACTTCAGCTACTCCAACCTCAAAATGACGACGACGAAAGTGATGACGATGACGAAGAAGCATCTATGGCTATTCATCGTATCATTAGAAAGTACGAGAAAGCCAAGATCCAGGAAATGACCCCGGAGGAGGCACAACGGAAGGCAGAGGAGAAATATGATGCCAAGTTCCGGGAGTGGAAAGACAACTACTATCGGTCTAAGTTTGGTTGGGGTCTCGACAACGAGGAGGAATTGACAAAGCTGGCTGAAAACTATGTGCAAGGATTGCAGTGGGTCTTGTTTTACTATTATCGGGGTATCGCCTCATGGCCCTGGTTCTTCAAGTATCACTATGCTCCTATGATCTCAGGTAAGTGACCCCAATCAATGCCCCCACCCCTTCATCTTTGCATTGCTAACGATAGAGTAGATATTGTTATGGGCTTGGGTGTCGACATGAACTTCCGACTTGGACAGCCGTTCCGCCCGTATGATCAGCTGATGGGCGTCTTGCCCGATCGCAGTAAAAAGATTGTGCCTACCGCTTATTGGGATTTGATGACATCCCCCAAATCCCCCATCATTGACTTCTACCCCAGAGATTTCGATCTGGATATGAATGGAAAGAAGATGGAGTGGGAGGCTGTGGTCAAAATTCCTTTTATCGATGAGAAACGACTATTGGATGCATTGAAAACCAAAGAGAACGCCCTCACTCCAGACGAGAAGGCACGAAACACTTTTGGTGTCAGTCTCAAGTTCACCTATTCGCCTGACTTGAATTTCATCTACCCCTCCTCGATGCCTGGCGTGTTCCCCGACCTTCCGAACTGCCACTGTGTCGAGAATGTCTTCGATCTTCCCGTCATGGATGGCCTAGAGCCGTACAACGGGCTGATGGATGGTGCTTACCTGGGCAAGGCAGCTTTGGCAGGCTTTCCTAGCATCAAGACGCTTCCTCAGGTTGGCCAACTCGGCTTCCACGGTGTTACTGTGTTCCAACAAGAAAGTCGCAATGAGAGTCAGGTTGTCACTCTTCTTGACCCTGGCAGCCGTTCCAGTATTGAATTGGCCAAAACAAAGCTTGGCAAGCGTGTCCATGTCGGGTATCCCACTCTGCAAGAGGCTCTTGTGATCCGTGTTTCGGATGAGCTCTTTGACTATATTCTGCCCGAGGGCGAGCAGCATGTTGTGTCGATCCCCCACACCCCGCAGCAAATCGAGCAGTGGAAGAAGAAGGCGACCAAGATCGAAGGCACTTACAGCAAGCGCCTTGGAATGATCATTGGTGACGTTGAAGCCTTGGTTCACATTCAGTTGCTGAAAGGCATGAACAAGACCGAAGACGGCGCCACAATCAAGGAATTTGCAGATATCCCCGGACAGGAGACCGACTATGCTCTTCAAGTTGTCGTTGATGAAGTGGTTCATCCCGATGAGCGCTTTATTGAGCGTGAAGCATTGCCGATCGAGGAAGAGTTCCCGGAAAACTCTCGTGCCTTCTTCTTGGGCGATTTCAACTACGGACGACCTGTCCATATTACTGGTCACGAAGATGGCAAGGTCAACGGATTGATCGCAGCTGTGAAAGGCCGCGAACCTGAGTTTGGAAAAGAGCGTGTTAAGGAAGTGGAGCGGTACTCCCCTTACATGCCATCTTATGCGATTGCTCGCAATCTTCGCCTCAACCCCCCTGGTGCTAGCCAAGATTACCTCCTCGTTCTCTGTTGATATTGACGGCCAACGCGTGAATCTTGGCCTGAACCTAAAGTTCCAGGCCCGGGGACAAAAGGTCCTAGGATACTCGCGTCGTGGCGACAACGGCTGGGAGTTCAGTCAAAAGGCGGTTGATCTGCTGCACCAGTATATGATCAAATTTCCTGACTTCATTGCTGGAATCCAGCGCTGCCCTCAACAAGACCGCTATTCTCCAACTGATTTCTACTCGGAGGAAGATGCCCTCCTCAAAATGAAGGAGATACGTGATTGGCTCAAATCGATCGAAGCCAAAAACTTCGAGAGAGTCCCCCTTGATGCAGAGCAACTGGACTCGGACATGGTCGGGCTGATCGAACGTGATTCTGATGGTCTGTCGCAGTCACAGGCTCCAATGCAGCCCAAGAAGGTCCGTGGTGTTCCTCGCAGTGCTCTTCTTCGCCCCGCCGATGCAGAGCATCGCCTGAACAACCAGACTTTCAAACTTGGCGACCGTGTTGTGTACGCCCAAGACTCCGGTAAGGTGCCTATTGCAACCCGTGGCACAGTTGTCGGTCTTACCCGAACCCCGAGGACACTTCTCCTCGACGTGGTCTTTGATGTTTCCTTTATGAGCGGAACCACCCTGGGAGACCGCTGCTCGCCCTTCCGCGGACAGACAGTGCTCGCATCATCTGTATTGAACATTTCCTATCGTCAGCTCATCGCTAGCTCCCGTGCCGCTACTAGCCAACAGGGCCAACAGGACCAGGCCACCACTGGATATGGTAGACCCCTTGGACCGAATGGAGAGGGCCAGCTGAAAAACGCCCCGGTCCCTCCACCCCTGAGAGGTTCTTTCCGTGGTGCTCTTGGTGGTCGTGGCGGTATGCGCAATGGCCAGACTTCCGAACTTCCTTTCCATCCCCGAGGCAATGGTGGTCCTCCACGGGGACCCCGAGGCCGAGGCCGCGGTGGACAGCAGCATAACAATGGCGGCTATGTCTCGGTCGATAACAGTGACCCCTCTGACGGGATCATCCAGCACAACCCCGACTTCCGCCCGCAAAACTACACTAATGTCCCGCCCCCACAGGGGATTGACCAGCAGCGCGGCCGTGGCCGGGGACGCGGTCGTGGTCGAGGGAACGGGTCTCGCGGCGGTCGGGGACGTGGCCGAGGTGCTGCCACTGAAAGCTCCTAGTGTCTTGACTAAAGTCCGATTAGGCTTTTAGAACCGAATTAAGATGCTTTGGTTTCTCCTATCCCTATGTATAGAGGATTTGTGGGTTTTTTTCTGAGAATTGGGTGGTCGTTTGGACTGTACTATTATCAGGACTATACCCCTTCGTTTGTCAGCAGTGATTGATTAGGAGTTACAAAATGGATAGGATGCCAAAGCCAATATTTCCCAAGTGCTGATGATTTCTCGGCCCTAACTTTGGATATACTATAGTTCTGGTAGTAGTATCTAGCAGGTGCGATATTCTAGCTGTAGATTGACCTCAGGCTTCCAACATTGGAATTTTAATATCATGATAGTATTTTGGCACACTAAATCCACTGTGCGACAGACTCTTCCATCGCCAACAATCAAAGGTCGAGTTTCCTTTTCCGAAGTAACACAGTCAGATGGATGTTTGGAAGGATATGCTCGCCAACATAGAGGTTAGCAGGCCTCCATCCAACCGGATTATTCTCGAACTTGAAATCGTAGTCCATCAGAATCCGACTCAGAATCGCCTTGATCATACATCCAGCAAAGAACCGACCTGGGCAGGCCTGCCGTCCATAGCCAAAGTGCATGGCAGCGGGGCTGATAGAGATGTAGCTACTTGACGTTGTTGAGGTCAACTGGGAACGCTGTGGGTTTGCATCATCTGTGCCATCAATGGTTGTATAATACTTGGCAGACTTCAGAGCATTTCGATCAATTGACTCTTTACACCATTGAAGGCCGTCGAAATTTGAAGCATTGGCGACGAAAGACGAATCTCTCGACATCGGGCCGGCTGGAAAGCAGATGTGCGTGCCTTCAGGGAGGATGAGGCCATCGGAGAGTGTCAAAGACTTCTTAACTATACGGTGCATGGACACTAATAGATAAGAGTTAGGAACAGTCATATAGCTACGGGCCAGAAGGTGCTTCTCTTACAGTCACCTATCGAATTGAAACGCTGCGACTCGCGCATGAAGCTATCCAGACGTCGTTGTGCATCCAGTGATGCCTTTGTTGCGTTCTCCCATCCACTTTGCAACGTCACTTGGATCTCCTCGCGCAGAGGCTGGAGGTATTCTGGCCTGGCGATCAAATCATAGAGAGCTTGGGTCAGTGTAATTGAACTCGTATGGATGGCCGCCATACTAATCAAGACAAGCATGTGATGAGCGAGCATCTCAGGGTCAAAGTCTTGCTCATCTTCTACACCGTCCATCATCCATTGTAGAAAATCATCTGGTTTCTCGTAGCTTGGGTCGTTGGCCGCCTCTGCTGTCCGGCGCTGTTTAACTATTGGTGTGAAGAGCTTCTTGACACACTGAAGTTGTTGTTTCATTTGCCGCACTGGTGGGAGAAATCGTGCTACAAAGGGCCGAAGAAAGTTCGGGAAGGGACGGAGAAGAATAATAACCAATCCCACATTAGCCGAGTAGCTGCTTGCGATGTTCTCCCATTCTTCGTTGCGCTGTAGGGTGTCACCACCTGCAATGCGGGATGTCGCTCGTGCAATGAGGTGCCCAAACATTTCGTGTGGCCGAAGTGGAACCCATACGTCTGTATTTTCTCTTAATATATTTTTTAGGGCATTGGATAACCCAGACTGATGCTTACCGTCGCATTTTGGCACGATTGCATTGAATGCATCTCCAAGTTCATTTATCACCCAGGGTATGATTCGAGCTTGTTCATGATTTGGATATTAGCACACGAAAATTAATTTTTTTTTTTTTGAACATGAGCATGAGCACCTACGGAGCCTAGGGGTCAGACATCGTTTGACTGTTTGAGACGGTAGATGACTGCTTATCACAAGATTTGTATAATCGCCAAGTGCAATCTGATTCAAGCTCTGGTCAGATAATTGCGCACAGGTCTTCAAGTTGACTGGGAGAAGTACCTCGTATTGTGCCTCAAATGAACTGAGGATAGATGGCGGTAGGTGCTTCAACTCATCCAGGTACTTGCTCGGCAAAACCACAACTTCACCGTCGCCAGTGAGCATGCGAAATGGAGTGTACTTGTACTGTATGCTTGTAAATATGCCGTTTCTGCTAGAGGATCCACGAAAAAAAGTTTCCAGACCTTCTCATATCCCCATTGAATCATATAGCATGCTTTTGGATAGTAAATAAGTCGGTTTATGAGGTCGGGTAGATATTCGTTGAATTTGACGATGGGTATATGGCTCAGTCTTGTGTTTGTCCTCCTATACAAAAGGTAGATTAGTACTAGTAAAAGCCCAAGTAGTGACAATTGGATGTTTCCAATTATATAAATTCCAATCCAGGAAATCATATTGAAAAACGTGTGTTGGACGTACGTAGTATCTGGAGGGATGAAGGAGATCTTAATGTGAGCGGAAGGTAGCACAGGCGGACATCGGATAGTATTATGTGGCACCAAGGGTGGGGAGTTTAACCAAAACAGGAGGACTGCGTGGCCACGAAACCTTGAGAAGGGATAGGAGCCAGAAAGGGCTGCCCTAAAAAAAGCCATATGTACAATTTGAGTTTTTGAATTTTTCAAACACATGGCCTATTTATTTGGAGGTAGTGCGACGAAGTAATGTGGAGTAGATGGTCTATAAGCCACGATAAGTTCCTAAATTAGCATTACTGTCATACTTGGTGTCTTTGAAAAACCTTCAATCGCTTTGCTTTTGGCAAAATATCGGCGAATTACTGAATCGTGCGAAAGAACCCGAGGCTGACAATTGGGGGCACCTTGACTTAACTCCCCCATACAGCTATTCTTAAGCCAGCCTGGTCAATTTGAATACCATCTTTCCAGTGATCTTTATTCCTTGTGAGCTGTCAAGTCATTGGTGCAGATAGTGATGATGTTTATAATGATCAAAAGGAAGAAGACTACTGAACTGTATTGATCAAAATACTAGCATAAACTTTGAATGAATTGGACGAGAACTGCACGGGTGTATTTGTAAACCTTGAAATTTCCTACTTGGCATAAAATATTTGAACACGTGTGTAACGATACTATATAACTAGTATCAAATGACCTACTAATACTAAAAACCCTAAATGTAAAGAGAAGTGACCGATAGCGCAAACGCAGAGGCTAGAAGCGATAGCACGCCATAGTGTTCCTGGCGGCTCGATCCGTTGCTCTTAGTAATTTGAGTGCCATTTCCAAAGCCAACAGTCCTCTCCCACTTCGGCGTCGAGCCATTCGTCTCCAGCTCATCCGAATGATAAGTATCAATAGTACCCGAAAACTTGATTTCAATTTCTGCAAAGATCATCACGTCTGTCTCGCAAAATGTGGCCTTTTTTCCACATGATGGATAGGACATGATGTACCCGGACAAAGTGAGATTGGCAGTTTCGTCGTCGAATTGTACATCGAAAGATGGATTTGGATAGGTAACATTTGAGTTGTATTCACTCCAGATCTTTTTGTTCAGGAGCACGCCATCCCATGACATGTCCTTTGTACCATTGCAAGTCGTCATGTTGTAAATTATGGTCTTCTTGCCAGCGAAGTCCGAGCCGTTGTAATAAGAATCGCCAAGTGAGCCTGAAAGGTTGTATGGTGCTTCTTCGGTCTTCCCCACGGTCAAATTGAACAGTTCTTGGATATTCGTCTCATTGTGAGCAATTGCAGGGCTGAAACCGTCCCGGTAATTAGCACAAATTCTCTAGAAAAGAAATAAATAGCAGCTTGACTCACTCAGAAGAGAATAGTCCATAGCCCCAGGGGTAGTCGGCGATCGTTTCATTGCTTTTCAAAGTTGAGAAATCGAAGCCTTCATCCCAGAGGGTATAAAAGGCATTCAGGGAGTTATTGCCGGCGTTTTGACTACTTCGTTCGGTGAGAGCAAGGATGGAATCATAATGAGCCTTGACCTCCTTGCCTTCCAAGTTTGGGCACGAGCTGCCTTCAGCTAAACCTATTTCCTGTTTCGAGACCCCTGAGAATGGCTTCACGCTGATGGAAGTAGTTCCATTGTAGTATCTGATCAATCAGCTTGTTGAATTATAGAGAGAAGTCACAGGCAGTACTCACGATCCAACCCAATCATACAGTCCATTAGAAGTGACATTGTCCGATCGGAAGTTCAGCGAAGGGTTAAAATTAGGATCGTTGGTAGCAGAGACCAGAGCCGCAGAAGTCAGACCGAAGGCCAATTGAACGAGCGAATTGCGGTGCATGGTTGCAGATATTCTCTATAAAAGAATGTGGGGTTGAAGGTTGAGATCGTCCGTTGTCCACTCTGAGGCTCTGAACGGGAGACGAACTTAAGGGGAAAATTTATCGAGCGGCAGGATAAGCGTTTGGGTCCCGAAATATCCGAGTGTTCCTGTTTTAGCCGTACTAAAAGCCTAGCGTAGGGCGAATTGGGGGCCACTCCAAGCGAAGCTCGGTAAAAAATGCTGAATTATGGTAGTTACAATCACTAGCGCAATTGGTGGATAAAACGGCCCAACCATGGGATACAAAAAGATTGAGAATCTGATATTCGCAGAGACAACAATTTCAATTCGGTGGTCAGTGAAATATCTATGCAATGCGACAAGTTGTACCCAGCGAACCCCCTCCCCCCAAAAAATGTAGAGTAGTAATAGACTCGTGGGCGCCATTGAGACGGTTCTACCAAAGTGAAAAAGAAAAGAATAGAAAATCATGACTTTCTCTAGAGAGAGAACTTGAAACTGAACTCAAGTATATTCTAGTAAGTCTTGAAACATAACTATTAGCTCATACTGCTACTATAGTAGTATCCGGTCCCGAGATCTGCTCAGGTCTCTTACTAGTACTAGCTAGCGTATCTCCATCCTTCCGGCTCACCAGCAGCATCTTCAGCTGCTTTCAGAGCTTTATTTCTTTTAGAACAATACCACTTGGTCATGAGAGCAAAAATAGTAGTCAGACCACAGCCAGCAATGATAGCACCTCCACCAGTCTGGTAATAAGGCTCTTGGTTGGTTAAGAAGAAGTATGGAGTGAACCAATGAGACACGGAAGAGACACAATTGGCATAAGCAATAAGAGCAGCACGCTTAGTGCGAGGGCGAGGAACGACAGTTGTTTCCCACGAAATTTGGACCTGATAAACGAAAGATCAATACACGCATTAACCATACAATTGCGGAGTGAGTGAAGTGACTTACGCTAAGACCAGCAAACGGACCCATCACAAGGAGGATCATGGCAATGTAGCGAGCACCCCCGTTGAGGGTTGTGATCATTACCACAGCGCCAGCGAGGGTCGCTATAATAGGTCCGATAATGTGATAGTCGTGTTCCAATTTTCATCCGGATGACCAGGAGATTCCCAAAGTCACTAAGAAAGCGATGACTGGCGGGGGTGCTTGAATGAGGTATGTGATGTTATTGCTAAATCCAAGAGTTTTCACGATCTAGAAAAGTTAGTTAGTTCAAGGTATAGCGGCAGAGTCTAAGAGCAAGCCTTACCGAGGGAAAGAAGTCTTTATACGACTGCGCAATAATCAAGGAAAAGTGAATACCCGCAAAGAGATGCGAAAAAGGGTCCTTCATGGCATTCCAGAAACCATCCCAGTGGCCGCCTGAATCATCCTCAGATAGCCCACCAGCAGAAACCGATTCCCGATACTGAGCCATGGCAGACTCTTCTTCAGTAATGAAGTATGAGCCTGTCGAATTGGGGAAATTTGGGATATACCAGAAGCTTACGACAATGCTGACCATACCTACATTATAAATTAGAATCGACCCTTCAAGGTAATGTTGAATTTCATGAGCACGTACCTTCCAGAAGAAGAAACCATTTCCACGCCCTAATATTTCCCACTCTTTCCATGTTGGGAAGGATTCCAGCTGCAAGAAGACCCGACAGCGCGTGTGAGATAGTGTTACCGGCGTGCCATATACCCATCCGAAGAGGAGACTCGTGTTTCGTATACCAGGATGAAGTCATCAACGAGACAGCAGGAACGAAAGGCCCCTCAACAAGACCAATAAGAAAACGGCAAAAGATAAATGCCCATGACGCTGTCACAGCAGGTATGCATATGGTGACTATAGACCAGGCGAGCATGCAAAGAGGGAGAAGACGAGGACTTCCTTTGGCGATGATAACATTGGCAGGTATTTGAGAGATAATGTATCCGACATAGAACATAGAAATTCCGGCGGACCACTGAGGATCACTCATACCCAGATCCTTTTGCATGCCCGCCAATCGCGCATTTGAGACATTGATACGATCAAGATAGCTAAGAACAATTTAGAGGCAAGTCTTATTGAATGGAGTAGCTTACCAACTTCATCATCAACATTGCTGTAACCATGGGCAAGAATTTAAAGTCTAGTTTTTGAACAAGTGACTTTTCAATTTCTCGTCGCTCCTCGGCCGATTTGTCCCTTATAAGCTCATATCGTTCAAGAATGAGATCCCTCTGGGGAGCGATCTCTGAAAGTTCCACATCAATCTTTATGTCGAGAGATTTGCGTTTTGAATTAAGCGAGAAAGGCATACTGTCGAATTAATAATTGATAATAAAGATGCTTTTGCTGTGTTGCAGTGCTTGAGAAACCTGGCATAAAATAGCAAGGGGAGATCCCTCGATTTATAGCTTTTACTTGGTCCCTTGGCGAAAATCAACCTTCGAGTGTGGTAGGAAGCTGGCGACAGCACTGCAACTCCTTCTTCGCGAAATAGGATGCTTATCTCCATACCCCGCGTTTTTGGAATGGATTTATTTTATCTGAGGTACCCCAGGAAGGGCTTTAGCCACGCCAAGCTCATCGGACCTACGCCGGCATCTAACTGCCCAGGGGGACTTATCCCGGAGAAACGAATGAGTGTGTAGGATGATTGTATCGTGCCACAGCTAGTGATCTTAAAGCTGAGTAGGCGCGTGAATTAGCATGTCCTCTTTTGTCTACTCGAGAGGTGATTTTTAGTGTCAGCTAAGAAAGTGGAGCAAAGACCAAATCATCTCCTTGAACTAGCTAAGTCCCATGGCGCTGTATGGAAATCCAGAGACTTAATCCATGGTGATTGCTGTACCCGGGAATATCCGTCGCACCGGTACAATCCCGACAATATGCCCAGGTGTGATTCTGTCAAAGAGTGATAGCAAAGAATATTTCACCGAGGTAGTGTCCCCCTCGTCCGTGAATTGCATGTTGAGAAGCGAGGTGATAATATGAATGGGCGGGATGCTCTGGAATCTGGACTGAATGGCCATCATGGGATCTTGACTGCGCTCCGAAGTCGAGTAATTAAGCTTTCAGAGTCGCAGTGATTCTCAATGGATCCTACTCAGGCAGGTATTAGTCAACAAATTGCCTAGCAGCCACTTATCTGCTGCATGCTCAAATATGGACTGAACTCGGTCAAATATCTTCGACCGACTAGGTATTCACTACTTGGGCCAATCGAGCGCACTTGCAAATTTGAACTTTTGAAAATTGGGGTTCATCTATACACTTTTGAGGGGGTACCTAATATACAAACGCCTGCGCAAATGCAAATAGACATTATATGGGGAATCATTCAAGACCAATCCAATCGCCATCCGAGCCATCAGCATCCTCCATTTGATCATCACCACCCTCGACATCATCGTCGGCGATGGGCAATAAGGCACTGGCGGACTTCTTATCCGCAAGGACAGGCTTGGACAGCAGATAGCTCAGATCATAGAGGTTCTTCTCCGTCAACCGCTTGAGATTTTCCCGAATGTCGTCAATTGCGCGCTGAACAATACGCAGCTCGGGGGCAAATGTTCCTGAGTTTTCTTTGAAATATCGACCATGGCAGTTGAAGAGAGACTCGAACCACAACAGGTTGAATTCAAGATGGGGGGGTTTCTTCAGCAGCGTGTGCGACAAAACGGAGGAGGCGAGGCAGATAGACTGTGGGCACGGAGCGGACTGCATGGGAGATGTCTGAAGGGGGAATAGCTTCGTAGACGGCGCGGATGAGCTTAGACTCGTTCAATCGGAAAGCCATAATAAGAGCCTTCAGGAAGGTGTTGTCGTCATCAATGGTGTTGGCTTCCGCAGCGGCCTTGGCAGCATCCAGCGTAGCGAGAATGGTTGACGGGGTGATGGTGATGTCCAGATCGACAGGATCAAAGACAAAGTCTGTATCCAGACTGTAGACAAGAAGACCCTCAGTCGAGGCAGCGCAGAATGCGCGGCCTGTGGGTGCGAAGTCGACACAGGTGACCCGGACTTCAGGACGGGTAGTACGAGCTCCGGCATCGCCACGCTTGGCGCCAGGGAGCGTACGATCAATACGGTCCTCTTTATCAGACGCTTCTCCAGTTTCGTCAATAAGCCCACGAGGTCCAGCCTCAGTGAGGTTGCGGCTGTTCAGGAACTCTTGGGTGCCATCTAGTGACAAATTCACCGAAACCGTGAACTTCTTGATCATGGATCCAGTATTCACGTCATACAAGCAAATGTACTTGCTGTTTCCAGCAGCGAGAATGCAGCTGCCATCTGCGCTGTAGGTGATGCGGTTGAAAGACTTGGTTCCAGCAGCATTCGCGGCAGTAGTACGGTCAGACACCTTACGGCCTCCAGAAACATCGCGGCGACCATCCACGTTGCCCTCTTGAACAGCATCGGTGACATTCCAGAAAGAAAGTTGTCCGTCGAGTGTAGATGCGGCAACCTGTTTTCCATCGGGTCGGAAAGAGACGCTCAAGACATCTGACACGAGCTGGAGAGGCTCGCTGGTCTGTGCACGGCCGAAGACGCTCCAGATGCGAACAGTGCGATCCCAGCTACCACTGACCAGATGGTTACCGTCACCAGCGAATGCCAAGCTGGAAACAGGGCCCTCGTGGCCAGAAAGTTGATCCAACAGTTGACCGGTCTGCACGGACCACACGTGGATATCAAAAGAATCCGGCGAGCCGGCACAGACCACCTCACCGCTAGGATCCACTGCGAGAGACGAGAATGACATTCGCGAAGGGGCTGTGAAAGTGCGGAAGTTACGGTATCGAATGAGATCCCAGGCTCGCACAGATCCATCCAGTGACGCAGTGAAAAGAACACTTCCCTTCTTGGCGAACTGGCAAGCGGAAACGCCGCTGGTGTGTTCAGTGAAAGTCACAATGCAGAAGCCCGATTTAACATCCCAAACCTTAACCTTGCCATCATCGGCAGTGGTAACAATCTTCTGCCCATCAGGCGAATAGACCAGGGAGTTCATAGAATCCAGATGGCCCTGCTGCTTCAAGATGTATGACTCTGATTGCCACTCCCACACCAAAAGTTGTCCATGCTTGGAAGATCCAAATGCAAGCCACTCGCCGGATTTGTTGATAGTAACGACATCAATGTTGCTCTGAGAGACACTGTTTGAGCCAATTAGTATATAATTGTATACATCGATTTGACGCTGTATGCATACCTGAGTTGATGAATCATGTTGAATTCGGGAAGATCGTAAAGTCCGAAGAGACCATTGGAAAAGCCGACCACAAGCAAGCTAGATGGAGCGTGGAATGCGGCGCAGTTGACTTTGGCGTCGTTTTGCATGAAGAAATCTTTCTTGGCAATTCTCCATTGGGGTTCACCAATTTCTTCATCAGTTTCGGGGTCCTGCTTTGCCGTGTATTCCCAGCGGAACAGGGCACCATCTTGGCTGACTGTGTAGATCTATGAACACGATTAGAAGGGAATGAGTATAATGTAGTGGCAATGTTTCTCACCGATTCTTGCGCTGCATCGAAGCACGCAGTCACGACACCTTGACGGTGACCAGCCAAAGTGGTGGGTTCAAATCCATCCTCCTTGTCCAAACTCCATACTCGCGCTGTCAGATCACGGGACGCCGAGAGCAGGAAGCGCGAATCACTGGACCACTCAATGCTCTGAACAGTGTCGAAGTGGGCGGCAGAATCACGGTGTAGAACAAACGGGGCGAATTCAATCTCGCCATTGGTCTCGGTTCCGGGAGTCGAGGGGGGTCTGCCAGATTTGCAAGCGTCTTCCTACACCCACTGCGAAATGACGGCCAGATGGGGAGAACTTGAGAGCGGAGACGCGCGACTTGAAGGAAAAGTGGTGAATCGCAATGCGACGGTGAAAGTTGGTCAGGATCGCACGGCCAGTTTCATCGACAGTTAGAAGCAGGTTGCCTCTTGGAGATAGATCAAGACGATCAATGTTCGTGCGGTGGGCGAAGGGAAGGGTATAAGAGGTATTTCTGAGAGTCAGAAGAGGTCAGAATGGTCACAATATAGCGGTCTAGGAGTGAAGGTAAGTTAAGTTCCATTGGAGACATACTGGACAAGATCGAAGACCGTGACTCGATTGCCTACTGGCGAGAGCAAGCAAGTACCATCGGGAGTGAAGAGCAGGTTGCCCTGACGGTAGACCGTCCCCAACAGGTTGGAGAACTGTCAAATACGTTAGATCCTGGTCAATCGAGTTTGTGCTGTGCAATGCCATGGAGTGACATACCTTGAAGTCCGTCTTCATCTTTTGTTTCCTATTTTTTCCCTTTGCGACAAGCTTCCCGTCAAAAATTCCTGAAGCGCAGAATGATAAGAACGGGCGGATCAGTAGGATAATCCGATCCCGGGCCCAATCGGGTATGGTGTGTAGCACTAGTCCCAGATAGGCAAGGGCCAGCTATACTCCAGAAAACGAAAGGAGATTCAGGGGGAAGCAGCAATCGGACAGCTCTTTCCCCTATTCCCCAAGCCAAAAAGAGACTCATCGGATTCTTCCACTTCGGTTCTTCTCTTGAGGGAGTCGCTCGTTTCTCTGGTTTCTCTCTTTCTTCCCCAACTCCCACACCCCCTCACCCCCCTTTTTCACAATGTCGACTACCGAGACCGCCACGCCTATTGGCATTGCCAATGTAAGTCTGTTCGGGTTCCGGCTTCATTGGATGTTCAATTACTGACTGCGAATTTCTACCTCTAGCTCCCTAACCAGCGGTGTGTACTCCTTACGAAACATTGGTCTTTTGGGGCGATCGGAGGGACTAATGAAATTCCTCCAGACACAAGATTGTTGCGAAGCGGGGCGCGGCTTTCACGATTATGGTTCGTTTGAGATTGAAGTGTCCCGCCTTGGACCCTCGACGCTAACGGTCCTGTCTATATAGGTTGCTGGAGAGTCAGGATTGGGAAAGACTACCTTCATCAACACTCTCTTCTCCACCACCATTAAGAACTATGCCGACCACAAGCGCCGTCACCAGAAGCAGGTGGACCGCACCGTCGAGATCGAGATCACCAAGGCCGAGCTGGAGGAGAAGTTTTTCAAGGGTGAGCGGCACCACACCCTACCTTGGTCGAGGAGGAGGACTTCGAATTGAGGAAGCATACTGTCGTCGGTTTGGAAATTGCTGACACCACCTCTTTCTTTGCAGTTCGCCTGACCGTTATTGATACCCCCGGCTTCGGAGACTACGTCAACAACCGTGATTCCTGGCAACCCATCATCGAGTTCCTGGATGACCAGCACGAATCCTACATGCTCCAGGAGCAGCAGCCCCGCCGTACCGACAAGATCGACATGCGTGTGCACGCCTGCTTGTACTTCATCCGACCCACCGGACACACCCTCAAGCCTCTCGACATTGAGGTGATGAAGCGCCTGAGCTCCCGCGTCAACCTGATCCCCGTTGTTGCCAAGGCCGATACTCTGAGCCACGCCGACCTAGTCCGCTACAAGGACAGAGTGAGTTGGAACTATGTGTGACAGAAATGAAGATCGGGCCGGTGAGGCTAATGTTTGACCAGATTCGTCGCGTTATCGAGGCCCAGGGCATCAAGATTTACAACCCTCCCGTCGAGGAGGACGACGAGCACGCCGCTACCCACGCCCGCAGCTTGATGGCTGCTATGCCTTTCGCCGTCATCGGTTCCGAAAAGGATGTCAAGGCCAACGATGGCCGTGTTGTCAAGGGTCGTCAGTACGCCTGGGGTGTTGCCGAAGTCGAGAACGAGGACCACTGTGACTTTAAGAAGCTCCGGTCGATCCTGATCCGCACTCATATGCTTGATCTCATTCACACTACTGAAGAGTCTCACTACGAGGCCTACCGTGCCCAGCAGATGGAGACCCGCAAGTTCGGCGAGGCCCGGCCACGCAAGCTGGACAACCCCAAGTTCAAGGAGGAGGAAGAGAACCTGCGCAAGCGCTTCACCGAGCAAGTCAAGGTCGAGGAACAGCGCTTCCGCCAGTGGGAGCAGAAGCTCATCTCCGAGCGCGACAGACTCAACAAGGATCTGGAGGCTACTCACGCTGCGTACGTTTCAATATCACCCGAGCACACCATTCTACCCCTCACTAAGACTAACTTCTCGCGCACTACAGGATCAAATCGCTCGAGCAGGAAATCGAGGGCCTGCAAGGCTCCAGCACTCGCAGCCATGGTCGTCGTTAAGTTATTCGTCCGGGAAGCGGCCCGGGTTCTTCAAAAAAGGGGGTAGTCCAAGCCACGCAAGCTTCCTCATTGTTTTCTTCTCTTGAGTACCCTATGTCTTGCCGCTCACGCGCTTGGGAGGGCGCACCTTCGCCTGAGGTGAGGGGCTGGTTCGTTTTGTTCTGTTATATCCATTTACCGCTGGTAGCTAGCGATGGTGTCTACATCCTTGATAATAACCCTCCTGTATTCTGTAGCGTGGAAAATACAGAGTTAATCCTTATTTCGTTTGGGAACTGTGTTTTGATTGTCTCTTCCAGATGATTTCCTCGTAGCTTATGATGTATTCAATAGATGGTACTCCGTAGTCGCATTGGGAATAGTTCGGAGCTTTCCCTTCGGGCGTAGTTCCGCCGATCCCAGACCCGCGCCGCGGCGTCCGCATCTCATTTCCAGCTTCAACCACCAACCCCAATCCCCACTCGTCTTCGCCGGGGCCTACTCAGCACCTATGGCCCCGAAAAAATTCCCCACGAGACATATTCACACCCTCAAGACCCACAATGGTAAGCCCGAGAGCTCGTGACGGCCTCAGACGAACAAATACTAACAATCTATCGCCGCAGCTCCGGTCAATGCGGTCACCTTCTCCAGCTCCCCGGGGACATACATACTCACAGGCTCCTCGGACCGCGCAATTCACCTGTCGCGCGCAGTTCCTAGCAATGCAGAAAACTCGACTACCGCGGTAGAGACCACCGCGCCGATCCAGCGATACGAAGCGCATGGCTACAGCGTCCTCGATGTGGCAGTTGCCTCTGACAATGCGCGCTTTGCCAGCGTGGGCGGTGACCGCCAGGTCTTCCTTTGGGATGTCGAGCAGGGTACTACGATTCGACGATGGGGCGGGCATAACAGCAAGGTTGAAGCAGTTCAGTTTGCCGGCGACGGAGACTCTGTTGTTGTCTCTGGTATGGACCCAATTCCTCATTTCTCTGTGACACCCTCCATAAGCAGGCTTATCTAACAATCTCTGGGAAATCGCAGGCAGTGCCGATACCACGATAAATCTCTGGGACACGCGCTCGAATGGCCACAAGCCTATCCAGACCCTCACCGAAGCCAGTGATACCGTCTCGTGTCTACATGCCCATATGCCTACATACTCCATCGCGAGCGGAAGTTACGACGGCCATGTGCGCGTCTATGATGTTCGCATGGGTCAAACAACCGTCGATGTGCTGGCACATCCTGTGACGAGTGTTCGCTGCTCGGCGGATGGTAATGCGCTGCTCACCTCCACGCTGGATAGTTATATTCGAATGCTGGATCGCACCGATGGGAAACTCCTTGCGGCTTTTGGAGGATCGTCTCAAAAGGAAGAGCAGGCCCCAGCTGGTATTCTCACTCGGCCTCGTCATGGTTATCGGAATACGGAGCTGCGTGTCCGCTCTGTTTTTGCCCAGGGCGATGGGGTAGTCTTGAGCGGAAGCGAAGCACCCAAGGATGATACATCTAGTCTTGGTGCCGCTGTTTTTGCCTGGGATATCCTGACCGGGGAGAACGTTGCGACGCTCCCGATGGGGCCGAGGGTGAAGGTTGTTAGTTGTGTTTCATGGAACGAGAGAGGATACTGGGCTGGTGGATGTCCTGATGGTATGTGACTCTTCCCCAAAGCTATATTCCAAACAATCACTAATTGACCTAGGGACCGTTCGCGTTTTTGGTTGAACAAGGCGGCTGGTAATCCCACCAACTTGACAGTTCTGAATTGCCAACGTGGCAGGCCAACTCTTATAAAAGCAACCCCTTGTACAATTGGGGAACTCGAAATTTCGCAAATCCGACGACCTCTATACCTTCCAGCACGAGGACCACTGCCAGTTCTGTCTGTCCCATTGAGGCCCTACCTCGACAGACGACGTTTGGCCCATGCTCCCATTCTCCATGGAGGGACCACCAACCAATCAAATCATTGATAATTGATATCAGTGCATCACCAGCATACTCAGTTCTCGGCCCGGTTTGAAAGTGGTGCCGCGACGCTAGAGGGCACATATAACCCCAAGGTGGAAGTAGCAGTCTGCTCCCATCGGGTAGGTATGATTCATTTGGCAGTTATCGTATGAGACTTGAAAGGCGACAGATATGCATTCCTTGAGGGGAACAATGCGTGCGCACATGCACTACCCCCACTTCAAGGTGGGGATACTCGAACCTCCACTCCTCGATCTGTATACCAACCGACAACTTCGGGGCAATTATCCCACTTTTGAGGCTTTATAAATATTACATATCCCACTCAATCACAAACTAGTGTTGTACGGAGCATTTTAAAACTGGGGTTGAGCAGGGTCGTCATATACTAGTATATATCCTCCATTGATTTTCTCCGCGCTCCATCATATCGAGCAGTATGGATGTGCTCGATAGCGCAGTGTTGGATCAGCCTCATTCAAAATTAGTCATTTGATTTCAATTTGTCTGAAAATCGCCGCCGAGAGTCATCCGTGGCTCGTCCGTAAATCCAATTAATTGTACTTTTTGCAAGAGTGGGGGATGGAGAAGAAGACCCTACGCTTGCTTCGGTACTTGGGGATTCAACCCCGCTTTAGACGTTGTATTCGAAGCTCCTCCCAAGATTATATGGTAACATGAACAGAGCAATAGTACCGAGGGAAAAGCTAATATCGAAGATGTAATTCGACCAGGCTCACATAAATAGATTGGGAAATTTCCAAGGTTATAATTGTGCAATATCCCAATGGTTATCGAACCGATCGATCCTCCTTCAATAATCTTCATCTTAGGTAGCTCCAAGTCTTGGACGTTTTTCATTACTAGTACTATCCCACTCACACTCTCTTCTACCAGAAACTATTCTTTTTGATTGATAAATATCCTGTTTTGCATGAGCCAGAGCCAACCGTGCCATCGATCCTCAACAAAATGCAAACAATACCCTCTTCAGCACGATTACCTTCGCCACCTCTATCCGATACCAATAGCGCGAGCCCACTAAAAAGCTCCGTCGAGGCCCTTGCCGATTTGATAACATCAACCTATCGAATCTCCGATATCAACTTCTTCGTCAATGGGCGTCCCGCTATTGTGAAGAACCCCAACCCCGACTGGGTCCTTCTTGATTGGCTCCGTTCACGAGATGATTTGAAAGGCACAAAGCTGGGATGCGGCGAAGGCGGCTGTGGCGCATGTACTGTTGTTTTGCAGACCATCGAGTCAGACAAGCAGCTCAACCACCTCGCCGTCAACGCCTGCCTATATCCGCTCATCGGAGTTGATGGTAAAAGCCTTATCACTATTGAGGGACTCGGCACGGTCAATCGTCCGCACCCACTGCAAGAGAGAATTGCAAAAATGCAGTATGTCAACCAGGCTCAAACATTTAGATAGCTCGGTGCTCATCTTGCCATCGAGAATGAAATTATTCGAATTGAATACTAACAAATCTAGTGGCTCACAATGCGGGTTCTGTACTCCAGGCATCGTCATGAGCTTGTATGCTCTGATCAGAAACTCTTATCGAAATGGTAAATTTTATCTAACACATTCCGACCTGGAGCTTCAGGGTCACCTCGATGGAAACCTTTGCAGATGCGTGAGTTCCCTCATTTTCATTTCGCGAGGGTGCATTGTCCTATCCACAAGTTGCTGACGGGCTATCAAGACTGGATACAAGCCAATCTTCGAAGCAGCCCGAACATTTGTTGTCGAGGATCTTAAAGGAGTTCTCGTCGAAGGGGATAGTACTACGCAAAGTGATCTTCCAAGTCCACCACCGTCAGATGATGATGATGATGACGATGAAACCCTTTTGCGTACTATCAATGAATCTGGCTCCTGTGGTCGTCCAGGTGGCTGTTGTCGCGATAATCCCAAGGCATCGGGCTGTGGCTCCACCCCGAGTACTGGAACAGAATCGGATTCCGAATTATTAGAAACTCCAGTATCAGCACCGAAACTTAGTAATACACCAATCACGCCAGCATCTCCAAGTGAGATCATAGCAAAGGAAGTATTTGAACCGTACGAACCCGCCGCGGAACCCATCTTTCCTCCGTCCCTTCGGAGGTACGAAGAACAACCAATCTGCTACGGCGATGAGCGCAAACTCTGGTTCAAGCCGACAAACTTACAACAGCTTGTCGAGTTGAAGTCTGTTTATCCCTCAGCAAAAATTGTCGGCGGAGCAAGTGAGACACAAATTGAGATCCGCTTCAAGAAGTTGGAGTATCGAGTTTCTGTCTTTGCGGCAGACATTCCCGAGCTGAATACATACAAAGGTCAAGAGAACCCAACTTTAGCGGAGCTTGATGGTCTATCTGAGATCTGTATTCCGGGTAATCTACCATTGACCAAGCTGGAGTATCTGTGTAAGAACCTCTATCAAAAGCTTGGGCGCCGTGCTTTCGCTCTCGAGGCACTTCGGAAACAGCTTCGTTATTTCGCGGGACGACAAATTCGAAATGTCGCCAGTCTTGCTGGTAGCCTGGCCACAGCGAGTCCCATTTCTGATTCGGCGCCGTTACTATTAGCAGCCGGGGCAAAGATAACCATTCAGTCCCAGTCAAAAGGAACATTTAGTATCCCAGTTGCCTCTTGGTTTGTTCGCTACCGGACAACGGCCCTCCCAGAGGATGGCATTATCACTCAAATTATCATTCCCCTGCCGTCGGAAGAAACACGCGAAGTCACGAAGGCATACAAGCAGGCTAAGAGAAAGGATGATGACATTGCTATCGTAACGGCTGGCTTCAGAGTGCGGCTTGACGAAGAAGGCATTGTTGAAGACTGCGGATTTGCCTTTGGCGGCATGGCCCCGACAACAGTGATGGCTACGAAGGCACAAGAAGCAGTTGCTGGCAGGAAATGGGCTGAAGCCGCGACACTGGAAGCCGCGACGAATGCGCTCCTAGATGAATTCGATTTAAGTTTTGGTGTTCCTGGTGGCATGGCACAATATCGACGAGGTTAGTTCTTTTTTTTGTAGCCTGATATTCAATTCTTGTGACCCAGCTAACGTGTCAAATAGTGCTGACGATTTCTATGTTCTTTCGATTCTGGCATGAGGTTGTTCACGAGTTAGGCCTTGCAGATGTTGACGCCGATCTGATTCAAGAAATTCACCGCGACATTTCCTCGGGTAACCGTGATAATTTTACTTCCTCAATGCTAAACAGAGGGACTCAGACAGTAGGGAGACCGATTCCTCACTTATCGGCACTGAAACATTGCACTGGTGAAGCCGAATACGTGGAAGATATGCCACGACAGCACAATGAACTATTCGGCGCGCTGGTTATGGCCACAAGAGCCCATGCCACGTTGGACAGCATTGATTATGCACCTGCATTGAAAATGCCTGGAGTTGTGGGATTCATTGACAAGGACAGCCTACCCGCCGGGGCCAATATGTGGGGACCTGTTATACCCGATGAACCTCTGTTCGCTGATGGCATTGTCCATTACTACGGCCAGGTGATTGGAATGGTGTATGCAGAGACTGCACTTCAGGCCCGGGAAGCTGCAAATCGTGTTGAAGTCACCTACACAGATCTACCTGCAATATTCACTATCGATGAAGCCATCAAATCTAAGAGCTTTTTCAAGCATGGCAAGGAACTCAGAACAGGTGACGCAGTGGAGGGGAATCTTGATGACGCCTGGTCTAAGTGCGACCATATCTTGGAAGGCACTACAAAAATGGGTGGCCAAGAGCATTTCTATCTGGAGACGAATGCGGCTCTTGCTATCCCACATGTTGAGGATGGCTCTATGGATGTTTACTGCTCAACACAAAACCTCATGGAGAATCAAGTCTTTGTGGCAAAGGTATTGGGCGTTCCCATGAGCCGCGTCAATATGCGAGTGCGTCGCATGGGAGGAGCTTATGGTGGAAAGGAATCTAGAAGTACGCCCTTTGCTATGTATATGGCAGTCGCAGCACGCAAGGAGTCTCGACCTGTTCGCATGATGCTCAATCGCGATGAAGACATTGCTATCAGCGGTCAACGACATCCTTTCCAGGCTCGTTGGAAGGTTGGTGTTGATGCTCAAGGAAAGATTCAAGTTCTTGAGATTGACATGTACAACAATGGAGGCTACTCACTTGACATGAGTGGAGCGGTCATGTAAGTGTGCTTTGGCTGTGAGTTTGGCCTAGGAGATGAAAAAAATTGCTAATACTAGTTCATCAGGGATCGAGCTTGTACCCATGTTGATAACTGCTACAACATCCCCAATGCTTGGGTTCGTGGATGGCTTTGCAAGACGAATACTGTCAGCAATACGGCATATCGCGGCTTTGGGGGTCCCCAAGGCATGTACATCGCTGAAAGCATCATCTACAAGATCGCGGAAAGTCTGGAGGTTGATGTCGATGAGCTACGCCTTCGTAATCTCTACAAATGTGGCCAAAGGACTCCTTTCTTGCAGGAGATCACCGATGATTTCCATGTTGCCACTATGTTGGAGCAACTAACCGCCAACTCCGACTTCGAAAAGCGAAAGGCTGCTGTCAAGGTCTTCAACTCGAAGAATCGCTTCAAGAAGCGAGGAATATCAAAAATTCCATGCAAGTTTGGTCTGAGGTGCGTGCTAGGACCCCTTCCCGTCTCAACCCCCTCCTTCTTGCTCCTGTTCGAGCTGACTTGCTTCACAGCTTTGCGACAGCCCTGCACCTGAACCAAGCTGGAGCATATGTAAAGATATACGAGGATGGCTCTATTCAACTTCATCACGGAGGAACTGAAATGGGACAGGGTCTGTACACTAAGATGTGTCAAGTCGCAGCGGAGGAGCTGCGTGTCAGTGTGGACGACATTTACAACAAGGAGTCACAATCTGACCAGATCGCCAACCCCTCGCCGACCGCAGCATCATCGGGAAGTGACCTGAACGGACAAGCTGTCAAAAATGCATGCGACCAGTTGAATGAGCGTTTGGCGCCGTACCGGGAAAAGTATGGCATGGATGCGCCCATGTCTAAGCTTGTACATGCCGCATACCGCGACAGAGTCAACCTAGCGGCAAATGGTTTCTGGAAAATGCCTCGAATTGGGTACGAATGGGGCAATTGGAAGAATCCGCTGCCTATGTGAGAGCTAAATCATATTTGATCCTATCCCGCGAGCGATGAAACTAACAGCGTATTTCTAGGTATTATTACTGGACTCAAGGGGTGTAAGTGATCCTTCAAGAAGGGGTGTAAAAGGCTTAGGGAATGCTGACCTTGCGCGATAGTGCGATTTCCGAAGTGGAGTTGGATACCTTGACTGGGGACTCGACAGTTCTCAGAACCGACCTGATGATGGACATTGGGCGTTCCATCAACCCAGCCCTTGATTATGGCCAAATCGAAGGCGCATTTGTGCAAGGCCAAGGTCTATTCACGATGGAAGAATCATTATGGACCAAGACGGGAGAGTTATTTACCAAAGGTCCTGGAACCTACAAGATACCTGGTACGTTAAACTGGAGTTTTCGCGACTTCAATTTACTGACTTCTCCAGGCTTCTCCGACATACCCCAAGTATTCAACATTTCAACTTTACAGCATGACTCTGAAGGCAACCCGATATCATGGGAATAAGTTGCGCTCTATCCAGAGCAGTAAAGGTACAGGAGAGCCCCCACTATTCTTGGGATCTACCGTGTTTTTCGCTTTGAGGGAGGCCGTGAAAGCTGCTCGAGAGATGAACAACGTCACTACCCCCGCTGGTGTTTAACGCACCCAGCACAGCAGAGAAGTTGAGATTAGCTGTAGAGGATGAGATGGTTCAACGAGCGGCCGTGAAGCCAAAAGAAGGTGAAAAGGATTTCTTCATCAGGATCGAGACATGAAAGACGTGTGCGAAATACGATTCTTATTTTTTTCTCATTTGAAGGAATTACTAGTATCCCAGTATGTCGTAAATAGATAATACCGAATGAATGATCCCAATGTGAACAAGTCAGACCAATGCTGACGCGGGATAGTAGTCAAATTCAAAGGCCCTTCTAGCCCCGGGAATATGTATGTACTGTATGTGTCATTCTAGTTGAATGCTTCGATTTTATTCGTCGCCAAATCCATGCCAAGTCTATGTGTTAAGAGGAACACGACCATATTCCAAACGTGGAAGCACGGAGGCAAAATCCGTGGTTGAGCAATAAACGACAGATAGCCTATCCGGAATTGCGGTAATTCATTCAAAAGTCCGCATAGTGTGAAATTCAGTTATATAAAGGGGAAATAATTCCCTTGTCTATCAATCTCAATATAACCATTGAAATCCAAATAAATTCCATCATATTTTACTGAGTCTTTACTGAACAATGTCCAGCCCCACGCCAGCCAAAATGCGAGGCATCATCCAACCGAACACTAATTCAAAAGAACTATCCTTCACCACCCTGCCCACTCCAGCAATCAACCCATCACTGGGAGAACATCTAATCCAAGTCAAAACATGCGCCCCCTGTGCCGGAGAACTCCTCTGGCCAAAGAACTTCCCTCCGCCAAATCCCCGTGAGTTAGTTCCTTGCCCAGACGTCGCAGGAGTAATTATCTCCGGACCGGAAGATTCGCCATTCCAACCAGGCGATGAAGTCTACGCACGGACGAACTATATCCGCCCAGGCAATGCGCGAGAATTTACCATCGGGCTCACGGATGAATTGGCCCATAAACCCAAGACCCTGAGCTGGGTTGCAGCCGCCGCGGTGCCAGTCTCTGCCGAGACGGCGTGGCAGATTCTATTTATTCATGCGGGTATCGCTGGAGATGCGGAGGCTGACTTGGGTACGGCTCAAGACGCGTGGAAAGGAAAGAGGGTGCTTGTCACTGCTGCTTCGGGCGGTGTTGGAATGTGGGTGGTTCAGTTGGCTACTCTGCTCGGTGCGGAGGTCGTGGGTACATGTGGTACTGCGAATATTGCGCTTGTGCAGTCTCTTGGTGCGAAGGAGGTCCTTGATTATCGGTCTACTAATATCCGCGAGTGGGCGGAAGATCCTGTGAAGAAGGTGGATGTCGTTATTGATTGCATTGGGAGGCAGTCACTTGAGGATGCTTGGTGGACGGTTCGCGATGGAGGTGTGGTTCTTAGTATCTTCCAGCCACCCAAACAGGTTTGCCCTGCAGAATATACAGGAACAGATGTGAAGGATGTGTTTTTTGTCATGGAACCTGTCAGAAGACATCTGGAAAGTATCACAAAGCTGATTGAACTTGGTACTTGTCGTGGCATGATAGACAGTGTATGGCCCTTGGAGCAATATGAGGAAGCATTCAAGAGATTGGATGGAGGACATGCGAGAGGGAAGATTGTTTTCGATTTGTCTCTGAATCAGTAGGGTCGGGTTGTACAAAGAGCTTTGAATATTCAAATTTGATATTACTCTAGAGAACGATGAACGATTGCACCGATTTCCTTCAAGTTCCAAGGTTGCCGTGCTTTTTTATTCCAAAATTTCCAGTAGTATTATAGCCTTACGAATCGTCCAGAGAAATCAGTTCTCCGAAGCAATTCTTAATACAATATTCCAGAAGATCTTCGAAGGGATCTTCATGAAACAAATTCCCAGCTGAGATGCCAATGTCCAGCACGATTATCAAAGCCAGGTATTCACATTCGTTAGTTAAAAAATAAACACTATGCAAACGAGCATCATAGATATCATCTAATCATACATGCGCAATAGAGACCGAAACCTAGAGTCCACTTTTACCGGTTCATGAAACGCCGAACCCATCAACTGCAAAATAATCATTCAAAGGCTCTCACTCCTCGTCATCCTCTTTCTCCTCGTTATCCTCGTTCTTCACGTTCTCCTCGTTCTCCTCGAACGGATTTGGTGTAAAGGAATCCTGTACCCTCTCCGCCTCCAAAGCAGCGATCGCGCGTCGCAACTCATCTTCTCCAACGATAATTGTTCCAGCGCGCGCTGTACTCAGGAAACTAATCTCGAATAAATCTGCAGACAGATCCACATCAGGTTTGAGATGATGGGTTGGTGCAAGAGAGTGAGCCCCTTTGGATGGCTTCCGATCTGGGCTATGGCCATTTTCCAAATTCAGGCGAGCCCCAAATGAATCAAAAAGTGCGGGCACAGATCCAACGGTACTGCTGTCACCACTACTCCCAAGGCTTGGCTCGACGTCCTTATAGAGGGGTATCGTTTCCGCTGCCTCGGCGAGTCGTCCCGCCACACCGCATACGATACCTGAGGCTTCGAGAGGTAAATCGCGGAGGTCAAGCATAATTGGAATAAGGAAGTCTTCTTTTGAGCCAAGCAAAAGGCCCGAGCCATCTTCATAGTCTCTATGGGGACTAGAGGGCTCTGTGAAGCGAGGGAGGAGTCGTTTTTCGAGGAGAAGGGATGCGGCTGGATCAAGGGATGCTTGGGTAAGAGAGAGGAATCGTGGACTGTCGACAAGTAGGACAGTCGTGAGGGCATCGCGAAGGATAGACATGGAGCTTTCTTCGCTACCATATCCGAATTGATGGTGGGCTGCGCATTGCACAAGACGCAAGGTTTCATCAACATAAGGCGTAATTTGGCGTTTACGTAAGTTTTCAAATGTGCGTGTTTGGAGCTCTGATATTGTGGATGGCGGTGGGGTTCCTGGTGGTGTGGCGTCACTTGGATGGCGCTCAGTTCGAGGGGATGTCGGGCCTAAGGGGGTCATAAAGGCGGCGGTCGAGTCTTGAAACTGAAAGCCCCTGCTTTCCAGGGCGGCGACAACGCTGCCTTTGCTGTTCAGAGGGACGATAATATAGTCGGAGAAATAAGTTGAAATGAAGAAGATGGAGCTGGTGATGTGTCAGTTGGTTTGTTCCGGTGTTCTAATTCATTCTCGTTTCAACTGGAGCTTCCAGTACATACATTCCAGCCATAGCGAGTGGGCTGGTTAACTCCAAAACTCGTTTCCCAGCCTCCAACCCCTGGCCGATGACCTGCATGGCAATATAATCGTTGTCACTGACATCGAGCTGAGAATCGAGGGATTTATCTAATCCGCTCAGCTGTTGTCGAAGGGGTGTAAAATATTTTTCAACCAGGCGGCGAGGACATATCACAGATACTTCCACGGGCGTGATGGAGATGTTCAAAAAGGCCGGTGGCTTGTACCCGGAACCTTCTTCCGAGGTTGTTTCTACATTTTCGATGGATTCAAGTTCGTCTTCATCCTTTGTTTCCTCGAGGGGCGAGAGCTCGTCAAAGACCAATCTCAACACCGACTGGAGGAAGTAGGGATATAGGTCTAGTGGAATGTGTACCAGTGCAAGACGCTCCGCCTAGAAAGAGGTAAAATATATTCATCAGTGAACCGATCAGTGACTGCGTGTTTCAATTAGTTCAAATTCCTTACCAGAAAGTGCACTTGAGCATCGATCAGTGTCATTGGCTGATCCATGACGAGCCCCACCAAGTATGGAGGGTATAGCTTAGGTAGCTCAAGGATCTGCGATGATGTCGGAAGTGGTGTGCAGAACAACGCGATACAGAGTCGACCTTTGACCTTGACCTCGACCTTGACCCCAGAGTTCAGATTGTCGTGTCAGTTCCTGGGGGTTAAGGGGGGAGGGATAAGGCGGGGTCAGAAAGGTCACGTTCTCAGAGTTGCAATATTGGATGGGGCTTTTTGCAGGGCTTTTTCATCTTCTTTTGGACGGGCCCATTGAATGACAAGAGGGCGATTACGCCATTGACGTGATGGTTCACGGGTGTAATTGCGACAGAGTCAACGCCATTCACCAGGATGAGCACGAGAGAGTGAACAGGAAATTTGCTCGAATTGGGGAAATCCTTAATTTTAAATGGGATGAGTCAATCCTTCGTGAAAAAGTGGAAAAAGAGACGGGTAGAGTGGTCGATCATGTCAAAGAGCCCTGGAGAGAAGAGGAAGAAGAGGAGGAAGAAGGAAGAAGAGGAAGAAGAAGAAGCAAAGAAAGTCAGCCTTTCCTTCCCCGCCCACCCAGCTCACTCAACCAGCTTCCAACTCAACTTCTCTTCTCTCCCTCCCATTTTGATGCCTTATCGTGTGCCACCATCGTTACCAAATCTCTTATGCAACCTCGTCCGCTTTATCTCGTCCATCGTTCCCCGTCTCCACAGCTTATCGACTGGCCCCGCGCCTAACGCGGGCCCGCACGGACGAATGTGTCATGTCATGCAGCTGTGCCTGAACTCCCTGGGGAGCCCTGGAAACGCATTTGAGGTCGTTCGTTCCTTCGTTTCTGACTTCGTGTTGTCACCGGGCATCATCTTTGCGGGGATCTGTGCCCATTCGCCAATGAGGCGTAGCTGATTCCCCAATCTGGCCCCGGCCCCACGTTCAAGTCCCATTGATCGACCGGATAGTTATGCACCCGCTTACACTCGGAATATGTCTTCAACTTGGACTTGAAGTATACTACATCTATATTCTCACAGGCCCGGGTACATGAGATATACATACAACCACTGTGCTGCCACTACTACAATCTAAACTTCGTGTCCCAGTCTTTTGTCGGCCCACATTGCCACCGGCCTACAACCCCCCAAGTTGGACGAAGAGGGGCAAACTATATGATCGTCGCACTATCCACAAACTTCCCAGTGGTCGCTTGGTCCTCTAAACCGAGTCCGATAAGAGACTCGGACGTGGCAACCATCCCAAGTGGACCTGGCAAACAAACGCCCCTCGGGAGTCTGTGTCTGCTCCGCTGATGAGATCAAAAAGGGCGTTGCTAGAATCGCCGCGATGACCTCAGCTTACAAAACTTTACCATGTCCAGCCCTGGATGCAGGGCCTTCCTCACAATTGGCTACTACAGTAAGCTGGTGGCGGAGAGAGCACGCTCAGATCGGGTGTCCCCCAGTCCCCCGCGTGTGATGCTTTTGACTACTACTATTACTACTACTACATCCGAGTCTTTCCAGATCGGGCAAAACATGCCGTTACTGGACAACAGTAGTCCTGAAACATCCGACTCATCTGGTCATATACTTCAATCCCGGATTAAGAGCCATGTGAAGTTGCTTTAATTTGCAGTTTGTTTACCTTTACTAAGGCTGTCGACTCGGCATGTGGCCCCTTGCGTGAACTGGCCGGGCCGTGGCCAAGGACGGCAAGCCATCTACATGCCGGCCCTCTAGAATCCCACTGGCGGAATGCCTCGGCCGCGAGCAGAAATAACCCTTGAAGTCGGAGTACCTGCGTTAGCTATTCGTGCCTTTGTTTGTTTGAACCCTGAGAAAGGGTTTGCCGGATTGGCATTACAGAAAGGATGAAAATGGACACTGGATCTCAAAACAATGGCCCCTAGTGCAGATCTATTTTACAGTCAACTCGTTGTTAAAGGAAGGAATTCCCCAATGTCGCGCCCTCAATTACCTCGACTACACGCAGCCGACCGCCGATCGCCCTTTTTATCGACATATTCGTTTTTTCCTTTTTCTTTTTCAACTACATTATTGCTATTTCCTGTCGACATCCAACTACTAACGTGTCGGCCCCCGCTTCAGAGGATTTAATTATCTCTCTGGATTGGAGTCGATCACCATTCGTTATATAAACCGCCTCAATGGGCAAGTTTAATGTTTTTCTCTTGGCTGGCTTGGCCGCCAAGTTGGTAGCGGCCAAGGACGTCTATCTTGATTGGAACGTCACCTGGGTCAATGCCTCCCCCGACGGATTCGAGCGACCTGTGATCGGTATCAACAACCAATGGCCCTGCCCCCAGGTTGATGTGGAACTCGGAGACCAAGTAATTGTCGATGTTTACAACGGGCTGGGCAATCAGTCCACCGGCATCCACTGGCATGGCTTCCGCCAATATGGTACCGGCATCATGGACGGCAGTACCTCCGTCACCCAATGCCCTATTCCTCCCGGACAGCACATGCAGTATCGCTTCGACGTGAGTATAATCCAGTTGCAAAGCTAGGCGGTGTTGCTGATTACACGAATAGGTTAACCAAACTGGAACTTACTGGTATCACTCGCACAACATGGGCCAGTATCCTGATGGGTTCCGCGGGGCATTTATTGTCCATGACCCGAAACCACCATTCCAATTCGACGAGGAGATCACTTTGACTATGAGCGACTGGTACCATGAGCAGATGCCTAACCTGCTCAACCAATACCAGTCCGTGGAAAATGCCAAAGCTGGTGGATTCGAACCGATTCCTGACTCTGCGCTTATCAACGATTCTTCCAACACTAAGATCAAGGTTGTGCCTGGCAAGACATATCTTGTTCACATCATTTGTCTTGGAAACTGGCCTGGTCATGCTTGGGTCATCGATGGCCACGAGATGACCGTTGTTGAGGTTGATGGTGTATATGTTGATCCTTATCCTACTGGCGATAAAATGCTGCGCGTCGCTCCTGGCCAGCGCATGGGTGTCCTCATTCATACCAAGCCAGATGCCAGCCAAAACTTCGCTATTTGGGATACCATGGACATCAACATGATGTTCTTCTATGAGAACCGTCCTATTCCGCCTGGCTACAACCCTAATGCCACTGCTTGGCTTGTGTACGATGAGGCTAAGCCTTTGCCTCCCCCCCCCGGATATTCACCGGTTGGATCCATCTGTATTTGTTGACGACCTTGACTTTGTCCCTGCCGACAAGGAGCGAATCATGCAACCTATGCACCACCAAATCATATTGAATACCGGCGATACCGTGATTGATGGCGTGAAGCGCTTCACCATCAATAACAAAACCTATATCCCCCAGGACGTCCCTACTCTATACACGGCCAACACCATTGGATCGAATCTCTCATCTAATCCTGAAGTGTATGGACAAGTCAACCCGTTCGTCGTGCAGTATGGTGAGATTGTGGAAATTGTCATCAACAACCACCATAACAATCTGCACCCGTGGCATTTGCATGGCCATCAGTTCCAGGTCGTGCAGCGCTCTGATGTTAATGGTGGTTTCTTTACTGGCGCCTACTGGCAAAACATTTCCCACACCCCCGTTCGTCGTGATACCATTATGGTACAGAACAATGGCCACGCAGTGATCCGCTTCCGCGCAGACAACCCTGGTGTGTGGCTTCTACACTGCCATGTTGAATGGCATGTCGAGGCTGGTCTGACTGCCACTATCATTGAAGCCCCCGAGACATTCCCCCAGTCCCAGAAAGCGCCCCCCAAGAGCCACTACGACGTCTGTGCTGCCTACCCTGACCCTAGCAATGGAAACGCAGCTGGAAAGCATGGTCTTGATCTTGCTGGTGCTCATACAAAGGTCACTCCCGGTGACAATGGTGCTATGTACCCAGACGGTGCGAAGCCCGTCCCGGTATTGTCATCTGCCGCCCCTCCTGTGGCTGAGTCCAGCACTGTTCCTCCTCCAGCTCCTCCCGCAGAAACCAGTACTGCTCCTCCGCCCCCGCCCCCAGCTCCTGAGCCTACTCACCCCCACGGCTCCCCTCCCTTCCAGCCATCTGCACCCCAAGCTCCAGCCCCCAAGCCTACTGCCGAGCAGCCTGCGCCCAAACCAGCTCCTGCCAAGCCGGCGGCTCAGCAGCCAGCTCCCCAGCAACAGCCCGCCCCTCAGCAACAGCCCGCTCCAGCTCAGGCCCAGCCCATTCCTGTTGCCGAGCCAGTCCCTGTTGCTGAGTACTATCCTGAGCCTGAGCACTATCCTGAGCCTGAGTACTATCCTGAGCCTGAAGAACAGAACGAGCCTATCTACGCTTCCGAGACTGATGACTCGGGACCATGGCCACAGCCTGGCACCGACCATGCCCACGGACAGATTGGTGATGGATCGGACGGTGTGCCGCCACCCTATGGCGACACACAGGATACCAAGGGTGATTGGCCCAATCCGCACACCGACCAGTCTACTGGTCAAGTGCCTGATGGTCCTGACGGTAAGCCTATTGTGGCGCATACTGAGGATACCAAGGGTCCCTGGCCCAACCCCCACACCAACAATGGCTATATTGAGGAGGGCGGCCACAAGATCAAGATTCCTGAGGATACCTACCCCGACCTTCCTAAGGATTACCAGTACTGGGGCCAGTATGAGCGAGAGCAGTAGATTTTTTCCATCTCTCATTTTTAAAGAGGTTGTATATTAGCTTCTTGTCTGCCTAATGTTTACTTGACTTTGGGTATCTTTTAATCCTAATCCAAGAATATGAAAGTGGTTGGCTTTATTCCATTCTCCTTGTAATCTATCCTGATCTGAATCAGGAGTTCAATATTGCTAGCTCCCTCGCCCTTCATGCTTCGGACTCTTGAATGCTACCTTGATGTGGATATGCAGGCGACACACCCAGTATTCCGCAAGCGGCCATCCAAGTCAGGTACCACATTCCATATCCCTTGCGAGGTGACAAGCTTCACCACAAAAGATATAGCGAATGCCAGAATTTGTCTATTGCAGTAAATTGCACGACTGTTTTTTCTCGTATATTCATCTGTAAATTTATCGTCGGCTTTTTCCAATTCAGTAGACATTGATAGTTGGTATTCGAGCCCTCTCCTTGTCGTTAAGAACGGCTGCCTTTGCAGTAAGTAAATCTACCCGCATCCGGAACTTAACAGCCAATCAATTCCAGCAAATAGCATTAATTTGGCCACCTACTGTTTTCATCGATACAAACATCACACTCCATAAACCTGATGCGGAGTACTCTGCTTCCAGCCCTCACCATAGCCGTAGTAGATATGATTAAATTACTGGGTACAACCCTCGGGCGTTGTACGCCCTCTCCTGTGTTTCCCTCGAGAACGCTTATTGTTGTACAAGTCTTCGAATCCACCCCCAATCTCGATTCAACCTCATCAAAAATTCATCATGCCTCAATGGATTCTAGGAGATCGATTCGAAACCACTTACCCTCATAAGGGATCTATTAAGGCCCTGTGGGAGACGAAGTGGAAGTTTGTCGTATGTCTTTGGAGTCGACTTTTGGTCGAAAGATAGTGCTGACCCTAATTTACTATAGGCTTCAAAGTCTATTTATCCATTTCACGATGGCGCATTTGAGGACTTTGAGCCGATCTTCGAGAAGCTGATTGCCGTACGTCTCCTACATACTTTAACAACCTAATCAATAGTCGCAAACTAAACTAAACCAGGAAAATATCAACGACGCCTTCTCCGACGCCTACACAAACGCTTTCCTCCCCATTGCCTCCAAGCTCGAAGCCCAAGCAGTTGAAGCGCTCAACAATGGCCATCCAGACAAGGCATCCGACCTCTACCGTCGTGCCTCCGTCGTCCTTCGAATCTCGCGCTTCCCATACGTGAGCCCCAGCAGCCGTCCCGAGTCCTCCATCAAGCGAGTCGCCTTCGACCGCCAGAAAGACGTATACCTGAAAGCCGCATCGCTGTGGAACCCGATCATCAAGGAAGAAATCATCCCACACAAGCACGCTACCGGCAAAGATGGCAATCAGATCCCAATCTACGTCCGTCTCCCGAATGAAGCGAGCGAGGGTCCGGTCCCTGTCATCCTGATCATGACCGGACTGGACGGCTACAGACCCGACAACAGCCAGCGCACGCACGAGATCATCAACCGCGGCTGGGCAACTGTGATTGTCGAAATCCCCGGCACAGCCGATTGTCCCGCTGATCCTGCCGACCCTGAGTCCCCGGATCGTTTGTGGTCTAGTGTTTTGGATTACATGGCTTCGCGGCCTGAGTTTGATATGTCTCGTGTCGCGGTCTGGGGACTCAGTGCCGGTGGCTTCTATGCTATTCGTGCTGCTTGTACCCATCGTGATCGCCTCATTGGATCTATGGCTCATGGCCCTGGTAGCCACCATTTCTTGGACCCGGATTGGCTGCGTAAGGTCAATGACCATGAATATCCGTTTACGTGAGTTTCCTGTCTTCTATGCTCGATGTTTTTCCCCTCAATTAGAGCTAACCGTTATGATAGTATCACGGATAGCTGGGCTGAGAAGTACGGCTACGAGAGCACGGAGGACTTTGTGCGAAATGCGCAGAAGAAGTTCTCGCTTGTTGAGACTGGCGTTGTGGACCAGCCTAATTGCCGACTGCTATTGTTGAACGTGCGTTTACCCTGACTTGATACTTTGATCATTCAAATCGGCATACTGACTTACATCCAGGGCGTTGATGATGGAGTCGTCCCCATTGAAGATTGCCTTGTTCTTTTCAACCACGGTGGTCCCAAGGAAGGCCGTTTCTTCGATGGTATGGTTCATATGGGATACCCAAACAGCCTACCTGTTTCTTACAAGTGGCTTGAGGATCTTCTGTCACCCAACAAGACCGAGGTAAAGAACTAGGTGGACCTTGACTGAGATTTCCAGCTTGTTTGAACCTTTGATGTGCAGTTGTCCTTTAGTAAATTGATCACTTCTATTCGCTTTGCTTTTAGAAAGCGTATCATTCAGTAAACACGTAGCCACATTCCAAGATGGTTGGAAATAATCCAGGATCCTCGGGTCATTAATCACGAGGTTGCGCTACATCAACTTCATAAATTCAATGTCCTATTCGGATATGGATGCCCTTGAGGAAATGCCCACAGTCCGGATAGCTGCAGCGGTTCATTATTCCCCGTCACCCACCCCCCGGGTATTGTCATTTCAACCTACCTGATGGCACTGAGCATTCTATGGATGTTCTGGGCCATCCGTAAACACATAGCCGATTGCCATGTGTTGTCCCAATTGAAAAATCTCCCGGTGAAAATGGATCTAACCCCATACCATCTTGAGCCCTAGGGTATAAAAGTGCCGACTTCTCTTCTCGGTGTCTCTACACTCTAGAATTACTTACATCACGTAAGGCATAGGTAGGCTTGGGTGTATAGTATCGATTTGAACGGGGTTTTACTGATACTACTAGTAGATGTTTATCTCATCAAAGACCAAAAACTCCGAGTCTATCTCATCTCAGATATCAGATATCAGGATGCTTGCCTACGAACTCCTGGCTATGGGTATCTTCTTCGGGACTACCTTGGCCCAACCAACAAATGCTACGCGAAAATGGGCCCAATTCTACGACGACGATTCCTGCGGTGGTTCCCACGGGCTTTCAGTTAGCCTTAATAACCCGGGATGTCTGAACGAGGCCGGAAGAGGCTCCTTTAAACTTCACGGATACGATTTCGGGCAATACTTTTTAATATCTAGCCCGGACAACGATTGCCCATGTCAATCCTACTGCACTCGTCTTACGGGCCGCGACAATGGGTGCTTCAAGTTACAGGGTAACATGCTTGGTTCATCTTATCGTTTTGTTCGCAGGGAGAATAAACTTTGTCCCCAGAATCAATGCTGAAGTATCGTTGAGTTCAAGTTATTGATATTGCTTTGATCTATTTGGAATGACAAGGAGTTTCGTGATAGTCTCTCTGTCGGCTGCTACTGGTGGTTACTGTTTTTAACATTCCAAGGAAAAATCACAATACTCGTACTATAGCAGGTTGTCTCCATTTTTGGTGCCCTTGGAATGGCAATGGTGTAGATTACACTTGAACGCCCGCAATGCATGAAAGATCCTTTCCAACACACATATCCAACCCGAACCATTGATATACTGCAAAATATTAAACAAATCAATCAATCGTCATCCACCCTAGCACGTTTGGAGCCACGGTCATCAGGCTCTGCTTCTTGGATACCATAGCGCTTCTGACCAGCTGTGACATCGGCAATCATGCTGTCAATACCGAATGGATCCGCAGTATCCTTCTCAAACTGTACAGGGCCTTGACGCTCTTCGGCATCAGCAGCACCACGGAAACCTTCCTTGGCACGTCCAAGAACCTCGAAGCGGTTGGTCTTTTGGATCTTGCTCATCTCGCCTTCGCCTGCCTCCTCGTCGTCAGCGTCGGCCTGGGCCCGAGGACGGTAGATGCTGTTGATGGCGTCCTGCGCGGCAAACAGCGGCTTGTCGTAAGGGTTATCCTCGTTGAATCCAGCATGCATACCACTGGTCTGGTTGAACAAACGCGAATCCCACATAGACTCGGAGCTTTGGGTCGGCTTGGCCAATCCAAGAGCGACCTTCTCGGAAATATCACGGTTCTGCTCGCGGGCCATAGTCTGTATGCGACGCTCTGTTCCCATCCGAGACTGGCGGAGTTGTCGCTCGTTCTCCTGGCGACGCTCGCGGCGCTGCTGCTCACGATCACGGGCAGCTTGCTCGTCTTGGTCGGGGGTGGCGGATCTTGACGAGTAAGGGGATACGCTTCGACTAGCACTGCGCGAGCGCGATCGGGCATCGGAATCGCGGCGGCTGGGACCAGCACGCTCCTGGCGCGCCTTTTGAGCCAATTGTCGAAGATGCTCTTCCTTCTGGGCCTTCTCCTTCTCGGCAAGCTTCTGCTGCATCTGGGCACGAAGCTGCACTTCCTCTCTGGCGTGGCGATCGGCGGTGAACAAGGACTCTGCAAGCTGAGCGAACTTGTCGTTGATAGTCACATCCTGTAATCCACGGCCATCGGCAGCCAGACGCTTGTCCAGGGGGACGGTATAACCCTTTGGATTCTTCCAGTTCGACACGGGCGGGGGGATCTTCCACGCCTCTTGATCCTCGGCAGTAAGCTTTCTCGGCGGCGAGTGCATGACGGGGGGCGGAGGAGATGGCGGGCCACGGGGGATCTTCTTATGCTTGAATTTAGGTGGTTCCATCGGATCCTGCTGTCGGTCCACGATCTTCATGATACGGTCGTTCTTCTTGTCGTTATCTCCCATCTGGTTCGCAGGCGTATATCGCACAAACGTGGGCTCGTTCCGGCGTCCGCCCTTAACGTTCTTCGGCTTCTGGGCTTGAACGGCTCCATCGACAAGACTGGCTAGGGCATTCTTGGTTTTCTCCATCTGCGCTGCAACTTCCTCCTCCGATGGGCGGTCTAACGAGATCTCTCCCATATCCACTCGCTGTCGCAGTGGGATCAAATCTTTGAATGACGCATGGACGACCCGATTGTCGGCATGTCCCCGGCGCGCAATGGCATCGTACTTCACCTTGCCCTCGGCATCAACCTGGACCGCGAGCGCATTCGAAGTCGAAGAGGTTCCCTTTCGACCCATGTCGAGAGGGTATTGGGCGACTAGAATTTCAGGGAACGCGCCGCCGTCGCCAAAATCCTCGGGAGCTCGAGGTCGCCATCCTGCGCGGTTTCCATATGGCGGAGGTCCAACTCTCTGTGTTAGTAAAGTCTCATTAGTTATTAATCCAGACGAAGAGGGCCAAAAAGATAAAGCTCACCCGTAGGACGACTTGGGTTTCGTCGAGCTGGTCGGCGCCCACCACACGCGGGCCACGGGGTTGCGCATGTTGTGGCACCTCCTCTTCTTCGCCGGTATATTTGGGCTTGGGAAGGGATTTAAAGAGTCCCGATGCGAGAGAAGCCATGATGAGACCTAGAACAGGACAGGAGCTGCCAAGTCAAGGTGGTTGGTTGAGGGGAGAATCTGGAGAGATGCGCTTGGCTTTTGCAAAATAGCGCGGGTGGCGGATTTCGGTCGCCGTATGCCAAGCCTTTTGTCGATCCTGACTTTGGAAGGGTAACTATTAGTATGTACAGAGGGATTATAATATCGGAGATAATTTAATGGTTTATTTATCCAGTGCAGCTCGTAGACATCTTTAAGATACAATCATGCAGTAATATTACACAGGGCACACGTACACCAAGATGTTGGGATGAAATCGATGCCCGATAAGGTAGGTGTCTGTTACGCTCAGTTGGATATAAGGTGTGCACGTACTGGACAGTAAGCTCCATCTTTGTCGCCAAGTTCGACAAAATGCTCTTGTCCCTGGAACTTGTACCAAATCTTCAAGCGTTTCGGCAGTAACGGTGCTGGATCATAGAATCCTAGAGTTTGGAACTGCCAATCAACATGTCAGCAACCTCATAAAACTTCACTTTGTATGTTAGGAATCTGCCTTACCTTCACCCGTTCCTTCGGTATCACCAACTGACCCCCGTATACCAGTGCTGCCACGGGGATGGTCGCGTCAATAACTCGAGGTTCCGTGAATCCGCTCTTAGGCTTCTTGCTTTGCGAAGGGTAGTAACCATATTCTGCCTTTGTAACAACCAAGCCGCCGTGATATTCCTCCCGTGCTTGCCGTCGCTGTACTTGATCCAGCATCAGCTCGATAGCTTGCTCGCTTTCGGCGCGTTTCTTGGGGATGAGACTATTCAGCTCCTTATGGCGACGGGCAACTGCCTGTCGACGCTTCTTTCGTTCGCGTGGGCGAGCATATCCAAATTCAATAGCACAGTATGTCACCCAGGGTATGGCAGTGGCCAATACTGCAGCATCGTGATGTCGGTGAGGCATCAGAATAACGGGAAGATTGATGCGCTGGCCAAGACGTTTCCAGTGAACAGTCATTGAGACATTGTTCGCCGAAATACCCATACCCAGTCCAATCCTGGTATTTTCTCCGAATAGCCGGGTACCCTTCACGGTCCACTGGATAGAGCCGTCGAGCCCGATGACACTCGAAACTTGAACCTTGACCGCGCGTGCTTCGTCCATCTTTGCCATTGGCAGGTAGCCTTCGGAGTTCCACTCAGTCCTCACAGGATCATCCATTGGCTTTCCGGAGAATAAATTCCTTGAATAGGTAAGAGCGACGCCACCACCGCCTGGAGAAAGCGTGAGGGATGCGTTCCATGCTTCTGCAGAGCGATCAATATCCGCCTTTTCCAGACGTTGTGCTTCGTCATCATAGTCACCCTCCTCTTCACCTCCAGTTTGTGCAGGCTTAGGCTTCGCTACTGACATCAGAGCTATTTGAAGCTGACTGGGGTTTTCCATCGAAGCATAAAAGGCCTCGGCGCTCATTCCAAGTGAAGGGAAAGTTTCAGTGAGGAAACCGGGCCATTGTAAAAGTCCGCTGTTCCAGGTGAGCACTGCAACCTTTCTTTCGGCTATTTGCTTTGTCGCCTGTATCTGGAAAGACGGCGGGCTTTCAGCAAGGGATCGCTGGATGGTACCAGTGGCAGCCACATTGAACGGCTTAATGCCTGAGACCGGTTGGTAGGCTCGAGTAACGGTAGTCGTAAGGGCTGGGGTTGGAAGTAGAAGCGCACCGAGCGAGACGCTTGAATCCTTTAAGAACGAGAAAGGGAATCGATTCCAGACATCGCGGGTGCCGAGAAGGCCCTTGAAATTGGGTCTCACGGTGGCTCCAAGCTCAAGTGCATTCCCCACTAAAATCGGTGCTATAGGTACCTCAATATCCTCCTGCTCCGTGCCGTCGTCATAAGAAATGGTCAATCGCTGCCTCCGTTCTTTTATATTGCCCCTGACACCAGCATTTATCGTGAGCTGTACTAGATCCTCGTCATCGTCTTCTGAATCTGGTTCTTCTGTAGAGGTGTCCTTATCTTCAGAGTCGTTGTTCGTTGCCTTGAAGAAGTCTGGAAGTGGTAATGGTGTATTGAAACTGTAATTCACCCCAAACGTGGAGAGTTCCGGCGAGGGTATATGGAAAGTCACATCGTCGTCATCGCCTACTGTGATTGTTTCCGATGCATCGATTCCAATGGTTAACGTGCCTCTAGGATATCCAATGTCACGAATGGTCAGCAATAGTCTATATGAGATAGAGCATGAAGAAAGGAACGCCACGCTCAGCACATACATGGCTTTCCACGAGGCTTTCCACAGCCTTACGCTCCCGCTTCTTCATTGTTCTCAAGAACCACCGCCGAAATTGGCCCGGAGACATAGTCTTGACGCCGACATCTTGATTCGCAGCTTCGCCGTGAAGACCCATAGAACCAAAATGCGCCCACTCCCGTTTCACTCCCTCTGCACCCATCATGTCATAGACCGTTCGCTTTTGCGAGTCGATAAGCACATCATAGGCCTCTTGGATTTGGTTGAAGTGCCGCCGGGCTGCCTCGCGAAGGTGCGGAGGTTGTTTATCCGGATGGAAGCTGAGAGTCAAGTTGCGGTAGGCGGAACGGACATCCGCATCGGTCGGGGGAGGTTGAGAGGAAAGACCCAAAAGGGCATAGTAGTCGACCGTGTCGGGGTAGTTTGCATCTGCGACCATGCTGTAGTCTCCGTCAAGTCCGTCATCGTCGCGGTCAGAGCGAGAGTCGTGGTCGGAGCCCAAGTCGTGGTCGGCCACGGTGGCGGACCGGTCGAAGGTAGAAGCCATTTTGAGCTCGCTGGACACAAGATAAAAGGCACTAGGTGTAAGGGAGGGCCATGGTCTTTAGGCCTTGTCGAGGGAGTGTGGTGCAACAAAAGATGTTGGAGGTTGAGATTCGGAGAAACTTTCCGCGCTCCGTCGGCCCCGCAAAGGGATGGGATGACACGGTACGACTAGTACCTTTTTATAGCTACTAGTCAGCAAATACTATAGTATAGGCCATATTAATAATTTTAGTGACGGGAGCGGACCAAGATGGGACGAAATCGATGATGATGGAGGGGAAAGCCCTCAGAGCAATAGCTATCAATACTATTACTACAAAGGACCAACGCAACATGAATGCCACAAAGGCCACAAAGCAGTGTGGGCTGACAAGAGGCCCTAGGCCTCACCAAATTTTATATAACATTCAGTGGAGATAGAAGAGTAATAAGCCTCAGTGATATAGTAGTACTAGTATGTAGGAAATTATCTCTGTTGATACAAAAAGCAATATACACTGGCACAGTACCAACCCTAGTACTAACTAGTACAGCTGTGGGGATCAGCCTAAGGCATACATGAATACCTTCAAGTTCTAGTGAACTAGGATAAGTAAACAGTGTGGTATTAGCATGCACATGGGCTAGTATGGACGCCATTACTTACCCTATAATACTAGTATGTAGTAAACTACTAGTAATCAACCTTGGAAGCTATAATAATAATAATAATAATCTCACAGTATGATTCGTGCCTCGGCAGTATGATCTGCATTGACTGCACGAAATCCTGTATCCCGGTCAGGCTAATTTGCCTTTTTTATCATATTTTCTTCTTCAATAGAAAGGTATATAGATACTGAATCATAAATAAACATATCTATATACTATATACACAAATATGTGGTTCGTCATATCTGCCAAGACTCTGGGGAAGGGTGGCCATAACAATTCCAAGGTTGAAGGGTGCCTGCAGAGCCTCAGCCATGTCAGCTTCAGCTTCAGTCCTAGAGACTCCCCCCCTACTTGCCCGCACCAAAGACACCAACTTGAACCCCCACGAGATGCCACCCAAACTTGAGGCCGAAGAGGACGAGGATGCCACATTTGACTGGCTACATCAACCACCTCCAGTCCATCGGATCAATCTCTCATTACCCCCAGCCGAGCGTTATGTAGAACTGGCACAATTCTACCGAGATCCAATGCGATCGCTACGAGGCACGTTTGACGAGTTGGTCACGTCCCTATCCCCCAAGATCCCACTGGGATTAGTTCACCGATTGGCTCGTACCTTCTTACGCAGACTCTCCACGAGCGAAGAGACCGAGGAACTGCGGGGAATCAGTCGTGTCACGGGTATTGACCTTTACCTCCTAATCTGCTTCAATACAGTTCTGGATCTTCTCATGGGATGCACAAGTGGAGGAGTGCGCACAAAGCATGGATCTGAGACCAGGATGCTTCATTTCCGGACCCTGGATTGGGGCATGGAGAAACTTCGCCCTCTGATAGTCCAGCTGGAATTCACCCGTGATGACCACCCGGAGAGAGTACTCGCGACAACTGTAGGCTATGTCGGCTATGTCGGTGTTCTCACGGGGGTGAGGAAAGACCTGAGCATATCGCTCAACTTCCGCCCAGTTCATGATACGACGAAAAACTTCCCTTTCTACCTCAATCATCTTCTCGTTCTTCTTGGTCGACGCCCGTCTATCTCTTCGCTTTTGCGACAATGTCTCATTCCGTCTTCGCCAAATTCAAAACGCCTAGGGTGGGACTGGAAATTGCCGACTTTGTATAATATCATGGACGATATTCCCAGTCAACCCACTACCGCGGCCTATCTTATCTTCAGTGATGGGCAAAGGACAGTGACAATGGAAAAGGATGTCAGGACGGCAGTCACCCGTTTCGATCCATACTTCATCATTGTCACGAACAATGACCAGGACTCGGCCACAATACCATCGCAGGACGCAGCAGAAAACATGGAAAGCGGCCAAAGTAGACTCGCCCTGGTCTCGGGGGAACCACTCTCTATGGAGGAGTTGATTGAAGACAGCAAAGATAGACGTGCGTGTATGCAGAAAAAATGGGATCACAAGATGAAGCAGAATCAGCGGGATAGAGATCGAAGAGATCAAACAAGAGAGCTGCTAGTTGATGAGAGTCCCGAGGATACGAATAAACATCATTCAGGAGTTCGCTCGTCGCTACGCCTCAGACAAAAGGCAGTGGAAAGGCAAAAGCGAGTTGATTCGGAAATTAGCAAACTACGTGGTAATGCTGATCGTTCAGATACGGCTATCACGCCCCGGGAAGCACTTAGCTGGCTCACCACGTACCCAATTGTGAATGAGGACACTCATTACGCCACCTTGATGGATCCATCCGAAGGCAAATTGTTTTGGGTCAGCTTGTACGACTCAGGTCAGATCACAGCATGAGAGATAGGGTGCCCAGGTGGGGTTGGTTATAAATGAGTTCTCTGCTTCGTCAAAATACACGTATGAAAGCATTTTTGGCCACTTACTATTTCAACAGCAATGACGATTCATTCCAAAGTGTACATCGAACATAATTGCAAAATTTCGATTTCTGTCTGATGTAAATAGACAGCAAGCATTAAGCAGTCAATAAATTCAGAAAGCCAACGAAGTTCAGTCAGATACTATAGCTATAATACAGGGGCTAGGTCCAGTTGGGACTTAACCAAGTCGTGCGGGTAGTAGGATGAAATAGTAGAATATACAGTAATCGCAAACGGACCGCCAATGTCGACATCAATACCATCACGTCGTGAGAATAAGGGAGCCAATCGAATTGTGTGTTCGGAAATTCTCCCAACATGCTTTTTCCGAGGTAGGAAAATGACAGCGCCAATTAGCTTGATAGAAAGCAGAAATGCGCTTGCAGATAGGACACATATGTCTATATCATCCATAAAGGTAACAAAAGGCTCCAACCATTTAAGAAGAAGTAGATAACAATGGTGAATCAGAATTTCCATTTCGGTTCGGCAATGGAATGTAACTGAAAGAAAGCTATGGTCGTTTTTTTTTTTAGCGATCTCTCAGCCAGACGATGTTTTTCTCTGAGATGCTGTTTTCATCGACCCTCATTGCGCGCAAAAGGGCTTCTCGCGGCATGCTTCCATAGAATACATCGTCATCAGGGATACCTGCGGAGCTCGGCGCGCCTTTGTGGACTTTTTTCTCGAGTGATGGGCCATCCAATGTAAAGCAAAGCTTATCTTGAGAGCTCGCTCGGTCCTTCAAGCAATCAGCCATCGAATCCAGACGCTTCTGGATGATGTTTGCCAGCTCCAGCGAGATGTCCCAATTGCGACCAAACATATGGACCGTTTCGAGAGCACCATTGATGAAGGAAACGCAGTTGGGCAGATCAACCAATAATCCAGCTGCACTTAGAACGTCCACGGCAGACAGAATCACATGGCCCAAGAAGGGATTCAGAAAGATTCCTCTGGGTGAAAACTCGGCAGAGCTCTGCGAAGCTTCTAGCTCTTTGGCGTATTGGAGAGTAGCCACGGCAATTCTCAATGTCTCCACTGCGTGGTATCGAGCTCGATGGACGTACTCGGCTAGCACGTCTGATCGGAGACTTTGATATCGGACGTTCCTGTAGAGCTTTGTCAAAGTGGCGTGATAAAACATATGCATCGAAACGAAGGAATCTGTCTTCTTCGTTTGACAGGCTCGCTCCAGGTTCGACGCTGAGAATGCGAGGTGTTCGGGTAGTTGTTTCGTCCAGTCGTCCGTTTGCCGGATGGCGGAAGTGTGGACCTCCTCGGCGAGCTGGGCGTACCTATCGGGTGGTGTGTGCGACAAACGGAAGATGTGATGAGACACGTCGCCCCAGACGGACAGGATCTGAATCAAATAGGCCATTGTGCTTAATGAGGATCGATCATCCTCAACGGAGAGGGTGCCTTGGTTAAGGATGGATTGGAAGTATGGGGCCGTCGCATATTGCTGCGCTTCGTAGATCTCTTCTCTGCATGGTAGGCGGATCAGGACGGATTCCGAGGAGATAGAAGTCGAGGATGCCTCCAAGAAGAGGCTAGAGACTCGCTGTAAAGGGTTTAGCATGTACGTTCCAAAATTGCATCATTATTTCGGAGAAAGCTCACGTCTAAGATAAATGCCACCCAAAAGGTGCGTCGGCGGCATTCCATCAAGGCTTGTGGGTGTAATCCAAAGTCACAGGCATGATTCTGGTCCACAACGACACCTCCAGATTCCATGTTATATCGCAGTCCAGAAACCGCGCGTGTAGCAGCACCAATTGAATCCCAAGACCCAAACAAGGATCCCGTGGCGTAGTACAACAGGCTCATGACGATATGGCTTTGCACGAGCTGCAGAGACAGCGTGTATTGGTTTTTCTGTATCGCAAAGCGAGCGATTCGGTAGTTTTGTTTTAGTGCTCCAATCTTGTCAGGTCGCTCCGAAAAAATTGATCCCAGGGCCAGGATTGCATAGAGTAACATCTTGTCCTCGTTGGATTTCGTGTGGCAGGATCTCAGCCAAAGAATGAAACGCGCATGGGGAAATATATGGTAAAGGCTGTCGTTGACGTTCGAGAAAAATGATTCAACATAATGGAGAGTCATCTCTGGGTCACTCTCATAGGGATCGATGTTATAGTAGCCGGCGAGTGGGTCGTCTGGGGTTATTTCCGGCAAATTCCCAATTATTTCCGAGTATTTCTGTCGACGATTGAATTCGAATTTCTTCGGTGACTGGGCTGCAGAATCACCTTCTGAATAATGACGCGGCATTCGATGTCCTCGGGCTCGGTAAACTCTCTCTGTATCCGTCTCGTGTGCGCCCTCGGTGCCAGGGGTAATAATAGCACCCTCGGAAATTGGAGAATGCCCACTTGTCCCTGGGAGAGAGGTAGCGCTCTCCGAGGCTCGCCCCATGTTGTAGATCGAAGGTGAAACCTCTGAGTGTCCCGATGGACCGGGAGAGAAATCCTCTCCGTCAACTCCTCCGGACATTGCAGTCGACTGAGATCCCCTGAAAGAGCGGATTCCGCGGGGACTAACCAAGGTCAGCATTAATTCTGTCCCGAAACACCACAGCTTAATTATGTCTCTGCATTACTTACGCGCTCTCAAATCTGCATTCGCGGCCAGACTTTTGGCACTGGTCACATTTTGGCAGATTCGGTTGACACTTGATCTTCTTCTCGCGACAGGTGAGGCATGCTTGGGCAAGACGCTTTCTTGGCTTGCCCGCCTTTGTTACACCCCAGTTAGCATTCACTGGGATTCCGTCGATGGTTTTCGGGACGTGCGATCCATCCGCATATACAAAGCAGAAGCCTTCACCATCGATATACTTTTCATCTACCACATGGGGCAGAGTGGAAGTTCGACCACTTTCGGGAGAAGAAAGCTCGCCGGCGGCGGGAACTGATTCATGCTGGAAAGTAGCAGCATGAAGAGGCAATTGTCGATTATGCATAGTTGCCGATAGGGGATCGCTGCGAGATGCGTGGTGAATCATGTCTCTCGGGCTTGCCATAGCTACCTGAGAGAGTGGCGGTAGACTCGGGGTATACGGCTGAGGTAAAGAGTCCGGGCGACCGGGTCTATCTTGTCCACCGAGTGGTGAAACAACGCTGGATTCATGTTGACGAAATGGATAAGCCTGATCGCGATGTTCAGTATGCGTTGGGGGAGCACTGTATGGCTGATGGTATGTCGGTGGTGAGGTTGGGCCGGAGACGGGCGTCAACAGGGACCTAACCGATGGAAGTTGTTGTGAAGGGGCTTCTGTAGATGGTGGTGTTCTTCCTGGTTCATGTGATTCTGTTTGTTGGCGCTGTCGTAAGAATGGATCTGATCCAAATTGTAGGGTGGCCGGTCGTGGAGGTGGAAGCTGGTAAGGGTTGTTATCCCCGGGTTCTGACCGATTAGCTCCTCGCTCCATGGGTTGCTCCGAAGACGCCGCATCTTTTCCGGGTAACATACGACCGAATGGTCCAACATAATAGCCAGACATTGCCGAGTATTGAATCGAAAGTAGGGCGATGCTAGATTTCACAGTGGACAACCAACTACATGACAATCCCAACCAGTAATAACAGCACTAGCCTGTTCCAAGTTGTAAAGTTGTACTTCGATGAAATTGATCCTTCCAGGTGATGTAATGGAAAAGGAGCACTCAGATATTCCAGAGATTTGAAAGTTGAAAGTTGAAAGTTGAAAGCTGCTCTCAGTTGATAAACGGTTCCCGAAGGTCCGATGCTCGTGCAGAGAGAGGAAGGGATAATGGCAATGATCTAGAACAATTGGAGATGATCAGTAAAAGGATCCAATATCATTAAACGTATGCAATGAACAAGCAAATTAAATTTCCCACCCACCAAATTTGCTTCTTGTCGTTCCAGGACGGTGATGGATGTCAATTAGATGCAGATGGGTATAAATGTTTGAATTAGATGGGCAATGGAAGCAATGATCGCGAAGACACAGGATATATCTGGTTGTAGACTTCGTAAGGATCACCAAAGACTCCAATGGCAAGATGTTTGGCGTCCCAAAGGATTCGATATTCCCGTGGCTAAACGGATTGAGTCCTCGGCACTTACAGCACGCGCTTTACGCCCCGTCGCGAGTACTATCCGGTGGAACTGAATCGAAAGGAAATTGAGACAGGTTCAAAAGACCAGCATGTCGCAAACGGCCCTGGCAGTCAGAGTCTTGGGTGCATATTCAGCATACCAGGGTGGCTGCAGGATCCCAGTGAGTTGCATGCGCTTCGAGGAGACGGTTCCCCAGAAGGATGGAGACGAGGGTTAGACGGCCGAGTCGCAAACGATCGTCGACCTCCCAAGAACGACGCGGAAGTCAGTCCGAATGAGTGAGGGTGAATGAACTATTCACAGACTGTCGTCAAAGGAAGACCGAAAAAGGAGTGCCAAGTCACACTTCCAACGCTCGCGTGTTCTTGTGGACCGAAGAGTCGAAAAGAGCCAGATGGACGACTCTAAACGTAGATCCACGATCCGAGATCACAACGGCCCCAGGGCGATACTAGTCAGAGTGTGCGAACCGCGAGATATGAGATATGCCCAGCGACGATAATGGAGTCGGAACGATCAATCCAGCAAGCCGATGGTGGCACACGGCTTGACTATACAGGGAAAGTAGCCTGGTCGCAATCACTGATTGCCACTGGTTGGTTGCAAGGGATCCTGGGAAAATAGCTAAAAGTAGCGTCCCCACGATAAATGTAAATAAACTAAGAAAATCCCAAGAGCGGTTTGCCCCGCGAGTAACCTTGAAGGGCGGTTCACTCCCTGGTGGATGCGAGCTGGATCCCCTCCCCCTGCACAAAAACACTGGGGCGATACCAGGATTCCTCGGTAGATGACGAGGAGGGGCCAGGGCCTGAAAAGGTTTGCACCAAAAAGAAAAACAAAAGGATGAAGGAGAAGCAATGAAAACTGAAAACCAAAAAGGAAGAAGAAGAAAACCAAAAAGGGAAAAGGACCGAACACGAAGCGAAACAAATCGAAAGGGGAGAGAAGAGAGGAGGGGTTCAACCTCACAACTTCAGAAAAGGGCCAGAGTCTCAGTATGTATTCTTGAGTACTGTACTCCGTACCTAGATACGGGGATGACGATGGATTACGCCCAAAATACTACTACATGTACTCGGGAATTCCATGAATTTTAGTTTAGCTACCATTCCGACTCTTGACAACCATACGATCGACGAGAGAGTGGGATCGATCTATACTCTTCTGGGTGCGCCCCGTCCGAGTAAATTCTCGAAGGCTCAACCCAAGACACATGGAAACATGGAAAATTCAGGATGAGACATGCCCCCCTCCTCTCCTCCCCGCCCGTCTTCTGCGTTTGCTTATGGTGTCCTCTAGTCTATCCCTCTGACCTGCAGGCGGCTCCTAACAGCGCCACCAGCTTTCGTTAGGCCAAGCAGGGCCTATTGGCAGAAGCCACCAACTCTCCTCCATAGGGTTATCGAAAAATTGAGGTCATCTACGCCAGCGCTGTCCGGTGGAGCAGCCGGTCCAATCCGATCATCGATTCGGCATTTCGGTCCTGCACAAGGGATCCTCCGATCATCCGTCCGGAGGCCCATTCATTACATACATCTGGGATGTATGTAGTATGTTGGTGGTTCCTCCCGAGGTATCGTGTCGTCCCCGGGCCGGCATTTGCAACGCAATGCCGTTAGAAATAACGCAGTGGAGTGGTGGCCCATCACGGAATTTTATTTTATTCCAAATTAACTCTACTTGCGCCCAGAGAATAAAAACAAATTAAGAAAAGAAAAAGAAAAATAGGCCCACTTTCGCGAGTTACCTAGGCCCATTCTTTACTCGGCGTGGGTGGGACAAGAAGCCTCCGGCGAAAGCCCCCCCGGTTCGTCCGGGAGACCCATGTATGGCTCCAATTTTTACTGCGTCTTTATATTAATCGTGCATCCTCCGTCTAGCATATTCATTCATGATGCAGCTTGTCGGTGTACATATACATGATGTGTGGGCTGAAAAAAAAATTGCCTCCACGTCTCGGCGGCCCCTGATCGACCCTTCTCTGCCCTTCAAGATCGATATGTCCGGTCAGGACGGGATGACCAAGCCATTGCCTATGATTGAGCATGTATAACTATGGCTTCTTTAGTTATATGGCTATATAGGTGGCTATACCGAGCCTATGATACCGATTCTGCTCCATGTGCAGTCTCGTGTTAAGAGAGCTGCAGCTTGAACACGCGCCCAACAGTGGTTCCAAAAATCCAGAATGTGGTCCATTACAACCTGATTCATCTTTTATTATTATCTTTGTCTGGTCTCATTGACCCATTGTTTCAACCCCTCTTCTTCTGGACTCTCTCTCTCTATCTCTCTCTCTCTTGTCTCGATGGTTTTTATTTTAAGTTTCCCCCCTCCCCCCCCCAGGCATCACAGCGGGTAAGATGGTCTTCAACGGCGGAATCAAGCGCCCGTCTGTCGATCGACATGAAGAAACTCAATAAAGTACTCCGTACAGTGGAGGAGCAGAGCAACACGACAGCTTGTTTTGGGCCCGAGATGATGGCCGCGAATACCCTCACCAGTGGGTCAATGGTGCCTTCGGCCGGTGGCGCGGGCGACTAGATGCCTAGTCGGGCAAATCCTCCTGGATCCAGTGCTGGGGCCGCAGGGCTTATCTCTCTTTTGGACAGCCTCTCTGTGAAGATCGCTGGATCGTATGCACGAGTGGACTGGGTGGATTCCGATGGGTTCCAATTTTTACGCAAGACCCTCGGTTGAGAGTCAAAATGGTTCGGGTCTTCCCTGATGCGCGCGGTGCGCTAAGTCCGACTTACTGGATAGAGGGCCTAAGCCGAGACCTGTGGCCCCCCCCCGGGTTGATTTGCACTTAATTATCAGTCGGGGTGGATTTTTTGGGTTTTTTTTACTCTCTCTTTTTCTTCTGTGCTCATTGTTGTTCATATTTTTTCTTTGCTTATTCTGATCTCCATAGAAGGTTTAAAGGTGTTTGCGGCCGATCCTCGGGGTCAAAAAGGCCTAGCCCGGCATGTGCAGATTCTGCTCGGCGCCCACGATGAGCTAACTTCAGATTTCAATGTTATTGCTTCAACGGCCAAGAAGAACAAGAAAGTCTAAATTTAATTTAGGAGTTTACCAATTCTCCAGCTCCCACTAGCTCCTACGGAGTCCTGACCTGCCCCGACTTCCCCATTCTATGCTTCATTAATTTGTATTGCTGACCATTTCGAGTAATAATCTCATGTATGTACTCCAATATCGCCCGAGGCAGTGACAGGGAACCCTGGTCTTTCCAAACGACGTGCTACCCAATGGGCCCGTCTGGAGGCTTCGCTCCACCCTGCCCACTCGACCACTTTACTCCAACGGCGAAGCACTCCGGAGTTGACCACGTATCGTGTCTCAAAAGTATGGCGATCTGATCTGCAACCCGTCATTTGGGATCCCCTGTGATTGCAGCCCCTGGTGCAGCTTCGTTCTACATATCCCGTATACACTCCGTACTATTGCGCCCTGCAAAAAGTTCAGTCTAGCCTAGCACCTAACCCCCTGAATTCTGATTTCGATTTTTCTTGAGATCCATGGATATTGAGGAAGAGATCTTGAAATCGGTATATCGAATACCTAAATCCATACTCCATACACCGGTGAAATAATACGGATGATCCCGGTCTTCGGGTCTTGATATGTCGCTAGAGCCCACCTAGAACAATGAGATCCGCGACGCCAAACGCCCAACCGGCATTTCTCCTGGCCTCCATCTGGTATTCCCACCCGAGAAAACTCGCAAGCCTCGCTGAGGACGGGTTAGGGTAAGATCACGCCATTGGCCAATTCATCCCCTCGGACCCAATTTTCTTCCGAACAAATACCGATTGCGACGTTGCGGAGTAGAGATTCGGGACGATGTGGCTATCAAATGCCGGGTGAGGGAGGGGGGGAGATTGTAGAAAAGCGAACGACAGACCGGGGGTCAAAGGGTCTGGGAGAGATTCTGACGCGCAGCGTCGGGTTGCACTCCTTCGGGTAATTAGGTTTTCTGGCTTCTCAGGCACCATTGAATCCTTGTCATATGCACTCGGCAGATGGCAATGTGATCCAGCGGAAAAGGACACGCCATCCATGCAGTGCTAAGAGTTTAGGGCAATGCTGCAATATAATCTGATGGAGCCAAAGTGGAGCGGTTGGTATTACTTGAGCCCGAAATATAGGTTTACAGTGGATTTCTGTACACCGAAAATCTCCAAACCTTAAGAATATGGCACGTTCCTGGAACCATCGTGGCACGCCCCTCTGTTTAGAGCAAGCTGTGCTACGACTCTGCATTTTACTAGTTACTGCAATGCTGGATGACTAGGAGATGTAATATTTTGCATCTCCTGTGCTCCCTTTTTACTCCGCAAGCTCCTAAAGTAACGCCGGCTGTGCTCCCGATTTTCCTTCAAGTTCCCCCTCCTCCCCCTGGACCGATTGTTGTTGGCTGAGACATGCACACCGCGGTCCGGCAGGTCTATACTTAGTGACAGCTCATCTGGGATCGACGAACGGAGCTCCGTTCCCTAACGGGTGGATTCAATTTCCTCCATAAAGTGTGGATTAAATACATATTCATCGGCTATGACTAAATACAACTAACTATCAGTGTGCATGCCCATAATTAACTAGCCCAATCTACGGAGTACAGGGTGTTATATAACAGAATAGACAGGGTTGTATTATCGTTCGGCTGATCCTTCCGGTGCTCGTGCCAGCTGTTCCTTTTACGTCCGACCGCAATTATGCTTACCCTTGGAGAATCGTGTCAAAAAACAGGGGATGTCTCGTGAACGTGGAAACGCAGCATCGGAAATTTATTCGGGTCCGATCCAGCCTCCGCGGGTTGATTCATCTCCCGTCTTTTGGCCTGAACCTGGGGAGACTGCAAGATTGACTCACGCTATTCCCTTGGAAGGATCTCGGTTAGTCCTGGTTTTCAGTTCAGGTTGCATCTGCCCGTTCGGCTCCCGTACATTTTAACTCATAGTGGGCTCGCTAGTGAAGAGGATCCACTGTAACTGCGGCTGTCTGGAAGCTTCACGGAAAGGCAGGGAGGGGAGTAAAATCTAACCTCATCCAATTAATTCAATTCATTCCATTAATTCCATTAATTCCAACGCAAAAAAGCCTCGGAGCTCCGGTCTAGTCGTAGTAGTCGTAGTGTAAAAAAAAGTTTAACAATGTATTTGCCTAAGGTGGAACTTGCACACGATGAGATCGTGTTCCTCGTGTTGTCATTGCGCATGAAGCAAACTCAATCCAGGTCATGATTGCCCCTTAGGTCCCCGACTATCGCCTCGCTTGAAGTGCAATTACTTTTCCACCTTACACAATACGGCAAGTGCGCACCGTCGGGCCTGACGTACATCATCTCCACTTGGTTCGACCATCAACCCCCTCAGACCGCGACACTATCAGCCGCGGACCCTGATGGTGCCCTTGGCGCCCGCGTTGCATGTCCGTGGATCTTCGCCTCTCCACTCGCTCGAGCTTCGCTTGGATGCCACTCCTCTTCACCCGCTCGCCTAGTCCAAATCTCGACGTTCGTCCGCGTCTGTGCTGTCGATTTTCCGATGGCGATTGCTCATCGCAACTCTCAGAGCCTTTTGGAGACGGCTTGAGAGCGATTGACACGGACGCGGACGCGGACACGGGCCCTGGTCGCGAAATCTGGGACCTCTTCGCGTGCACTGTACCTTTGTTGTCCTTTTGGCCCTTGGAATGACGGGCCTACGGGCCTCTAGGGTTCTGGGATCCGGCGCCTGCCGATGAAAGTCTAATAGATTGAGCTTCTAGAAGGCGGACCTCAGCTAACATGTGAACTGCTTCAAGCTAAGGTGTATCCGTACTCCGTACATATGTACGACATGGGAATGGTGGATGGATCGGAGCCTTGCGATGCCAATGTTCAGGAAACTTACGGTAGGAAGGACTTCCCTATTTCTCCGCGTTTCAAGTTAAGCGTGGTTCCAGTAATGAACTCTTGAGCAAGCTTGCACTTGGTGCCCAGGTGATTATGATCGCCGTAATGAACCGGGATCATCCTTGGTGACAGGTCGTCAGCCGGTCTTGTTCGGGGATTCGCTAATGTCATAAGACCCAGTTCAGGGCGACGCTATGGAGTACGGGGACGGGGTACTCTGGTTCAATTTTTATTAGTGTCGGGCGGTGTTTCATGTTGCTCTAAATAGCACTGCCACAATCGGTCAATCATTGCTTGTCTTCAACGGTCGGTATACGGAAAAACTCTGCACTGCCTAGGCAAGCATTGTCATTGCGGACATGTGATCGACATGCCTGACACGCGCTAGTACTACAACTAGTGCCTGCAAGAAGTAGACAACTGGCAAGGAGCTATGCTGGGCACCTAAGTGGCATTCAAGTTCATTTATACAGTAAAGACTAGTAGTTAGGTACTATCTGGTATTGAACACTCCAGGCCTGGCAAAAGGGCAACTCCTGGGGATAATGGATTCACGCTTGAAGATTTCAAGTTGCCTGGGCACCTGGGCCTGGAGGTGTCTAGAATTGGCCAACTTTAAGTTAAGCCCTGGAGAATTCAAGTTCCAACTTATCGAGATATATATTGTCTGTACAGGGGCCTAACCTTAGTAGCCAGCGAGTTGAAGAATGCCAAACCTTGGGGCCAACTTCATGCAAATGACCAGGGGCTGGTATGGAGGACCTTGGAAATGATTTGAATATAAAATCGAGACTACTACTAGCTTTCTCGGAGAATAACCAAATTAAAATCGATATAACTCCTAAGCTTTCGGGTGTCACATGTTATATTGAAGATCATGACAACCCGAAATATCTTACTCCGTAGATTGCTTCATGACAGAACTCAAATAGATGACGATGCTCATCAATGGATAGAATGAAAAGTACTGGACTCAACAAAGATGATCCCTCCATTTGGTTTCTGACTAGCAGTGCTCCCCCCCAAAATCCATTGCACATATTTCCTGGCCTCGGACTGTGACGCAGTGGGTCCGCAAAACATTTAAGTACCTTGCGAATTTTTCATGTAAAAAGTTTCCACTGTTAGTATTAACCGCCAATGGAGATCACCCTTGGAAGATCATAGTCTGTAGATACCTTGAGAGTAACTTCAAGCTGGATATCTAAGAATTACATAGTACTACGAGGATCGACGTACCACTGGAAACCTACAAGAGAATACTGTGTGATAATAAACCGATCATATTATACTCCGAGACCTTTGGGTATTGCAAAAAACGCATTGATTCATTTTTGCTCTGTAAACTACCATTTTTCATCGTTCAACAAATTCGTAGAGAAGTCCATGCAAGCATGCGCTTACTCCTGAGAAAGAACGTTGTTGAAGGCATCACCAGCGCGAGTAGGCTTGCCCTCCTCAACCTTGGTCTGGCCGAGCTTCTGCTTGGAGTAGGCAGCGGCGTAGGGGTTGAGACGGAGCATGACCTGCTTGTTGCGGAGAGGGTTCTTCTTCTGGACAACACCACGCTTGGTGCGGGCCTCGCCCTTGGGAGCGCGGAGGACGGACTGGATTTCAGAAGAGTTGATGAGGCGGGCCAGGTCGGCGTTGGCAACGCTGTTGGAGGGGAGGAGGAAGTCCTTCTTGAGGGCCGAGGGGGTGGTGGTGGAACCGTAGACCTTGTCGAGGGCCTCGAAGGCGGAGGAGGTCCAGACGAGGAAACGACCGACGTGACCACCGGGAGCGAGCTGAAGAAGGTTCAGGGAGAAGACGGAGGAGGTCTCAACACCGGGGATGTTGCGGAAAGCCTTGACGAGCTCCTTGCCGTCGGTCTCGGGGTTGTAGACAACCAGAGGACCGCGGCGCTGGCGGAAGCGGCGGTTACGGAGCTTACCCTTACCAGCACGGAGCTTCTTGGACTTCTGGACCTTGACGAGCTCGTCACCGGCACCGATGGCCTGGAGGAGGGCGATGGCGGCCTTGGTCTTGGTCAGAGCACCACCGAAGGTCTTGGACTCAACAACGAGGGGAACCTCGGGGACCTTGGCGATGCGGTGGCCACGGGCGAACAGAAGAGCGGGGACGGAAGAGGCAGCCAGAGCAGAGGCGGTAGCGAAGCGCTTCTGGTTCAGGTTGATCTTCTGGTGCCACTTGCGCCAGACCTTGGTAGGGGCGAACATACGACCGGAACGGCACTGGTTACCGAAGGCAGCCTGACCGGCACGGTGAGTACCACCACCAGAGACACGGGGGATACGGGCGACAGCACGACCTATTGAATATCAAAACGATCTCGTTAGTGATCCGCCATACCAATTGCAGGGTCTTTTCGACATGAAAATCCTTCTTCCTTAATGGGATCGTCCCATCTTGAAAAGTCTCCATTCCAAGTCGAAAATTTTCAAGATCTCCACGTACCGGTACCCCAGGACTCAGCGGAGGTCTGCTCGCCGGCCTTCTCGCTCACGGCATAGGGCTGGCGCTTGTTCTTGGCCATACCGGCGTGCACCTGCCTGTAGGGAGAGTTTTCGTCAGCATTTCCACCTCCAAAAAGACCTTCAAATATGCGGGTTGGCGTACTGGACAATGTCCGAACGGATGGGCGCGGAGAAAACGGAGGGCAGAGCCTGGGTGGCCCCGGAGGCCTTGCCCTCAGCCGTGGCGATGGAAACGGTGGGACGAGACGCCATTGTTGTCGGTCGATGTCGATGATGAGGTTGAAGACCAAATGTTTCCCAACTGGGCTTCACCTGTGGATTTTTTCGCTTACTGAAGCTGCGGGTCGTGGGTGCGGCAAGCCCTAGCCCTCGTTCCCTCTTCGGGACTGCCTAGTCACGTTAGTTTCCCGCACGGGCCTCATTATGTCATCCACTTTACCCCACTCGTGGTTCTTGAATGCCTTACATATGAGGCAGAACTGAACTATACACCATTACCAATTGCTAACAGGCCCATATTCAGTCCTCCCCTTGAACATGGACTATCTCAACTCATGATGATTCATTTCTTGGAATTAAGAGTCACCCAAAACAATGAAATGGGCTGACTTACCGCCAAGATACCAACAGTCCGCAGGTCCATCTTCTAAGCGCCGACCCGTTCTTGTGCAACGTCAATCACATATGGAGCTATTTTGGTCCAGCTCCTCGTGCAAATGGCTCTCCTTTGCGGACTGAAAGCCCAGAGGCATATTATATAAGTGGCGGAAGATATGCACTAGCACTTCTAAGCGCCCTGATTCAGTCCGTCGATGAACTCGTCGTTTCACCTTCTTACTAGGTGCATAACTGGCGTTGTTGGCGAGGGGGGGCCAGCGGTTAACATCTAGCATAATCGAAAAGCCGCTCAGCGTCTATTAAGATTTCGAAAATGCCATATAGATGCGGCCCCCTTTCGAATGGATTCCAACTATCCTGCTTTCTACCAGATATCGCCCGCTCTCACTCGCTTGGCCTCGCCCGGCCTATCTATACGGTATTGCATCAATAATATAGACTCGGAATGGCTTGAAAGCCGCCATGTTATCTCGATTCTTGATTCTACCATTGAAGAGTCATGCGGATAGTACCTCACAGACTTCCGGCTGGCGACCTTCCTACCTACGAAAACGAGTTTTGATTCTTTTTATTCTCACATTCGCTGCAATTATCGCCGCCCTTGAAGTAATATATCAATCATCCGAAGCTCGCAATGGGATCGCTATTTCCACACAAGATCGCCATTACTTTTGGACCTACGGGCCGACCGCTATACTCACTATCATCACCACTCTCTGGTCACGGGTCGAATTCCAGACGAAGCAAAGTGCTCCCTGGCAGGCACTGCATGACAGCCCTCAACCAGCAGACAAAAGTGTACTGCTCGATTACATTTCGGACATGCAGCCAGTGGTGATCTGGAAGGCCTTGAAGAACAAACATTTTGCAGTCGCTTCAGCGACCTCATGTTCCTTGCTACTACAACTTCTTATAATCTTCTCGACAAGTTTATTCTCACTCCAAGAAGCTCAAGTTCAAAAAAGTAATATACCCATCAACATCCATGATACCTTCAGCACAAAGAACTCCGAAATCGATACTGTTGGCTCCCAGCCATACGATATTCTTAACGGCATACTCTTTGAAAATGTTACATACCCCTTGGGGACGACCGAGAACCTTACATTTCAAGAATTTTCAGCCCCCAGCCTCCCTTCAAATGCGATAGTGACTGCCCCGATACACGGATTAATGGCTGAATTCGATTGCGAGGATGCTAGTTTGGATATAAGGGCCCTGAACTACGTGACCACGAATGAAACCGGGCGAGTGGCAACCAATTTCGATGTCGACATCTTCACGTCTTCTTGTGAAATAGCCAACATAAGCCTCATATCGGTCGATGTGACGCAAACTGCGTTCTTCCAAGGAGGGCAATGCGAAAACATCGACGGCTCAGATGGCTACCGTATTGTGTTGACAATGGCCCAGCCATATCAAATAAATGTCACGTCTATCGCAACTCCCGCCGATCATGTTAACGACACTCACCGTCAGACTGGTTGGAAAAAAACATACATAGGACTTAATAGAACAATCTCGATGATTTGCAAACCGACTCTTTCGCTTCTAAAGCTAAAAGCCGAATCGAATGCAACTGAAATGTCATCTGGTGCTCGCATTCAAAGAGTTGGATCTGAGGATGCCAATATCCCAGGAATAACGGCAGGAGATATTGCAAAGTTCATAATTGACAATTCCACTGCTACCACGGGCTTCAGACCAGTTGAAGACTATATTCCGTTTTCATACTACTCGCACATCGACACAGGCTTTAACCTTGGACTACATCTCATTGGAGAAAATATCACTGTTCCAACACTTTGGCAAGATGGCGTCCTGGAGAGTTCTGGCAAAGCGTTTTATCGTGCAATTACTGCCTTGTTGATGCACATGGGACTCGTTCAAAGAAAGCAGTCAGCGACAACAGGTCTAGCAATTGTTACTGAGAATCGGGTGATGATGATGGAGCTACCTCTCCGTGGAATGGAGGTATGCTTAGCACTTGCAGTATCTTTGGCCATTTCCATGGCCATCCTTATACCAGGCACGTCGATAACTACATGGAGCCCAAATAATGTTTCCTCGATCGCAGCGATAACGGCAAATAGCGCTGCATTTCGAGCATCTCTTCGTGGGACTGGTGTGGTATCTCACAAGACTCTCCAGAGTCGTCTTGTGGGTCAAAAATACTACTTACAGTCCACCCCCAAAGGTACATCTATCGAAACCGCCGAGGATGGCCGCCGAGAATCAAAATTTGATTTCAATATTGGCTCCGAATATATCACATGGAAACCCTTCCCCGAGATGATTGGTCGCATAATAATATTCATTCTCGTTCTCTCAGCAATCGTGGTGCTAGAAACACTTTTGCGAGTTTCGCAGACTAAAGACGGACTAGGAGATGCATCCTCAGAAAATGAGTACATGCATTATTTGTGGACGATGATTCCCGCCCTGGCGATGGTTGGAATAAGGCTATTTTTTGGGAGTTTGGATTTCAACATCAGATGCCTTGCTCCATACGCACCTCTCACTAAACCTAAAGGGGCCTTGTTTGAACGGTCCATGAATTTGAGCTTTCTAGACTCATTGGGGCTAAACAACACTTTTCGCTCCATTAGTTCGCGCCATTTTGCAGTCCAAGCGACCACACTAGCTACAACTGCAGCATTTTTCTTGACAATTATCACCAGCGGTCTATATTCCGTGGTCGAAGTTCCTTCCTACAACGAGGTCAACTTTACCCGTGTTGGGGGATTTCCTGACCCGAGAACCATTGCGGGACCCCAAAGATTGATGGACGAAAGCAAGGAAGTTGATGGAATGCTTACTGCCGAATACATTCTTCAGTACAACTTTTCCTATCCTCGTTGGACCTATGAGGAGCTTGCCTTCGCGGAGATTTCCATGAGCGAGCGTTCAAATAGAGGGCATTTGAACGCATCCTACGTCGATATCACAGTTCCTGCATTGAGGCTTGCCCCTAAATGCAAGATCCAAACTGCCGCGGATCTGCAACCGAAACTGACTCTGCCTCAGTTTGGGCCAGCTGGCAGCCACCAGCTTTGGTTTAATCAATTGATTTTTGCTTGCCCCGGTAATAATACTAACAACATTGGAAATCTATCACTCAGTGTATGGGACGAAATGGGATCTGAGCCTTTTGGATACTCGTTCGAAAGCCAGTGCAGCTTCGAAAGCGGGAACAGCAATGGGGTTGTGGGTGCGTCCCATTATACAACATTCTATCTCTGGGGCTATCTCAACGGGTCATCAGTTGAGCATGTAATAGGGTTATCATGCATTCAATACGCCGAGACAGTGAATGTGAGAACACGTTTTCATCTTCCAGGACTAGAAATCGACGAAACGAACCCTCCAGTTCCTGACGAATCATCGGCTAAGTTGGCACCAAACCTTTACACACCTATCCCTGAATGGTGGGTCCTGAACGCAAATGGAAGGTACCCAAAGTTCGACGGTTTTTTCCAAGACCTTACCTCTGGAAGATACGCTATTCCTATCGAGAACTTCAAAAGTGAAGAGCACGATGAAGCGGTTATCGGCGCAATCAAACACCAACACAAGATCATCTCTGCCCAGCAATTCAATAACTATACGCGCGGAACCGCAAACGCTAGTATTGCCCATACGCCAATACTCGGCAATGTTACGACATCAAACCGATTGCGTGTTGTTCAGGATGTCACTTCGACGCGAATTTTGGAAGGGTTGTTGGCATTCATCTTGGCACTGGGTATCATTGGATCGATGCTACTGAACACGGATCAGGTAATTCCTAAAAACCCCTGCAGCATTGCAGCAGTGGCAAGCATTGTTGCAGATTCACAACTACTTGACGAGTTTCTGAAGGGGGTTTGGGACCCAGATGACAAGAAGCTGAATCGGGTCTTCGCTTATCAACGTTTTCACCTTGGATGGTGGGAAAGTGAGAAAAGTATGAGCGATGATACCGAAAAAAGGTTCTTCACAGTTGATCATAGATCGGCCGGGGTTAGGATCTGAAACGGCTAGAGAGATAGGCTCAAGATCCACAAATGAGAGAATTCATAATAATCTCATAATTTGTAGTTTTATAGATTAGAATAGTAAATTCAGATGGCAACCCAATCACTTGGCGAAAAATTCATACATACTACTGTCGCATGAGTCCAGTTGTACCCGTCCATTGGATTTTATTTCTATGTAGAGATATAGGCTTCTAGCTGGAGAACGGATCGGATCTAAAACGTCATGAAAGAAGCGATGCCCCTAGCCTTATGAATGCTACGCGACGTCAAATCAAGCTTTGAACTGAAATATTCTTTAATTCTTGAACACTAGACACATACAAGGTCATGTGATGTCCTATTTCTCAAGCCCTATCTCCACAAATGTACATGATGCAAGACGAAGATGGCGCACTGAAATGAAAAGGGTCCGCCCAAAAGTCTAATCTGGATCGGAAACGAATGGAAAGGAAGTAAATAATTCACAAACGCAAGTAGAAGAAGCAAAAGAACAACCGACGCCGGCGAGGGTTGAGAAGGGCTTTAGCGAATAGTGCTTAAGCAAGGTTTGGTTTAGGCATGGTGAGATTCACCGATGGTGCGTTTGCGGAAGCGCAGGGCGGAGATCTCATGGGCCCTCTTGGAGGCGGACACAGAAAGGTTGGAGCTCTGACCAGCATCGCACTTGGTGCCACTCGCCAGCTGTTGGGACACAGACCACTGTCCATTGGCGCAACGTTGGAAAGAGCTACCAGCAATGCAGTTCCACTGGCCCTCGGGACTGCAAGCGCCGGTCAGAGTACCGGCACTCGAGGAACCGCTAGAGGAACCACCAGAAGTTGCAGAGGGAACGGGAGCTGCTTGAGTGCTGGAGGGAACAGGCTGAGGAGCAACAGGCGCGGTGGTTTCAGTTGGAGCTTGGGTAGTGGTAGGAGCAGGATCTGCAGGCCCACTGGAAGTGGGAGCAGTGCTGGGCCCGGCAGATGTTGCGGAGCCAGAACCTGAGCCAGAGCCAGAAGAACCAGAGCCAGAGATACCAGCACCACCGAAAGAAGCAGGGCCGGTGCAGGCATCTTCACCCTCTGGTGCAAGATTCGCCGCCGTACCAAGATACTGAATCTTGGCACCAGGCTGGGGGAAACGGATGTCGATGCCTTCCTTGGTGGTGCAGCCGTTAACATTGGCAACGAACATGGGTGGGTAGTTGGCAGTTCGCTTCTCGATAATCTTCTCCTCCTTGGGGGCGCGCTTCTTGGAGCCGCCGGTAACAGTGACGGGTGCACAATTCATGTACATTTCACGGTTACCAATGCGGTTGAACCAGGTCCAGGCGAGAGTGTACTTGCCAGCCTCGATGTCAGAAGGCATGTCAAAATGGAATACAGAGTCGTCATTGCCAGAGAGATTGCCATCCGCCTTGGCTGGGCAGCCACCTTCGTAGGACTGGATGACCTTCCACTCGGAGTCCTTGGTAGGCTCACGGTCGGTGGTCAAACTGATCTGACAGGAGCCACCGCCGTGGACGGCACTGCCCTCGAAAGTCAGTTGCTGAGATGCACCCTGGGCGATGATATTCTCCTTGGTGACCTCGAAGGTGTTGGAACGAAGCTTGCAAGGAAAGTCGCTTCCATCAGCGGCCAGGGGAGAGTTGTTGAGTGAATCCTTGCTGTACGGGACAGGGTTGCTCATGATCATGTGGGCGTTGACCATGGATGCGCTGAGAACAGTGGCAATCAAGGAGTTGGTGAACATCATGATGGATATCGGAAATGCTTTTTTTTATCGGTTCGACTGAAGTTTTTGAAAAGTAGATCGAATTCGTACCAGACGAACGGGATCAAACAGTAAAGGATTGGATGTTGGTAGTCGCGAGAGCGAAGTGAGCGAAGGCTTCCTGCGCCAAGTTATTAGCAGGAAGAAAAGAGAAGATCATGTTGGAAGAGATGAGATAAATCAGAACGGGGCTGGTGAATCTCTTCGGAGAATTTATAGGCAGAAAGGGATTGTGTCGCGGAAGGACGCTCAATAGCGTCATATCATTCACCAACCACCCCATTGTGGAACGGGAAGAAAGAGACAAACAGGCAACAGCCACGATTCAATCCGAAACCAAGAGTGAGGACAATACCTTTTGTGTGAAACAGCAGGAATTGTTTAGGTACAATCCTGCTAATGTTCCTGAGTCTTTTTCAAACCACCTGGGATGAAATGTCTCGGGATATTGAAGCAAAGAAACAGTGAATGTGTCTCTTTGAAATGTATATTGTTCGCAAGCTTTTGAAGCTTATTGAAAAATGAAGTCTGATGTCTTGCCACAGGCAGAGACAAGCAAAAACGTGTTGATGTTTGTGGAAGCGGAGACGCTTGAAGGAATGTCGGAATCGGCCACAGGCTGACTACCAAGTAAAGATAGAAAAGAGAAAGGAATACAGGACTGGCCTGTTTGAGGTTGTCGAACCGTGAAGGAAGGAAAGAAAGAAAAATGAATCGGAATGCACGAGTAGAAGAAAAACCGCCGGTTGGCGCGGCCAAGGATTTTATATCTAGGTTGAGCCTACAGAGTACAGATCAGGTCGCAACCAACCAGACCGACCAGACAGGCCGTGCGCCCTGGCAGAAGGGCAGCAGGATCCATTAGGATCCATTGAGAGAACCGGGACCCTTGAGCCATGGGATTCTGGATGGATGCCAATCAATCGGATACCTCTAAAGTTTGATCAACCTCCACACCACGCCAAACCAGGAGTATAGATGTCCGCTCGGAGATGGTAGATTGTGCCAACCAGGAGGCAGCAATGGGTGGAGTGGGTGACAGTATGTCAATTTTTGCAAGCTGGGGTGTTTCACGTCTCGCCTCTGCTCCCACCTCAGACGGAGGACTGATGCGGTGAGTGGTAGTGATGTGTAGTGAAGGGCAAGTGTGGTCCAGCCAGTGAGGATGTGAGGATGCGAGTCCCCGGACCTTGCGATCTGCCAGCTGGTCTCGGCGGCTGAGAAAGTAGCCAACCACCGTCTCGGTACACGCAAGGCACGGTCTTCGCCGCCCCCTGACAAGTGTTCCACTGCCGCACCATCGATCGTAGGTTTTTCACAGCTTTCCCATGTGTCTGGTCCGGCGACCGGCAATTATTCCAGGGTATTGGCTGTGGGGGAGAAGACGGTTTAGCGCCTACTCTCCTCGTTGGCCGGCTCGATGTAAATCGGTCGGAAGAAACCGATGGTCCCACTGACAGGGGGTGTTGCAGCTGTAAACGTCTCCGTTTCAGCGTTGTTGTAGTCGCTATTTTCCAGTCGTGATAGCTCCACTGTGGACGTTGATTCAATGGAGAAGCATCGGGCCTGCGACCGTGATTGGTATGTCCAAGCCAATGTGATTCCGCCCTTGCGACCTGTAGAAACCCAGAGGATCCTGGTATGACGCAACGGATGGAGGCTGCCATGCTGGGGGTGTCATTGTGCTTCTGATGTCTCTGAGTTCGTCACTGAAAGAGACATCTCCCATTGTACGACATTTCCTTCAAGCCACCCGCGCTTGACGATGCGGTTCCGCATCCTGTGTCTGTGTCTGTGTCCTGTGTCCCGTACCCCGTATCCCGTGTTCCGTGTCCCATGTCCCATGTCAGCGTACAGGTTTCATAATGACCCTGATGACCCTGATAACCCTCCTTCTCAAAAAGGCAAAGCTTGCTCGTCTGGAGCGCCTGTGGACAAGAACCTCAAGACGGCTGGGCTGATGCCAGTGCGGTTCTAGCGTGAATAAAGATCAAGTGAAGTGGAGAATCATCGAGGAAGGGAAGGTGTCAACCGAACTTTGTTTCGCGTTTCACCCTCTTCACTGGGAACGTCCATCTTGGTCAGTCTTGGTCAATCTTGGGGAAATTAGAAACCATCCTCTCTCCACTACTCGTATACCTATGCTATGCACTTGACATGCGGATTTCTCCTCCGCACGATCAGTGATACTACTGTTACTGCTGTAAGATTGCCAGCCACTCCTTCCAGGTCGAATCCATGGATCCAATACTCCGCATCCGCGATCACCGTTCCATCAAATGCTCTTCTAGACGTGTTTCATATTGATGGTCATCCCCATCTAGACCCATCTTCAACCTCTCTTCATCGCCATCAGCGAATGGGAATTCTTCAATTTAAGATGCCCTACCATCCAGGGCCCGCATTATCTCGGTTAACGCGAACTAGACTTGGCAGAAGTGGATATCATCATGAGGCTGCCCAAACATAGTGGGTTTATGGCGTTCGCAAGGACTACGGAGTAAGCTATGAGTACTTGAAAATTTGAGATGTCCAAGACCCTGTTCGATCACGAAGCCTGCCGAGACCAACTGCGACTCGTTCTCCCAATTGCCCGAACCTCGGTACACCGGAAAGTCCGACTGATCTTGAGATTAAACTACTCCATATCTAGGAGGTTAAACTGGCCCATATACAAGGCAAATACAGGTCTATCACTCTCAGACCACAGGTCGCCTGACAGGCAAATAAAATTAGGCGATCATCGCAATCAAACCATACATTTCCTTCTCCTCTTCTCGCATGGCCATGACTAATTCGAGAAAGCGTCGATGGTGGGTATAGCTTCTAAAATGAGCAGTCAGAAATCCATGGTAGATGATCGGAGATGCTCGGCGAGGCTGGAAACACCTCACAAAGCTTCGCGTGTGACGTTCTCCTGGTCTCCTCCTTGGCCTCAACTGTGTTCTCGATGTTATGAACCTGTTGATTTGGCCCCATGGTCACATTCGGAGGAGGCAGAAGTGGAGGAATCTGTCGACTCAATTGACCCTGATTCAATCTGTATGAAATTGAGACTGTTGGATCGTGTGGTCCTCTGAAGTGGATGGGTCGTGTGGTCCCCAACAAACCGCCAGAGGCGAAGAAGGGGGTCTTCACGAAAGCAACCATCCTAGTGTGTTTCATGGACGTATCTTGCAGCCTATTCTCCATCACTATACTTCTCACCAGTATGGAGTATGAATGTGAAGGTTTTCTCATTCATACCACCTTCCTTGAACAGGGCAATACTTTGGTGCAACCCAAGCCAAGCCATTTCACGCAAGTTGGCGCCATCTAATATAAACTAAAATTTCTGTGTGTCAAGTGTATCAAAAGAACCAAGTGTTCGAATTATTATGCCAGCATCCTCCATGAAATTATTTCGCAACAAACTCCCCTGTGCCTGATGACTGAAAGAAAGATCTATCTGAAGAAAATACTAATCGACGATACTAAGAAAGCCCTGCTAGTACCTGATAAACGATTCTAGATCTTGAATATTTACAGTGAAGACCAAAAGAATGATTCAAACATCCACGCTTCATCACTTTTTGCCTTTCTTCTTCCCCTTTTCAGGGACCGACGATTCCTCGCGCCGAAAGCCCCCCCTTGACCAAAGCATCACGACCAACATCATTAATGAGTCGGAACCGCGCCGGCCCCAAATGAATACCACCGTACCAGCGCGACACGACAACAAGCACATTCCAAACATCCATCAGCTGCATAACATGTAGTAGCCGACCCCCTGCAGCAGTTTCCCCATCGTCGTCGTAATCCTGCACAACAGTCTCTCCAGAATCTGAGCCTGGGGCTCCTCCTTCTTTCTTCTGCTTAATACGCCAAGCGGATATATTGTGTGATGCCACGGCGACCTTTTTATCCGTAGCCGTTAGATGATCCAGGAATGCCTGCGCCTGCGCAAGATCCTTTACCTGGACGGCTCTGGCCAGGAAAACAGATTTCTTCTCCGTCACGACGTCGGAAAGAATCCAATCGGGTGGGCTGTCAAGTCCAAAGGCGTCCTTTAATGAGAGGGCCGCAAATTCTTCGTTCGAGATGGTGATCTCCTCATCAAGTTTGTCGTTTGAATTTGAAGATTGTCCGGCTGGCGTTGACTCCGTTGTTCCGGATAGTTGTTCACTTTCCTTATTCCCTCCAATATTGAGTTCTGGGAATACCTCCACAGCTTCACTAATCACATCGAACAAACAGACCGCACCAGGCTGCCATGTCCGCTGTACAATATCTTCCAACACATCAACAGCAATCTTGCCCTCCCCACGCGCTGCAGTCGACGCAGTCCCAAGGATATACGGCTGGGTTTCCGGATACGAAGCTCCAAACCCGATCAGAAAGGAAAGATGCGGTTGGCCAGGGAGCTGGAGCGTCACCGTCGTTTGTGCGGGGTCATTGGAAGAGGAGCCGGCGCTGCCCAGGTCTAGCGTGCTGGTGGAGGTGCTCGCCGTCCGGCTGATTGTGATCGTGTCAGGCTCGTATATGGCGTTTATAGCCTCGATTTCTTCGGCAAGGTCCCGGTTCGGCAGATCGTCCAGCTGTGACATTGTGCCCGCATGTTCTGTTGGAGAAGATAGAATTGTGGACTGCGGAGTTGATTCTGTTTTCCCCACCTTTGTTTGCTATCAGGCACTCAGGCAGCAATTCTCCATGCACAGAAGGTTTCTAGAAGAATTCCCTCCGTCCCAAGGGACAAAAGTCCACTTCAAGCATTTTGACAAGGTTGATTTGCTTTTTCTATCGGAATAATATGCCTAATGTCCATTTAACTAATTCTCTATATGTACCGTGGCTATACAAGACCCCTCTTCAAATGCGCCGCAGCAAGCTCCACAACCGCCCTCGCAGTCGCAGTCCGGCGAATAGGTTCAAGCATCACATAATCATGAATCTGCCCATCAGCCCTCAAGATCGAAGTATCGACCCCATTTTTCTGCAAGCGTAATCCGAACGCTTCGCCCTCGCCAATGAGCGGATCCGCGCCAGAGAGAAACAGCGTCGTAGGTGGGAACTGGGCTAGCTCTTCATCAGACGAAAAGCTCAGCGGCGAGGTGAGCGAGTTACACCTATCCGGTTTATTAGGGATAAAGGCATCAATCATCCAGTCCATTGTGCGCTCCGTAAGATATGGTCCCTCCTTGAAAGTCTTGTAAGTTGTGCTCTTTTGATGGGTGTCCGTTATCGGGTAGAAGAGGACTAGATGGGCGATTTTTAGGGGGAGATTATTTCTCTGGGCAAGATGGACCATTGCGATGGCCATGTGGCCTGGGGATTTTATGTCAGATGTCTCTTACGCGTGAGAAAATATGGGCAGAGATGAAGGGGAACTTGCCACCAGCACTGTCGCCTGCAAAGGACATGGTCTCTGTTTTCAGGTGGTGCATGTCACCATGCTCGACCATATATTTCAATACGGCAAATGACTCTTCGAATTGACTGGGGTACTGCTTCTCTGGTGCGGGAGAAAAATGTGGGAATATCACTGCGGCTCCCGTCTGGCGGGAAAGATCTTCCATTAAGGAGCCGAATGCGCTGGGGCTATACGAAACATGTGATTATTAGAATACATAGCTAATTCCATAGGATGGGAGGCAATACGCACCTCCCAGGATCCAACCGCCACCGTGAGTATAGAAGATGGACGGTATATCACGGTTGGCATATTCAGGTCGAAAAATGACCGTCTTCACTGAGCTAGACCCGAGAGGAACATCGATGTAATCTTGGGCTATATCGGGGGCGGGAACATGTTTTTGAAGAGTTTCCAGAACCTGTCGTGCATCTGATGGTGTTTTCTCGTAAATTGGCTGGCCTTTGGCGAGTTCGCCAACGAAGTTTCGGTTGATGGGGTCCAGTGCGAGGGTCATCCTGGCCTGTATTCCAATATTATCTAGTAGATACTAGGTGGTGTCAATACGGTATTAATGAGCTGAACTATCTAAATGTAGATTTATAGATATCATTTTATTTATATTAGAGCGAGACGTCATATGAAGTCGCCTCGATCGCCATCCGCGGTCTGGGCTTGGACGTACTTGTGGCGTTTGCGTCGCCACCTCGCTATACATTGTTGCAACCCCATGTTATTGAATAAAAATTAAGTTTACCTAACTAGGAAGCTATTATTGGTGAACTAGATGTTTCCTACTTCAATTTGCAGTTGTGTGCGTTGATTTTCAAAGGAAATTACTAGCACTACTTTTTCAACTAGTAATGTATATATTTCCAAGGTTAGTATGCCACCTGTGCAGTGGATACCCTCACTTGATCCACAAGAACTTAAACAACCCCGAATGCCGAAAGTTAGTACAAATACTATCATTGCCCAGGTGAGTAAACATTTTGGCTCAGTGAAAACACAATAAACGTAGAATACAGTGATTTTAGGTATAGTATCACTAGAGGTCTTGCAAACCCATTCCTCATCTTGAGCAGTCCAAATCTTCGAAGCCATCTGCTCCAAAACACGTCGCGAGAGAACGACGTCATTTTCGGTTGGCCGTCTCAGCCGAAGGAATACTTAATCAAAAGGAATAGTTATATTGCCCGTGATTCTAGGCCGACTGGTTTTGTTGGGGCCCTGGTGATTTGGACGGCTGCGGTCGGGAATGGAATAGGTTTAGATTGATTTTGGCGATAACGTAGAAACCATCTTTGAATGGTTGTCATGTAACGAGCGGAGATCGAAATAGTAAGCATGATGTTCACATCTTCTTCTGAATTATCAAGCAAAAAACGAATGTCGTCCATTAGATGTGATGTTGGTTCTGACCATTGGAATCCAACGGCCAAAGTTGGCTATTTCGGATTACGTTCAGATGGATTTTCAGCCCCATCTAGGAGTAGTCTCCCCGTGTTGTCCGTGTAGTACTGCGAAATGATGCAGACCCTGTCGGTATAACGATACTTTCCGCCTGGTTGCCCCAAGTCTCAATGATTCCTAAAAAGAATCATAAGCGATGGCGTGCGCTTTAGACTCTATATTTATAAGAATGATAGAATGTTGCTTGTCATAAGATACGCGCGGTTTTCGTAGAATATCATATCTAGACTTAGTAGATAATTCAAGGAAGGTGTGAGGATGCTCAGATACTCACAGAGATCAACGTACGGCGTAGCATACGAAGCAAAGGAAGCAGTAGCGGTTCGACGAAAGTAATAGCTTGAGGAGAATAAGAAGGAAGCTAGGATAGAAGGCTAGATACACAGGTGTATGGCGTGGATGCCTAGAGTGGTGCCGTAGGCATAAGGCATCCACGAATGGTAACAACACCAGTTCGTTACAGAAGGAATGCCCATCAACTGAAGTTATGATCGCATAGGCTCCTTCCCCAGTACGCTTATATCTGTCGAACTGCTGGTCTAAAATCCGAGAGCACTACTCTTCTCTAACTTAACACCACTGAGTGGATAAGATACCGTAGTATAACCGTAGTCTAGAAGATATTTACCTTATGTAGGTATAGAATACTTTATTTCAATGTTGGGTGTTGTCAACAAGGTACCACCCAGGCGCCTGCGACAGGTGGAGGTTCTTCGAACTTGGAATTTTAAATTTATCTTCATGTCAAATAAAAGCAGATTTGAAAAGAAGCGTTCATTAATTCGTAAGATTGATCGCACGCTACTCTACGTTTGATTTCTTAGCAGTTGGTACCAACAAAGTTGATCGCAGACCCCAATTGCAGATTCTGCATGACGACAGTATCATCTTCATCCAGTCCATCTAGGTTCTTGCGCTGCCAGAAAGACCGGAAACCCTCCACCAATCTCCTGGTAAACGGGGCTACATCATTTGCATCCATCGGGGCGAAAGCAATGCGGATATACTTGTGCGCGGATTCAGCAGACTTGGGCGTCGAGGCAAACATACTACCCGGGCCAACTAGGCACAGATGCGGTTTCTTTGTCAGATGGATCCAGAAGGCTTTCGATAGTTTCTCAGAACTGTATTGCGACCGGAGTGGATGTGTGTCAAAAAGAATCTCCACCCACGCGAACATGCCGCCCTTTGGCCAGACGAAGTCGTACATCTGGACTCGATCGACTACCTCCCATTTATCGATGTTATCAGATTCCGTGTCCTGGAACTCTGCGTTCTGGTGAAAGAGAAACTTGTTCTCTTCTAAGATGGTGCACATCGATTGCATTCTTCTTTCGTAGCCGCCCCTCAATCCCTCGAGCCAGCGGACCCAGCCGTCCATCTGCCACCCATTACCATCTGGGCTCTTTGAAACACGAGCTTCGTTTTCATTGGGCTGTTTTCCCATAAAAGTCTCTGCAACTACAGACTGGACAAATCCGGACGGTTGTTGGGTTGTCACCTCTGTGATGCGAGCTAGGCGTTCGATGAAAGCGGGCTGCGCTGTGATCCAGCCAAGCCGACTACCCGGGGCAATTGTCTTGGAAAAGGTATCTAGTCTGATTACTCGGCCCTCGGTATCAATTGATAGATACGAAGGGACGAGGGAGTCCAGAAAAGCGTAACCTGACGATCTGCCTTGTGCATTATAGTTTCGATTGTATGGATTCTGTTGTACTGTGGCCCCACGGTAACGTGCTTCCATTTCGAAGGCGGATGGGAATTGTAGGTTCCAGTATGGATCATCTTCGACAATTATCACATCGTACTTCTGGCACAGAGCGTATATTTCTTTCCGGCGTTCGACGGATAGGGTGCCTCCAGTTGGATTTTGACCAATGCTGTTACCCGCGGTTAGCATTATTTCTTGCTTTGGGAGTCGGTTGGCATGGAGATGGGGATCTCACGTCACGGTGTATATGATGTGTGGTCGACGACCTTGCCGAAAGTCCCAGTGTTCGAGTACATCTTGTAGACCTCCCTTACCAGCAGCACACATTCCCTGTCCATCCATTGCGACGCCGATGACATTTAAACCTCGAGGTCGGGCAGTCTGAATGGCATTCATGTAGGCAAACTCCTCGCATAAGACACCCTGACGCTGTTGGATCCAGTCCCGGTCGGGATTCCAGACATTGGTCAAGAGCTCTATTGCCTTTGAGAAGCCATCGGTATTTCCGCAGGAGAGGATGATCTCAGGTCCTCCCTTGTAGGGCACATTGGGGTGAAGATGGTCTTTCACAAATACCCGGAGGAACGAGAACAATGGCGGGTATCCTTCGGCGGTGCCATACTGTAGAGCCGTCGTTAAATCAATACGACGGTTGGGGTCGCCAATTTGGACTTCCTTGGGAACAGTCACTCGGTCCGATTTGGCGTCATCCTTGTTGGAAGGGTGCAATCGTTGCGGTCGGGCGACAGTGGCTTCGAGAGTATCGTAGGGGAAATAGGAAGGATGTGGCAATCCTGGAAGAATATTAGCTGGAGCGAATCGGAGAATTTATTTTGTGACCAGAGATGATACCGCCGGCGAAATTAGCAATGTTGGGGATCAGGAAATACTTGTAGAAGTCCTTGATTTTGCTGAGGTTTCGATTATTGGTGGTATAGGAGAAGTGGTGGGACAAGTCCAAAGGTGGAACTGTCATGGCTGTCATGATGGTATGGTCGATCGCTGCAGCTCAACGGTCATGCAGGTGGCCCGTTGAATTGGATGGAGATGGAGGAAAGTGGCTACCATATGGCCTTGATCGACTAGTTTACTACACTTATTTAATTACTTAATTAGTTACCCCAAGCAATTCTGATTTCTAATCTCGCCATTCATCCCCGCTCTCTCTAACCGGGAGAGTCCGTGTGCTTGATAAGCGGACCGATTTACGTCCCGCTCGCCGAATCATGGTGGAAACTTGGAATCCTGCAATCCTGAGAGGCTAAAAGTGATAGTACGTATCTCTCTGGGTACCGATTATGGAGTCTACGAATTAGATCCTAGATTGATAAGGCCGTTGGGGTTGCCGAGTCCACCTGGATATTCCAGAAGCTATACGAGCATCGATCATCGGTCCTTGCGGGGATGGGATAGGATGTGTGTTGCACGGTCCTGCATTAGTGCCCGGCATTGTTTTGAGTTTGACAATTGTTTTCAGTCCTGTGCCCTGAATTTACAGAAGAAAGAGTGATCAGGGGAAAGCATAAGGAAGAACAGAACAGGCGACAGGAACTTGAAGTCCCGTGATTGGCTGTCACGAGGGATTCCTGCCTTGTTGCCTGGTCGCCCCCCAGTCTCAGTTCAACGCTGGCACTTCTTTCTTTTCTTCCTCTCCACAATCACTCATTCTCTTCTTACCCATTGGTCTCATGATATTTTCTATCTATTTTTCAACTTCGATCTTTTAATCCCCTCTGCATCTTGGGTTCATGGCTGGCGTTCCTGGTGATCTTCAGCTTAAAGAACCCACTTTGGAGATCTCCACCTGACTAGCGTGCCGACCGCTCCGGCCCCCGACATCATAGGCCTTGAGTCCTGGACATTCATTCGGTTCTCTCGGCCTTCGTCCTTCTCCCTTCTCTTGATCCGTCCTCCCAGCCATGATCGGGGAAGGTCGTGACGAGGCTGCCCGCCTCTATGTGCCTCCGCTCCTTGAGGATGACGACCGAATCGCCGATCCCGACACTTCTGAAGATCTCCCGCCGCCTGATGTCGAGTCCGGAAGCCCACTGCCTATTTGGCTGCAGGAGTCATCCAAGTCCTTTCGCTGGGGCTGGGTGCCCTTGCCCCTCCGAAAGGCCGGTCGCACCACTGCAAACTGGATCAAGGGCCCCGATCCGCCGCACATGCTCCTTTTGAAGCCGCTGTTTCCGCGTATCCAGGAATTGCCGGTCCAATATCTTGACCGCTTCTTCCCAAAGCGCAAACAAAAAGGTTTACTTCTGGGCTTGTTATACCTCTCCTGGTTTCTGCCGTGGTTCCTTGTTCTACTTCACTCGCGATCATCCGGTTATATTGAGGGATATGGCCAGCTGCAGACTCTATCTTGTACAACAAACCTCTGGTACGTATCGATAACGAGTCCGATGCGATCTATATTTGGATACCTCAAACTAACCCCGAAATAATGTAGGCAATTTGATAACGGATGTGGCCTGAATGGAAATGACTGCCGTCCTTTCTCCGAATCAACAATTGCTTTCCGATGCCCCGCCAATTGCCGCGATGCGAAATTGCTGGAGCCTCATGTCGTTGGAAATCAAACAGTCAATTACCAAGGACTGGTTATCGGAGGGCCATCTCCCCAGTCACCGGATACGGCGACCTACCGGGCTGACAGCTTTGTCTGCCAAGCAGCCATCCACGCTGGAGCCATCTCGAACGACGGTGGCTGTGGTGTTGCAAAGCTGGAAGGCGCTGCGCACTCTTTCCCATCAGTGAAGCAGCATGGAATCAAGTCGATAGCCTTCAAGTCCACTTTTCCAAAGTCATTCAGCTTCCTTCACCCGTCTTCGTCACAAGCAAACTGCCCATCGGATCCGCGCTGGACGCTTCTCGGTGTTACAGCTGCAGCTGTTGGGGTTCTCTGGCTTTTCTGCACATCGCCGCCAATTCTTTTCTTCAGCACCTTCTTCATGGTGTTTTGTCATACGGGACTGGTCGCCGACCCTCCTTCGTATCCCTATCTGGCCGATCTCGTATCCACGCTTTTGTCTCGAATGCTGCCCGCTTCATTCGTTGTCTACGTGCTATACAAGTTTTGTGCGGCCCCCCCTGCTGAAGCCAATCAGCTCCCCTATATACCAGCTGTCTAAGCTATTCCTATATCTACCTGCACTTTTCATCGGTGCTTTGAACAACTATACCTTCGCGCGATTGATCCCCCTTCAGCGCCTGACCCCCATGGATATCCAACAACAACCAGGGGCTAAGCTTGCATTGGCATTGGTCATTCCAACTGTTCTCACCATCATTCTTACCCAGGCGTGGCAGATCCGTCAGGGTGGACTGCTGCCCCGCTACTTGAAGATATATGGTACTATGGTCCTGATTATTCTCATCCTTCTTCCGCTCCCTGGTCTTCGGCTCCGAATCCACCATTACATCCTCGCCATCCTACTCCTACCTGGTACTGCCTTCCCGACACGCCCTTCGTTGGTTTATTCGGGTCTGCTCCTTGGTCTGTTTATCAACGGCGTTGCCCGGTGGGGATTTGCCTCCATTATTGAAACACCGGCCGCGCTGGGAGAACTTGCTCCGGGCCGTGGCGGAAATGGCTGGTGGGGTTCTGCGTATCCTAACATCACGAACAACTCTGTTGATATCTCTTTGCCCAAAGCTGGCCCTGATGATTCCCATTACGGCAACGGCAACATAACCTTCCATCTGTGGGAGCCCGAGCGAATGGCGAAACTTGACGTGGATGGTATTTCGGTGTTGCTTAATGATGTGGAGCGCTGGCGTGGCTATATTGACGAAGACAAGCACGGTGAATTCACCTGGCACCGTCATGGTCACGATGGTCTGGAACTGCGGCAGTTGTCTCTGCTCGAGGGCGATGAAGATTCTTCTGAAATTGAGACCCAGTCTGGTCTTCTTCGAGACAGTGACTCCGATGATGACGACCCTATTTATATTTTCTTTCGGTTTGCTTTCCTGCGGGGTGCGGAGGCCGGCTCCTATGGGCCTACTGGTGTCTGGAGAAGCGATGGATCTTGGATCTCACCCGACCCTCCGAAACAGTAGTGGAGGTACTTTGCTTTCATTCTTTGATTTATTCCTTGGTTATTTCATTTCGCCACTCTGCCGGATAGAATATTATACAATTGGTGGTAGAAGTGCTGGACGCGCTACCTGTGCAAGTGGGTGGGCGAATTGCATTCACTACTCTCGTTTCCGAACCGATATGCCGAACGAAGAAACCATGACACTAGAAAAAATCAATTTGGACTCCCTGTATATACTTCATAGCCTGAATTTGTATCAATCCCTTATTCAAGTTATTTCCATCACTGTTCATTGCAACCTCGCGGTAGACCTCACGTGACGACACAGCCCAAAGTCCAGGCAGACACCGGCTCCGCCCGCTTGCGCTTGCGCTTGTCACTCCGAATCCTCAACCGGAACATAGCAGCACCCTTCCCCCGGCATAAACCTGAAAAAAAAACTCACATTCCAACTGTGGTAAATCAATCCTGCCATGGAGCCCGCGGACTCCGACCGTGAGGTGCCGAGCGCCCTAGCCCAACGAGCGGTATGTACTCCACTTCCCCAGCCGGAGGGGGATTTGGCGGAACTTGAACGAATACATAATTGGTTTGAAATGAGATTGTAGCTGACTGTGCATGCATGATTCAACTAGTGTGACCAATGCCGCACTCGAAAGGTGAGCCTTTTATATGCTAAAAATCAGAATGACATGAGTGTTTAATATTCCCCTTAGATTCGATGCGACAAGCGCTCTCCCTGCTCCAATTGTCGGAGCGCGAACATTGCCTGTCGATCGACTGGTGAGGGCCAGAAGCAGCACGAACCCCGGCGCCGTGTGCTAATTTCCAGCCAATAGTGCGTAACTTGAACTCTTTAGCACACTGATCACAAGGGATCTAACATTCATTTGCAGTGAGAAAAAGGTCGATATGATCGAAGAGCGCCTTGGGGGCATGGAACAAGCTTTACGCGAGCTTTTGACCATATCACGACAGCAGACATCCTCATCAACCCCGAAGCTTCATAGGAATTCACCAGCACCCCCCCCGGCAAAATAAAGGACCACGATCTGCAGCAAAACCCGACCATGTAGAGTCAAAGGGCCCTAATTACAGATCCAATGCGGCTATCGAGCAGCATGATTCGAATTCCGGGTTCGAAGGTGGCTCCTCCCTGTCTGCTCATTCGGCATATGCGAGGGAGTTTCTTGAATCAGCCGTATCGCATGGAACTCCAGAGATGTTTGCGAGTCCAAAGATCAGTGAAGCGCTTGCGTCGCTGAAGCACATTGTCGATATGCAAAATAGGAGACGAGATGGTGATGACCAGAAAGGCACTGATTCTAGTCGTGATAGCCGGCTAGGTGTCCGGTGTGATATCCATGACCTGGAAATGCCACCTCTGCCGATTGTTTTGGAGGTCGTCCGGGCAGCTAAAGGTATGAACAAGTCGATCTGAGCCGACGATCTTATTTTATCCCTGACACTTTACAGAAAATCCACCATCTGCTTTTGCTGGTTGGATTCCCTTCTTGACAATTGATTACTTTGTTGAGAAATGCCAGGGGGTTTATTTTGCTACTGATGATTATGCGGAGACCACTTTCATCATAACGAATTTTGGCCTCTATACCATTTTCATGGAGTACCAAAATACTGGAATTGGTCAAATTAGCAAAGATGAGTATCTCTACTATATGCAACTGAGCAAAGACAATCTTGAGGCTGCGCTTGCCAATCTGAACATTTTAATGCCCGCCACCTTCGATTCTATTGCTGCGCTAGCCCTTGGGGTAAGCTTTGCGATAACTATTAGGTATTCATGGGTACAAGGCTGACAAGTACAGGCGATCCATGGAATTGAGATATCAAAGCCATCTGTGGGCTGGACTTTGGCCTCAACAGCCATCCATATGGCCCAAACTCTGGGATATCATCGCCTGTCATCAATGGAAAATGAGTCAAAAGAAGTCCAAGATCAAAGACAGAGTCTATTCTGGTCGATAGACACCCTTTTGAATATACTATCTTTGCGATTAGGCAGAGGATCTGTGGTCCAGGACTACGACATCACGATACCTCCACCATTGGCCTCCATGTCACGCGCTGAGCCTTGGGGACCGGTTTCTGCTCTTTGGTGTAAGCAAGCCGCCATTCAGAATCGGATGTACACCATGCTGTATAGTCCTGCAGCATTAAAGCGCCCTGAGAAGGAGCGAGTTTCCCATGCACGTCAATTGGCTGAAGAGCTTCTGTCGAGTGTAATTGAGCCTTTCAATGTACGCTATATGTTACCCGAGGCCATTCGCAACTACTGACCTTTTTATCATAGAATATCGTTGCTAACGGAGCCAATTTCTCTGAAATTGACAAGCTATATGTGCGCTCAGACGAAGTCAGTCGATACGCAACCTTGACTTTGATATATCGAGCTATCCCAGTTCCACCCGGATCAGATTCGGGTCTAACATTCATACCGGAATGTATCGACTCGGCTCGAGCGGCTTTAGAAGCTCACCAGCTATGCATGTCTGATTTAAAGGAGACGGACGAGATGATGCGAATCTCCTACTTGCATTGGTATGCCCCTAAGACCTAAAACACTGGGTTTACTCCTATAACTAACTTGATGAAATTCGACAGGGCTGTATTTCTCTCTCCATTCATACCTTTCATCGTCATCTTCTGCCATGTAATTGCAACCTCAGACCAAAAAGACCTATCCCGCCTTGAAGACTTCATCGCCTCTCTCCGCCCTCTTTGCCGCTTCTCCCAGTCAGTCGACCGACTACACGGTCTGTGCTCAGTGCTTGGCTCAGTAGCCCGGCTATACATCGAAGCCAAAAGCCGAGACCAAGCCGGCGAAGACCAAAGCCTTGCATCCGTCGGGCAAGAATTTGATGCATACCTCAGTGCCCTGGGTCTAGCACCAGGAAACCTGGCCCCGAGTGCCCAGACATATTACCAAACTGATGGTACGCCAATGCAAATGAGTGGTCCGGATACTTCCCAGCAAGGTCTCGGGCTTTCTACGCCAGCGTTCCAACAGCAGACTGAAGGGTCGATGTCCATCGCTGAAATGTCCCAGGCAGCACAGCTGGGCAATTGGTTCTCGAGCAATCAGCATATGCTGGGATTGCTCGAGGAGGACATCTTTCAGGTTATGCCGAACTCCTAACTACTGCCTTGAAACAGGGTCCAGGGTCTCTTCATTCCCAGAAATACTATGTAAGGGGTCGGTCATTGGCTGTTCAGCCATGCGCCCCGTCTGTACAGTACCTTTTGCCACACAGGGCATAATATACAAACCCAGTCTTCGCTTTCTATTTTTATAAAATGACCGACCTTATTGTATCTACAATGCTCATTGGGGAAATGGCACAGAGGCCAAGACATCTCCACCATGCGCCAACTATTTCACTTGTCTAGCAGTGACATAGGGTCATTCTGACATATGTGGTAGCTTTGATTGCGGAGGTAGAGAATTGGGGGCCATGTAAAGCGCAATACATATTGAGAAATGGGAATCGATCATACCAACAGTACTATGTATTCAGTGGCGAAAGTTCTTAAGGAAGAGTTCCTAGGATCGCTCATCGTTCTACTGGTAGTTATAGACTTGGCCACTACGACTATAAGGTAGTAAGTACTATGCTGGTAAAGAGGTCATTATGCAGACATGAAATGGACTCTGAATCAGATCGTTCGTGCTGACAGCAGATCATGTTATTTGGCCCCCAGATGGTCCTCCTAGTGCTTCGCAGTGGGGCGGCCCCAAAGATCGGAGACGACCCCTGCTATTATGGGGGATCGACACTCAGAGGCGTACTGGATGCGACTGAAACAGGCTGCGATCTCCTGATATTTGGGGGCTATTGGCAAGTTTCAAAATTGTGAGAACTGATAACTGGTCGAATTATTTTGTGGCTCTTGCCAAGAATTGTGGCTTTTTTGCAGCCTCTATACTCTGTCACTTGGGTGACATTGAAAGCGTCACTATTCACGATCTCCAGATAAATCTACTTCATTGAGGATATTTTCGGGGCGGGTGGCTAACATGCTTGGTGTGCGCGATTGTTATCTTGACCAAGACATTGTCTTCAGGGTCCATTTTCGAAGGTATTTAAGATCTCTGAAAGACGGACCTTTCGAATAACACAACCGCCAGCTCAATTGCATTCAAACCTGATCTCAATTTCAATCTCAATACACCTCATCCACCAAACCATTCATAATGCACTTCGCCAAGATCTCGATTATTCTTGCCAGCATCCCTGCAGTCCTCGCAGCCCCCGCCGCCCAACAAAAGCGCGGAGATACCTGCACCCTCATGGGCACTGAGGGAATCAGCCAATCTACCTGTGGAGGAGTGGTAAACTGCATTGCTGCCACTGGAAGCCTGAGACTGCAGTGTACAAATGGTGTCAAGTGGGACAACAACAAGCAGGAGCCCATTAAGCAAACAATCAAGGCATCAGACTCCGGCCTCGACCATGACATTGACTGGGACCAGCAGTGGATGACTGGTGGTTACAAGTGGTGCACTGCTGCATACAATGGTGGCGATAAGATCGATGGAAAGGTTGATGACCCCAAGGTTTCGGGCATGTTTGGTGAGACTGATCAGAGCTATACCTGTGGCGTTACCTTCGATATTTGAGGGAGCTTTGTGAAGATGATGCTAGGAGGTTGGAGTTACTTGAAGTGGACGGTTGAAGCGGAAGGGGAAGGACCAGATGTAAATATCTCGCATCTATTGTTTTTATTATGTATTAGACTGCCATGACTATTCTCTATTATATTGCTTTTTCGACCTGATATATCTATTTCCCCTTCCATTATCTACTTCAATTAACATGATCCAGCCTTTCTAGAAGACAGATTTTGTTTCAAACTTGATCACAAACATGGCTCAGTTACCCGGATCGTCCTACCTGTCTTTCGGGATCAATACGACAATGAAGATGCCGAGCAACTAGTTGGGTTGTACATTTCTTGTTTGAGTCTCCTGACCCACGTAGTACTAGTACGCACTTATCAGGTCAATTATTGGAAGAGCGGGTCTAGGTGCCGGTGGATTCAATACGCGACGATTAATCAATCATGAGCGTCCAGAATTTGCTCAGCCCTTGATACTATTGCCATAAAAATCCCCTTCAAGCGCAGACGGTATAATTTATCAAGCTTCCAAATGTGCAATCCAGATAGATCGAACCTTGCCATGCACATTCAATCAAAAATAGCCTAGTGCAAGGATGAGTTGAAGTATATAGAAGAAGACCCCCGGGACTTGTCTCTAAATCCTTCATACTAGTATTTTTTCGGGAGATTTCCTGTCGCTCAATAGCCATCTGGAATCTGTACAACCCTCGGCGTTTTTTCAGGGGATTATATACTCGGCAGGCCAATCTACTCTAACCTTGGAATACTCTGATATGAAAGCATAAAAGGCTAGCTCTCTTCCTCTTAATGTCGATCTAACATCCCCATCAACATGTTCTATAATTAAAAAATTACAGTCAGTTTAGCAACCCTTCACAAGAGAATCATTAAATAACTCATAAGCCTTATTTAGTCAGGAATTTCCCTCTCAATGCTCCTAGGTCATACGCTCGTGGTAATCACTCTCTGGCTAACCGCCATCGCATTATCTATCCCTACAAACATCACCTCGGGATGGGCCACTTTCTACGATGACGAACACTGTTCCGTAAATCCAGGAATAGCAGTCAGTATGACCAACCCAGGATGTCTAAACGAGTCTGGTAGGAGGTCATTCCATATGCGCAAAACAGACCACAGACAATATTGGTTAATTGTCAGCCCGACCCAAAATTGCCCTTGTCAATCCCATTGCAGAACTCTCTATAACCGAAGAGACGGACCTTGTGTCAAGCTGGAGGGTAACACAATTGGTTTATCTTACCGCTTTCTTGCCAATGAATACCCACTTTGTAATCCGAATAATTGTTGAAGAGCGCAAATTGTTTTCTATCAGTCTTCCAATCAAAGAGCATACTCAATAAGCTGCATTGTACCTCGTGGTGCGACAACAAAGACTTTCTACCACACAAACTATAGGCCAACGTAAAATCTCGTATTTTTCTGCTTTGATCAAAATTTTCTTTTTCAACCTCGATCTAAGTGCCAGTGTGTTAATATTTAAGTTCATTTGACATTTAGTAGTTATCTGGCCTTTGACTGATTGAAGGTTGAGGAATTTCACTAGATAGGGGGTGCTACATCGAGACCTGCCCGCATGACCACCTGCCTTTAAAGCAGAGGATCAACGCCCTAAACAAACGCCGATCGCCTCTAAAACTATAATTTCGGACAGCGCCCGGGAGTGGGTTTAAATTGTTGGACATATTACTCCCTAGAGAAGGTGTCTTGCTCCAGTATGTTGCTCATAAAGGAGTAACACTCGTAGCCTTCTGTATTGTTCATAAGAAGGAAGTGGAATGGAGATGAAACGGTCGGGTTTTCCTAACGTGGCACGTTACGGTACCTTGCAGATCATCTCGTAATGAAGGCAGCTCGAACTATGTAAATCCTTGCACCGAATGTATACGGAGTAATGGATGGCATCTTACAGGCCAGCGAGTCGGAGAGACGCGAGTCCACGATCTCGGAGCGGAATTCATCGGCTCTTGCTGTCAACCGGAGGACATATGAACGCATAGGTGGACTTATGAAAGGAAGAACCGGACTTCGATAGAACTTCGCGAAAAAAAAAAAATTGGAGTCTCCACCCTGCACTGTTCAACTACGCAACAGCGCTATGCAGAAATTTGCAGACTTTTTCCCGTCCTGTTTCAATTCCATCCAAAGAGCATAGCAGAAGGGGAAGAACTGACAAAAAAAAAGTAAAGAAATACCCCTCAAATAACTCGGCAAACATGCATATTTCAGCCCGATGATCGGACAGACTATTAAGTAAAGGAAATTGCGAGTAGGCCACTCCGCTTCTCATCCTATGACGCGGTGCGACAAAATCACTCACTCTTTCAGTCACCTCCACTTCATACTAAGTGGAGGCTAAACGCTGGCCGCCCCTACATTAGGCTCCCTTTTTCGAGGCCACACTTGTACGGAATCGGCTCTTTTCCGAGTAGAAAAGGCAATCGAGGGCGTGAGTGGTTCATCAGGGCAGGTAAAGCGTTTTTTTGGCGGGTCGGACCCGCCCGGCCATGATGTTATGAACCGGATATCTCAATCGACACTGTTTGACCTAAGTTTGAAGGACATCCTGTTTGAGTGCCGCGCCGCAGATAGTATGGGGCTATCGTTAGATGGCCAGTAGAGATGCCCTAATGTGGTCGTGTGGGTATGGGGGAAGAATGACTGAAAAGACGCCCTTCATCCTGCATCTGGCTACTACTTTGGGTCTCCTTTCTTCCCTTTCCTCTTCCCAATTCACTTTTCCCCTTCTATCCCATCTCGCCTTTACGTCTTCCATTCCATTTCGAGGCAGTGCCTTGATCACAAGTTATTGGGTGCTTTGGATCACCCGGGGCATTCACCAACATTCGCCAATTGTTTATAAGGCACAACGAAGAATCATTCATACAGATCGCATTCTATAATTGTCCTTGCTGTCACGTACGAATCGTCACATATATACCGTGCAGCCTTTCGAACCCTAGCGACATTCAAAGAATCATTCCCTTGCGAACTTGTTATTAACGACACCCAATTGCGACTCGAACCGATACTGTGCCTACAGCGACCATAACTTATACCATCGCAGCAGTATAGACATCATCCCCAGCGACAATTCCGAGTTGATTAAACCAACCACTCCCACATGCAACAAGTGGTCTGAACTCATCAAATAACAGCGTCCTGTGCAACTATCCTACTATATTCCCTTGCGCCAATTCGATCGATTTAAGCAGAACCAGTGCAACGAACGGCCACCATGGGAGAATTTGACCTAGAAAAAACAGCAAGCGTCAAGCCTGCCTCGAGCAGTAATGAGACCGGCGTGATCGATACTGATGCCTCCCGTCTTGCTGAAATGGGATATACCCAGGACCTGAACCGCAATTTCTCGATTCTCTCTTTGATCGGAATTGCCTTCTGTATGTCTAACTCTTGGTTCGGTATATCGGCCTCCATGATTACGGGAATCAATTCGGGAGGAACTACGCTCATCATTTACGGTCTGCTCTGGATCACCATTGTCTCATTGGCTGTGGGGTCCTCACTTGCTGAGCTTGCCAGTGCCATGCCCAATGCTGGTGGTCAGTACTTCTGGGCTCACAAACTGGCCCCGCGGAAATGGGCTCGCTTTGCTTCATATCTTACCGGCTGGTTCGGTTATGCGGGTGCCATTTTCGCGTGTTCCAGCGTCGTTTTGGGCCTGGGACAGGCTACTGTTGGCATGTGGAAGCTTGGACACCCCGATTTGTAGGCATATAATGATTTTTCTGCTTTTGACTCTAGTGTCGCTAATACCCTCTTGCAGTGAGATCGAGTCATGGCACATCGTTGTAGCCTATCAGCTGATTAACTTCTTCTGCTTCCTCTTCAACTGTCTTGGCAAATCCCTGCCTGCAGTCGCCAAAATGACTCTCTACATTTCCCTCATCAGCTACTTCGTTATCCTGGTGACAGTCCCCGCCTGTGCCCGTCCACACGCTAGCGCCGAGTTCGTCTTCGGTCACTTCAGCAACACGACAGGATGGAAGTCAGACGGCATGGCCTTCATCGTTGGCCTCATCAACCCGAACTGGATCTTCGCCTGTCTCGACTCCGCAACCCATCTCGCCGAGGAAGTTCCCCAGCCCGAGAAGAACATCCCCATCGCCATCATGGCCACTGTTGGAATTGGCTTCGTTACCTCGTGGACTTACTGCATTTCCATGTTTTTCGGCATCAAGGACCTGGACTCTCTAGTCAACTCCAGCACTGGCGTTCCCATTCTGGAACTTTACTATCAGGCCCTGGATAACAAGGCCGGCGCTATTGTGCTTGAGACACTGCTAGTAGTCACCGGTATGGGCTGCCAGATCGCTTGCCACACCTGGCAGTCGCGCCTGTGCTGGGCTTTTGCGCGCGACGGCGGTCTGCCCGGTCACAAGTGGTTGTCCCAGGTCAACAAGACCCTGGACGTGCCTCTGGTAGCACACGCGGTCAGTTGCTTCATTGTTGGTGCCCTGGGCCTCTTGTACCTTGGCTCGTCAACCGCATTCAACAGTATGATGACTGCCTGTATCTCCCTTCTCTACGTGTCCTATGCGATCCCTGTTATCTGCCTATGGTACCAGGGTCGCAACAACATCCAGCACGGCCCCTTCTGGCTGGGCAAGCTGGGTGCTGCCGCCAATATCCTCACTATCGTCTGGACGATCTTCTGTCTGATCATGTACTCGTTCCCATCGTCGATGCCGGCCAAGACATCGAACATGAATTATGTGTGCGTTGTGTATTTTGTTGTGGTTGTCATCATGCTGGTGGATTGGTTTGCTCGCGGACGTCGATCGTTCAAGAGCGACAGTATGGGTGAGAAGATGGAGGTGAAGGTTGAGGATTCTGCCAGTGAATGAGTGGGTGACTTGAGACTTTGACAACCAAATGCTGGACATTTTATTATTGCTATATACCATTGTGTTTGATATTTAGATGCATTTGCATAGCAGGAGTTTAGTAACCCTTTATTTCGAAAAATAGACGGAATCTACCTGGTATTACATTACAGACTTGATATTTTCCAAATCCTTGATTAGTTTGCTCCTCAACAATGCGACCTAGTTAATAGTAATACTAGTATCTAGAAGTCTATGTCCTCTATTGCTTGATTGACTGCTGGGTTGCCCTTGAAATTACTCTCTAATTGAACCTTTTGAAACCTTAAGCCTCCAAATTACTAGTACCACTTACTGAAATGTTATTAACTGTCTGCAATAGGTATCTTCTTAATGGATCGAGCATTAATATTACTAGTAGTAGTATCCATTTATTTTGTATACGAATACATACTAGGTACCATCGTAGGCATCGGGTGGTCCATATGGCGATGTGTATACTATAGTATGTGTCCCACTGGCACTGACCTCTATTAGCTGCTCTAGTCCAAATTCCTTTTTTTCAGAACAATTTTTTTTTGCCTCTGGTTATCTCTGTGATTTCTGTTACCCCTACCTTTCTCAATCCATTACCCCTGGGAAACTGGATGGTATCTCCACCATTTGATTCCATTACCCCTTCAAAATCGAATTTGATTTCTATTACCCCTACCTTTCTCAATCCATTACCCCTACCTTTCTGATTCCATTACCCCTACAATACTCCCAGTGGGCCTTGATTAAAGTTGGCCGCCGGTCGGTGAAACCGGCTCTCCAATCGGAGGGCCAATGTGACCCGCGTTCAGTTGGAGTTCCCACCCTGCGTCGGCCAAAAGACTCAATCACAGCCAACCATGCGCAATGCGATCTTATTTTTTCTCTCGGTCTAAACACAGTCTAGTCGAGTGGTCCCTGAAAGTTGGAGAACGAGGAAAAGCAAAAGCAAAAGCAAAATAAAAACTAAGGCGGTCCAGAAGAAAGAAAATCTCTGATCCAACGTCATTCCCTCCCCGCAATCCGCCGATTGAACCGATCTTCGTTTTTGGAGGGGCTCCAAGAGGTTAAGCTCGGCGTTTAGCATACCGACTGCACAGCTCTGAGCTCCAAAGAACCCTGTCAATCTTGATATCAACGGATTACGACGTGGTCTTGACTCGTGGTTCTATCCTCAACTGCGCTGCCTCCTACAAACTTCACACTCACAATGGCTGCGCCTACAACCTCGCTCCCTCTGAGGGACTTGATAGACGAGGAGTCTGTGCAAGAGTCAAGAGTACTTATTATCATGACCGGAGGAACCATCTGCATGCAACAGTCGCCATCCGGCTTTGTTCCCGCCAGAGGATTCCAGGAGAAGTGTATGGCCCGAGTGCCTTGCTTTAACGATGCCTCCATTCATACGGCGATGGACGTAGTGACCAAACCGTCGGGTGATGTCACAGCACACCCCAGTCTACGAACTCCAATTACCAGATACGGCCGCCAGGTGCGGTACACGGTGTACGAATTCGAAGAATTGCTGGACAGCAGCTCCATCGACGCCAAGGGATGGGCGGAGATTGCGCAAACCGTTTTCCAAAACTACGAGCTCTTCGACGGCTTTGTCATTCTGCACGGCACTGATAGTCTCGCATACACCTGCTCGGCACTGAGCTTCATGCTGCAGAACTTGGGTAAACCTGTCGTACTTACGGGATCCCAGGCGCCGATGCTGGAGCTCCAGAATGACGCAACGGATAACCTCCTCGGTTCGCTCGTCGTAGCTGGCCACTTTATGATTCCGGAAGTCTGTCTCTACTTTAATAACAAGCTCTTTCGAGGAAATCGCACCACCAAGGTAGCTGCGAGTGACTTTGCCGCGTTCAACGCGCCGAACTTACCCCCACTCGCCGTGACTACTTCGATGCGCACCAATGTGGATTGGGATATGGTGCATCGACCCACCAGTCTAGAGCACTTCAGTATCCAAACAAATCTCGACACAGCCCACGTTGCCTGCCTGCGCATCTTCCCGGGTATCAAGCCGGAGATGGTGGATGCCGTGCTCCGGCTGGACGGTTTGCGCGGTCTTGTGTTGGAGACATTTGGGGCTGGAAATGCTCCATCCGGTCAGGATAATGCCATGATCAATGTGCTGGCCAGCGCCATCAGGCGGGGCATCGTGATTGTCAATATCACCCAGTGTAAGTGCCCTTTGATGTCATACTTTTCTCTACATTTCACATAGATGTGCATCCACATACTCACACCTTCTGCTCCACCAGGTCTCACGGGTAGTGTCAGCCCTGTCTATGCTACCGGCATGTCTCTGTCTCGGGCCGGTGTCGTCGCCGGACTCGACATGACAACCGAAGGTGCCTTGACGAAACTCGCCTATCTACTCGCACTGCCGGATTCCTCCCCGGAAACCGTGACAAAATACATGTCAATTTCCCTACGAGGTGAACTGACGGAATCCTCCATGCCGGTATTCCGTCATCCAGACGGGCCCCTTCCCGAGCGGGTGCAGACCCTCACCGCGATGGCTTACGCCATCGCTCATGGCGATCTCGAGCGCGTTCAAGATATCATGAAGATTGAGCATCACTGGCTGCTGAACGATGAGGATTACTCGGGCAACACACCTATTGTGAGTTTAACCCCCCCCCCAAAAAAGACATTCAGAAATGCCCGTCGCTATCACGATAATTGTCAAAGGAATAATCCCATGCTAATATCATCCCAGCATGTTGCATCGACGGCACCCTCCGTCTCAATCCTTCACTTCCTGTTATCGCAAGGCGGGTCGGTCCATCTACGGAATCGCGCCGGACGTACCCCGCTGTTCCTGGCCGCCAACGCAGGACTCTCGGAGCACGTACTACTTCTGCGCAAGTCCGGTGCGCACCTGCATTCGGATGAGCGGCCGGCGGCAGAACTACTAGCTCGACGACGACCTGGCGTCTGGGGATTGGCGGGCATTGACCCCAGAGAAAACAGTCAGCGAGAACTGGATGAGGATATGAGGGGTGGTGTTGGGGTTGGGGGTGGTGGCGGCGACGGGTGGAATCGGACGATGGCTGGGTCAGCACCGTGAAGGAATGGGCTGAAAGGACTCGTTCCCATTTTTTTAGAGATGCTCGCATGCTCACATGCCCCTTTTCTCATCAACCTTCCTGCATCAACGAAAGAAAGAAGCCATGTTCCTGGAAATCGTCATGGCCGGGTCGCACATCATGGACTAGAATAAGCGCACCGATCACGCCAACACGGAGGGACACCATTGGGTGAGGGATTCTGCTTCCGCGGAGATCGGGCCTTGCCGCTGGGGGGGCTCGAGGGGGCTCGAGAGGCCCCAACCATTCGAATAGTGGGGAAGTGTCTGCGATAAGGACTGAGGCTGCTGTCTGGACTTAGTTTAAGGTGGTCGGTGGTCTGTGTGTGTGTGTGTGATCTGTCCGGGGTCACGCCTTGCTTGTGTCGGACTCGGCGAGTTGGCGCCATTGATGGCCTCATCGACTAGTCGTATACTACCTCAAATGGAGTATACATTGCAGTGGCGTCTATAATTTCTTTTTCTTATTCTTGGGGTAGATTAGATGGGACTCCTTACGGAGTACATAGACGAATAATCAATGCTGTGTGATGGGTCACTCACAGAAGACTGTATCAACATTAAGCGGTGACAGTCCAAGGACCTGCTGAAAGTAGAATAGCAAATCCCGACGTTAGCCCTGGCTAAGCTTGCCACGAAAGAGTCTGGTGATGTGGTGTTACCCCCTACCCAGAACAGTACCCATTACCCCGTGGCTTTTGTCAAATTGGAGGCGCAGGAATCCACCTGGAACCACGTGAGGCCGCCCCTGGCAGATTGTTGGTCGGGTTGCTGCGGGATTTTCGCATTGAACCTCGTCAGTGTCTCCATGTCTTTGCCATGTCAATCACGGCCAGACAATCCAGGCGGCTTGGCATAGCTTAAAGGGCAGCCGGTGATGTGCGCCTATCAGGCTGGAACCCGACGGGTGGCCAGGATGATCCCGTTGAGCTGAAGCGAAACTGGAGCGAACTGGAGCCGACTGGAGGCCGATTTACGTAAAGGAAATCCCCAAGGCGTGCGCGATGGTGTCATGGATCGTAGGGCGCGCGGAAGATGGGTACAGAATAGATAAGTTGGAATAGAGGGAGTAGGAGTATGGAGTAGTAGATAGGTGGTGTTATAGGAGAAGGTGGTGGTGGTGGTGGTAGTGGTGGTAGTAGTAGTAGTGGTGTCTACTATAGTATCTACTATAGTAGATACTGTATGGTGGCATGTATGTGCATAGTGTATAGTGTTACTACCACACTAAAGTCAAAGTATACTCCGTACTCATACCTATGTGCATATGTCCTACTAGTAGAATTGAATTTTCACGCAGATCCATGACTGTTTCCATCGCCTAATCGGTGGAGCAACCCATTCTTGTTACATACCACTTTGGTCCATGGCCCCCCCCCCCCCTCCTCCTCTTCCTAAAGGTACCCCACTGTCGCAACTCGCTCACCTCCATTTTTTCTCGCCAAGGCCTTTACTCCGGATTTTCTTTTATCTTTTACCCTCCCCTTCCCAGATCCACTTCCACTCTCTATTGAACCTCCCTTGAATTCTCCCCTTCTACAAACCCCTTCTCCCCTCCCCTCACTGCTCTTCCTCTGCCTCCTTCTCCTCCTCCGTGAAAAGGGCTTCTCTCCCGTATATCCCTCCGACATTCTGATCTTCCCCCCATGACACAACCTCAGAAGACAATAGCCGTCGTCAACGCGGCTGGCCGGCAAACTGCCTCGCTCATTCGTGTCGCCTCCGCTGTCGGATACTCCGTACGCGCTCAAATCCATTCGCTCAAGGGTATCGTCGCCGATGAGCTCCGCGGTCTACCCAATGTCACTCTTATCCACGGCCCGCTTCTCAACAACCCCGAGTTGATGGACACCCTGTTCCAAGGCGCCAATTATGCCTTTATCAACACCATGTCGCAAGCCGGTGACGAGGTCGCCATCGGCCGCGCGCTCGCCGACGCCGCCAAACGCGCCGGCACCATCCAGCATTACATCTATAGCAGCATGCCGGATCACTCCGTTCATGGCCCTTGGCCCGCCGTGCCCCAGTGGGCTCCCAAGTTCACCGTCGAGAACTACGTGCGCCAGCTCAACATGCCCTCTACTTTCGTTTACGCTGGAATCTACAACAACAACTTCACCAGTCTTCCTTATCCGCTCTTTCAAATGGAGGTCCTGCAGGACGGCAGCTTCGAATGGCGCGCGCCCTTCGACCCGGAGACCCCACTACCCTGGTTAGACGCCGAGCACGACGTAGGCCCAACTCTCCTACAGATTTTCAAGGACGGTCCTAAGAAATGGAATGGTCATCGGTGAGTTCCGAAACCTCGGCAATCCTCCCGAGAGCCCCTCTACCCCTCCATCAGAAGGAGAGGGGTACAGAATAAAGTACGAAACAGAAAAGAAACTCGAAGCTAACCAACGCCACTCTATCACAGAATCGCCCTCACATTCGAAACTCTCTCTCCAAATCAAGTTTGCGCCGCCTTCCAGCGAGCCCTCAATCGGCCCTGCAACTACGTTCGCGTCCCCAGGATCGAAATCAAGGTCAACATCCCGCCCGGCTACCGGGAACAGCTCGAGACCCTCGAGCTGCTGTTCGGTGAAGATAACGCGCCCTACTTCCCACAGCCCGAGTTTTCCCAGCCAGCCGCCGGTTCGCCCAAGGGTCTTGGCCCGGCGGGTGGAAAGGGTGCTGGTGCGGGTATGATGCAAGGACCGGGTGGAGTGGTTTCGCTACGCGTGACGGATGAAGCTCGGCATTTGTGGCAGGGGTGGAGGGATATGGAGGAATATGCGCGTGAAGTCTTCCCAGTGGAAGAAGAGGCCAATGGACTGGATTGGATGCTATAGTGGTGTCCAGACGAGTCTAGTCTATAGTCTCTGATTCTTTGCCCTCCTCCTTCCCCCTTCTCCTCTACCTCTTCTCTTTTCCCCCTTCCTTCACCGTCTATTTCTCCTTCCTTTTTTCCTCTTCTTTTTTTACGACAGTTCTATCCCCGGCAGACGTGCATGGTGATGATGTCCATGCATGTGGAAACCTGCCTCGCGATTGTTTTTGTGATTCTGCTCTAATCATTGCATTGTTGGCGAACGGGCATGGGAAATTTATATGGGACATCATGACTTCTTCTCCTTCTTTTCTTTCTCCTTTTATTACTTGTTCTTAATTGGAAGGATGCCCCGGAGACGGCCGAAGGAGACTTCATCGTTATCTCTGACCCGGCCACCTCAAAAAAAGTTTTACTGTTGCTTGCGAGCAGATCTCCCAATGCCCATGGGAAATCTGGCTCTGAAAAATTTATTCGAATGAGACATTACGACTTTCATGCTCATGATCAACTTCGGTTTTTTGTTTGTTCTACTTTTACCATTTTACCCTTTCTAGATTCCCCCTGTCGATCTCAGGCTGTCGACTTGTCGTCTTCTCCATATCAATTAGGCGACCCTCCCCGATTTCCTTGGTTATTATTTTTTTTTCTCTCCATCTCCCCCATAGGATTCAAGTTGAGTATTTCGCAAGACAAGCCAAGAATGTCTCACCGTCACACACGCATTGACATTCCCACCCCAAATCCTCATCAATCAAATCCTCCACTCAGACTGCATCCCTTTATCAACCCCCGAGGCATCGTAGCCTTATCCCACCAATAACAGCCCAGAGCCCAGCCTCGCCCGCAGCACAAGTATATGATCCAATAATCCGCACCCGGATACCCACGAGCGATCGGCGATCGCAGCAATTGGTCTGTCGAATGGGCGAAGGCCAGAAGGGGGGTCGTGGTACGTCACGGTTCTGGGGGGCAGGTCCGCATGCAGATCGGATAGAGTCAGATAAGGTTGAATTAAAGTCATGCTAAAATTGCCTTTCTTCAGGGCCCGCTTCCCTCTCAACAAGGTTAAGCTGTGAGGGTCGGAAAAAGCAACCATGCTGGATTGACACATGGTGGCAAATCCTATGACCGGGGCTTATCAGTGATAAGGCGTTGCTCTTCTATAGGGTATGGATAGGATACCCTACTACTACTACTAGGGAACTCCGTAATTGGATGGTGATTCGTTTCGTCGTGCAGGGTGGATGGGCGGCAAATACCACACCAAACGGTGGCTTCGGCATGGAACGATCATTGTAGATGTCCTACCCCAGGTTTTCGGCTGATTGTGTGCCTTGTGTCTCTCTTAGTTAGCTTGATAGCCTATGCCTTCGCTTGGCCCCCGATCGGGGACTGGCTCGCAAGGATTAGCTTCGGTGTTTTACCCATCAAACCCCCTTTTTAATCTCATTCTTAAGCCAATGGATACATCCTTAGTCTTCCAAGGTTGGTATTATAACTAAGGTCTTTCTCAAGCGCCCTGATAGGGCTGCTAAGTATGTCGGTTCGTACTCTGTTGTTCAATGTGGGTTCGTTCGAGTTACTACCCCGGCAGAGCCCGGCATATTCGGCGTGACGAAGCGCCCAATTGATATAGCAATGAGTTGGAGATGCAGTTCACGGACCTACTACGGGGATCTTTCAAGATTGTACGAATATACAAAGTGCCACTGTCCATGAGGTGCGTCCCCGCATCACAAGATGGTTAAGTGTACGCACTTCGTTGACTAATCTTTTAAGCAGAACGCGATTCAATTGGGAAGAATGGAGACCTGTAGCCTTTCATGGCTATCAGGAGACATAGCCTGTCGTCTATACGACTTATCTCTAGCTGCTATTATCTGCAATGCTCATTTTCATTGGTGGCGTTAGTGATTAACGTCCAGGCAATTCCAGCTTTCTATTGCTTTCTAATTGGTCTGAGTAGAGGCGGGCGTATAGTTTCGCATATTAAAATCCTTAGCATGTATAATGGGTGCTATCAGGCATTATTTCATACCCATGGATTATACAAAATGTTATGTAGCACTTCCAAGGTTGTAACCCTCTTTGATATATTTTAAGCCGCAGCGGTCCCCACAAACTCTATAGTACCGAGGTTTATTTAAGGTCGAATAATATGGCTTTTTTTTGCCCGTTTTGTTTTCTTTTTTTTGCTTCTTTTGAGTCAGTGTCAATGTTCACCATGCGGTGAACTATAGTTTTAATAGCTCACTAGTAGTCTAGTAATTCCTAACCCCAAACCCGTACGGGGCAAGTCACCACTAATTAACCGAGGATTACCACGATGTCATGGTGATTTGGTGGGCAACTTTGTGTTTGAAAATATGAATGAGTTAGATGAGAATTCTTGAGAACGTAGTAACTTACGTCGGTCTACCTATTTTGTACAAAATATTATGAATGAATACCGATGATTGTCAGCGAGCGCCCCCCCAACTTTAAATCCGGGATAATCCGAACCGCATCAATGTTACGAATAGACAACCAAACCAACGGTTATCCAAGTAACGGACTTTATGCTTTCAATGTCAGCAGAGTGTTGGAAATTATTTATCCCCGAGCTCTCCGGCGTCTCAGGACTTCGAGGTAGGTCGCGAGTTTGGTAGTTCCGCCATGATGATTCGCCAACCTTTCCTAATGACTCGAGCTCCACCCCGAATACTTTCGGTTCATTTATAGTTTTTCGGGTGGCCATGTAATGCGTCAGTGAAATTTGCCGCAAAAGTAAAACTCTCTCCTCATATATAAGAAGCGTACTGGCGGGCTCACAAAGTCAAAGTAACAAAATAATTACAATAACCTCAGTATACTCAATCATACCTCAGACTCTATCCGCTCAACCCGAATGAGTACCACCATGCCAGAGACCATCAAGTCCGTCAAAATCCCCGGCATTGCATGGGACATCGCCGGCGACATCTACTTCCCTCCCAACTTTGACGAGACCAAAAAACACGCAGCTGTCGTCTCAGCCCATCCAATCGGCTCATGCAAAGAGCAAACTTCCGGTAATGTATACGGCAAGGCAATGGCCGAAGCCGGCTTCGTGGTTGTCGCATTCGACGCATCTTTCCAAGGTGCCTCGGGCGGATTACCCCGGTTCGTTGAGAACCCCGAACTGCGCGTGTCCGACTTTCGCTACGTGGTAGACCACATCCAAACGCTTCCATATGTCGACGCTGAGCGGATCGGCGTGTTGGGAGTTTGTGGTGGTGGCGGCTATGCTTTCAACGCTACCATGACCGACTACCGCCTCAAATGTTGCGTCGGCATCACAGCAGTGAACTTTGGCCGGTTGGTTCGGGAATCCTTTGGTGGATTTGATCCTGTCGGTTCTCTTGAGAAAATGGCTAAACAGCGCACCCTTGAAGCTCAGGGTGCTGATCGTTTGGTTTCCCAATATCTTCCTCCGACTGTCGATGAGGCGAAGAAGATGACTTCGGATCCTGATATCATCGAGGCTACCGAGTACTACAAGACTAGCCGCGGTCAGAAACCTTGCGGTGCCACGAGCGGTCTATTCTCGTTCAATAGCGCCGCAGTTGCATGGGATGCTTTCAACCATGCGGAAGTCATCATGACTCGTCCCTTTATCGCTGTTGTTGGCGACATCCCCGGCGGGTTTGGCGCGTTCCGTGACGGTCATGAGATTTATGGCCGTGCTGCTTCTAAAGAGAAGGAACTCCTTGTACTTCCTGGTGTATCGCATTATCAGCTCTATGATGAGCCAAAGGCTGTCAAGGCTGCGCTCGAGAAGGTTCTGCCATTCCTGAAGAAGCATCTTGGCGATGCTAAATAGATATACTAGTAGTGGTAACTGGAAGTCATCAATTCATATTCCTTCTGCCTCCTTTACTCTTGGTGTCTGTATCTGAGTTCAAAGTTACTACTACTACTACTACTACTACTAGTAACTTTGGGTGCATGCTTCCAACTGAAAGAACTGCGAGGGTGCCCAAGTGGGCACCACCCTCGACTCGAGACTAATCTTAGGCACGATCACGAACTCCACAATTGTTGCATATTGGCAGTCCCATCCAAGCCAATGTTTCCGCGTATGGTGATTGATGGGACGAGTGAACTAGCAATGTGTATCAAAGTAGAATTTGAAGCTGCTAGTGTATGGAGGGGTAGAGAAGGAAACGTGGGGCAGCTACCATGGTAAGCTGGGAAGACGGAAGTGGCTTTTGGACCTATCTGAGCTCCTCCTTTGTACACAAGGTAGACTCTTGCAGTCCTCCATTATCACACGTTTCGCACTAAACCTAATAAAGTAGTAGAAACGGAAACGGAAGCAGGAGAGAAGAAAAAAAAAACTTCCATCACCTCAGGCACCATGACGTCCGTGCCAGACCGCCTGAAGTCTCGAGTTTGAGTGGCGGGACCAGCCAAGCTAGGTGTGACTCTGGGTACTTTGAGGTACTCTGAGGTACTTGAGTGCCCCGCACCTTCCCTAGCAACGGGCAACCATTCCAAGTACCTTCCCGTCCCAGAAAGTACACCAACCCGTCTGGCCCAGCTTGTTCCCCACGTATGCGAATGGAAGAGCTGTGATCTCCCGGAAATTTCTTACTTTGGACTTTTTTTTTTTTTTCTGCTAGCGTCTTCCACCTTCCTTATCCCTCGATTCTTTTCCTCCCATCTCTCTCTTCCTTCTTCCTTCTATATCTTGATACCCTTTCCCACTTTCCTGCTCCTCTTTCACATCTACCCTTACTCCAAGCTCATCCCATATCTCTTTTTTTCGAGCTTACCCCACCTTCACATATTTACATCATGTCCGGTGAAGATCAGTCTCTCATGGAGCGCATCGAGCTCCCCAACATCCCCAAGGATGCTCAGAAGAAGATCTCCCACCTCCAGGAGGAGTTCATTCGTGCTGAGGTTGAGCAGCGTACGTCCAATCCCCTTCTTTCCATCCCATTCCCTTTTACCCCGCCGTGTGACCCGTCACGACGTGAGGGGCATTTGCACGATGTTCAGATCATACGGTGAAGAAGATGAAGAAAAAGAAAAAGAAAAAGAAGAAGAAAAAGAAGAAGAAAAACTCTGCAATAACCCCCCTCATGAAATTGATTTCCGATGCTCTATTTCTATTGTGACCTGAAGTGAATCCTGGCTAACCCCCTCTCCCCCCTCCACAGTTCGCAAGTCAGTTCCCCTCCTGCAGCCTCTCTTCAAGAAGCGAAACGAGATCATCAGCATTCCCGATGTCCAGAGCGACTTCTGGATCCGCGTCTTCTCCAGCGCCCCCGCTGAGATCGACGAGTTCATCCTGCCCACCGACGCCGCCGTCCTCGGCGCTGCCCTGAAGAACATGACCGTCGAGCGCTTCGAGGTCGATGCCCAGGGTAACGGCGAGCCCCGCTCTCTGCGTTTCACCTTCGACTTCCAGACCGGTGAAGAGAACCCTTTCTTTGAGAACTCCCAGCTCGTCAAGGAGTTCTACTGGCGCAAGCAGATCATCCGTACCTCCAAGGGTAAGCGCCGCACCTGGGAGGGTCTCGTCTCCGACCCCGTCCGCATCAACTGGAAGAAGGACATGGATCTGACCAAGGGTCTGCTCGATGCTACCTGCAACCTGTTCGATGCTGAGAAGAAGGGTGGTGACCGCAAGAAGCTGCCTGAGTTCGAGGCTCTCGTCAAGAAGATTGCCGAGGTCGAGGCTGAGGATGACGAGGAGATGGAGGAGGACGATGAGGATGAGGACCCCGAGAGCCCTGCCGGCACCAGCTTCTTCGCTTTCTTCGGTTACCGTGGTCGTGACATCTCCGCCGCTGTGTCCAAGATGGCCAACAAGGAGGACGATGAGCGTTACGCCAAGATCCTCAAGGGCGAGGATGTTGAGGGTGACGATGAGGACTCCGATGATGAGGATGAGGATGAGGAGGATGAGCTCGCTGATGACCTCGAGGATGCTGAGATCTTCCCCAGCGGTGAGGAGCTCGCTATCTCCCTTGCCGAGGACCTCTGGACCGACGCCATGAAGTACTATGGTGAGTACATCGCAAAGCCCAATTCCTAGCACGAGCAACCAAAGCTGACTCTATCTTTTTTTTTCTAGTTGCCTCTTTCGATCTGGCCGATGAGCTTGATATGAGTGACATCGACATGGAAGAGCTTGATGCCATGGATGAGGGGGAGGACTCCGGTGAGGGCGAGTCGCGCCCCTCCAAGAAGGCCCGCAACTAAATCATTTGATTTGAATGATGTCCCATGAAACGCCATGCTCCGTGTGATTGTGGCGTGCCCGTCGCCGCCATTGATGTACTATCACAGGATGATAACGAGAATTAATAATAGGATGAGCGCGAAAATCAGCGCCGCTATACAAAAGGAGGACCATGTATCTAGGTAAAAAAAAGTTAGTTTTGAATTCATGATTCCCACCCCATTCAACCCATTCCCAGAACATGTATCCTGTAGAACGGTAGAACGGCAGTAGAAGTAGAAGTAGACTCGATCAAACTTACCCTCATTCTCACGAACAACGTGTCGTATCCTCTTCATCCCACTGGACAATTTGCCCCCGACCCGCTCAGCCAATGTATCAACCTCCTCAAGCATAATAGCCTGATCCTCCAACTCCCTCCCCATATGACTAGCCTGCTCACGCAGATTCCCCACAGTCCGAAACACCCCATCTAACTGCTCATCCTGTTCATGCATAAGCTCCGACTGTCGCTGCTCCTCCATAGAAGCATAGTAATCCTCATCATCCCTCCCACCACGCTGCTGTCGCTCCCGCTCCTCTTCTTCCAGGGCGACGTCGAACTCCGTCGGATTCGGCAACGCAGTTTCCGCAGAATGATTCACAGTCTGCTGTAGCTCCAGCCGCATCTTTTCCACTTCAGCCCCGACATCGTCGACGAGTTTGCGCCGGCGTTGCACCTCTTCTAATTCCAGGCCGAAGCGGTAGGGATCTTGCTCGATTGCGCGGACACTTTCGACTAGATCGTCGAGGTCGGCGCTGAGTTCTGTGATTGTGCTTTCGAGCTCGGAGCGCGCTTGCTTTAGTTCGGGGTTTGATGGGTTCTTGGCTAAAGACCGGATTCGTAGATATGAGGAGAAGAGAGGGCGGCTTGATTGGAGCGTTGACAGGACGTCACTATGTGGCCGGGGCTGTTAGCTTGTGCTTGTGTTCTATGTTCTTGGTGGATGGTTGTCCGGGAGGTGAGTCGCTTACGCTTGGACTTGGAGGAATGGGTCGGCGTGCTCCATGGTTGTGGTGTTTGGGGTATTTGTCTGGGGGAAGTCGGAGCGTCGACTGGGACTCCGAGTCGGAGCTGTTAGCTTCCCCGTGTATTATTCATGATCACGTGTCTGGTGTTTTCGGGGGCTGGAAGCGGCGGGCTCGAGCTGTGCTAAAGGGTCGTCGTATTGGGTTTATGTTTCGGTGCTAATTATTTCATATTTTCATCTCTTATATAAAGTTATTTCAGCGGGCTTCAGTAATGTTTCTCGCTTGGGAAGAAAGAAGTTGAATGTTGGTGATCGTGGTTGCTGAGCAGAAGTATAACTATTACATGGGACTATACCCGCACAATACTAGTTTCTAAGTGGTATCTAGGAAATCCATTCAATCACAAGGTACTAATTTCAAGTTTCAGGTTTAATTTCACTTCTCTCGATGAATCTCGATTCGCTTCTTGTCAGCGAGTTATGAAAATACAGAGGAAATCCAAAGATTAGCTCGAGAAAGGCATTCGTAGCCCCACGCCCAGTCTCTCTGATGAAAACGCCTCCTATGCCATTGGGCAGCTCTGGAGTGTCAGAATAATATAGGACAATGTCGAGGGGATCAATTTAAAATAATCGAACCCGAATTTGAAATCTGGTAGAACTGCTACCTGTAGTATGGCGTACTTTGTAATTCTTGCTCAAATTCCCAAAGAGACAATGATAGCTCAGATGGTCGAAATTCTTCCCTTGCGTACTATTGTTCCATGCCATCAGGCGCAATGACCTAGGGGATCCAATACCAAACACCAATTGATGGTGTCGTGAAGGTTATTTACTAATATGCTAGGGTTGTACTAGCCAGTTTTGTTTACCTGCAAGGCTCGCACGAAGGTGTTAGCCGATCGGATTGCACTAGACAGTGTGGTTGGTTACGAACTAGGTAGATCATGTTTATCACTTGATTGGCCTGTGTAATGATAACAAAAGTTTATGTTCGTCTTGCGCCTTTCAAAATCGGCATTACTATCAAATTTCATGTGCCTTATGTCGGCTATTCGTCGGACTTTGGCTTGAAGTTGAAAAGACTTGTACGACGTTAGCTAGAAAATATAATTATCTGTTGCTTGCCACCTGTACATTGCTACACCTACCTACTAGTTATTCCGAGATTCCAAGGTCATTCATCAAGCTTGGGGTCCCACTTTTCTCAAGGTCACAACCATGTCCCACCAGCTTAAAGATACCCAGGCCCAGAAAGTAGAGGCGTTGATGAAACAACCCTGCTAGGCAACGGATGGCCTGAAGAAAGAGAAGAATGGAGCAGATTGGGTAGCTGCCATCAAAACTACATATGAATTAGTGCAAGCACTTGAACAGCCACATGAGGCTGTGATCAAACTCGATGCTGCCGGGCTTTCTATATTGCTTGCTCGCCTTCGAGACAACTAGGTATGCATGTATGTATACCTAGGTATACAGATTGAGTATCAATAGTTGAGATATATTGGTCTAATTTTCTTCAGGATTATCTATGGGTATATGGGTATATCATCCAAGTTCAACACTACCTTCAGGCACACCCTGGCGACTGCGCAACCGCCTGGCAAAGAACTGCATAACAGGCAACATCTCATCCCGATTCGAGGGCATGCCATCGCCTTTCCGGGAATACCGACTAAGCTCCACGAATTCAAAAACCTCCTTAGTCCTTTTAACCGCGCCCTCGGAAACAACAGCCGAGTCTCTCCCCGATACCAACAGCACAGGCGTACGATTCTTCGACCCGGACCGCTGACCCGATAGCGGGTACGGTGCCCCGATGGATATGACACCGGCTAGAGGCTCTTTCTCCTCGGCACTAGCGGTGGATGAAGACAAACCCAGTTCCCTGGCCAGTGTCAACCCAGCCATGCCGCCCTGCCCAAAGCCCAGAATGAGGATTTCGCGCAGGCGATATCCGCATTTCTGGACTAGGGTGCCGCGCACGAGCTCGATGAGTTTCGGAGTGCTGCGCGTTAGTCCGGCGTCCATGTCTAGAGCTCCCGTTTTGGCGTCGAAGTCGACATCGTCGCCCCAGTGGAATCCGCCGAGGTCGAAGGGGAGTGGAGTCGATGCTTGCACGGTTACAACTGTTGTCTCCGGGAGGTTTAGGGCACGACCGAAGGCTGTGAAGCCGGCGGCGGAGTCACCGAGGCCATGTAGAAGGAGGAGGATGTTGGGGGAAGGAGATGGCCCAGGGGATGGGGTGACGGTGACGGTGTGGGAGGGGAAGTCGGACGGGGCTGGGACTTTGGTGGGCATGTTGAAGTGGTGGTGGGAGGAATCGTCCTCAATTGGGAGGTGTGCAGGGCCAAGCCCGCCGGTTGGAGGGGTTGCAAGGCGAGAATGTAGCGTTTCTTCGCTGCAGGGCCTGTCTTGGTGGTCCGGAATTGTCGGAGCTATAGCGGGGCGCGAGTGTGGCTGCGTGTGGCTATTTTCGGGCAGCTGAGGGAAGAGGTCACTCTTATTGAGTTAGCGTCAGCCAAGCCACCAGGATGGGGCGGTCTGACCGATGAGGTGGGATGAAGGTGGGAGGGATGTCTCGACCAGATTAGACCAGATTAGTTTGTCGTGTTGGGATGCTCGGTAGAAAGTCGCTGCCTGGTGTTGATCCCAGTGAAGCCCTTTGCCTGCGGCACGAATTGTTTCACCCATCTTCTGAGGTATTCCAATGAGGTCAGAGGGATCAATGATCGATGATTGTTTTTTTTTTAACAGCTCGAAGTACAAGGACTGCCGTCATAGGTGACAGTGAAGGACGATCAAGGGTCTATCATTCCGTAGGGCTACAATCCCGGCATCTGCAGATCACACCCGACTCAAGTTGGATGATTCTGGTAACACATGCCCCTGTCTCTTTCTTCCCAAGGGCTGTCACAGATCCAACGATCTTACCCTGGACTACTCGTATGCACACTGCAACTGCAATTCACTAAACGAATGGATATGTGGCTAGTGGCTGGCGACGCCACACTGGGGCGCTGCGATACGTAATGAACCACTCTGGACTTGAATTAGTAGTATCTTATTTGTTGTTATATTTATATCTCCATACAGTGTTTCCGGTAATCGGTGTCCCCCTCCGCACTCTTTCATTGTTCTCCGAACCCTAAATACTAAGTCACACTAAGCGACTTTCGGAGAGGCTATGTCAGCTTCATTTGTCTTTGGGATGTACCGTAACTTAACGGATTATCATATTAGCGGGGAAAATGTTTGTTACTTGTAAGAACAAACTTCCGCTCAGTATGCGGTAGGATGGATGGATGGAAGGTTTCATTTAGGCTGACCCTTCGCTTTGGGCAATATGCAGCTTACAACGACTATATAAATCCGTGTACGTACAAGTTGAGTATACCATTTCCTGAACGAACTTAGAGCCTCGTCGAGGCCTCTCGTGGCCTAGTTGCCGTCTCCGTTATTAGGCTGCCCGCTTGGCGCCCGACTTCGAAATCGTTGTGACGCCTCCGCAAAGTCCAACGCAGCATTCACTGTCTTGGCTCGGGAGGCGTAGTTGATATTACTGCTCTCGCCTGTCCTGCAACCTCCCAACAGAACCGCCACGCTATTGAATGCCTCATCTACCCTCCGCCGTAGCTGCCGTCGCAATATACTCAGATTAGGACAGTCCAAAAGGACATGTGCTACGCGTTCTCGATAGCCACAGACGCATAAGTCGTCGTCTCGGAGGCAAAAGGCCTTCGCGTACGCAGCTAACCAACAGTGCCCTGTGCGTAGATGCGTTAGTAGATAAGCCCGGTTCCTTGATCAGGATGATGAATTTTTCAATGTACTTCCACAGGCGTTTCACGCAAGCGTCGGGAGGCCGTCGTCGCCTGGTGCTGTGGAGCTGCTGCGATGGGAATATGAAATCCGGGCTTTTCTTCAGAGATGTTGGCATGACGTTGAACGTCTCAAGAACATCACTGAAATTCTTGTCAATGAAAGCCTAGCGACATTTGTCGAAAATGCCTCTTAGCCGTAAGCTGGTGGAAGTGATTTTCAACCAGATGGGCTCATACCTATAGGTCAAAACTCGCAATATGACCCCAATCCAGGATATTACGATCGTACGCCTGCATCAAGCTCTAGGCTTAGCCCTTTCCCGCGATTATCATTTTGAACTTGAGACACAAAACAAGTCCCAACACAAACCCGAAAGACCAAGCCTGCTCCAGGTATCTAGATGCAGAGTGACCCGGTCTCCCGTCGGCATCCCACCATTCTAAGATCCTCACAGTTTGCGGAGCGGATGCTGCCGGGCAGCGATAGGCAGCTACCTACTCTTCGTTACAGTGATAATCCATGAATCATCGCGTGACAATCCTCGAACTGATGTACAAGTTGGCTTTGTAAATTTTTCTGATCATAAATTACAACTAGAATTTGAGGACCTATGAGAGTGAAGCTGAGAATGAGTTCTTTTAACACTAAATACCCTCTCTTATTTGTAACGACTGATTGGTCCTATATCTCCCCGATTAGCTGCTTGAGGCTATTGAGATGTTGCTGAAAGATCTCTGGATCATCTGTTTTTTCCCGTAATGCCTCCTTGAGCTCCTTCATTGCCCCTTTAAGATCCTCAGTATTCTCAGAGCTGTCAGAGTTGAGAATATTCTCTGCTTTTTTGATGCTCTGCTTCGCATCTCGCACATTGCTCCAGAATGTGGAAGTTTTGTTTGGGTAATCCGTCTCTTCAAGTGGAACCTCCCATTGTTGTGGGGTCCTTTCAACGATATCCAGCCATTTGGCCATATGTGGCCATCGCTGCTCCTCCAAACCGGGAAAATGAACAAGGAGATCACCCTTTTTGCCTTCATATGCGTGGCTCCACTCATACGTGTTGATCCATGGCCGTGGAAGATAGACTACACCGTCAGCGTAGCCTTGGCCATTCGGACCACCCGTTGTTTTATTAAGCACACGCCTCATGCCCTCTTGGTCTGCCGACCGACCAAGGTCCTCTTTAGGAAGATATAATGGATATCCCATGGTCTCGGAAAGAAAGGTGACGGTCCATGGGTGGACTTGTAGGAACATGATCCCAGTGTTCAAGCCATTCTGATCCTTAGTTACAACCAAATGAACATCTCGCAAGTCAGCCGGAGGTAGGAAGATCTCCATGGGGACCTGCCCATTCAAAATGATCGAATCTGCATCCACCCACCTGTCGAGGTCAGTGGCTAAAGTTCAAAAGCCGTCACGGATTCTAGGAGGAGACTCACATCAACCATTCCGCTCTTTGCCCTGGAGGCTTTGCAAGCTCACGAATGACCGAAGAGATAAGGTAGCTTGGTTTGTTCCAAAATCCGACTGAGATATCCTGTCGTAAAACATCCATGGGATACCCCCATTTGTTTCCGTGACGTTCGTGGCTCTGAAGTGCTCTTTCGTACACGTGATTCGATTCTCCGTAAAGCATAGAAACTTTCAGGATCCTTGGTGTTGTGAAATGCGGGACAGGAAGAGAAGAAGCATAAGTGCTTGAATGGATTGAACAATAACCTCGAGCAACCTGCCAGGAACAACATAAGATGGCTAGGAGAATCAGCAAATTTCGGAGAAGCCGTGTGTTGAAGGCCCTTGAGATGGAAGTCATAGTGGGCGTTGCCACCCAAATGGCAGTTTTTGACGATAAATTGGAATCCAAGTCGCAAAAGTGATGTAACTTCTCCTTATAACTATCAACAGCCCGATTAACAGTGTCACTTGCCATTTTAGCCGTTTAGTGAATTTTAAAGGTGACAATCTTTCCGCATCCGGAAGGAATCATAGCCCTAAAACGTACTCGGAATTGTTCAAAAACATAAATTCTTGGATTTTTTAGGAGATTTAAATAGTATACACGATGAAAGATCGCTATAAATCAATTCTTGCTCTTAAGGTGTCTCGATTTAAGAATCCAATGAGCTTTCTCTGGGTGTTTAGTATAGAAAAATAGGGTTTAGGGTTTGCAGGAGTGGAAGGGAGTCCGCCGAGAACGGAAACTAGGGATATTCTACAAAAATGGGCAGCCCCTAGAATCAGCAACAGCGGCGATCCGCCTAGTGTCTCCGCTCCCTTCTACCGGTCCGCTTGCGTAAATACCACGAGAGAGTAGCAATTCGCCTACCTGTTCAAAACAAGCCCTTAGATATGGGCTGGTCACTCTTAAGCACGCAGCGTCCACGGATCTCCATCAACCTTAAACAATTCCCTTGCTTCAACACTGACTGACCATGGTACCGCGACTATTCATTTCACTGCTAGCGGTGGCCGTGTCACTATGCAGTCTATTTTACTTTTTTTTGGACAGAGGAAATCTCTCAGTCAGAAATAACTCGCAGTGCGTTACTTCCTTCGTTATGTTGCGCAAACTTCATTGCTGAAAAACTGACCGATTTGCAGGCAATACTCAGCGCTGCAGATCGATAATGGGCTCTCATTTATCCAAAACCTTTACAGACCCTACATACACCCAATAAACGCTCTAGAATTCGATGACGAGAATGGAAAAGTCTACTCATTACCACGAATGCCGAGGTTTACGAGGTCGCTGAGAGAGAAAATCCTAATTCTGGATGTTGACACCCGCCCACTCAATGGACCAGGTGAACTTTTAAATGCGACCCGACTGAATATGACAAGCGCTCCTCCCAACACATTTGGTAGGCTCAGTCATTACATGTATGGTCAGTACCTTTTGTTTATTTATTTTTTTCATTACCAAACCGATGCTGACCATTGTATGTAGCTACAATCCATGGCTATGATTACAAGCTCGTTCAGCCTTCTTGCCCTACGGGTCTTTATGGCACGTGGAGTAAGGTAACGGCGATGAAGGAAGCCTTAAAGCACTACGAATTTGTCGTTTTTCTGGATGCAGACGCCATAATTCGCCGTCCGCACCTTCCCATGGAATGGCTTTTTAACTACTGGGACATAACGCCGGATACGCTTCTCGCCTTGGCCCTCGACCCAGACGAACCGCAAAATCGGGACGCGAAAGGGAAAACCCTCCTCAACACTGGCTTTATGATTGGACAGAAGGACAGGAGGACGCAGAAGCTTTTCGAAGCGTGGGAATCATGCCCTACTGACGTGCGATATCCCGAGTGCTCCAAATGGAGTCAACAATGGTCGCATGAACAAGCCGCCTTTGGAAATTATCTTCGGTATGACTCTTCCCTGGAAGGAGAGATCAAGACTCTTTCATGCGCAGAGGCGAATGGATACCCTGAGATGGCTAAATTAAATTGCACTGGGGAGTTTGTGCGGCACTATTGGATTTACAAGGATTTGCTGCCGCCCGTTGTTGAGAGTTCGATCACACAGTACTTCCTCCCCAGGGTGCAAGGACTTCTTCAGCAAAACTTTGCTAGCATAGTGCTAAATATAAGCGAGCCCATGGAGTCTTATTTTCAGGAATGAGAATGATCAGTCAACGATCGTCTTGGAGATACACTATACTGTATATAAAGCATTCACTGGTCCGCCGTTTACAAACCACAATGAGAAGAAAATTTTGAAGACTATAAGTTTGCAACCCTCCCCTCCCCCAATCTTTGGCCCAGGAACTATTTCTTTCTTTCTAGAATTCACAACCATGTCTCCTTCCATCTTAATCGTTGGCGCTACTGGCAATACCGGTCGAGCCGTCACTCAAACCTTGCCAAAGTTGCTCCAATCAAGCCGCACTTTGTCCGGTCACCGCATTATTGTTCTCACTCGCTGCTCCGCCAATCCAGCGACAAAGGAACTTGCCAAACTTCCTGGAGTTGAAGTAATAGAAAAAAACTGGGTGGAATTACCGCCGCGTGGCTCTGCACAAACCAAGTCACTAGAGCTTTCGCTGCATTCCACAATGAACCCAACCAGTTGCTGAAGAGTCGCGAGTTAACAAGCAGGTGTGGCGCCTCAGGCACCAATGTGCTATGGTGGTCAGATCCGCAAGATCCACCGCTGCTGTTTGCATCCTCCCGGAAGGTTCCAGCAATATACTCGTTCTTGCATACAAACATGAGCGTATGGTATGTAACTTACCTCCGTAAGTATCTATATTCGTGAAAAACCGGAAGATTCCTATTTTTATTTCTTACCTAATAAGGTCTTGTGTATCTTGGCATTCAGGGTTCGGGGAACAAAGAAAGAGTGTAGGGGGTGATACCGATTTCCGGTAATACTATACTAGTACATATGAATATTGCAGTGGGAAGAAAGATTTAGCCGACTCGGACCCTTGAGTTTCGATGGTTCCACCGTGATTTCCCATCGTGCTCCGTACTTTGTCCTTGTAGACTTCTTACACAATGAATACTCAGTCCCTGCACTAGCCAGCTCTTCACCGCCACTTACGTGGCTTTGAATGCCAAGAACCATCTGAGTACAGCTGGCCTCATAGGGCGCGGACAAGCCTCGGACAAGCGAAGCTTGGCCCGGCAACGCCGGCCTCCGACAGCACCCACCCCTCGACGCTCCATTTCGTACCGTGTATCCCGAAGTACGAGTCTGTATCACTAGTGCCGATATGGCTAGGCCTGCGGAATTCGTGCATGCGATTTGCCCTGGTGCCGATGGAGTAGGGCTGAGAAGGCCCCGCTGGGTCATTGTCATTCCGATCGGCGATTTATTGGGCCTTGTGGGACGCGTACTCATTCACTTTGGGACGATGTATCGTTTTGGTTCCAGATGGGTGTGAGGTCACTTTGGTCCACTCGGCGGAAATAGACGGCGGAGGATACTGCTCTGATATGGCAGAGAGGTCATGTTTGTTTTGTTGTTGATGGCCATCAGGGTACATATCGAGTACTCTGTAGAAAGGCAGGCGTTGGCGTATACCTCCAATATGTGCATCGAGGTTCCTCTAGGCCCCTACAATTTCTCTTGCCGCTACGAGTCGGGGATTGTGAAAAGAATTCCCCTCATGGTCCCCAGCAAGTGTCTTGGCGCTCGCAATTGACCCTCCGATCTGATCCTCATACGACGTGGTCGGTTAGCATGCACCGCCGTCTATAATTTTACTGGATCAGCTTCCCCATTGCCCTCCTCCCAGCGCCCCAGACCCCCAACCGCTGCCGTGAGGTCGGCACGATCTGCGCACTCCACCGGGCCCATTGAGGGGCTTATGGTCAGTCAGATCCGTGGTCCAGCCGTATCATGGAGGGGTTCTTCTCCATCTCCCTGGCGACTCATCCTAAGATTAGTACTCACACTGCTAGGAAACCGCCATAGTACTCTCCAGTCGCCGATGGAGTGGGTCAGCGCGTGCTGAGACGGAGAAAAAGGGAAAGTTCCTGAATATCCTGAGCTGAATACGTAGCCTTTCTGGAGTATTCTGTAGAGCTGTGTTTTGGGGTATAAGAGCCTCCCCTCCTCCCCTCCAAAGTGAAGTCTTCTATCTCCCATCACACTCTATCTTCAAGAAACCCTTTCAACCACTCTTCATATAATCACAATGGCTTTCGGCTGGGGTAAGGTTTCCCTTCGTGTTTCCCTTTACACACCTGTCTATGTTGCATAGATACCGGTACACCCATCAGGGACGTCCTTGCATTATGCATAGCCCTATGCATGCCTAGGCAAATTACAACCTTCTGGACACGGGGACAAATTTACAAATGAACCGGGCTGACGAGTATCTCTTCAGGCGAATCTGACGACGCTCACCGCAAGGTGTACGGCGGCGAGAAGCACGAGGGCAAGTTCTCTCACGAGCTCATTGCCGGTGCCGCTTCCTTTGCCGGAATGAAGGCCTATGAGGACCACCAGCGCAAGGAGGGTAAGTGATAGCGATGCAACCCACGAACACAAGAATACATCGAGGAAATATCATTCTAATCTTATTTTCTCCTTATAGGCAAGACCGTCAAGCACGCTTTCGCCAAGGAGGCCCTGATGGGCCTTGTCGGCGCCGAGGTCGACAAGCTTGCCGAGAGCAAGGGCATGGATGAGGTTGACAAGATCAAGGCCCGCGAGCATGCCAAGAAGAACGCCCACCACATGTACGAGGAGCACTACGAACGCGACCACCGCGCTGAGGAGTATGACCCCTCCCGTTACCCTCGCCATCCCCGCTTTGAGCAGGAGCGCCGCTGGTAAATGGGAACCTTCAAGTTGGAACTTGAAGATTTTCCTCGACAGCATGACGAACATACCTTTTATTTATGATGAGATATCTTCCGGCCACGAGTACGCCGAGTTATATGTACAGAGGCGGGAAAGTGGATCGAGCAATGAAATGAAATGAATTACCAAAAAGTATCCGTACATACATACTAGTACTATTCAGTACCCGTTTGTTTTCGTAGACCGGTGTCCTATTTTGTTGTATTATAGCTGTGTCGTATGCGGGTTCCTCGTGTGGATGCACCAGCTTCTGCACGATCTTCGGGACGAGTAGGGTCGGGTCCTCAGGGAATACGTATGCAATTTCTCTTGCAGTCTGACTGGGGCGTTCAGGGTTGCAGGGTCAGATATCTTCTAGCCAGTGATTGCCATGAGAACACGCCGAGAGCATTCCAGAGATGTACACCGCATTCCAAGCCAAATGTAGATCCTCGATAGTTTCGAGAAGATGGATCGATTATTTGCAATTTTGAAGTGGATGCATTTGATTAATAGTGGCGGTCTTTGATTGTTTTTCTGTCGTTTATTGCTGATCCTTGGTTAATTGTTCTTCGCGTAAGGCACCGCTGTACAACATGAGAGAAACTGTTGCAGGTGCAAGTTAATTGCCCATTCTAGATTCCACAGGCCCATCGGAATCCGGAACCGGTGGACCGGGGGACCAATCAGAGATGATCTGTAACCAATGAAATCTCTTGATGCCTTAAAGTTCAGGACTTCAATCAGCCCAGATGAGCTCATTTTCTCCGCACGTGCCGCGATAGGGCTCGGTGATTGTCGCAAATCCTAAAATACCCTTTTTGATTTTATTTTTCCGAACGGGATGGCGTTTCCTGAGCCACTGGCAGATCCCGACAAAGTGAACTTCTGTTCTGCAGTTCTTGACCACGCACACCTTGTTTTGAATGTGGAGAGGTCTAGGGTATTTCTTCCATTCGACCTCTTCCGCTTACTTTCCGCTTATCTTCACGCCGTTGCGCTCCCAAGGCTGGGCACACACCTCCACCGTTCTTAACGCGGGCTAATCACGCCTGACCTTGGAAAGTTTCTGGGAATCAAACCTGCTTAACTTCCCCTCCTGTCAGGGTTTAGCCTTTCCATTCCTCCCTTTCAACATCCTCGTCATCTATCGAACCCGTTGAGAGAGAGTCCTGCCATGACGGCAATTCGCTAGTCAAGATGAAATTCGCCAAGTTGGTTCTTTCCTTCCCTCGTGATGCTGGGCATTCCAGTGGCTGATTCATCCACACAGAGAGCTGGAGCAGGACTTGGTTCCTGAGTGGCGGGCAAAGTATCTCGACTATAAGGTATGTCATGGTCATGATGCTCATCGGGGTGATCCCTCACGGGGAAGCGCCGCTTGCGCTAACAATCGCATCACTATAGGGCGGTAAAAAGAAGATCAAGGCCATCACTCGTGCTCTTCAAAAATCCCATCGGAGCCCTCGTACCCCATCATTTCGGCAACCCGCCCCTCCTTCTTCCCATGCCGCAACGGATTCGTTAGCCCCCTCTGCCTCCGACAAAGATATCGATGCGACAACAAGTTTGAACAGCCCTTCCAACCCCAATAGGACCCCTAGGACAGCCCCCCCAAGGTTCGCGCCCAAAATCAATTCCAAGGAGTGAACGACAGCCACTGAGGACCCCAGGATCTCGATTTTCAGACGCCGTTGGCAGCTATGGAAGCATTCTCGCCACCCCACCCCAAGTCGCACCCGCATCGGAATCAGGATCGTTTGAGCTGCCCGACCCTGCGCTTGACCCAGAAGAGGATTTTATACCCCCCCAGGCCACCCCGTCGGGACATCAAGACTCCGTCTCCGGTAATAGCGCGCCGTGCTACCTTCGATGCTCCACCTCCCCTTCTCGATAACGACGGCTCGCCTGATCAGATCCCCCCCGCTCGCTCGACAACCAACCGCCCAGAGTCCCGATGGCGGGGCCCTTACTAAAACCAGCTCGGTTAAACGGACTTCGCAGCTGCTCCGGCGTGTTCTGTCTCATGCCGAAGTTGAAACTCTTGGTAAAAGAGCGGCGCTGGACCCAGCTGTTGAGGTTGAAAGACGACAGGACGAATTTCATGCATTCCTGGATGGCGAGCTCCAGAAAATCGACTCGTTTTATCTGCTGAAGGAACAAGAGGCTACTGATCGACTCAAGGTTCTCCGTCGGCAACTGCACGTTATGAGAGATCAACGAATGCAGGAAGTTTTGGCCGCCAAGAAGACAGCGAAAAGGGGTGACTCGGAGGAGCATCGAATGAATGGGTTTGGAAAGCTCAACGGGGCCCGGTTGAAAGACACACTCACCGGGAAGTCTCGTTTTGGGAAAAACTCCCAGGCACTGGCGCAAATGGCAACGCCAAACATTAATGCCCGAGACCGGGAGTTCATCCAGAACAGAAGGGATTTCATGCGGCGGCAGGATCCGCCAAACGATGTGTCGTACCGGTCTGCTAAAAGGAAGCTGAAACATGCCCTTCAGGAATTCTATCGTGGAATCGAACTTTTGAAGGGCTACGCTTATCTGAACCGAACGGCCTTCCGTAAGATCAACAAAAAATACGACAAAGCCGTGAATGCTCGACCACCACTCCGATACATGTCGGAACGAGTTAACAAAGCGACTTTTGTACAGAGCGAAGTCATCGAGAGTCTGATGGTGGCCGTGGAAGATTTATACGCCCGGTATTTCGAACGTGGTAACCGTAAAGTGGCGGTTTCGAAGCTTCGACAGAAGATGAAGAAGTCGGGCGATTACTCGCAGAGTACATTCCGCTCTGGTCTTCTGCTGATGGCCGGCACACTCTTCGCGATCCAGGGACTGGTGTATGCGTCCGATCGTCTCGGTTCTTCTGAGGTGTCCGAAAAGGTTCGGACGAGTTATTTATTGCAGGTTCGTACTCCCTTGCGTCCCCCTCCAACCCCCCGCTCGCGGCGGTGTCACATGTGCCTAACCTGATACAGATATACGGGGGCTATTTCCTCATTGTTTTTCACGTCCTGCTATTTTGTCTGGACTGCATGATATGGACAAAGTCGAAGATTAACTATGCATTTGTTTTTGAATATGATACCAGGCACACCTTAGAGTGGCGCCAATTGTTAGAGGTATGGCGAAGCATAGTGACGGTGAACTCGCTTTCATGGGCATGCTTTTACTGACAATCTCTAGATTCCTTCGTTTTTTATGTTCCTCATGGGTCTTTTCATGTGGCTTAATTTTTCATGGATGAATTCCATGTACATATACTGGCCGGTTGTACTTATCGGACTGTCTGTCTTTATCGTTTTCCTGCCCGCTCGCGTGTTGTATCACCGCAGCCGCAAGTGGTTTGCCTTTTCAAATGTGAGTTACCCCAACTGCGCACAATGAATTACGAGTTAACTAGGACAGTGGCGACTTTTGCTTGCTGGGATATATCCTGTTGAGTTCCGTGATTTCTTCCTCGGCGATATGTTTTGTTCTCAAACTTATGCGATGGGAGTGAGTACACATGATATCAAACCTGCTGCCGAAGCTTTGCTGACATTTCCCCCCCACAGAACATTGAACTGTTTTTCTGTCTGTACGCCTCATACTGGACGAATCCTGCCAAATGCAACTCCAACCACTCTAGACTGCTGGGATTTTTCACCTGCCTCCCGGCGGTTTGGCGAGCATTCCAGTGCATTCGTCGATATGCCGATACCAAGAATGCCTTCCCTCACCTGCTTAACTTAGGGAAGTATATTTTTAGTGTTCTGTACTACGCAACCCTGAGCATGTATCGCATCGACCGCTATACGAGATTCCAGGCGTCATTCATTACCTTCGCTCTTCTTAATGCCGTTTATACCTCAGTCTGGGATTTGATCATGGATTGGAGTCTGGGTAACCCATACGCCAAGAACCCACTCCTGCGTGAGGTCATTGCCTTCCGACGAGTCTGGGTTTACTACGCAGCCATGGTGCTAGATGTCGTGATTCGATTCAACTGGATCGTCTACGCCATTTGGTCTCATGACATTCAGCACTCAGCAGTCCTCAGCTTTGTTGTTGCACTCTCCGAAATTTTCCGTCGTGGTGTGTGGTCCATCTTCCGGGTGGAGAATGAACATTGTACGAATGTGCTCTTGTTCCGAGCTTCAAGGGATGTACCTCTTCCTTACGAAATTCCGGATATTCCAACGCCCGGTTTGGACGGCCCTCAGCCGGACGATGTGCAGTTGCAAGAACAGCAGCATGTCGCGACGCCATTCCTTCAGCCAGCAGATATCGAACAGGGAGCCCGGCCTACATCCAGTCTACGTGCTCGGAACGGACGCCCCTCTGCTGGCATCATTCGCGTCGGCACTATTGTTGCCTCGGCACATGCCCAGGACTTCCAGCGCCGTAGGCTCCCGACTTACATGTCCAACGCTAGCATGTCTCATGAGATACACCACACTCCAGACGACTCCACTGATGAGGATGAGGATGCCGCATTGACTACCGACGATGATTCTGGATCCGTCGCCGATGTTGCGCATGATGAACCACAACTACCGCCTACTGAACGGCAGTCCCCAACCATGCGCCGCATCGTCGAGTAGGGTTGATGAATTCAATGAGGTGAAACCAAACTATTAGAACTATCAGATAGACTTCAGTCATCTAGTGATGAAATGCACATATTGTTACATCTACATTGCTCTCCCATTTTGTACAATCTTATAGTTCTCAGTCCCACTTCGACTCCACGGGCCCGCTTTGTGGTGTAGATCAGGTCACGTGTTAAACGTCACATGGCATCGGAGCCTCCCCAACCCGCCGCCATTGATGCCTCAGCCTCCCACCCTTGCATCTCTCAACGTTCTCATCAACTTCTGCCATCGAACAAGATAGCTGGAGATCGATATAATTCGATATAATGGCTGCTAACGCGCGATACGAGCGCGCTCCGACGCGGGATTCTCTTGAGGACCAGGAATACACTCAAGCACCTCCATCTTACCAGGCTACAGCAGTTCCTGACCCGGAGCCACGCAGCGAGAACGACAACTTGCCCGATGACTTCAAGGTATGCAATAAGATGTACGATCGTGTGGTTAAGAAACAAGTACTGATATATCGTTAGTTCGGCGGCACTGTTGCGGAGGGAACCATCGAAATTCGGATGCAGTTTGTCCGCAAGGTGTACTCGATTCTGTATGTCCCCGCCCTCCTAGCAAAAAGACAAACTAGTATCATGAAGGAAAAAAAGAAATCTGCTAACATATACTTCTCCAGCACCGTTCAAATCCTCCTCACAACCATCATGAGCTCCATCTCCTTCTTCAACGCTACCTACCGCACCTGGATCCAGTCTAACTTCTGGCTGATGATAATCTCCGTCTTCGGCGCACTGGGCTTTATGCTGGCAACATACTGGAAGCGCAAATCCTACCCAACGAACCTACTCTTCCTCTCCGGCTTCACTCTTCTGGAAGCCTACGCCGTCAGTGTAGCAACATCTTTCTACGAAGTCCAAGTCGTCGTGCAAGCGCTCGTACTTACACTGGGCATCTTCGTCGCCCTCACCCTCTTCGCTTGCCAGACCAAGTACGACTTCACCGACTGGATGCCGTACCTCTTCGGTGCACTGTGGTTCATGATTTTGTTCGGGTTTGTCGCGGCCTTCATTCCCTTCAACAGTACCCTTGAGATCGTGTACGGCGTCATGGGCGCGCTGATCTTCTCGGGTTACATCCTTGTCGATACCCAGCTGGTTATGCGCCACTACCATGTCGAGGAGGAAATTGCTGCTGCTATCTCGCTGTATCTCGATGTGCTAAACTTGTTCATGTCCATTCTGCGTATCCTGAATGGCTCTAACAACAACTAAGCTAAATTAAGCTCAGTATCCAATGTGCATGCAGTGTCTCCTGCCCCTGGTATGGATTGGAGGATTTCCTGGTTTGAAGTTTGGATCGTCGGGTGGGTTTGATCGAGACGCCACTTTGAATAGCTAGCAGTTTTAGGCGCTTCTCGGTGCTGGTTTCATGAGCATGATGTCTATTTGGCTTTTCTTTCAAGTTGTCTTTGTTTATATCTGCTCTGCTCCGGAAATTTTATCTTTTCCAGTTCTCCTAAACTCAATAATTTGTTAATATGCTTGCAAAGGCCATTAATCACTATGTCAACCCCATGTTATCTCGATTCTACTTTAAAAGGCACAACTTGCAAGTATTAGTAGCCAATGGATCAAGGGTGTAAGCAAATCAAGCAAGTGTCAATTAAAGCTCCAAGCGCCTTGCGTAATTCGAAATCGAGAAATATAAATGAAAGGATCCGCGCAGGAAATTTACAGACAAAGAAGGAATGCTGAAATGAAACAAATATGCAAAAAAAAGAACGAAGAGGGGAAAGAAAGAAGAGAGAATCTATGGACCTGTAAACGTAGACGAAAAGCATCACGTTCTTTAGCGTGCAAGGAAAGGAAAGAAGTTAAATGACAGCATATAGCGGGCGAACTAATTATTATCCCTCAAGGGGATGCGATGAAGAATGTGTTGGTGATGAAGCACACGACCATGACCACGACACCGTAGAGAGCAAGGGCCAGGCTGAGACGGCGCAAGATTGTCTTGCGCCAGTGGCGAGCAGGTCGAGGCAAGAAGCCACTATCTGTCAATGACTGGGTAAGAGAGCCCTCGCCTTCATCGTCATGAGTCTCTTCATCAGATAGGTCGTCAGCTGCCTCGTCGTCCTTCAGAAGGCCGCGATGGGCGGGAGAATCAGGTGAAGAGATCTTGTAATAGAAAAGACCTGGCAGGATGAAACTGATGCTTGTGCTTCCGGTACTTCCAACGTAAGCCAGCACTGCTTCCAAGGAGGAAACAGTCATAGCGACGAGGTAGCTCAGGATAAGAATGGTGGTGGTGATGACCGAGAAGCGCAAGTCACTCATCGGCTCGACGGTTCGAGTACCGCGTGGACTCAGCAATGGGTGTCGATGTGGTGAGCCCTCTGTTGACCGAGGCGCGGATTTCGGGCGCCATTTCAAAACAGCGTCCACTGACGCCCGGCAAGGGTGACACTGGAGTGGGTAGGAGAAGACAACAAGCATCACGATAGCAGCACGTGCAATTGTTGCCGCGATGCCTGGTGGATACATGCCGACGATGTTGCCCGCGACATTGTTTCCAAAAGAGAGGTAGCCAGTGATGGCGACGAGAATGTAAGTGGCCGCCGCGCCACCAATACTGGCAAACACGACGCTTGTCGTGCGGAAATGACTGTTGTTCTTGATTTCGTTGAGGATTGAGAACATCTGGAGATTCAATTAGCTGATATGCGTAGAACAACATATTGATTTGATGAGCCTACATTCTGATGGCAGGTGAATGCAAATACGATCACTGGGAAACTGCTCAAAGTTGGGACCGGACCTGCCCAATGGATTACACGAACAGGACCACGATCCGCCATTGTATCGCCCTTGATGAAGTGATAGACGACCAAGACGACCAAATAGGCCATTGACACCAAGGCCGCAATACTCGTATATTTCAATGAGTCTAGCCGACGAAGGTATGAAAGGGGGATCACGATCAACCTATTCAGGGAAACCTAGTATTAGCAACATATAAGATCATGGGGTCTATTAATTGTAACTCACATGAAGGCGGTTACCCAGAAATGACGATCCACGAGGAAGTCAAAGGCCGGGTCGCCTCCGACGATGCCGTTGACGACGCCTGGCATCAGGTCGCCGATAATAATGAGATAGCTCACACCAACTCCAAAGCATTTGATGGCAATTGCGGCATCAAATACAACAGCAGCATTGGGGTATGTCAGTTGCGACAGGGCGAAGAAAGAGGCGCTTCCGCGGTCGAGGTATTGAGCGCATCGCGATTGTAGATAGAGACCAAAGCCCGCTGTGACCCCGGACCAAAGGATGACGAACGTTCCCAAGAGAATTCCCATATGTGATATGGCCAGTGGCATGGCAAGAACTCCGGCACCGATAACTATCGAAGTAAATTTGCATTGTTAGTGACACCGGGGAACATGCAAACCGTCGCCAGACATCGACCGTTTCCACTCACTGGTATTGACGAGATTGATGACACTGCTCGACCAGCTGGCGTCGCCAGCGATGCCAGTCTCGCGTTTTCCTCGATTAGGACGTCTGGAATACATATATCTGGTTATTTCGTTGCAAGGTAAGGCAAGGCCGAGACTCTCAGACATACCGTCGAAGGCCACTCTGGGAGGTCCCAGCAGGGCCAACCCCCAGGTTCGACTCCATCGTTAGAGAAGGGTCGTCGCTGATACCTCTGTGGTGATTTGGCCCGGTACAAGGCCTTCCAGCGACCACAAATAGCAGAGCCAAGATGTGACACGCGTGGAAGAGAGACGAAAGGGCTTGGGGGGGGGTTCCAAGATTAGTCCAAGTGGCCTCGTCTTATCGGAGCCGATAGCACCTGACTTGGACTTTCTTGGCCCGCACGCAGGCTTTCTCCGCTTTTACTCTCCTCTACAATTGATGTGGGAATGCTATATTTGCTTCTCGTGCATGATGGCATCATAGTCGTCGTTCTTTAATGGCGTGATATGGACTCATTCTGACTACATTGGAAATTCTCACAGCTTGGATCGTCCCCATCCCGGTTGCGCCAGAAGTCCGAAACTCTCCTCCTCCACCGTTGCGTGGTCGGACGCAGTGTTTCCCGGCCGATTGCCGGGCCCCTCATCGTTGAACGCATTTACCAGTCGAACTGTCTTGGAGACCTCATAGATGTTACCTCCAGACACGGTGAACTGCTTGCCCTTTCCGGACCGATCGCCAATGACCTCGCTCACTTGCTCCTGCTGCACAAGGGCCAGCATCACCTCGCCAACCTCCTCGGGAGTCACCCACTCGTCGGAACTGTCCGACACCATCTTCAGCTTCTCCGGGTGATCTGTCCAAAGAGGGGTCTTGATCACTCCGGGCGCCACGGCGGTGACTCGGATACCCAGTCTCTCGAGTTTACCAAGTGATCGTACCAGGCCGTTGATGGCGTGTTTCGTCGCCACATAGATCGGGGCTGCAAATGCAGAATTCTGTCCAGCAATACTGGAGATATGGACGATGTGCTTGGGACGACCGTTCTCACGGTGGCGCAGGAAATGAGCAATCGCCAGCTGTGTCGTGCGGATAGGGTGTGTGATATTGATATCCACCAGGGCATAGCGACCGCCGGAGTCCTTGCTGGGTGCAGTACCAGGAGGACGCCAGAAGTTACTCCAGTGCTGTTCAAATCGTAGACCTGATTAGCAAAACCGGGATCGGAAATATCATAAAAGAATAGGTGAGTACACCTACCGGTTCGTAGACCCCCGCACCGGGACAGACGATATCGATCTCATTGAACTCCTTCTCTGCAACTTCAAACATCCGCTCCAATTGTGGCCAGTCTGTCACATCCGTCTTTTGGAATACAGCTCTCACAGGTCCAGCCTGGTGCTTGTCCACGAGCACCTGAGCTTCGGGGCGCAGGCTCAAGTCTGCGATCAAAACGTTGCAACCATTTTCTAGCAGTAATTTGGCAAATGCAAGGTTGATGCCTAGCGGGCAATGAGAGTAAGTTCCAGGTCGTTCATGTTTATTTCAATATACATTTAATGAGAGAAGTGTGACCTACCGGATCCTGCGCCAGTAACGATGGCAGTTCTACCCTGAACCGGTAAAGCCATAGTACTATCAGTTTCTGGGTAAGTGATGATTTCCTCAGAGATACTTTTCCCCTCTCCTGCGGATCCGTCTGCTTCTTTATGCCGGGGTACCCTGTGGAACCTATGGTGGGACTTCGGGTCCCTTTACAGCGCGTAGCATAGCCATTTTAGAGCACCCCGCGTGGGATTTAACCGATACCTCGACCGAGAAGTACGTGTAGGCCGAGACTCGCCTCTTTTGCCGTTTTGTTAGATTCTAGCTCTTTGCTTTTGGCCTTCCGGGTCATCTGACGGTTTACATGCAGACCATGTTTCATTCTTGCCCATCAATGATAGATCGGCAGAGGGGAGACCGTTCATCGCCAGAATTGCCCTATTCGAAATCAATAACTCGGAGGGAATTACTTCTCAAGAGAAATCTGTATAACCCGAAAGATCCTGATTTTGGTACTCTCACCAAATCTACACAAATAGAACGATTATGCTCTAGTGACCGCTTTGCTATACTCGTACCTTCCCCCGTGTGCTTCAACGAATTTCCGGGCAAGTCGGCGCAATGCCGAGCGCCCCGCAACTCCGATGGAGATGACTTCATCATTCACTCTGCTCCATCAAGGCGGGTAAATTTCCTAACCCGGCAGTCCCCTCAAATTCGGGAACATTCCCGGCACCTTCGTATATACCTACCGTCGTGACGAAATCGGGTTCCATTTGACTATTGATATCTGAAGCGTCATAGGTGTTTCAATAAAGAAGCCTCGATAATGCATCACATTTCGTATCGGGTCACCTGGCTACAGATAAAATTCCATCTATCTATTTCCATGTATTGAACGAAGAGTCGTTTTTGGATGTTTTGAATGACCCTGATGTCGAGTCCGAGGCCACGATATTAGTTATGACCGGCGAATGGGTAGGTGAGAACGTAGTGGTCATCAATTGCCAGTCGGTCTACTGAATAGATCTAAGGAATATCTAGACTCTGGGCTCTGGAGTCGAACCTGGGGTGGCAACGAGAGGTGACTGGTAGTGTGATCACCCGAAAGCACTGAAGAATCAGCTCATCGCCCTCGATATCTATTAATACTATCATCTTACTGTGAGATACATTTCACCACCAACTTGAATCTACAGATGTAAATGGTGCACTAGTCTTGTTTTGGTAGCCTAACCGCTCGCGGGCGGGAAGATTTCCTAAGAGAGAGTAGACTGCCGCCCTGTCAGTCATCTACACCCCGCGATGGCGACGAACGTATAAAGGGACAAGATTTAACTCCCTAAAGATATCTCTGTTCAGTGATCTATCTAATACTCAATCATGGCGATGTCTCGACACCTTTCAAAAACTGTTGCCCGCGCCGCATCGACATCTAGTGCGGCCCAAACAACTAAAGCCGCCGGCGATATTTCATCAGTTTTCCCCAGTTTAAGACCCGACTACCAACCGGAGCCTCTACCCCCGCGTTTTCGTGATCTGAAGACAAGGTTGTTCGAGAAAAATGAAAAGGCTTTGACCGAGAGCTGGCAGCGGCTCTTGCCTAGCCTCGAAGAAGAGGTCGACAAGATCAAGACCAAAGGCAGCGACGTATGTCCCATCATTCCAGATAGCTGTCAACAATCCCACAATTGATTCCATTTGCTGAAACAGTATAACAGATTATCCCATCGGTAGAATATGCCGATGTTGTGGCAGGCAAAGTGCCTGAAGCTACGATGAAAGAAATCCGTCACCGTGGCACTGTGGTTATTCGCAATGTCGTACCCCGGAAAGAGGCGCGTGACTATAAGAACCGCATCCAAGAGTACGTCGCAGCCAACAAGGACCGCGTGAAGGCTTTCCCAGCCGAGTCTCCAGCCGTCTACGAATTGTACTGGACCCCATCGCAGGCGGAGGCTCGCGCGCATCCCAACGTGCTGGATTCGCAGCGTTTCCTGCAACGCCTGTGGCACTCATCGGACCCGAAAACAAAGGTCTCAACATCCAATCCACTCACTTACGGAGATCGCCTGCGAATTCGCGACCCTGGTGATGCCAAGTTCACGCTCGGTCCTCATATCGACGGTGGCTCGCTGGAGCGCTGGGAAGATCCAGAATACTCAAGTGTATACAAACAGATTCTTGAGGGCAACTGGGAAGCCTATGATCCATGGGACGCGAAGCACCGCTTGGGTGCCAAGATGGACCTGTACAACGGTGCGGGTGCCTGCTCGATGTTGCGTTTCTTCCAGGGTTGGCTATCCATGTCCGAGACGGCCCCCGGCGAAGGTTCACTACATGTTTGCCCCATGATCCGACACAGCACCGCATACACTATCCTGCGACCATTCTTCGATGTGCAAACCCAACAACCCAACCTAGACAACACTTTCCCCGGTTCTGTTCCGGGCGCTTGCCAGGAGTACAACCCAGTGACACATCCCCAGCTTGAGCTGGAATCGACTATGGTCCCCGTTCCGAAGGTCGAGCCCGGTGATTTTGTCGCTTGGCACTGTGATATGCTACACTCAGTGGACAAGGAACATCGCGGGGCAGGTGACTCTAGTGTTCTCTACATCCCAGCTACTCCTCTGTGTGACATGAACATCGATTACCTGAAGAAGCAGCGCCAAGCAGCTCTTGACTACTCTCCTCCCTGGGACTTCCCCGGAGCTGGCGGCGCCGGCGAGAGAGGATTTAACGGTGCTCTGCAGTGGTCATCGTTGAATGCTGAGGGGCAGCGTGCGATGGGACTTGGTAGCAAGCCCTGGGAGATTACCGATTCTATGAGCGAGGGTGAAAAGGAGGCTGTGCGTTCTGCCAACCAGGCTTGCTTTGGTTTGTAAAATAAAGATTCAACTGCATGTTATCATATAAAGGTGTTATTAGTTCTTTAAAATGAGGGGAATATTGCATTCATACTGAAACATCCTATTACAACTCAAATAAGCATTAGATAGGAGTCTCGCTATTCTAATCGATCGAAGGTATAGATGAGGTAGAAGCACCTGGAATGAGGCATTTAGAGCTGTACACATTCAAGTTGTGAAGCTTAAGCGGAGTTTATGTGTTCCAGCCTTGGAGGGTTGATACAAGTAGTACCTAGGTAGTTTAGGAGTTAGGGTCAATATATATTTCATATTAGTTGATATAGGGTATCTCAATCGAAGGAAATCAGTGTTTTTCGCTTTCCCACTTCAAGTATTGGTAGCCACTCGCTCCTAAAGAATGGAATGCATGACTCACTCGCACCCGGACAATACGAGAGTAGCGGGGCAGCATAAAACGAGATTGAGAGCCACTTGGAAGACCGTCTATCAAAAATTCAATCCTAACTGATCTTCTACAAACCAAGTTAATTACGACTTGAGGTACCGGACACCCGAGCTCGAAAAGCTGACTCGCAAGCTGATGACCTAGCACTCTAACACTTCATTCGAATTGACGGATAGCCCCCGAGCTATCAACCACAAACTACATCATGTCTCCAGAAGCAAGTTCCGAAACCAAACGCTTCTACAGCACTTCCTCCCCATGGGAAGCTCGGTTCGGCTACTACCGAGCAGTCCGTCGTGGACAGCATATATTTGTATCCGGCTCGACTGCCGCAGATCCCGATTCTCCTCCAGAGGCACCACGAGTCAGGTATCCAGGTGATGCCAGACAGCAAACACGTGTGACATTGGAGGAGATCATTCAAGCTATTCAAGCGGTCGGTGGGAAAGGGGCGGAGAGTGTAGTTCGGTGTCGGATGTTCGTGAGCAGGAAAGAGGATTGCGGGATTGTTGGCGAGGCATTCAGGGAAGTTCTGGGGAAGCAAAATGGAGGACAGGTTGGAGCAGCTGCGACTATGATTGTAGTAGCTAATAGCTTCGTGGATGATGACATGCTGGTTGAGATTGAAGTGGACGCCATTGCGGAAGAATGATGCTGGGTCTATAATCAGAAGAAAAGCGAAGAAGAATCAATCAAATTGTTTTGTTTATCGTTGGAGCGTATTTCAGTTGGGGTTTTCATAGATTATAGAATTCAAAGATGTCGAGATGTTGAGTTGGGAGGAGATGAGAGGTTGAATTGGCTGTTCAAGTTGGTGTTGGTGGAGTAAAAGAATGCGTTCCGCCTAGCTGCCGTCCGGGGGGCCATCTCGTCTCCGTCTCCATCTCCGCCCAGAGCTGTCGACAACACCCACCCTCCACCTCAACCTCCACCTCTCCTCTCTCCCCCCCTCCCTGATTGTCGCTCGTCTACCAACATGCGACTTCAGGCGGCGCTTCTGGCCGCTGCGTGCGTATCGCCCGCGGCAGCCATATTTTCCGACGAGGTCAATCACATTGACTTCCACCACGCCCTCCTCGGTGCCCCATCCCCCGATTCGACCTTCTTCCTCAAGCCCTCTTCCGCCTCTAACGCATCACTCCTCTACACTTTGTCCGACAAGTCGATCCTGGGCGCAGTCAATCCCCGTGATGGCGCACTGGTCTGGCGACACAACATCTCGCGATCGGCTTCTCCGGCTGGCGGGGCCGGTCTCTTGCGTGGCCTGGATGGAAACAACGCCGTTGTTGGTGCAGCAGGAGACTACATCTCGTCGTGGGGTGCCCAAGATGGGAAATTGATTTGGGACCAGCAATTTGACGGCAATACCGTTGCTGACATTGAGCTTCTCGAACTGGAGGATCCCACAGCGACATCTGACACTAGAGACACGCTTGCGCTGATTTCTGGCAAAAGCTTCGGCTCCGTCAGACGATTCGATGGCGATTCAGGAGCTGTGAAGTGGGAATATATCGATGAAAGGTTTGTTTCAGATTTCCCCGTACTCTGGCGCTGCTAACATTGGCCTCCAGCGGAGATATTCCATTCCAGGTCTCGTCTTCTCCCACTGAGGTTTTCTACATTTCGCTCCAATCGGGTATTCTGAAGAGTTCAAAGATCAAGGTTACTGCACTCGACCCCGTCACTGGCCGCCAAACTAGCCAACAGGTCTTGAACACTGAAGGTGATATCACGGGCCCCGAATCTGTCCTTTTCGTTGGGGCCAACACTGCGTCCCCATTGATTGTCTGGACCGATAAGGCGCACAAGACCCTCAAAATCAATGTTATTGGGTCAAAGCAAATCAGCTCCCTCGCCATTGCTAATACCTCCGGTGAGGAGATACGCCAAATTACGGTCCATGCTCCTCACAAGCTGAACTCCCGTCCGCACTTCTTGGTTCACTATAAGACTGGATCCGGGGCATGGGCAGAGGTCTACCACGTGGATTTGAAGTCGGCAGCTGTAACCAAGGCTTATCAGCTGCCTTACCTACAGGGTCAGTCTGTGATCGCCACTAGCAGTATCGATGCCAACGTTTACTTCACCCGCGTCACCAACTCGGAGGTTGTTGTGGTCTCTTCCGCCTCTCATGGTATCATCGGGCGTTGGGATGTGGATGCCTCATCTGCCGATTATGCTCAGGCTGCAGTAGCCGAAGTGGTCGCAAAGGGCAAATCTGTGGCTGTTCGAGCTGTCGTTCTGCGGGGTTCTGGAGATTGGCAATTGATTCGAAATGGCCAGATCGAGTGGACTCGCCCCGAGGCCTTGATCGAAGCTGTTGCTGCCATCTGGGTTGAGGCTGAAGAGAAGGAAGACCTCGCTCATGAGCTGGAGGTTGAGGGACATGATAGCATTCATGGCGCATACATTCACCGTGTCAAGCGTCATATGCGTGACCTCCAGCACCTGCCAGATTGGCTCAAGGAGCTGCCGCAGCGTATCGTCAGTAGTGTGTTGTCTGATGAAGTCACCAACTTGGATAGCTTCGGAGTCGCCAAGCCTGTCGTCGTGGCCACCCGCAGCGGACGAGTTTATTCTCTTGATACTGGCCGACAAGGCTCGGTGATCTGGAGTGTCCAGGCGTCGGAACAGGCATGGGACGTCAAAGACATTACGGCTCGTCCGGGGCAAGTTATCATTGATCTCAGTGACGGTAGTCATGTGTCAATCAATGCCTCGACAGGAGAAACTTTCACTCAACCCCCTCTGGAAGCAACAAATGTTCAGTCCATTGCCAACTTTGTGGTGTCAGATGGATCTTCGCTTGTTCGCCTCGGTGCTGTTGGTATCAGAGAGGACGGCAGCCCTGTTACTCCATTCAACGAAATTACAGGGTTTTTGGTTACCACTAGTGTCAATGGTAGGGTCCTTGGCTGGATTGAGAGTGATAACAAGACGCCTGTGTGGGAGTTTGTTCCTCCGGCGGGCCAAAGGGTCGTCAAGGCAACTGCTCGGCCCGCGCATGACCCTGTGGCATCGATTGGTAAGGTTCTTGGAAACCGGTCTGTTCTGTACAAGTACCTCAGTACGAATCTGGTACTTGTGACAGCTGTCAATGAGAAAGAACATGTTGCCGGTTTTTACCTTCTAGATGGCGTCTCTGGCAAGGTCCTTCACTCAGCGACCCAGGCTGGTGTGGATCCTACACAGCCTATTTCGTCTGTGATGTCTGAGAATTGGTTCGCATACTCATTTTTCGGAGATGCTATTGGCGAATCTTCCGCCAAGGGTTACCAGCTGGTCATATCTGAGCTCTACGAGTCTTCCATTGCCAACGACCGTGGTCCCCTGGACGCGGCTGGAAACTACTCCAGTCTCCACGGCAGCGGTACCGACAGCCTTCCGCTTCCCCATGTTGTCTCTCAATCATTTATGATCGCAGAGCCCATCTCCCACATGATCGTGACCCAGACCCGCCAAGGCATCACCACCCGCCAGCTTCTTTGCACTCTGCCATCTTCCAACTCCATCGTCGGAATCCCTCGTCCTGTTCTGGACCCTCGTCGCCCCGTTGACCGAGACCCAACTTCTGCCGAGGCTGAAGAGGGACTCTTCCGCTACGCACCATTCCTTGACTTCGATGGAAAATGGTACCTCACGCACGCACGTGATGTCGCTGGTATTAAAGATGTACTTTCTCGTCCCACATTACTGGAGAGCACCAGCCTAGTCCTTGCGTACGGTGGCGACATTTTTGGAACTCGCGCTACCCCCAGCCAGGCATTCGATGTTTTGGGCAAGAGCTTCTCCAAATTGCAGTTGGTCTTGACTGTAGTGGCGTTGACTGGCGGTGTCATCTTTTTGGCCCCAGTTGTAAGTACCCTTCTACTCTCTATTACCCCCTTGTTATCTTTGTTCAACGCTAATCGCATGTCTGGTAGGCCCGGAAAAAGCAAGTTAACTTGCTCTGGAAAGCTACTTAGTCCCATAGAAACGTTTGAGATGCATATACCTGTTTGACTGATTTAAGAATGTAATCTATAGGTTTGGGAACAAGAATTCTTTTAGTTCTCATGGTTTTGCCGGATCCTTTGAGATGATCTCGTAGAGAAATCGTTACTAGTGACAGCCATACCTGCACAGAAGGTCCCAATCCATTGGGACTCAATAAAACCAGAAAAAGAACCAGTGTTAAATAATAAAATCGAGAAATCGGGCATAACAGGCAAGATGCGTAAGAAAAGGGATGCAATAGCAAAAACAGCTGGGCATGAGTCTTGTAACGTAATTGCCAAGGTTGAAAGGGAAGTCTTTTAAAGTTCATTGTTGTCCTCCCTCGTCTTTCTGGCCTCTTATTCTTGTTCTCGTTCTCGTTTTAGTTGTGTCTTTCTCTTCTTCCTCATATCGGCTGATAGACTCTTTTGCCAAATGACCTTTCAGCGACGGATGTCTAGAGTATAACTACTAAATTATCTCTAAGATAACGATACGGTCGACCCTGACTCAGGCGAAATGTTGATCGTTATTGCCCAGTATAGAAGAATATCTCTATGCTAGGCCAAGAAGACAGCCCGGCAGAAAGCTAAAGAACAGAACCCGCAACTACGAGTTTTCTACCAACACAAACTATCCGAGTTTCATTCGTTCCACCTTGTTTTTTTTTATGAATCCGGATGTGATACAGTACTCTAACGCCTAGTGATATTGGTCGTTAATCAGGAGAAGCATCTCATAACTAAATTAAGAGAGAAACCAATATGTCCCTAATATTTATGCTGAAAAATTCGTCCCAAAGAAACTTGCGCGTAGAAAATTTACTACGCAGTTATACTGCGTAGCAATGCCTTTCGATTCCACGGTGCCCCCGCTTCTGTGGAGATTGTATACGCTCGTTGGATACATTAGTGAAATCTAACTCAATACCCATGCGAGCTGTCTATTCCGTTTCAGTGGTTGATCTTCGAGTCCAAGTGGGGTTCATCACCGATTGGCGGCTGTCCATACCCAACAAACAAATAAGCTGAAGGATGGGAGATTGCGATCGTCCCGCTCTATGTCATCTCGCATGAACTGCACGAGACGAACCATCCGGCCGGGCCAGCTGAACGAGGTGTGAAACGGATTTTATGATAAACAAAATGCAGAATGTAAAGGGGAAGGAATTCTCTACTATTCACTTCACACCGTTGATACTTTTTTAGCCATGGGATGGCTACGGAGAAAATTCAAGGCGCCGAAAGAGCCACTTCAACCACCAACACTGCAAGATAGCAAGCCTCAATCTTTTCAACCTCCCACAGGACAGTCACCAACATCACCTCCTTCGCAAGGTGATCAGGCTCAGTCTGCTCAATCTCCTGTGGCGCAGCCACCACCACCTTTGAAGGAAATTCAGCCTGAGATTGTTGAACCCCCCTATGGCACACCCACTTCAATCTCGGCCTGTAAACACAGCGCCAATGGATGGACTGGCTTCCACCGTATTGGGAGGTGTACCCTTGGGACTGGATGCGACCGGTAACGAAGAACTCACGAAGATATGGTTGCAAGTTCAAGAGAAAGTGAGCCAGTTGGCACGGAACGAGGGAAAAGAAGTCAATAAAGGTCTCGATGTCGACAATGTCATTGCAAATCTCGACGCCTCCCAGGAAAAGGAAGAGGATTCACCGACCCGCCAAGCCGTTAAAACCGCGTTTGGACGCACAATGGGTCTGATCAAGACAGTCGGGGGTATTGTTGCTGATGGAGCATCAGCGGTTAGTGGTCATCCCGCTTGAATGTGAAACTCGACTAACGAAAACAACTACAAGGTCTTTGCGCCAGCTGGACAGTGCTACAACGTCATTAGCTTCCTCATCAACGCGTATGAAGGTTACCAAGGTGCCTTTGAAGGTCTCGCAGATCTGCTCGACAGTTGTTCGGCTCACCTAGGCCGCCTCGACTACTACGTCAAAGCAAAGATGGATGCGAAGCTAAGCAGAGTTGCTGCAGAGCAGTTGTCGCTGTTCGTCGATATTTGCGACGCTGCATTGAAGTTGCGGTATTCAGCTGGCCACAAGTTCAAAACGGGTATGAAAATTGCATTCCTACAAGAGAACGACATCCAGGGACTACTGGGTAAAATGGAGAAATTGGCTACTAAGGAGCGTGGATTGGTTTCTGCCCAGACTTTCGAACGCGCCTGCGCAGCGGCAACCAGCGCCGAAGAAGGGGCCACCTTTAGCAAGCGGATTGTCGACATGATGGTCCAGAATGGTGCGGATCAGAAGGAAAGGGTCGAGACAGAGGGCCAGCAACGAACCCTAATGGATATTCTGGCTTTTGACAAAGACCCTGATCGATGGGACAGTGTTAGACAAGCGCCTGTTCAGCATTGGTTGGCGAGATACAACGAAATTCGCAATTCTGTCGTGCCCGGCACCGGAAGGTGGCTTCTGGAACATGCGGCATTTCAGTCGTGGGTAGCCGACCTTGTCTCATCTCCAATTTTGGGGGTCGAGGGTGCAGATATCACTGGCAAAAGCTATTTGACTTCATCGGTGGTCAGACACCTGCAAAAGGAAATGCCCAAGATAACCCCCGGTTTTCGACATCTGGTAGCATACGTTTTCCTTGACCGTGAAAAGCCCGGTCAGGGATTTGACCACACGGCCAAGTCACTTATCTGGCAGTTCACACAAAAAGATGGGCCGTACATGAAATCGGCGTCTCGTATCTGTCAAAAGGCCACGACGCTTGATCCGGATGAGATCATACCCAAGCTCTTATTGGGAAACACAGAAGTAGAGCACATGGATGCCGTCTTCTATCTTGTCATCGACGGATTGAGTGACAATATGGACAATGCCTTGCTCAAGTTCCTTCGACTGGCATCCGAACCCACGAAAAAGAAGATTCGAATCTTCCTGACTGGGACCCAAGCGGCATTTGCACAGGCCAAAAGAAGCGGCGTGGCCTACCGAAGCATCCCAATTCGCGGCAATAACTCCAATGACGTCCAGAAGTTCATCGAAGCCAGAATGGATAAATTCGACACTCTCTCTGATACTGAGCGTTTTGGAGTAGCTGAGCGAAGAAAGAAAATCCGCGAGGATCTGTCAGAAGCGGCTGCAGGCGACTACTACAAAATCAACTCGGCATTGGATACAATCAGCACGCTGGATTATATGGAGGAAATCGAAAAGGTCATCCAAGGCGCTCGCCAAGACCGCTCAAATCAAATCGCGGATGAGGTCGAGAAGTTGAATCGCGAGAGAACTTCAAGACAGATCCGTGAGATTAATCAAATTATTCTTTGGGTCTCTTATGCCATTGAGCCTATTTCGGTAGAGCAACTCGCCGCGGCTTTGTACATGAACATTGGTGAAGCTCCGATGCAGCCACTTCCTGAGCGATTTCGCACTAAGTATTTGCTGTTTGAAGTTAACAGTAGGGGACGTGTCGGCTTCAGATCCTCGAAGGCTTTGAACGCCATCCCACAACGCCGTCAATTGAAAAAGCCCGATCAACAAAGCGATCAGGAAATTCAGTCTGGGGAGGTCAATATGATAAAGCATTTCCTTGACAAAGTGTGCCCTCCTGATGTGTACAAGAAGCTTGACATTGATACGTACCTGCAACAAAAGCTGAAGCAAAAGCAAGATCAGGTCCAACAGGAGGACCACGATACAGGCCATCTGCTACTGGCATTAAATTGTTTACGCGCTTTGTCCAAGAGCCGCGAACCAAGCATCGCTGCACTTCAGGAATATGCTCGGAAGCATCTTACCAAGCACCTCTCCTCGGTTGACTTAGCTATGGTGGATCGTGAACAAAAGAGTTTGGTCGGGGAGTTGTTGGTCAGGGTGTTCACTGTAGATGAATACATCGACGCCTTCATGTGGCCGGAACAGGGCGACGTTGTCAGTTGTCACCAACCAAGAGAGAATTGGGTGGGAGACAGTCAGGATATTGATCAAGTGCTTAGATGGTTCAAGGATACTGCAGTGGTTTCGAGCGTGACCGAAGAGTCTGACCGGAACTGGATCAAGGAGGTCGTCACCCATAATACATTCGAGGGGCTACTCAAGCGATCTGTTGCCAGATTGGCCTATCATTGCTTCAGGGAACCATCCTCGGCTAGAGAGGTCAATGGGATTTACGACTTCACGGATAGATTTCTCTCAAAGGTCAGTTTTTCAAAGCCCGGGCTTCATACCATGCTAATATTTGATATTAGATTCGCATTAATAAGGAAATCGAAGACCACACCAAAGTCAGCATTGACTGCGCCACTAGGTTTGAGCAGTGGGCTCACGACATACTCCAGCTCACCGACAAAGACACACTGTGGCATACACAGATGGCACTGGTCTATAAAGAGACATGGAATCCAGATGAAGCTATCAAACAATGCGATGTTGCATTGAAAATGGAACCCAAAAACTGGAGAGCATCGTTGTGCAAGGCGAAGCTGATCTCACCGAATGAGGCCATCGAAATATTAAAGACGACGATCAGCCGCCAGGAAAGTGACTCAGCATGGATGCAAATCACTAGTCACACGAAAAGCCTTGCAGAAATGAACTACGAACTAGCCAAGGCATATTGGAAAGTCGAAAATTACGATCTTGCCATCTCGACATATGCAGTCTCCCTCAAACAAGATCCTCGACGCACAGATCGATCGATGAATGTCTTGTTGCAATATGAAGCCAAAAAAATGTGGACTACAATTGTCTCATTCATTGAACATCTGGCAACGATCGATAATAAGAAACACATAGCGGATTTAGTCTCAAGAAATGCGATGTGGCCATCTTTGCATTTCGTGATCAACAACACCGCCCTCGCAACACAGCAGTCTGGTTTTGTGGATCTTGTTTATGAAACCACGATTCAGATGGCTGAGAAGAGGGCTGATTACAAACTTTTATTCCTGGCACGTTATTATTATGGTGCTACCCTCAATGCTCAACCAAACCGACGGGAGGACAAAGTTATTCAATTGTGGGAACACGCGCTTAACGATCATCCGTTGCCTACTCTATATGTAGGGCTGCCAGTGATCTTTGCTGGATTGGGTGGTTTATATCTACAAAGAGCCCTCGTTGCGAAGACGAACGAAGATCCGCACTCAGTAGCGGACTACCTTCGCAAAATTTCTGACATGGTGCCGGAAGAAGTGACTCAGTCTCAGCTTCTCCTTCCTCCACAACTTTATCTTGCCCGGTTTTACCATGTCAGCGGTAACGATGCAAAAGCCAGAGAGATAGTGCGAACCCTGGTACAAGTAGCGCTAGAGCTACTTTCTGATGAAGACGAAAAGAACGATTTCCAAGCATTCGGGAAGTTGCTCTTTGTCTTCATTCCGCTTGGTGACAAGAAAAATATGGCCGCAGCATTGGCCTTGGCGGCTCTCAGCAGTTCATCTAACGACTCTAATGACTCTAATGACTCTGATAACGGAGAAGAACCCGAAATTGATATGGGATTACCTTGCTATGGCCAGTGTAAGCACCTATGGAAGGTTCCTAGTGAGATGTGGATATGTATGAACTGTATATCCGTGATGCTTGAGGGAAACTGTCTGAAGAAACTACGAGAGGGCAAGCTGGAGCACAACATCTGCCATCGAGACCACGAGTTTCTAGAAGTTCCCAAGTGGGATGAGGAACGCATGGCCTTGATGATGTCCAAAGGAAAAGTGCCGTGGGAGATGGTGCCGTGGGGAGAACAGAACATCACTTTAGACGAGTGGGTGCAGGAGATCCGAAAAGGAGTACATTGGCTTGGATGCTTGATCATCCGCGCGAGGAAGTCTTTCATCCTGATAAGTTCTGACCGGTTCTGGAACATGCACTAGTCAAATAAACCGTCTAGTAGTGCGAATGCTATTTGTTGCTGGCAAAATCTCATTCATAGTTTTGATCCAAAATCAACGCTTGAAGAGCGCCGGTGGGAGAGTAGCGGCAACAAGACAGGGTCTGAGGGCCTCATCACGACGGTTTGTATGCAGGCTGCTCTCTTTGAAAATGGTATTAACTACTGTGCTAGGTCGTTACAGCCTTTGGCGGTATTGTCTCCTTGGATCAAAGTCAGAACCAGACGGGAGAAGTTGACACTTTGCCAATTCGGATGTTGCTTTGTTTGTGCTGTCTGTTGCGTTCGCGTGGAACTTTCTCGGAGCTCCAGGGGTCAAATTCTAGGCTCTTGCATCTGGCTTACGATCTATAAACAGTATTTGGTACTATTACGAGTATGTACGAAACGCGTTATTTTCACGTATCATGTGATTAGGGTTTAAAAGAGCTTCTCTATGTTTCCGACATGGAAGTCGATTCTGAGCGGGTCTGTACTGTATGGAGTAATTCGACACAATCGACTCCCAGATCGGACGGACAGTGAGTCCACATGTTGATGTTGGCGTGATTGCCGAGCGGTGAAGTGGCTGCCAACGGTAATTATTATCGCCCTCATAGCGCAGATCTCCATTTACTTACTAACTATCAACATTTGTTAGAAGTGTACGGACTGGTATGCATTTAGCACGAATGAGATCAATCGGAACTTATCCAGGATAAAAATCTTGTTTGATTCAAAAGAAAGATATGCGATCGGGCGCAGGTTGGCAGTGCATATGCGGGGTGGTTACCACACCGAGGCTGCGGGCTGAACCAGTTTACCAAACACAACACAAAGAAATATGGGTTCCCGGGTGCTTGCATACTAGTGGTAATTAACACAGCATATATCCTTTCTGTAGGCCCAATCATATCCATGGATAGTTGTCTGAATTGCTATGCTTGTACACACACAAATTGTATGGGCGCAAGCATGACTAATCTCGGCTAGTTTACGAAACAGTAAACTAATACATATCCTGACATGCTAATTCTCCACTGATACTGACAGCATGATCTGACAAGAACCTTTAGGGCCAATTACCAGAGATACGTCATATATTTGCTAGCTTGGGATATTGCCGCTCTGGGCATTAAATATGCGTGCAGTTTAATCATACTATGCTTAATTCTTGATAAGAATCACATAAAATGTGATCATCGAGGGTCGCCTGACCGGGGCTTAGTCGGCCAAGTTTCTTGGCTGAGCCCAAAATGCAACTTTGAAAGACACGGTGGCAAATCATTTACCCTGCCTAGACTTATACCACTCAGCGATTGGAAGCCCATCGATTCAGTGTGATTTTAAGGGGCCAAAAATACTCAGCCTTGCGATTAGATCTCTCCGCCACATGCGCCAGGCAACCCAGGGCCAGCAATGAGGGTGTCACACTATATAAGATGGTGTCTGCCGTATAAGCAATGTTACTTAGTATTCGACAGAACAAGCAGGGAACTTCGTGATTCCAATATTATCAAATTCAAGTATATTTCAATCCGAGATTACCAAAAAATCAGTCATGTCTACATCTATGTCAGACCACACGGGCCCAGCGCGCTACACTATCAACTCCACCTACTGGAAACGCAACTACGAGATTTCTGGCCCAAGCCCGATCTATGTAGAAAACAGCAAGATGACGCCAGGCAAGTCGGATTTGGTTTTCCATGACAGCACTCGTCAAGGTCATGTGATGGCCACGGTGAAATATCGTCACGTCTCAGCAGATATCAAGATTGGGCTCAATGACAACAACTCCGGGGCCTTTCGCTGGAAGTCCCTAAGCCGCGTGAAGCGGGGAACCTTTCGATATAGCTTTACCCATGAATTAGATCATGGTAAACCTGAAACTTTCACATGGCACGCAAAGCATCATTTGACTTTTACTCAGGGAGGAAGCTTAGAGTTAATCCACGATCGGACGGGGGATATCGCAGCAGTCTTTGCAAATTACTCAGCCCTCTACCCTCCAACCTCGAGAAACGAAAGCGATGGTCAGGTATTGGAAGTCAAATTAGATCTGGGGGAGGACTTCTTTCTTATCGTACTCGTGACGTGTCTCGCACTATATGAGCAGATGAGACGGAGGAATAATACCGCTGCTGTTAGCGCTGACGCCTCTGTAGGCCTGGCCGGGGCTGGCTCTACTATTTAATTCGGCTATTTTTGATGTTTCTATACTCACCTAATGGATGATGATATCGTTTCACTTTTAGTGAGCGATTCCGATGAGAAATACATATGCTTATTTACATTCTGGTTGAGAAGCGCTTGATTGGTTCGATGGATATCCTAGAGAGCATCAAATCGAAACAAAGGTCTATTGATAAGAATAATAACCTTACATAGCCTACGAATTCAATAAACCGAATTTAAAACAAAGCCTGCTTGTTTTTTAAACCTTTCCTATGTCAAAGTTGGTATGCAGTGCGAAATAGTGCTTTCCATTAGCTTAAATCTGTTAGTACATGTAAAGCGAAATGCAGTGTATTTAATACACTGTAACATGTGGTCTTTTCTGAAACAAATCGACAATGAGCTAGGGGTTGCGTGATGTAATCAACTTAGGTTGTTAACTCAAAAAATATGAATAGACGGATATGTCCTCATATTCTATGTGTAGTTCAGGGAGCGAGGAAAAGACCCATGTACCAGTCTCGTCGCAATCATCCCCAACTGCCCCTTTCATATACCAAAATGGGCTGTCTCCGAAGAACAGTTCGAGGCATTTTTTGGTTATGAGCATTTGAACAAACCATGCCAGGGCGTTCTTCCGAAAGTTGGGAGGCATTCGCGATACGATCTCATCGAAGTACCCCTGAACAACCCATCCCTTCAGCCTGGCAATGGTCACCTTTTTTGTCTCACTTGGGACATCCTTCCACTTCCCAATGCCCTTATTACTATAACCAAATGCCCATTGGTAGCACCAAAATATCCAACCTTTTAGTCTGCGAGACCATGCCCCCGAATGGGCCTCAGGCGGAGGAATCTCTTCTAGATACCAGGTGTCTCTTATTCTGTTATCATTGTGATACAAGAGACCTCCCACTTGTCTATCCAAGAGTATGATAAGCTCCTTTTGCTCTTCTACTTTCTTCTCCAACCTGTTGATATACTACTTCGGATTCATCATCATCTTGTCATCCAGCTCCGTAATAGTTTCCTCGTTGCCGTCATCCGGGTTGTAATCTCTTTTTCTTTTTTTGTGTATTCCCCAACCGTCGCCTGAATCGATTTCGGGGGAGGATAATAATGATAGATCATCACCGCTTGATGCCTATCGAGATCTAGACTTTCAAGTTGTCCAAGAGCGGTAACCAGCACGCGGGTGGCGGGGCTGTGCCAATCACAACTGTGGATACGAGGGTCACGGTGAAGAATATAACCTTATAAAGAGCTAACTATTTCCCTCGTCCTAGAGCCGAATCTTTGTTATCTATTTAAAACTCTGCCACCATGGGAAAGCTCGTCAAATTACTCGGCGCAGGTATTGGCTTCACATCAGAGGCTATCCAGGCTGCTCGCTCACGATCAGGAGAGCCATCTTCTGCTCAACCTTCTACCTCATCTACACCACATGATACTCAAGATGCTCCACCTGCTTATGGCGATTCGATTCATCCAACCGGCTTTGGAGAGTCCTCTCGTAGCACATATGCCCAAGGTGATCTGACTGGTCCTGACGAGAAGCATCGCTCCAAAGCGGCCGAGGCCGGGTATGACTCGGAGAGTGACAGCTTAGATTCAGACCACCACGATGCCTTTGAACAAGATGAAGCTGAGTGGGAGCTCGATGAAATGGCGGAGCGGGTCAGACCGCCAACATATGAAGAGTCTGAGGCTCTGCCAGCGGGTGTGTCGGAAGGCGACCGAATGATGAGAGAGGAGCAAATGATACGTGAGCTCGTGCAGATGGCCGGTCCCTCTCAACCAGCCCAAAGGCTTCCCTGCCCCGTTATTATCCCACAACGTCGACCCAGAAAGAAACAATATGGCTTCGTGCGGGCCTACGCCCCGGTCCTCGCTGAATGCGGTGTCAATCAGGAACTTTTCTTGCAGTTTCTCGTGGATTGGGAGAAGGCAAGCAAGGTGAATAACAAATAATCCATTGAGGCACATTCACATGTAACTCAACGTCATTTGCGGAAAGATTACTGACGATCTATCCAGTCCGATAAATGGATCGATGTTGTCTATATGGCCGCAAATGTCGTCGGGTTTGTTCCCGAATTAGCAGCGCAGATTATCAGTCCCATCGTGGCCACAGCAGCTGGAACAGCGAGAGAACTTCAGTCCCGATCACGCCGGAATACGTTCCTTGATAAATTCAACGAAGATATTCTCATGCCTCGCGGGCTATTCGGCATGGTTATGTCATTCAAAGAATCAATCCCAGGCGAACAAAAAGGTGCATTGCAAAAGCTTTCGAGCACTATAGGCCAAACAATATTTACGAGCAAAAAGCTTAATATTGACGAAGTGGCTGCAAAATACAGCAACCCGGATCCAAATCTGTCCAAGACGAAACAAAAAATGAACAATATCCGACTCGCCAGCGGTCGGATCGACGGAGAGGTTGAACTCCCCGAAGCGGCTGAACTCATCTATCCCGACCTAGATCGGTTTGCAGAACAGGCGGCCAAGGCTCAGGATGATGGAAAGGTGGCTAGTATGGGTGATAAATTCAAGAATGCAAGCTCGTGGGTTCAGGACTACTTTGATCGCAGAGGGCAGGCGTTTCATGTAAGACTTTTTGTTGTCCCTACTGATCCCACGTTTTGCTAATTACAAAAACCTATAGGATGCTGAGAATGAAGACCCTTCTCGAGCTTCGCAATCGACACAGCAATCACAATTTCGATCACGATACAATGACCCCAACCACCCCGCCAACAGTGGCTCTCTGGTTGCACTCTTGACTGGTGGAGCCATTAACCCCGTGCCCAGAAGGAAAGCTCGACGAATGGCAAGACGCGAAAGACGGTATGATAGACGCGTTGCCCGCGGCAGCCCAGCGAGAGATCCGCGACAGAAAAGGAAACGTCGCAAGGGAACTGTCAAAAGACTCTTACAAGAGGATATCCTCTACTTTTTTATTGTCAATATTCCAAGCCAGGAAGAGGTTCAACAGTCGATTGATCAGTTGGAGCGCTTGATGTCCGAGCATGGTGCACCTTCGCCATCTCATTCAAGTTGACCGTAATATGTAAACAGAGGTTCTTTTCGGGATTTTATAGCAAGAATTTATGAAAACTTTACTACTGATTGAAGTCAAACATTAGAATATTCTTTTATCTAAAACCTTGGAAGTCAATAATCAGGATAATCAAAATAACCAAAGCCTAGTGTCGGTGATTGAACTGTGCCCGGGACTACTGCTTTCAATCAGCCTAGGGTACGGGGTCAGATCAGTAGGCAATCCCAGAAGTGCTTTTGGTGGATATGGGGTGGGCAGGATCTTAGGTGTACCTGTCGCTTTAATAGCAAGCTGTGTAGAATTCCGATTCTTTTGCTCGATCTCTTCTACTATTTAGTACTAGTAGGTAATACCCAGCCAGGCAGAAAAGGATGGACACGATGAACCCCGTCAAAGATCTACGAAACAATTTCTTGAATAGTCTGCCATCTCATGAGTGCCAAAAGATAGTTGGTCACTAGCTGAGGGTAATGTACCTTTGAGTAGTATAGGAAAGACCGACGCTTTGCGCAGTCCTCGGTGCCTAAAATTTGCCGGCAATCTCGTTTCCTCGTTCCCTATCTCTCTCTCACACATCTTATCCCTCTCCCTGTTTCTTTTTATAAGTCAAATTCTACAACAGAGGTTTTGCAAGATACTAAACAATGTTATCCGACAAAGCCACATTTATCACCAAAGCACTTGTAGTGGTTGGTCCCTACCTGGGTCGTGCTGCCATCCGGCGAGTTGCCGCCTACCGTCACAGCTGGACATGGAGAAACACACCAGATGCGAAGAATACCGTGGTACTGGGGGGGGTCTTTCGCAGGCACCGAGCTTGTGCGACGCTTGACCGAGACATTACCAACCGGCTACAAGGTGGTGTGGATTGAGAAGCACTCACACTTCAACTACATCTTCAATTTCCCACAGTACTCAGTCTTGAAGGGACACGAGCAGAGGGCTTTCATTCCATATGATTTTATCGCAAAGGGTGCTCCCCTAGGCATTCTCACTCGCATCCAAGAGGAGGCTATCGCCATGACAGATTCTCAGGTCTTACTGGCATCTGGTGAGAGGATCGACTACGCATGTCTCGCCATTGCGACGGGGACAACGCAGCCGTTGCCTGCAAATTTATCATGCAATAAACGGAGTGAAGCATGTCCAAAGCTCCAGAGCGCACAGCAGACTATCGAGACCAGTCCGAAGATTGCTGTTGTTGGCGGTGGTGCAGTGGGTGTCCAGCTTGCAGGCGATATCAAAGACTTTTTTTCGCATTTGGGGATGTGGCCGATCATTCCGGTCCGCGAATGGGGCGTGCGGGTTGGACACAAGCGGGTGTAGTGCTGGACAATATTATGTCCACGATCCAAGGCCAGGCTGCATCGCGTCAATATGTACCTGATATCTTTATTGAAGGCGCCATCAAATTGACATTAGGGAAGACGCATCTAGTTATCTACGCCGTGGAGAATGGCGAGAATGGCGAGCATGGGTCTGATTTTCTGATCCCTTCCAGAGATGGAAAGCTGGACTTCGAGGCTGAGAATGCATGGAAAGAATACGGTGTCGACTTCAAGCAATTCTGGAAATGACCTCGGTGGATATAGATAGTGGATACTACTAAGAGTCCGTTGACAGATGCTCGAACGATGGGAGCAAAAGTACCTAGATCTAGCGTGCCTAGGTGTTTTGGCCTATTCAGTGAGGCACCGGCATCTATTCACTTGAATACATACCCAGCCAGCAAGGGCAAGTTAGTATTTGTTTGTAAGTCCAAGTTCTCAAACTCTACTAGAACTTGAAGTAAGCTATTTCGACATGTAGCCAGTTGTATAGAGCCACATTTGGGCATTAAAGTAAGTTCGAAATATTTCAAGTTCAAGGCTAGGTCGGTTTGACTCCACTCGCTTGATATTCAAGATCATTCATTCATTGGCATTTAACATAAAGTATCTAGCATGGTATCACATATTTATAGGCCAGATTAAAAAAGAAAACAAAGAAGAAAACAAACACAGATGCCGCTCCAATCGCATCTGAACGAAAAAGTCATGTACAAGGAAAGCGGGAGGAAGAAGTTAAATATGAACATCCATCACACCCAACTAATATAGCGGCATCGGTGATTGGTTGACGTAGTCAACATTATTCGGCACGGACTCAATCCGATCACAGCAGGTACCAAAAATACGGTCCCAGAGACGAGTTTGCTTGCCGTAGTTGTAGCTCTGCTTCCAGCCCTTGCGGTGGTGCAAATCGTGGTCCTCGATAACGAGCTCAGCATCAAACCACCGAAGTACGAAACTGAAGGTCGAAGGGGGAGTAGCGTGGACACGTAGACCACTGTGGCCAGCGAGTTCGGCGAATACGACGTACTGGTGGCAGATCCACCACTCGTAGAAACCCATCGGCATCCCCATGAATCGCATAGTGAAGAAGGTCATCAGCGGGATACCGGCGATATCAAAGAACTCCTGCTCCAGATCGGCATACAGGGTCAGAAGTGGGTTCGGGTGTTTGGTCAGGTGGTGGGTGCGGTGGTACTGCCAGAGGCTGCCGACGTCGTGCATCAGGCGGTGGTACCAATAGAACCAGAAATCGAGGATGATGCCGTAGAGACCGGCCTCAATGGGCAACCAGAAGAAATTCATCGTTGATGGGGGCAGAGCGATGCTGTAGGCAAGCATGACGGTGAACATAGGCCGGAAAGTCGAGGTGGATATCAATGAGCGGACGACCTTGGCAACGCCAATATCGGGGACGCCGTCACGGGCGTGCTTGTCGCCATCGAGGAAACCGTGAATATGGCCCAGTCGTCGGAGGACGTGGAGTTCGTGGATGGCGATACCCTTGAACGCGAAACTATAAAGAATGAAAGCGCCTAGCATGCCGAGATTTTGACCGGTGCACTGGACGTAGGCGTGGTGAATGAGGAGCGGAATAGCAGCGTGCGTGAGAACCCAGCGGTGCATAGACCAATCTGGGACGTACGGGACGGCATCCTCTTTCAGATGGACAGGGACGTCTGAATCGAGGTGCTCTGGGTGAATGCCGAGCAATTCGTAGAACCAGTGGAAGAGAGTCCACTCCGAGCGGGCCTGATGCCGCCAGGTGGACTTCATCGAGTCCTTGGTATTGCGCTGAACACTCATGGCGAGCAGGGAGCGACGTAAATAGTCGAATGAAGAGCTAAAGATGTAGATTTTCGACGTGCCTTCAAAACCCCCGAGTCCGGGGGTGGCGTGGGGGTTTTAAAGGGGACGTTTGGCTTTTGTCGATCCACCTTTCGCCCCAGTTGTTCGGCGCGGAGCGATGCATGTGAATAGTATCCACACTCCACAAAATTGAGCCTCGGGGTCTCCTCTGCAGCATGCGAACATGGCTGAACATGACATCGATCCCTATTCCTGGCATCGCATCTGTCCCAACAATCCCAAACGCTATTAGCGCCCGCGACCTAGTGATACATCCACTTTGTTCCCCCTCATCGATCGGGCGACCACGGGGGAGCCTAACGGCTAGACGGCTGGATGGTGGGCATGATGGCACGATGAGTAAACCCCACAGTCCATGATCGCCCTCACCGACTCGGCATTGGTCGAAAATCGCTATGGCCCAGCCTAGCCCCGGTACTAGTAGACGACGTGCTGCATACCCAAAATTGACGATGTTGATGTCGATACCTGACAGGGCTCGTGCAGACATGTGCCCCTGACAGTCACCTGATCTGCAGGTCCACCACGTTTGAAGGTCACACAATCTCAATGCTCAATAATCAGCGATTGGCGTATTTACAAATACGTACTCCGTGCTCAGGGTAAAGTAACATAATCTATAATCTGATTAGATCAAGTTTATTCATGGTATGGCCGAAAATGTTGGGGAAGGGCCTATTCAGTTAGGAACTACGATGTACTAGTATTGTTTACTTACTGTATGCTCTGTCGAACATCATGCCACACCATATGCTAACTTGTTTGATTCACTTTCAGTACTCCATACAGAGCACACACACTCGCCCTCAGTCTTGTTTCAGCACAAACAATTATATCACCAACAGGTCAATGCTCATAGCAGTCGACACTTACTGGTCGACCGGCAAATTGTTTCCACATCCGGTCTAGCGGATCCATATTCGGACTAGCCCAACTAACGCGGCTGCGCTTCCCACAGGGTATGGATACACATACTACTAGTTAGTAGTAAGTATGAGGTTGGTATATCTATCAGTTGACCTTGAGCCCAGTTCTTTGGTAGGTAATCTTGGAAGCAATAGATCTCATGTCGTTTGTTATAGACTTTTTTCTAGTAGTGGCTTGTATAGATCTACTTAAGGCTACTAGTACTAGAATACGAATATATCTCCGGTCGGACTGATTGAACACTGTCTATCGGTATTTCTCAGCAATTTCCAAGGTCTGGGCAGTTCACGGTGTTTTACTACTAGTAGTATGTACCTAGGTAGGATATCGACAACCTCCGAGTCTGTGCTATGCCCGGGTGGGACACACCTGGGCAGAGAGGAGCCACCAAAGCCTGTAAAAAGAAACCGAAATTGATACTATATAATCTATTTACCAGATAGCTCCGGCAACAAAGCACTAGTAGACAGAAACACAAGGGATTAAGTCATAAACAGTCCACTCGATCGAAGCAGACACTCCAGCGCAGGCCATATCTCATGGTGACTGGGAGAAAGATAATAAAAGGTAAACAGATCCGGAACTAGACATGACTGTGTGAAAGGCACAGTCAGCCAGGCCCAGACCCGCTCATCATAGGCTACCGGGAGTAACAATCCCGACAACCAAAGATCAACAGGGAAAAAAAATTGTTGGGGAGAAGAAGGAAAAACCAAAACAAAATTGCGGGCCCTCTCTATGCCAAACACACGATGCACATGCAATTCTCAGTCATCGAATAATCAAAAAATTCCTTGGACCCAGGCAGACGTGTTTTGGGCCATGCATGATTAACAGAAAACTAAGCCCCACGATGAAGAAGATCAGTGAGAGTGAGTCATGCCTCGGTCATGTGAAATTGGATTCGAATCTGAATCTGAATCGTCATGTCAGTCACGACCTCTCACTTTTCCACAAATCCGACTCAGCGGAGATTCTGAGAAGATCCCACTAGACCGCGACATTTGTCGTCCGGGCCTCCTCGCTGACATTCACAGCCACGTTCTGAATAGGTTTCTCGTTATCAGCAGCAGCGGGAGTAGCATTCGACTCTGCATCTCCGTTTGCAGTCTCGGTTGAGGACCCCTTTTCTGTCTCTGTCTCACTCTGGCCGTTGAACTTCAGCTCGGACTGAGGGACCGGAATAGTAGCCCGACGGTCCTTGCCATCCTCAGTGCCCAGCACTTCGACCACATCGCCCTTGAACAGAACAGGGCCCTTAAGAAGTCCCCTCCTCGTATTGCCCTCGGCGGGCTCTTGCTCCAGGCCCTTCAGCAGTTCTTGGGCGGGCTCGTCCAGGTGAGGCATTTCGCCCCATTTCCACTCCAGTTCGCCACCATACTGCTTGGGGATGCTGGAGGGTTCCATAAAAGCAGTTAGAGTGGGCTTTACTTCGGCCGCGGACAGAATGAATATTTTGGATGTGGTGACCGGGTCGAACCAGCGCTTGATCCAGCCCCAGACAGTAGGGAAGAAAGCAGGTGCGCCAATGATCTGGAGATAGTTAGCGGAAAAGGTCCACCTCAATGCATGATGGAGGTAGTATAAGGACAACTCACGAAGATACGGTCCAGAGTTTCGGGGTAGTGAGCAGTGGCCAACACACTAGCATCCTGCATATGGCTCTTCAAGTTCCAGAACTGCTTCAGCCCGACGCCATTCACATCGACGATATTAGTAGATGTCACGATAGGGGTCTCGGGATTAGGACGCGGAAGGGCGGAGCACAGAGGCATGACGAAGTTAAGCAAGTTCTCGTAGAGAGCGAACAGGTTCAGCAGGCGCGCCGGGATAGTCGACGACTTGTGAGTCTCCGGGGTACCGGTAGACATGGTATTATTATAAGCTGTCATCTCCTTGTTATCGAGGTGGCGGATTTCAAAGACGTAGACGGGGATTCCGCGGCGATCACGACGACCGGTCCATTGGGGATACTACAGAAAAGCGAAATCAGAATTAGTTCAGCGCTCTTGTGGGGGGAAAAGACAGCAGGAAAGAAAATGATTGCGGGAAAGCGCATACCATCCGACGCGCAGCCTCGTACGAGTCCACGCCGATGTTCGCATATAGCGACTCAATGGCATTATCCTTGCGCCAATCCTCGGTATCCTTGAATTGACCCCACGCCCCCTCGACCTCGAACTTGCGAGCGCGCAGGAATCGCCTATTTTAAAATAAACATCGTCAGTTCTATTTGCCTCGTGCCTTGTTTCAGGGGTATAGCGTCAAGTAGTGTAACCTACAGCATAGTCGCATCATCATGGCTAGGCTCTTTAGCCTCAACACCCTCGCCCTCTTTCACGGCCTCGGTGTAATATCCGCGCTCTGAGCAGACGCTCTTGAACTCGCGCAGCTTCTCCTCCTGCTCCGGAGTCAAATGGTTCAAGTGTCCGGCAAGCCATGCGGTTCCGGAGGCCTGGTCTGCAGAGGCGGCGGGATCATTCTTCGAAGCCGACGCGGTGCGCGCGAGGGCCGGGTCCTCGGACGCGTGGCTGTCGTGGGACTTGGTCCGCCAGAACATCTTCTAGTATGGGTTTCTGGAACTTTTTGGAGTTCGTGGCGATCGGCCCCAGTGGTTTCAGTTGAAGATCGGGGATCGGAGGGGAAGCGCCTAAGTAAGAAGAGGCGGTAAGGAAATAAATTTGGTGGAGTTGGGGTTGCCGCCCTGTGGACCCTTCAGGGTTTCGGAGTCCGATGGTGGCATATGCCGAGAGTCGGGGTCAAGTGAATAGTAGTGGTAACTTTGAATATTTTATATTTGTATTATGCTGATTGACTGACGTTCACTAGCAGATAATATCTTAGCAGTACCCCGTTGCCCTTATATAAGATAAATAACTTGAAAAGGTTGACTAGGTATACTTTCAACTGCAAGGGCGAAGATCTGGGGCAAAGTTAATCGGTCCCTACAATCCCTGGGAACGATCGACAGAAAGCCCGGTCCCAATTTGTAGACTTCTGGTCATTTATCTCAAGTTGATTAAGCCAAGTAGATTTGAAAAAAAAAGGAGGAAGGTAAAAGAAAACATCAAATAAAGCTGGTACAAAACCATGGATATTGTATTGCACATGTTTTTCCCCAAGGGGAACCGGATCCCACGCTTTTGTACAGAACGCACACAGTTCGCTCATAGATACAGCATTTAATCCTCAGTCAGATCACCGTACTCCCACATACCACGGCGCTCAGCCTTGGCCTCTGCTTCAAGTTCACGCAGGTTGTCCAAGGTCTCGGCGGAGGCACGCTCCCAAGCCTTCAGCTTGCGAGGCACCATGGCCATACCCTCGTGAATAATGTCAGCGTTGATGCTCTGGTCGAGACTCTTTGAGACAGCCGGGTCAAGAAGAGTGACGTGAAGGGTACCGTCGGACTCGACATTGTCGACATTAGCCACAAGCTGGCGGTCGAAGGTTTGGTCACCCACGAAGGCAACAGCGTCCTCTAGGTAGTCAGAGGACGTGGGGAACTGTGCGAGAGAGAGCACGGCATCAATGGCCTGTGGGCGCAGCTTCTGGTTCGAGAACTGAGGCTGGGTGAGAGGGCGCAAGCTAGACCAAGGCAAGGACTCGGAGTTGCCGAAGTCGACGTAGACAACCTCGGCCTCCTGCTTCTCGCGGTCGTTGCGGCGCACCTTGGCCCGATACCAATCGCCATCCTCAGAGAACTGGGCGGCGACCCATTCGCCGGCCTTGGGAGGTCCAGGAAGAGGAGTGTCATTGGCCTTGTTGATGTGGAAAGAACGGAAGGCAGACATAAGCTCAGTCAGAGCGCTGGTGCCAGCACCAATCTGTTGGAGCTTGAGACGTCCATTGGTAGGGTCAACGAATGTGACCATGACGTCGCGGTAGTCCTTGCGGCGCTGGGCAAGGGCAGCCTCGCTCTCGTTACCAGTGCCGTTGGCGGCCTCGGATTCCTCAGCGGCCGCAGCAGCCTCCTTGGAAGGGTCCCAGTCGTGCCACAGACCCTTGCG